TTTGCAGTCCTTAGTTGAATTTTCTCCATTCTAACTCCACTTGTCTGTGGTCGAATTTTTCGCCATAATCGGAAAGGTTTGAGACACTCCGCCCGAGGTTCTTCGTTCTTGGGTCTTTTCATGTTGTTAAGTGTTGGACTTTTGACCACCCGGCGCCCCGAAGCTCTCGCGCCGGGTGGGATTAGTTACAAAGAGAAGCGACGCGCTGCCGCCTTCAAATGGTCAGACCACTCACGCGCGCCGCCGTTTGTGCGCAGATTGTCGGGGGGGTTTGCTGGCGTTGTTCGCACTCTTTTGAAGTATTTCAGCGGGGAAGTTTGCGGGGGTTTCGCCAGAATTGAATAAACCTCTCTATTGTTTGCCGCTTTCCTGCTCGCTAGGCCATTTTTGATGAAAAAAGTGAAAAGATGTCTTCAGATTTTTTTCCAAAAATGGCCTTGCGAGCAGGAAAGCGGCAAACAATAGAGAGGTTTATTCAATTTCGTGGCATTTCTCAAGAAGGGCTGGACCGGTTGCCGCTTGAGTTCCAAAGGGCTCGCGCCTCCTCTTTTTGTTAGGTTTCGATGGTGTGGCGTGCTCGCTGTGCCTCTGGTGCTTCCGCAGGTGGCTGATTAGAATGGCGCTAAGTCAACTAAGAACTGCACAAAAACGGTCACTATTGTCGCCTCCTCGTCCTGGAAGTGCTCCGCTTAGCGGCTTTTGCAACTTGCTTCCTCTTGGTTTTTCTGTCTTTTGGTTTCGTTTCATGTGATTCCCCGCGCCCCTCCAGAGTCCACCGCACCAGCCTGCAAATGTATGCTGGGGGATTCTGGAGGGGCGCGGGGATTTGGAGGGCGCCCGAGGTTCTTGGCTCGCAATTGGGTGAGGGTTTTCCAGAAGGGAGCGCAGTAGGCGGCGAGTGTTCTGCGGATTCGTATCATGCCCGAGAAGATTGAATTTTGTCCGGATTTTTGCAGTCCTTAGTTGAATTTTCTCCATTCTAACTCCACTTGTCTGTGGTCGAATTTTTCGCCATAATCGGAAAGGTTTGAGACACTCCGCCCGAGGTTCTTCGTTCTTGGGTCTTTTCATGTTGTTAAGTGTTGGACTTTTGACCACCCGGCGCCCCGAAGCTCTCGCGCCGGGTGGGATTAGTTACAAAGAGAAGCGACGCGCTGCCGCCTTCAAATGGTCAGACCACTCACGCGCGCCGCCGTTTGTGCGCAGATTGTCGGGGGGGTTTGCTGGCGTTGTTCGCACTCTTTTGAAGTATTTCAGCGGGGAAGTTTGCGGGGGTTTCGCCAGAATTGAATAAACCTCTCTATTGTTTGCCGCTTTCCTGCTCGCTAGGCCATTTTTGATGAAAAAAGTGAAAAGATGTCTTCAGATTTTTTTCCAAAAATGGCCTTGCGAGCAGGAAAGCGGCAAACAATAGAGAGGTTTATTCAATTTCGTGGCATTTCTCAAGAAGGGCTGGACCGGTTGCCGCTTGAGTTCCAAAGGGCTCGCGCCTCCTCTTTTTGTTAAGTTTCGATGGTGTGGCGTGCTCGCTGTGCCTCTGGTGCTTCCGCAGATGGCTGATTAGAATGGCGCTAAGTCAACTAAGAACTGCACAAAAACGGTCACTATTGTCGCCTCCTCGTCCTGGAAGTGCTCCGCTTAGCGGCTTTTGCAACTTGCTTCCTCTTGGTTTTTCTGTCTTTTGGTTTCGTTTCATGTGATTCCCCGCGCCCCTCCAGAGTCCACCGCACCAGCCTGCAAGTGTGTGCCTGGGGATTCTGGAGGGGCGCGGGGATTTGGAGGGCGCCCGAGGTTCTTGGCTCGCAATTGGGGGAAGGTTTTCCCGAAGCGAGCGCAGTAGGCGGCGAGTGTTCTGCGGATTCGTATCATGCCCGGCAGGATTGAATTTTGTCCGGATTTTTGCAGTCCTTCGTTGAATTTTCTCCATACTAAAACTACACTCACGCTCATCGACCCAAAGTGGGCCACTTAGCACTTACCTACGGAGATGGTTCTCACTTACAGTTGAACTGAGGAATTAATGAACTGCGAGAACTTCAGGGTTGGACTGTGAAGTTCTTTCGAAATCGAAATGATAGGAAGCTGGTGGTGCGTCCGTTAGTAGTATTCCCGAGCAAGGCCGGCAATATCAAAAATGGGGGACCTTTCGTTCAACCTTTTGCTTTTTCTATGACGGCAACCGTGAGCAATCCAGTAGCCCCGCGCCTGGAGGACGATTTCGGTTGGCTGGTTGGTTGTATCGTCATTCCAACCAGCCAACCAGCCGACGGGATTCGGTGGTAGTGCTGACTGGGTCAGGCAGTCATAGCGGGAATTGCGCCCATCGTGTCCTTCTTTCAAACGGCAGCGGCCTCCGCGTAGACATGCCGCCAGTCCCCGCACTATAGCCGACCAACCAACCAACCAACCGACCAACCAACCAACCAGCACCCGCTGGACGAGCGTGGGGCCCGACTAGCTGACCAACCAACCAACCAGCCAACCAACTGCGCCGCCAGACGAGCGCGGGCCCCGACTCGCCAACCAACCAACCAGCCAGCCAGCCGGGCGGCTGGACGAGCGTGGGCCCCGACTAGCCAACCAACCAGCCGGGCGGCTGGGCGAGCGTGGGCCTTGACCAGCCAACCAACCAACCAACTGCGCCGGCAGACGAGTGTGGGCCCCGACTAGCCAACCAACCAACCAGCCGGGCGGCTGGACGAGCGTCGTCCTCGACTAGCCAACCCACCAACCAACAAACCAACTGGCTGGGCGGCTGGACGAGCGCGGGCGCCGACTAGCCAACCTACCAACCAACCAACCAGCCGGGCGGCTGGACGAGTGTGGGCCCCGACTAGCCAACCAACCAACCAACCAACCAGCCGGGCGGCTGGACGAGCGTGGGCCCGACTAGCCTACCAACCAACCAAGCAACCAGCTTGGCGGCTGGACGAGCGTGGGCCCCGACTAGCCAACCAACCAACCAACCAACCAACCAACTGCGCCGCCTGACGAGCGTGGGCCCTGACTAGGTAGCCAACCAACCAACCAACCAGCCGGGCGGCTGGACGAGCGTGGGCCCCGACTAGCCAACCAACCGCCCAACCAGCTGGGCGGCTGGACGAGCGTGGGCCCCGACTAGCCAACCAACCAACCAGCCGGGCGGCCGGCCGGACGGGTGTGGGCCTTGACTAGCCAACCAACCAACCAGCCGACCATCTGACTGTGCCGCCTGGCGAGGGGCGTGGGCCCTGACTCGCCAACCAATCAATCAACCAACCAACCAACCAGCGGGGCGGCTGGACGAGCCTGGGCCTTGACTAGCCAACCAACCAACGAACCAGCCAAGCAACCAAGCAACCAACCAACCAACCAACCAGCGGGGCGGCTGGACGAGCGTGGGCCCCGACTAGCCAACCAACCAGCGAACCAACCGACCAACCCACCCACCCACCAACCCACCAATCAGCCAACCAACCAACCAACCAACCAACCAGCGAACCAACCGACCAACCCACCCACCCACCAACGAACCCACCAACCCACCAACGAACCCGCCAACGAACCCGCCAACGAACCCACCAACGAACCCACCAACGAACCCACCAACCAACCAACCAACCAGCCAGCCAGCCAGCTTTCACCCAGCCAGCTTTCACCCAGCCAGCCTCCACCCAGCCAGCCTCCACCCAGCCAACCTCCACCCAGCCAACCTCCACCCAGCCAACCTCCACCCAGCCAACCTCCACCCAGCCAACCTCCACCCAGCCAACCTCCACCCAGCCAACCTCCACCCAGCCAACCTCCACCCAGCCAACCTCCACCCAGCCAACCTCCACCCAGCCAACCTCCACCCAGCCAACCTCCACCCAGCCAACCTCCACCCAGCCAACCTCCACCCAGCCAACCTCCACCCAGCCAACCTCCACCCAGCCAACCTCCACCCAGCCAACCTCCACCCAGCCAACCTCCACCCAGCCAACCTCCACCCAGCCAACCTCCACCCAGCCAACCTCCACCCAGCCAACCTCCACCCAGCCAACCTCCACCCAGCCAACCTCCACCCAGCCAACCTCCACCCAGCCAACCTCCACCCAGCCAACCTCCACCCAGCCAACCTCCACCCAGCCAACCTCCACCCAGCCAACCTCCACCCAGCCAACCTCCACCCAGCCAACCTCCACCCAGCCAACCTCCACCCAGCCAACCTCCACCCAGCCAACCTCCACCCAGCCAACCTCCACCCAGCCAACCTCCACCCAGCCAACCTCCACCCAGCCAACCTCCACCCAGCCAACCTCCACCCAGCCAACCTCCACCCAGCCAACCTCCACCCAGCCAACCTCCACCCAGCCAACCTCCACCCAGCCAACCTCCACCCAGCCAACCAACCAGCCAACCAGCCAGCCGGCTGGCTGGTTCGTTGGTTGGTTGACGAGTGCCGCTGCCGTTTGAAAGAATAACGTGATGGGCGCAATTCCCGCTATGACTGCCTGACCCAATCAGCACTACCACTGAATCCCGTCGGCTGGTTGGCTGGTTGGAATGACGATCCAACCAACCAGCCAACCGAAATCGTCCTCCAGGCGCGAGGCTACTCGAACAATCTGGCTCGGGGGACAACGACAAACTCGTTCGGAATCGCGAACAATAATGTGGATACGCCTCTTGGGCTTACTCAAGAATCTGCTGGCACAAAGGTGTTCGACGATTTGCAGACTAATATCAAATATTATGAGGAGTCCGACGAGGTTCACTTCGGAAGTAGTGATCAGAAAAGTGGCAACGCTGACAGCAGAAAGTGGAGTCTTCTGGACAAAATTCAGGAGACGTGCGTCCACCTCCATTTCCATGGAGATGCTGGTGCCGATGCCGCCAAGGCCAAGGGAATGAGCGGGGCGTTCGTCTCGTTTGCGATAGACAAAACGAACCGTCCTACTAGTAGTTCTACTGGCGAGGAGAACGCGATCTACGTCTGGGTCGATTTTATTCTAGTGCAAGAGGATCATCTTGGGAGTCTCATGGAGCTCCGGCGTATCAGTCATTATTCGACTCGCTTAAACTGGAGCACAGCACTCAACCTTGCAAACGAAGCTACTCAGCATGTGAGGAAGCTGCATGAGCTGGGATATGCACACGGCGATATAAAATTAAGGGCGACGCTGGACTTGCATCCACCATTGAATGCCATTGATTCTTGAATTTTTTTCCAATAGAGTAGCTACCTACTAGAAATTTCGATGGCGTATGTCACGCAATATTCATGCAATGCCGCATTGGTTTCGTTCCTAAAATAGGTCGTCCTATCTAAGAAAACCGGAGAACTTCGGGGTGAATGGAAGCAAAAGAATAGCGGGCAGCGATGGCAAACCGAAACTTGACTTACGCCTGAGAGTGTTTTTTAAATCATTATTAAACAAGTTAGTAGAAGGCAGCAATGTTTTCTATTTGTGTCCGTTGATGGTTTAGGGCTGTTTACAACTACGCGCTAAGAGGAAGCACGCAACATCTTATTCACTATCGCTTCCCATGTCACGAGTGCACGTCGCATGAGTGCGGAGACTCTCGTAAATAAGTATACGGTTTACGGAATGCCACAGCCACGTGCATATCTTTGTTTTTCCTCTAAAAATGGCCCAACCCGAGACGGTGACGCTTTTGAACTTTCGCTGCGCCGTGCCAAAAAGCTTACCCTTTCAAGGAGGATGTGGAGCGACAGCTAGTTCCTACGAAGATCCGAGCTTGTTTGCAGACGACAATCTCCCGACTCCGAAATCCGATGAGGCCGAAATGTGGTCGATAGGGATGACCCGTTTAAAGATTTTCCAGTCTGTGAAGGGGTATCTGGGGAAAATGCTACAGCAATGTGTCGGGAGCTGGATAGACTTTCCACACGATGAGAAGTGCGTCGCGACCTTGAAGAAATGGCCAGCGCAATATTATGAAAAAAAATTGCTATCCCTATCCAATCACAGAAAATTGCAATTCCTGGATTTTGAATAATCAAACTCAGCAAGTTGCGATCTGTCAGCCTCTCATCAGCACCTGCGCGAGGCTGCAAAGCATCGCGCCAGAATCCCACATGTGCTCGGAGCAAGGGCAGCAACCTGTTCCTGGAGTCTCTCCTTCATGTTGTAAGCCAGCGCACCCTTTGAAAGAATCGCCTCAGTTTCGATTTGTTCAAAGCATTGCACGCACGATGCATGGCATCCTAGATAAACTCGCCCAAATACCTTCCCGCCTTGGCTACTCGTACATACTAGCCCGGTCCCTACTGTAGCCTACACACCCGTCAGTATCATACTACAGCTGGCGTCTTGATTTCGATCGGATTGATTGCCCCATGTTTTGTTTAACTACTACTAATGCAACGATGTTACTTTAAGTTAACGTCGACGGTGACGTCTCTAACCAAGCGATAACTCGTGGCACGCCAAAACGAAGAAACAAGACGCCTATAGAACCAGTAAATTTTGGTGTCCTGATTTTCATTGGTATAATTTGTTGGGAGACCCTCATGAAGGTCCAAAATACGTAGTCCTAGGCGAAAAATCTAGGGCGCTCACAATGTGGCCCCCATATGGTGTGCGTAGGCCTCACTTGACTTTCGCAAAAAGTCGCGATGGCGAATGTTTTGACAAAATCGAGTTGCCATCGATGTCTCCGACTCTTGCAGAGGAGATATTCACATTCTTGCAGGGGAACTTTCTCTATGCAATGAGTTGCGATCTGGGGGAACGCGATTTGGATAAGTTGCTTGCTCCGGACAGGTTGATAAACCGGGACGATCCGCCTCAGGGAATGTGGCTAAGAATGATAAAAGCACTTGCCTGAAGGTCCTGAAGTAAATCATTAACCCCTGAAAGGTCTAGAGATCGCTGGCTCAAGTGGTTCGAAAGGAGACTGGAGACCAAATGGCTTAACTTGTTGCCTTGTGCTGATTCGGATGATCAGTGTAAATCTTTTCGCGGAATTACGTGGAGGGGTAGCAGATTCTTCCGAATTTGTCTTCCCTCCCCGAAGTTCGTCGAAAAATTTGCTCACTTTCGTGATCTTGCGTGAAGTTCTGTCGTAGGTTGATTATTCTTCTCCCCCTTCTCTTTTTTCTCTTCTTTTCCACTTCCGAAATGGTGAGGAAGTGCAACACCACTGGGCCTTCTCTCTCCTTGTCACTGCGAGCCATTTACTTGGCTCAACATTCGAAACATTCCCACAGGATTTGAAGCGCCTCTACCGGCCTAGCTGCGTTTGGTATGAGATTCGAAACAAACAAAACAGGCCGAATTACCTCAAGAAATCCCCACCGTTCCCCTTTGTTGCGCGTGTGTTCGCTATCTTTTCGCGGTAGTAATTTTCGGCCCGGTAAGCAGGTGCAGCAGTCTTCGTTCATTTTGGTGGAGAGCCTGGGCAGTTATCTCTCTCAACTTCATACCCCCGACCTTGTAGCGCTGGGAGTAGTGTAGGACTGAAAATGGCGCCGCCGAGCCAAGAAAACCACGGGGGACAACTTCTCCACGACGCTCAGGAAGGAGCGATAGAGCGCGCCGGAGCTCAACGTGGTGGGCAAGAGCCGCCCCGCACTTCTTCCGCAACGTCTTCCGGGCATGTCAGTCTTTGACGTGACTGGGCGCCGATTTCGTCGCGGTGGAACTCGTTTGGAACAGTCGCAAGAGCTGCCCACCGTGGAGGGGCTCGGGCCTTCGGAATCGAGTGCCGGCGCATCGCGTGCGGGCGCGGAATCGTTTGAGAAGGAACTTGGGGAGTGTGCTGTAGCGGCAGGCGAAGCAGCTGGTCACGCTGTAAAATGAGCGGTCGGGAGTTCCTTGCAGGGATTCTATGCCATGCCGACAAAAGAGGAGCCGCAGGAACAACCGACATGCCAGCAAGCTGCAGCGACTGCCTTTGAGTTTGATCAGACATTGGAAGCGGAGGAGCACTTCGGCGAACGTTACCACTGTGGCGAGCGCCTGCCTTTCACACCGCGGGGAAAAGCGAGCCGCATTCCTGGGCTGGAACGTGGTGACCGAAAGTTCATGGGCCCAAGTGGCCTTCGTCTTGGTGGGCATCGTGAACCGCACCAAGAAGAGCACCCCGCCCGAGGACCTGCAGCCGCAACGCAAAGAGGCACGACACGAGCACCCGGCCGAGAGCGTCGGTCTGGCTGTCTTCTTTTGAATCGCCTCGCTGCTTGTTTTCTATACCGACCGGGGACGCCGGGAGGGGTCTTTGTGGTTTCTTTATGGGCATGTGCAAACGAGCAGCGGCGACGGTCTTGGAGCAGGAAACGAAGGCGCCGGGCCCGTTTTGCTACGAGGATGAAGAGCGTCGGCCCGCGCGTGGTCTTCTTCATCACTTCCCAGCAGCCAGCGAAAGGAAACGCCACAAAGAGCCGCAGAACGGGGACAGAGCTTCTACCATCTGCTGGGAATGGTCTGGCGGGCATGGGGCTGAAGTATGGCGAGCAGTTCAAGAAGCAAGAACAAGGGCACGAGATTCAGCAAGATCAGCCGCGCACGCACCTGGGAGAGTACTCCACCAAGATGCAGCAGGGAGAGAATCGGGGCAGCGAGTTGCAACATGGAAAGAGGACCGCGGAGAGGCTGCCTTCAGCTGTTTTGCAGCTGCCTCCGAGGCGGACCTCGGAAAACGTTCGGGGACTCGAAGCGTCGGGGCCGGGGTCTCGCCTGGCATTGTTCGCACCATAGACAGCACCGGAAAAGCTGGCGGAGTTGTCTGGACAGGTTTCGTTTAAACTACGCGGGCGTCTCGGGCTTGGCTCGGGAACACATCAAGGAAAAAGCTCGGAAAGCCGTGCCGCGCGTTTATGGTTCTGGAAGTGTTCGCGCGGAGTTGCGTGCTGGTTCTTTGATCGCCGACCGGCCTCGAGGAGGTCCGCGCGACTCGTCTGCGATAGTCAGCGAGCTGATGGAGATGGATCGCGACGAGATGGCAGCAGCCTGCGTTCGCTTGTGCAGTTGCATGCTGGCCGCAGCAATGAAGGGCGCAGGAAGTGGCACTAGTGGAGCTTTCGCGAAAGCTGCCACAACTTAAGCCCAAAGCGGTCAGGCAGGCTGAAGCAGTATCGGAGACTGCTGAAAACCGTCAGCCGCTGAAACAGTACCAGGCGGGGAAGATGTTGCGACAGCGACATGCTTGGAACGGAGTGCAGCCTGGGGACGTCGCCAACGGTATCAGAGAGCGCACCACGGGAACGCTTGCGAACTTCGACGTGGTGCGGGATTCTGAGGGGCTTGGCTGCGCTGCTTTCAGTGATTTGCTCGCCTGCTAACTTCGTCTAGAATTCGGCACCACAAACCAAGCCGCGGCCTCCACGCTGGTAGGGCCTTTGAGCGGAGTCAAGTATTACACAACAGCAGGAAAGGAGCAGGGCGCGGCCCTTGTTGCCTTCGTCAGTTCTTATCGTGTCTGCTTCGGGTTGCTCATGGAGGGACGCAGCCTCGGGCTGCTCATGGAGGAACGCAGAGAGACCGGCCGCACGCTTCTCACCTTGTCAGGTGCCGCTGGCAGCGACATCACGGAGCGCAAGAAAATGGCGAATGGCTTGAACTACCGCAGCGCGCCGCCGATTTGGATCGTGACCAAGATCGACGACCACTTCGGGGACCATGGAGGCACGCAGGAGAAACAACCCCCGCAAGCAATTCTATCTCGGACCGCGATCACCGGCCAAGCAGAGCAAGCGAAACAGCAGCAGCAGCGCCCCTCGGGTATTCCGCCAGAAGCAACGTCGTGAACAGCAACAGGAGCCAGCCCAGGGCTGACGAAGGCAAGCCGGGGGCGTGCGATGACCCCGCAAGCAGCCTTGGAGGAGCAGAACAGGCACACGACGACACAGACGCACCCGACGACCCGCCAACAAGGAGCGAGACCAGAGGGAGCAGCGTGCAGCGGGGGTCATAGACTCACCCACCACGCTAACATCAGCAAGTGCGTAAACGCCACCGAACCAACTGCGCGCTGGGAGCCCGCTTGCGGCAGGTTTCTGCAGCTATTGCCAAAACAAAGCACCAGACGACCACCGGAGACCCCGCCGACATCCTCTGCCCCGACAAGATTGCCGCCGAGGATTCACGCGAAGGGAATGGCTTGCGTTGTAACATGGCTTGCGCCCCGTATGAGCACCGAGAAGGCTTGACTGAGATGCCTACGCGTCGCCCCGGCGCAGTGAACGGGGAGCAGCAGGACCAAGAGCAGCAACAGGAGCAGGCACAAGGGCAGAGAGCTGAAGAGCAGACAACAACAGAGCAGCAAGAGCAACAGCAAGGCAACAAGCGGCACGGCGAAGCGGGTGCAGAAGGTTGGCAAGGGGTCTAGCTTTTGAAGGGTCTAAAGATCGCTGGCCCAAGTGGCTCCAAAGGAGGCTGGAGGCCAAATGGCTTCATTTGTTTCTGTTTCTTGATTTTTCGGATGGTCAGTATGATTCTTTTTACGGAATTATGTGGAGGGTTAGCAAATTCGTCCGGATTTGTCTACCCTCCCCGAAGTTCTTCGAGGCATTTGATCACTTGCGTAACCTCGCGTGCAGTTCCATCGTGGATCGGTTATTCTTCTTTCTCTTAGCTTTTGTCGCTTCTTTTCGGCTTCCAAAATGGTAAGGAAGTGAAACACCACCGAGCCTGCTTTCTCCTTGTCACTACGAGCCATTTTGCTCCAAGGTTCGGCGCGTTCTTACTATCGGCCTAGTTGCCTTTGCTATGAGATTCGAAACAAACAAAACGACTTGAATTACCTCAAGAAACCCCCACTATTCCCCTTGGTTGAGCGTGTGTTCGCTATGTTTTCGTGGTAGTAATTTTCGGCCCGGGAAGCTGCGGCAAACTTCTTCCAAGAATGAGCAAGCCCAGTCGTGGTGGTTACGACTTCGCTGCTAGCGTTCCCGAAGCAACGGATTCATCTAGCGTGGACGAGGATTCCGACGAACATTATGCGAGATTTTTTAACTCATTCTAAGCGAAGTATTCGAAAACTCAAAATAATCGAGTAGCTAAATACTGAAGTAAGAGCGTATGATACTATCTGAGAAGATTACCCTCTGGGATACTCGGTTATGTCAGTTTTTTCGAGTGGGGAACGCGTGGAATTGCTAAACGAATTATTACTGGACAACATTTGGAAACTCTTACTCTACTAAAAGAAGTATAATGACTGGACAACATTTGGAAGCTCAGTCAAGACGCTCCTCTCCTTGTAACTTCAGGAACAGGGTCAATAGTGTTGTATGTAGCTCATTTCATTTATCAATTTGGTTTCTGTCAAATATTGAAGATGATGCATTGTGACACTTCTTCAGCCAAATAATGAGAACAAGAGAAGCATGCTGTTCGTCAATGCTTTCACTGATTGAGAGCGAAGGAATGGGGAAGGCCCTTTCTATCTACTAGACGTCAAGACAACAACATTAGAAGACACACCTCTACCAGCGATTGATATACTCACTGTCGAAGAGAGTAAGATCTACTAGAGATAAACAATCGCAGTCGATACTATACCAGAATCGCATAGCATAGAAATAACAGAACAGCGACTGCTCTTAGGTAGTATAGAGCGGCAACGTATACCCCTTGCTGGGTAAGTAACGCATTCGTCATCGTCATCAGTCCTAACTCTAACAATTGGCGCGTCGTGGCGATAGCGGTGACGGCAACGAGGTGCCTGGTGGTGCTACCATACTGAGTACGTCCAGCGCACTCGAGGTGACCGCTTCAGGCGATATCGCATGGTCCAACAGCACAGGGAGCAAGCGCATCTACCGTCACGACTTCTTTAGTACGACAACGGATGTTAGCGTGGAGGTGGACTCGCCATCCGACGACCATTATGCGAGATCTTTTAACTCATTCTAAACGAAGTGAACAAGAAGTCTCATGTTATTGCTGTTCCTTTTCGACGTCTACTCCTGCAAGTCACAAATACCGAGTAGCTGTTCCTTTCCAAAACTCAAAAGAACCGAGTAGCTACTTAACTGAAATAAGCGAGTATCTGAGAAGATTACTCTCTGGGATACTCGGTTATTTCAGTTTTTCGATTAGACAACACGTGGAAACTCTAAGCGAATTATCATCAGACAACGTTTGGAAACTCTACTATAAAGCAAGGAAGTACTACTAGACAACATTTAGAAGCTCAGTCAAGACGCTCCTCTCCTTCTAACTTCAAGAACAGGGTTAATAGTTTTTTTCCTCATAATTTGCATTTCATTTAGGAACTGCGTTTCTGTCTGAATGTCACAATGTCATCATCTTCGTGTATGGTTTCAGTGATTGAGGGGACGAGCCCTTTCTATCTACTAGACGTCAAGACCACAATATTAAAAGACAAACTTCTACCAGCGATTGATATATTCACTGTAGAAGAGAGTAAGATCTACTAGACATAAGCAAGAATCGAAATCGATATTATACCAGGACACATAGCATAACATAGAAATATTAACAGAACAACAATCGCTCCTAGGTAGTAGATAGCGACAACGTCTACCCCTTGCTGGGTAAGATCATTCTTTCAATCCTAACTCTAACAACCGGCGCACAGTGGCAATGGCGGCGCGGCGCGCGCTCCGTCTCGATTTTCCGGTAATGCGGAGTTTTTCGGTGAGTCGGGGACAGGCGCAGACCCTTCGCAGGAGTAAGGTGGTGTGCACCAAAGAGGTGTATAGAAGACGAAAGTTATAGTTTTGATCTATTTTTTGAGTAATGATATAATGAAAAAGTAAAAGAGAAAGTTAAGGGTGGATTAGGGGTGGAACCAAGAGGTGGATTACTTGGGAACTACAAAGATTAAGAAGATTTTTGTTTTTGTATGATTTGGAGGTGTGAAAAATTTTGTAGAAAATAACGTTATGCAATTCGCTGAACAAGCTTCCCAGAGAAGGTAGCTTGTTGCGGACCTGGGAAGTCCCTAAACTCATCCGTCCGCTAATTCATACGCAAGGAGTTCTACGTGTGAGGCGAAAAATCCACGAATTGCAGGCCTTTGCCTGTTATGAACTCTCCCTCAGCATATTATGACATTCTTGGATAACAACAAGAACAAGGGCTGGCATTCTCGGACAATTTATTGGCCACTCACACAGACTCCTTCGAGCTATGCAGCCACGTGCTTTTAAGAGTAATTCAGATTTTGATTGTGATCGTACACTTACTTATGTTATCGTATAACGAAGATATTTGCAATTTTGTGGACGGCGTTCCGAATTGATGAAATAATATGCTATTTTTTTGATTCTAAGTAGTCTCTGCTAAGCACAGAGCTAATTGTTCTAATTACAATGATCGCGCCCCTGCCTAGAACGAAGTAGATGTAAGAAGTTTTCATTTTGTTCAGCATAGTCATAGCCATCAGCTAGTATTTCAAGACGGACTCTTGTACACCTTATCACCGAGTCCATATGCATTTAGATAGTCAGGAGCAATCGGACCGTTGTACACCAATTACTGCTGGACTATTACTGCTACTTCAAGATACATAGTCGTAGTCTTATCTACGAGTACCACCAACATAGTGCTTTTTTCTGACATGGAGAACTTCGACACACATAGTCATAATCTTATCTAATACCATAGTGCTTTTTTATTTTTCTTTTGTGATATGTATGAAGATACTACTGCTGTAGCTTGTAAGTACCTAGAGCGGGCTCTTGTACATTTTTTTTCACATCTGAGTCCAGTCCTCTGCTTTTTCTTTTATTCTGCGAACCGCAATTAGTCCGTAAGCCGCAAAGTCTTGAAACTGTGCTAGCGCTTTTCGTACTACTTTTACGCCTGTTCGTTGCGTCATGGTCGTCGTTTGTACAAAAGTGGTTGAAAGCCACACTTTTGATGGAGCAAGAGTCTACTTAACTTCAAATGACTGCTAAAAGAACAAAAAATATACTAATATAGTCATATATAAATCACTCCGTTGAAGCATAAGTCTTCAGAAAAGTGAACCCACGAAAAGATATGCCAGCCACTGAGTTGAAGCATAAGTCTTCACAAAAGTGGAACAGAGCAACATACTTGATGGGAAAATCTTCACACTTAATAATCAACATAGATAAGCAAAAATGAAAACAAATCACAGGAGATATTGAGTAAGTCTCTTTTTCTGTCGGGGAACTGACCAAAACCGTTCCTCAAGAAAGACTCCTGTTACGATTCATTGCGTGAATAAGTAACTGCGTCCATACTACTGCAAGAGCATGATCATAGCATTGGCATCGAGTGAATATTGGAAGAAGGAGCCTCTGCCTTCTTTGAGCCGTCACTAGAGCGCTCCTAGCATCCTCTCCAGATTCTCAATATATCTATAACATGATGAGTTGAAGGAGAAGGTGCGCAATTGTGAGCTTCATGATGTATCCTCGTCATTCATCTGAAATTGAAAGAGCACCCCTGCTCCCGCTGCCCTTCAGTAGCCGCCTACGTCCATCTGTGCTGTAGGTGGCCCCCCCCAACCTAACCTTGCCTCGTTTATCATGATTGAGATTCCTTCAGGCTTGCGCATGTCGTGGAATTAGGGTTATTCTGCTGATCTACTACTATTGCTATTATTGAAATTTCTTTGCTTACGTCGCCACGCGAAAGCGTGGCGCCACGGACCTGGGATGTCCCTAAACTCGTCCACATCTAATTCACCACAGCGGGACGCACGGATATTTGTTTCCTCAATGAATCATTAGATGCTCTGTTAGTGTTACATATTACACTTTCCGAGCGTCATCGTGGTGGATCGATTTGTGCGTCGAATTTTCAAGCGGAGAAATATTATGCCTATTCATTGCCAAGTACCTAGGAAACCAAGTCCCGGTGAGATCTTTGCTAAAGCCTCTTAGTTCTACGAAGATCTCAACATTATGGGACGACTACTCTTTGGAATAAGATAAACGCCAGTAATGGCAAGAAAGGTCAGATATTTGTTAAGGGTGGCATTTCTGTTTGGCGTGGAGTGAAATAGTAGGGCTAGTAGAGGGTATTAGACGTGCCATCAGGGTCGCTGATATTGGACTGATATACCATGTATGACTGACGTTGAAGTGATCTTGATATAGACTGTTGTGGCAGAGGGCGAGGGGTCAAACTGGAGTGGGAAAATGTTTCTGCGTGCAGCATTGAAACTTGGGACAAATCCAATGGGGTAGCTAAATCGTTCTTCTAGCGTACTATGCTATCGATTGACTCAGCAGCTCTGAGTTGCATTCGATGCAAAGGATAGAGATGACTTGTAATCTTCGTTGTTATGCTATAATGCCATCTTTCGGGTCTACGTGTTGCGTGTTATTGTATGCCATCTTTCAACTCTGGATACTAATTCTAATGGAGCAGCCCCCTTTTCTTTCCAAACAAGATCGAAATTATGTACCTAGAAGGAGTTGAAGTTTATTAGGCTATCGCTTACCTACAACAAGTTGTGGCACGAGAAAACTATCAGGCTCAACAGCGACGCTGTTGAGGTTGACGAGAAGAGTAATACTAAAAGTAGCACGTTCTTTGTTGTACACCACTTCTGAGTCTAGCGGTAGTCTAAGTTGCAGTGTTTCGTCACCTTATGTATTAGTGTTTGGGTGGTGCTATATCTCTCTCATTTCAAGGGTGCATATGACGGGAGGGAAGAAAGATCCTCACGCACGATCAGCCAGGTGGTGAGACACTGCCTCTTAAGTGGTACTTGGGAAGAAGAGCATTATGTAACTGTAACCATTCTGTGTGAGTGCCGCAAGGTGCAGCAGTGGTGGCTATGATAAACGATTGACTTTTTGTTCGAATATCTATGATATTCAATTTACGAAGAAGCAAGTTAGCATGAAAAAGTTGTTCCTTTTCTTGTTTTGTGAAAAAGGTATGTATGGATGATCTCGAGATCTACCATTCCAGAGAGATGCCATATAGTGTCTCTCTCGATCTACCACTCTTCATCCCCGTCTATTGTGATTTTCAAAGAAATTTATGTCAGTGTCAGTCTATCATATGCCTTTTTGTCCTTTCCCGCCGTGACACTAAGAGCAGAGCTACTGGACGCAAGAGTGCCACATGCATGCTGATGCCCCACAGTTAACTAAGTACAAGCTTGATCCTTAGTTGTGCCTGGCTGACAACAAACCTTAATAGTAGCCTATTGGCTGATCCGAAATGTCTGCGGTCATCAGGAAAGTTGGCAACAGGGACATACGCATGCATGAAGAGTCTGGCTGACAACAAGCCTTAGTTGCCTATTGGCGGACAGCAAACCTTAGTAGCCTGACTGCACTCGACTGTTTCTAGAATAATCCAATTTCCTGTAGTTTGTCTAAAATCACTAATGAGTTGCAATGATCTCGTATCAATGATATAAGCACTCCTTGGCTTCCTTTTTCTGTACTAGTTTGTAAAACGCATTTGTTTTTCGTAGTCGAAGGTGATGCCTGATGAAATTGAATTTCATGTGTTAATGCTTCGCTTTTACTTGATACTTATATATGTACCAGGGAGGGAGGCCCCCCCCCTGTGGATGGATCTCGGGTGGACCACGCCAGAGGGGTCCAGCCTGGCCACCTTTGCGCGGTCTGTATGGTTGGCCACATGCAGCACGCCAAGGGGGTGGGTCCCGCCTTGCCTCCTCTGCCAGCTCTGTCGGGTACCGCAACACGCCAGAGGGCGCCAGCCTTGCCATCTTTGCCAGGTCTGTCGGTACATGCAACAAGCCAGCGGGGCCCTGCCTTTGCCTTTGCCAGGTCTGTAGGGTACATGCAACAAGGCAGCGGGGCCCTGCCTTTGCCCCCTTTGCCAGGCCTGTAGGGGACATGCAACAAGGCAGCGGGGCCCTGCCTTTGCCCCCTTTGCCTGGTCTGTCGGGTACATGCAACAAGCCAGCGGGGCCCTGCCTTTGCCCCCTTTGCCTTTGCCAGGTCTGTAGGGTACAGGCAACAAGGCGGGAAGGGGTCAGAAGTGGGCGCTTTGAGGCCTTCCCGCCTGGCAGCCCCTCGAAAAGAGGGGCCGGGGCTGGCAGGCCCCCCCCCCCCTTCAAAAAGCTAGATCGGGAGGGGGCCTCCAGCCCTGAGCCTTGGAACATATAACTTCTTTCAAGGCTGACGTGTAATTCATTTTCATTGAAGCAACCTAAAAAGCAGGACCAATCCCAGATGAATATGGCCCACCATCTAACCCAAACGGATTTGTATTATTATGCGTCGACATGTGGTAAGTACAAGTACTTAGGCAGTTTAATACTTCTGGTATCAGGCGTGGCGGATTGGCGTCGATATGTGGTAAGCAGGTCTAGGCACTTAAGTAGGCGTCGTATTGGGAAGAGAAATGGCGGCTATAATGATTTGGTTTGTCCTTGCGCGTTGACGGAGACCATCTCTCTTACCTCGTCCAGGTCAGAGGGTGTCTAAGACATTCCAGTAGACTAATATAAGTACTTACTAATGCGACTCACTACATAGTACTACGTACTACTAAGACGCTACGATGATGGTGCTTACTTTGTTGGGCTTGATGGGGGGAAATGGAGTGTCGCAGATCTTGGGTATTTAAGAGAAGAATTTGAGTTACTCGTTAGAAAATTTTGTGGCGAGTCAATATAATCGGACTAAAAAAATCATAGTAACTACAAGCATGATAATGAGAACAATGAGATGGAGGAAACAAGACAAAGATATATATTAGGTGTTGTACGGATGATGAACAAGAACAAATACTAGCGTGGGAAAGAGAACAAAAGCAAAAAAGAACTACAAACCTGGAACAATAACAAAAAGAACAAGACACACAGATTAGCTTTTCTACGAACATTTATTATCTTATTTCTTTTCTCCTCAAGTTTTCCAGAATATGAGGCGAAGTGTATAAAAGGTAGAGCTTACGTGTACAATTTCGAGAACAGCTTGAACTTCTTCTAGATAAAAAGGTTTCAAGGATGAGCATCATTTTTCCGTAGCGCTCTCGAGCTTTTCGGGTATTGATGTGAGCCGTGTTGTCTCCGATGCTTGTATTGCGTCATGTTTTTGCCGTCCACTGTGGTGAAAAAAAAACAGAGCATTAAAAAAGATCATGGTCGGTTGGCAAAGAGCATAGATTCAGCACGAGCATGGTCGATATATCATTATCGTCCAATCTAAAATCATTATCTATCATCTTACACCCAAAACAAGACTATCCAGAACAAGAATAACCATTGTACATCCAGAACTTATTACAACAACAACTACTACTATTATTTATTATTTTTGTTGTTCGTTAACGTAAAAAACGTTTTTTTCGATATCGATTCTTGTCCTCTTTGAAGATGAATGATTTTTAGTGGTTCCTTTCTTCTGGTTATGACAAAAGTTTCTTCTGGTGATGACTGTTAAGGCTTCCCCTAATGGTCCATCTTCAGGTTCAGAGAAGTCATCCTCGGAGAGACGTTCTCAAGGGGAAAGCGGTCCCAGGATGGGCTACGCTAAAAGTAAATGATTCTAGGCTAAAAACGCTAAAAACTGAACTGTAAATGATTCATTGGCTTCTAACTGGATGGTGTAAGTGCTGATGTTGTGCTCAGCTTGTTTTTATTTCCCTCAGCATAATACAAGGACAAGTGTCCCGAGAACACAAGCAGGTGGCTGAGGGACATATAGGCACGCCCTAAAGCTAAGAGGGGGATCAGATGAAGGCGGAGATCGTGTCTGACTGCGTGAATCACGACAGAAGAAAACTTGAGTCGTTTCTCTGTTGAATGTTGAGACAACACTTAGATTTTTGTTTGAGGGTTTCTTTTTCATGTCTTTTTTTTTCTTTTTTACATACGGAGCAAGAAGAACTAAGAACAAGTGACACCATCAAGAACGATATACACAAGTATCACGACAATAACAATATTTATTGGACTGTAAGTAGAAAGCACTCCATCTAAAAAGGTACTTCCGAGCTGACTGCCGGTGTGCCTCTACGTGTTGTAGGGTGTGCGTGGGTGGATGTTGCAGGATTAGCAACGCGCCGGCTGAAGTTAGACGGCCCTTACCAGTATTTCTATACGGGGAATACTGGTAAGGTTAAGGACTAAGCCTAAGGGTAAAACCTTGTGACCGAAATCAGTTTACGGGAATCCGTTAACTGATAAGTCCGTTTACTGATAAGTCTGCTTACTGAATACCGATGAATCCGCTTACTGAAGTTAGCTGCTTGCTTTTGCTGCCACGTTTCCGACCACGACCATGGATACTAGTACTGAACTACTACCTACTATCTCCCATATTTTTAATAGTACTACTCCTACTACTACAACCACTGTTGCTACTAGTAATATCATGAAACGAAGTACCAGAACCAGGCTAGATTTACATCAGACCAGCTACGAGGATATCACGACAGAACGAAGTATGGGACATCGATTGTGGATTTTGAATTCGTGTGCAGCAGATGTCACCCTACTTCCTCCATCTTGAACGGCGTATGTCTACCACTGTCTATCTCTTTGATCTGCGGGGAGGTCGGTGCCCTGGGGAGGCAACCTGGTTGATTGACTGATTGACTGACTGGCTTGGTGATCATTTTACTTGGCACCAGGTAAGATGTGATTTATTTCAAGTAAGCACCTTCACCTATAATAGGATCTTGAAGAATTTCCACCTTGCAGCTTACAAATTGATCTAGAAGTTGTAGAAGATGGAAGTACTAGAATAAGGATCTTACTTCAAGTTCAAGATGAGCAGACGGTGGCATTCAACGCACTTCTTGAGTAGTGCAAGAGGCTCCATCAAACTTACATTCCTTGCAAGGAGTCTGTTTTTCTGTGATTCCCGGAACGAATAAGATGAAATTCTATTTCAACAAGCGAGCAAAAAACGCCTTCATTTTTACAAGAACAGAAGATTGAAGATATATTCCCGGTCGGACTTTCATCACAAAATAAAACATGTATTGAGCCCGTTCTGAGTCTGGGCTGGAGTTTTGGTTCGCTGGGAAAGTTAGTCTGGTGGTCATCAAAAGAGAGACGCTATCGGTCGGCCGTTACAAGCAGCATGGTCTGTCGTTGGCTACCGGAAGACCTAAAATCGCTGAGAGACTATAACATTGTATTGTCTTCACAGCTAAAATTTGTGTTTGCTGTACGAGAAAAAAGAGAGAAAAAAAGGAGTAGATGAGGTACTCAAATATGATTGGCCCCTCACCTCCCCTCTTACCTTGACGCTAATTCTCATTGTCTGTCATATCTTAGAAGCAAATACTATTTAGAAGATTTAGTATTGCAGCCCGTGTGAATTGATCATTGGCTCCTCGACCTAATATCGTTGAGAGACTAGCATATCCTTTTCTAGCAACTCGAGTTCAGCCCCTCTTGAGGAAAAGAATCCCAAATACGTACACCGGGAAGTATTACAACTTGTCGTTGTCTACTTAATTCATAACAAGAGCATCAGTCGTTCGAAGGTTCTTTCTTTCCGTTTATCGCTTACTTCAACACAGGCAGTACCACCTCACACTCAGTACTATCACACTACATTGTTATTGCTACTCAACTACTTGCTATTAAGTGCATGCTATTGTGATAGAACATAATTTAGACTCGGATTTGAGACTCTCAGTACAACCAAAGAAGATGGCTGCGGAGGAACCGCCGCCTTCGCGGCGACTGGTATTGCATTTTAACCTACCAAGAACCCTCTTAGTCGGAGATCCGGATGGTAAGGGAAACTCAGAAGAGAAGCCATTGACGACAGAGCTTGCCCTTCGAACGGCACTCGCAGAACAAGCGTGGGGTGTTATTGAAAGTATTGACTTGATACGATTTCACTTGTAGTTACATTTTAGTCCTTGATCTGATGTAATATAATTAGAAGCAGAAGTTCTGAACATTTTCTTCGAAGTCGAGTAGGACATGCACGGATGCGTGATGCAGAAACCACTACACTTACAAGAACAGTCTACTCCCTTCTGAGTATCAAAAAACTTCTGGAACAGCAGTGATGTATCAGCCACGTTCAGAGAACAGACTTCTAGACCCAACATCAACAAACCGAAACTTGTACATCAACAAGAACGTCGTCAACATCAACAAACTACAGATGAAGAATTTGTGTTGTCATTTCCGGATATCCAAAGGGATCGACCGAGCGAGGATGTCACCAGCTATACCGAATTCCTACACATGAAGTATCCGATCGCAGGCCAAAGCAAATTCTCTCAAGATGAGAATAAACAGGTACCATACTAGAAGGCAAGGGTACTAGGTATACTAGAAGGCAAGGAAATGCTTCAACACGTCGTTGATTTGGTTCTCTCTCCTATTTCTCATCGATTTTCCTGTCAACTGTTACTGTACTTTGCTACGAGGTGGACACGACCACATAGTATCAATGAACAGGAGTTCATATTCATCCCGCTGACTTCTCGGACTTCAACTCCCTCCCATTCTTTCCAGACACACGAGCAGATGATAATGCAGTTTGCTGATAAGACAGGCCCGGGTGCGAAGTTGAAGAGCAGCTTCGATCAGATGCTGAAGTGCCTAGCTTTTCCGAAGCCATTGGCGAAGGCGCTGAATATCAACAATCCGATCTTGAACGAGCATGAAAGCGAGGACTTACGGTTATGCCAGATTGTTCTAATGTTAGCTTAGATTGGGCTAGTGTAATTTAGTAATTCTGAGACTGAGACTGCGACCATTATCGATGATCATCAAGCGAAAACTAGAATAGAAACATGTAGCCTACTTACTTCCGTGGTAATGCGAAATCATTCAAAAGTTTAAGTTTTCGCTCTCCGGTTCTCCGACGAACTTCCACCCTAGAAGCCGTTTTCTACCTGCATCTTCTCCTGATTGCGTTCATTCCCTTTCGTCGCACCGGCAGATGAGAACGATAAGGAGGCGATAGCCGCACTTCTAGCACGTTTTGGGCGCTATATTCTCGTCCCTGCTTTCTGGACCTTGATCCAGACGCTGACGAAAGCCAAGAGAGACTTCTTTATGAACTTGTTTTAGAACAAAAAATTTCAGGAATACATGAGACGCATCACCATCATTCGCGAAGTGGGTCTTTTTCTCTACCACGGTGCCCCTCAGCCACAGTGATTCTCGTGGTATCCATAAGTCCATTACCATTTCTATCTTAATGCAAGAATAATTTTGCCTTGATCATGATTATTCATCACATTTGAGGTTGGAAAAACGTCCTACCTCCACCCATCGTCTCCTTTGTTCCCTCCCATGCACCTCTGCAACTTCCTTTCCTCCTTCATATCCCGTGTCGTTTTTCACAGTATGAGCAGTGAAATGCTGGAACAAGCGGTTCTAGAAATGAACGCCTACAGCAACGGAGAGCATCCTTGCTTTAACGGACAAAACAAGACGAAAAAAGTCTACTTCAACGGTGATAAAGTTAAGATGGATTTCGTACTACTAGCTAGTGGACCTACAGTTACAAATACAACTATCATAAAATGGTTAACTTCTACTCGTACGGTGGATCTTCATTTCTTAGTTGCAAAAATTAGAACTTCATGTTCATAATGGTTAGCTTCTACTTGCTGATGTTAGCTTCCATTTCAGAACAGCTTCTCCATTCAACCTATACACTTTTGCATTGACGACCCTCTGTATTTTGAGTCAGTACGCAGCTCTTCAACATCGAGGTAGAAAACCCACAGCCATCTTCTAACAGTCGAACAAAAGACATGCGAGTGCAGAAGATGGATAGGGCCACTATCGCAACCAGAGCCGAAATCATGAAGTTCCAGCATAGGCCATTGGAATTGCCGAAGTACTTGTGATTTATTTTACAAATTGGAAGTAGAATTTCATGAGTTGATCATGTTGAACAGTTAGTATGATCGAGCAAGAATTTGCATCTTAGGGTTCGTGTCCTTGGAGTTTTTCTCCGACCACTGTGATTTTGCTACAGTATACGACCGTTACCTTCCTTATCCATGATCGATATTGCACATTACGAAAACTCAATCAGACCCGGAGAAGAGTTCCCGCTTATGTTTGAGCCGACAGTGTTGAAGCGGTCTGCTGGGATATATTCGGGGCTTGTCCATCGTATCTGCACAGAAAGCGGATGTTGTGCAGTGCTACATGACCATGAATATTATGAACTGGAGCTCGTATGTGGGCCGGGTGCTATCCTATCCTATCCTATGTATCCTATCCTAGCAAGATTCAGCACATAGCTACAACGTGCACCTACCTTCTAGACGTGATAACCATGATCCACAAATCTAAATCTTACCTTGGTCAGTCTAGCAAAAATGACGTAGTACAGCAAGCTTCGCTTCTCTAAATCCCTTGGATGTCGGACAAGAAAAACGGTGGAAAATTGTATTTCCTCGACCCTGGTGACGTAACGGACGTCCAGCAAATCTTCTTCGAAGGATGCTGCAGCGGTGATGACCATTCAGCTTAAGGTGCATAATCACACTCACGCTTTTGTGTTTGGGGAAAAACCTAGTAAGTTAGACTTTGCTATCTTCTACCAAAATAATGCGTAGATCGAATCGAACACCGCGTCCTTCCTCTCCTACCTCCCTATCACATCATTTCCCTCGTCCACCTCTCTAACCTCGCCTGCGGATTGTCGACGTAGTTTCCCAAGAAGTGATCCCGCACCAAGACGTATCAGGGGTTTTTTTGCACAAGGTGGAAGATGTGAGGCAATTGGTGATTAACCCGCTTTACTTCGTGGAGGCAGTAGAGAAATGCGAGACCGCATTCGGAACTTGGCTCGAAAAAGGAAGAAAGAAAAAACCACTTTTCTTTATGAGGGGATGTACTTCCGTATAAATGAAGCTCGCCTACATCGAACTACTTACGTTACAACAAAAGCATCTTACTAAAAAATGCACTTGTTTTTACATCTACATCGCGAGCACACGGAGACTCATGATACAGATACGCTACTACTTTACCTTGTTTGGAGAGTTATACGACTTAATAAAAGTATTTGAGCGTGCTGACTATTGGGTAGGACGACGAAACTCTTCTAGTTGCTGAAATTCTCTATCTTTATTCTCCTTTCATGCTCCCGGAAGCAGACCTATCGGATCCCGATGCGATAGGTGGCAATCTACTACTCGGAGGTCTGCTGAGTGGTACAGGCACAGGCACGCTCTCACCAGAAGACGAGCTGGCACTGCGAGTCTTGCGCGAAAAGGGAGTGAAGTTATGGAGATTCATAGTTTGTGGAGATGAAGATTTGTGGATATGATTCAATAGTTTGTGGAGATGAAGATTCTTGGTTTATTTTTGCAACTACCTCCAGCACGAGCACTGTCTTTGTTGTACTAAAAAGTGAGCACCTGGTGCAACTTCTTCATTCCACGACTAACTACAAAGTTCCGTCTTCAAAGATGAATAATATTTATCCATGTAGTTGTTGTAGTTGTTCTAAGTCAACACAGCAATGAAGATAACACTCTCTCACCCGTCACAATCACTCAAGCGTCGACGTCCTCTAACAACCGACTACCTGTACTGTACCGTCATTCCAGTGCTCTTTGGGGGCTTAGAGGAGGTCGTGAAGCTGAGGCCAGAAGACCCTATGGAATTTCTGGCTTTTTACCTCATGCGCCACGCGAATGGGTACAATCGAACCTTGAGGTTGGAGGAGAAGTGAGTGTCGTGGCACATTTCAAGCGTCCGAGATGAGAGAAGGACTCCTGTCTGCCAAAACCAAAGCAAATGTTACCCTTTTTTGCTAATGCTAAAAACGATGAAAACGAGTAGTTCTTTTTGTTACAAGACCACGAAGATGACCATCATGAGAAAAACCTATGAAGACCATCTAGTATTGGTAATTTCACCTACGTGCAATGTCGAAACTCTAGGAATCCAATTCATGTCCAAACTCTAGGAGCTTAACAATTACAACAACACTGAGACACTAACAAGTAACGGAGGACTGCGCATGTGCTCGTAGCAGTGTCGAGCTGCATGTCGCTTAAAGATGAGGCGATTACTAAATCTTCACCTGTACTACTGCGTCTGGCCAGCACGAAGACAGGCCGCGCAAGCGCTTTTTCACTGTAAGGATGTCCTCAACAAGCAAGATGGCGAAGTCCTAGACAAGAATATTTATATCTCGCATTCTAAATCGGTCTATTTATCATTCTGGTGAGAGTGCTGCCGTCTTGTCAAATGGTACTTGCAGATTTCGGTCTTCACAGACATCCAAAATCGGATGCAAAAAATAGTAGTGACCTCTGTAATATCTCCTGTTGCGTCGTCCACTGCTACATCTTGAGCACTACTGCACGAAATAGTACGAGACTCAGTCTCAGATCAGCATCAGTTGTACTCTTTATGAGATCCTCGGTTGCCATCTGCTTCGGTGTCTCATCTGTGTTTCTTCTTGAGAACAACTACAGCCTGCATCAGGCGTCTGATGACCGCTATCTGTGCAACACGAGAGAGAGAGATCATTGAGGCTCATTTTTATCATGAGCTTTTTTGTTTTTCCCTGTATGCTGCTGTTATTTCGCTATTGTCTTCTGTGCATTTTGGTCTTGTTACAACATGTTTCCCTTTCCTTACTGCAAAGTCCCTCATCATTATGAAGACGATGATGGCAGTTAGTAGCTACGAAGATGTACTTGTAGCTTAACCTGGGTGTGGTCGTCGTCTTCCTCCATCCAAAAGACCATGTTGTCTGAGGAAGGAAGTTTGCTCACGCTGCAGTCGGCGAGTACGTTTCGTCGAGTCCAGTTGTCGCAGCCGCGCTTGGCTGGGTACTTGATGTACATTTTGCAATGCCGCTACGTTTTTTTTCTATTTTCATTTCAGCTGAAGAGCTACAAATTGAGGTGTTGACACACATTGAGGTGTTGACACACTACAGCAAATTTGACAGCACATCATCTTGAAGACAGTACTACACTATATTTATAAGTAGACGAATGATCTACTCGAAGTCGATGTTTCTCACGATAGTACAACAATCACCTCTTCGCGACTCAGGTCGTCCTCCTCATCGGCTCTTTCTGCACCTCCAGCAGTACTAGGTAGCCTCCATGGCACGCCTATGCCTGCTGGCATGCTGGTATTGGACACAGGAGGTCGGAGTGATCTTAAGGCGGAAACTGTCGGGCCCCTTTAGCAGAATAATGTCAATATTTCTACTTTCAGTCAAAGACACTAAAATATCCTGAAGATTCCAGAAAATAGGATGAAGTGTGCTGAACGAACTTCAAAGGGCAAGAATCGTTGAAGAATCTGGACCGAACTCAACCTCAACATCATCAAAGAACACAGTAGATGTTGAGGTTGAGTTCGGTGCAAGCAACAGCAGTAGTCTCCTCTAACCTTCCTTTCAGTGAACGATGCGAAGGCTTTCGTCGAAGCCCAAAAGGAGCCTCGAAGCTAGAGCCGCTGGATGGACTAGAAGTAACAACTGCAGACGTGACAGATGATAATGACTATTCCCCGACTCTGCAAAATCAACAAGCCTCGTCAAGTAGTCCGAAAGGAAATCCAGTTTCTATACCGCGAAACGCCGCGGTCGCGGGGAAGAGCGCTGGAGAGAAGAAAGTTACTGGTCAGGAGGAGAGTCCCTGTAGTTCTTCACGTGCTTGAACAACATCCTGCTCATTGTTCACAAAATGTTACTGATATTGATAACAATAGACCACTGACTGACTGCTAACTTAAGTACTTTTTTGTTTCTAATCTCTGAGGAGCAACATCATCTGCGCCAACTAGTAGCAGTCCTGCAACGAAGCAAAAAGGGACAGGTGCAAAAGCAGGTGCCAATGCAACTTAAGACGAGAGCTTCAAGAGGTTAAGATAACCCCAGAGGACATTGTCGTTGACTTTTCCACGAGCAGTACATAATGAATCTTACCATTTATCCTACGTCATTGAGTCAAACGAGCCAAAAAAAAAAGCTCACCTCCTCAGAGATAATCAGCTATAATCTGCTTACACTTATAGCAGAGTAGTTTATAGCACGCATGGTGCATGGAGTAGCATGGAGTGCATGGAGCGCAGAGCTTTAAGGGGCGCAAGAAGCTCCCCCTTTAGCTCCATGCTACTCCATGTGATCCATGCACTCCATGCCATGCGAGCTGTGAAACCTTATAAATTGCTCTGTTATGGAAGTAATCAGGTTTCTTGCTTATCGGAGTTCACCCAGGTTCACCCAGCACTAACCCTCGCCTGCCATCAAGTCTCCGCGATCGCCCTACCTTTCGCATGTGCCGTCGAAGAAGCTCTACATGAAAAGGAAGGATTCGCCTTTGATCCGGTTGAAAAAAGTCTCCAGCAGTTGGAGTAATACACTCTTACAAGTTTTGGAGTTACGGCAATTTTTGAAGTGACAAGAAGTAGTGCTGACATGGAAACTCAGACTGATGGAAGTAGTGCTGACATGGAAACTCAGACTGATGGACGTAGTGACATGGAAACTCAGACTGATGGAAGTAGTGACATGGAAACTCAGAGTGATTTGAGTCGCGGCCTCTCCTTCTGAAAATCGATTATTGGATTGATGATGTGCAGACGATCACTCATCTCTTCTCTTCAAAAGGAGAGAAAGGAATCTCTCAGTTCTTGCACTTTATTCACATTTCTCTGCTGAATACTGCTACACTGTAGTAGTTGTTCTAACTCGGGATGAAGACAAAGAAAAGCGGCACGGTCCAGATCCGCATGCGAAGCGTGTGCATGTGAAAGACATGGAAAACTTTCGGACCTTGAAAGAAAACTACAAGACACCAAGGATTACAACGAGAGTTGGACTTATGGCCTGGAAAAGAGAGACAGAAAGATGATGAAGATCATTGAGGCTAAGCGACAGCTGCATTCATCAGACTGAGGCTTCAGAAGCGTACTTTCTTAAGTCTCAGTCAGGCATTCATCAGACTAGCGTACTTTCTTAAGTCTCAGTCAGGCATTCATCTTCTCCTTTTGCAAATAGGACACGAAGACTGTGCAAATGCCACCATCCCCACCTCCAACATGACTCCCACCAACAAGAGCAAATCCACAGTACACCAAATGCTGTTTCCGCCTGCAGCCGTGCGACTCCAGCAAATTTACGAGGTAGAGGGAGGCGCGACAGTGTCCGCAGATATCAAGAAGACGAAGAAATACCTAACAGGTGCAGCAGACCAGGAAGGTGTACACGGGAATAGTGGTGCGGTAACGGGACATGGTTTAAGGCTTTTTGATGTGCTTTTTTGATGTCCTGTACTTGGAAGACGTACAACAGTCTCAGGCGCACATGGATAAGATTTTTAGACAAGAAATAAGTACAAATATCAGGGACTTCTACGGACAACTTTCTAAACACATACAAATAAGTAGTCGATCCTTCTGGAGAGCTCCTCAGAGAGAAAGCAAACCGCCAATGGAATGTACAAGCAGAAGGATCTAAATCATCCAAAGAACAACGCTGTTGAGAACGCAAAAGCAGCAATAAGGCGTGGACGAAGTTCTTCAGGTCAAGAAGATGTTGGAACAAGCAGCAAAGTAGAGCCAAAACGCGGCACCTCGGATCAAGGATCGAATAGGGTCTTCAAATTTGTTAAGACGAGTAACAAGACTTGCTCCTCGGGTCATACAAAAAATCCAAGTACCTCTCAAGATGCGGCACGAACACGTTCGCCTCCTTCGTCGGCTTCGCCTAAGTCGCCTGATGGTTAAGGGCTTGTGTCTAAATATACTTACACTTTCAGTCACAGTTACAGTTGCATCACAGATGATGACACAGCTTTAACTTATCGCATTTCTCTGACCAAGACTGAGAATATCACATCATCCACAACATTGACATGGTCATACACTTCCTTTCCTCTTCCTCTCCTTCTTGATGGTTTTCTAATCATTTTCGCGCAACAAGAAGCAGAGCGGGCCACAGTGTCACCTGGACACGTTTGGATATGGCAGCAAGGCAAACAAACACCCAAAGGAACGCGGTGGTGCTGCTAAGCAGGGAAGTATTATGAGATCGGAGTACTTAGTTCGTTCGGATTATAATAGTAAACATTCGTCATGATCAAAGGATACTCCAATACTTTGCCATCGTGATCGTGCAGGAATCAACTGTTGTAGCGTAGACCAAAGTCGGGCTAAAAGGGGCTTATCCTAATAAAGTGTGACTAGAAGATGGGCTTTATCCGTCTTTTCCAGTTGAGATTTTTCCTGGTCCTGTAAGGCAGTTTATCACTGTGCACCTTACCTCTCTTCACAACATCCTCTCTGCCCCCGTCCGACGGACAACATCTTCCAGACGACATGGCTGTTGCTACGTTTTTGGTGGAGCCGCAAGAATTGGATACGATTTCCGAAGGCGTCACGATAAGCAAAGACGAAGTGCACCTCGCCGACGTGGACATTCTATCGCAGTCGCATCAACTTCCCTCAGTTTCGGAAGGAGCAGTGGCAGAGGAGGTGAATATGTTATGAAGAACGACAAAATGGAAATTGTAATTGGGTGGTCATGGTGAAAGTCGTTCAGAAGCCGCGGCAGTACTTACCTGATTATCGTGCATTCTAGTAGAAGTAGATTGTACAAAGCAGAACAAAGGCCAAAGAAGTGCTTGGTTTGGCGCGAACTCGCTTCCCATCTACTTATCTTTTTCTAAGACATAACATCACCCTTGCTCCAGAGACAGCTTACGAAGCGGATATCAGTTGCAGTGTTGCTGAAACAGTTGTCTTCAAAAGCGCGGACTGTGAAGACTTCGCAGACCAGTACAACAGACGTTTGGCAGAATCCGTAGTCGCCAGTGTGGTACAGCATGTGAGCGAAAAATACTACCAGTTCGATGAATCTGATGCTCTTTTACCCGGAGGCGACAAGGACAAAGGTCGAGAGGAGGAGGATTTTTCAGCGCAAGCAGCTCTCAGTGGTACTAAAACTGGGACGAGGTTGGGTGATGCTGATTCAGTGGGTGGAAGCAAACGATCTTGCAACAGCAACACGTTAACGAATCCAACGAAAACAGATATTCAGCAAGAGGACGATTTGAACGAAGCAGAGCTAGAAGAGTGTGCCAACGCCATAACAAAGAATCTGCTGGCTGGCGATGAGCGGATAAACAGGGAGCAGAAGGATGATTATGGTAGCGGTCTACTATCACTAGTTGGACTTGCACAATTCCGTCTGCATAGTCTCTCTCTCTCCTAGCTGGTGTACACCTTGCTGCAATTATATCAGGGACAACGACGGACATCTAATCTACCCTTCATTTCATGAGAGAAAATGAGAGAAAAGTCATAGATGAACGAAGGAGCAAGGATGGAATTGGCGCAAGCTTCATGATCATTGTCGGCACGATGGCGAAGAAGGACATTTCGCAGAAGCAAACAATGAAGATGAGGAGGGGATAGACGTCTTAGTGGGAAGTCCAGGCGTCAATGTTATCTTCGCAAACCAGGATGCGAAAGGAAGCGAACCACCAGAAGAACTTGTTTAAGGCTCGTCTTGCGTTTGATAGTTTATTAGAGCGTATCACAGAAATACTGTCAGACTCAGACCACGTCTCTACGGTCACCATGAACGGCGATAACAGGGACAATAGCATGCATACTACTACGCTTTTCGAGAAGATGAGGAAAACACATACTCGCTCCTAGTTGAGGAAGTCGTTTGAGTAACATTTAACTGATACGACCCTACGGTCGTCACGAAAGGCGATATCAGGGCAACAAACATGACATGACTTCTACTTCTAACTTCCCACAAGTCAGCACGTCGTAGAACAAGCCTTGGGGATCTTGGCTACAGTCGAAGCTCACCTTTTCGCGTCCGACCCTTGGACCGCACGTCAGCTGTCGTCCACTGCCAGCTCCAAAGAGAAAAAAAGCAAAGAGTCCAAAACTCCTTCTTCTACGAAGAAATCAAGAAACTCTTCATGTGGGAAAAGCACCACAGGTTCCTCGCACCATACCGACACGACCAACAATGACGCAACTACAAAAATTGCAACTCCTGATGTTGTTGTTTCTTCGAAAGACACGACTTCCAACAAGGATAATAGAGACATCGTAGTACCACAGGACCAACAAGATCAAGAAGGGCCTAGTTCTAAGAGTGTGAGCAATATTAAAGGACAAGAACTGAGTACACGACCTCGTCGCGTATGGTCTGCTAAGACGAATACTGGAGTCGTACGTTCCTCAAAGCCCAACCGGTCTCCGCAAAATGGCGGCAGCAAGAAAGTCGTTATCGTAGAGAGCCAAGAACATGTGGACAAGAAAGTAGTAGAGCAGACAGATCCAGTTGAAGACGTACCAGCTGAAGCACAAGCGCCGACAGTTGGAGATGTAGTTGACTCTCCTAGAGTTCTTGTACCTGACTTGCAGCCTCTGGTACTGCGAAAGCATAGTGAAGACGCGGGATATCAAGGTGATTGCGAAGACACGCGAAATCCAAGTATCAGGATTGTTCGTCCGGAAGATCATGGATTTGGTGCTTCTGCAACAACAACTTCTGAGACCTACTCCTGCAAAGACAAAGAGAAGCAAACTCCGAATACAACTCGTGATGGCACCTACAAAGACAAACAAACGAATTTGATGTCTGTTCTCACCTTCGAGGACCGGACGAGACGTCTCAAACTCATCGGGTCCCATGAGACGCCAGGTTCCACAAGCAAAAACAATGCGAATCTAGTGAGTTCGCCGTCGCAACAAGCTGCGACGCCAAAGAGCAAGCAACCAACTGGAGCAGCTCCTGTTGGGAATGTTAAGGAACATGAGAGGACTCGCAACCTCTACTTCACTTAAGTAGGGTTGAGACATTTCATATTTGTACGCATGATTTGGCACATTTCAAGAAGAAATGCGTCAAATATGTAGGGCAAATGCGAATTGTCTCAGCCTCTACTTCGCCTCTATGTTCACTGAGCGTAGCAGGGCACATGTACATGATCGCTTTCCTTGTCTCTAATCGTTTTCGTTCCAGAGGACTGATTGCAGGTCTCATGAGCACAGTCGCGGCAGGGCCGGGAGGCGTGGGAAGCAAACAAGCCAGTTCGCCTCTGAGCAACACGAGGCAAAACGCGAATGCCATTTACGCACAAGCGAATGCAGGAGGCCCACATCTTGCATCTCCGGAGACGTACGCTCATAAGAACTGTAACAGTCGTGTTGAGATGAACATCAATAACAAGTACAAGCCCAAGAAGGACCACAAGCACAAGCACATTCGAGATCATGAGAACAAAAATGCTAGTACCGCTGTTCTTGTTGAGCCACCTCCAGCACTACCACAGCGTGGTGAGCCATTGAATAACGACATAGGAGCGCCGTTGCAGAGATATCTCGCGTCATGGGACACCCAATTTTTGGAGGAAAGGAAACATGACGTGCCGCCACAAGTCTTAGCCTTATTTGAGCGATTGCTCACAGATCAAACTTATGGTCATGGCTACTAGTAGGTAGTTGGTCCTTTAGTTTTCGTTTTAGTAGTTCCACTCTTTTCTTTTGACTACAGCCAATCATGAATACCCACAAAACATCGACCTCTAAAAGACGCATAAGCGGAAACCTTCGAAACGCCTCAGCAAATCCTTGGAGCGTACAAGTGTTTTTGTCTAGTTTGTGTCTATTAGCTTTTTATGTTGTAGTTGGATTGCTGCTCTTTCGAATTAAGTTTGACACAACACAAGGCAACAGAAGTACGATGACCTGCATCCATCACAAAAGCCACATTATCAATCTTCAACTCAGCCGGCGGCTCTAGTTTGCCTGTTCCGCGAGGGTCGAAGGAGGGTCTGACAAGACACCATTCCATCGACACGGGTGATTCTCGCAGTAAGTCCACGGGCTCACGCAGCAAACGACGTAGCAGTGCGAACGGCGCTTTTACACCTTCACCGTCAAAAGCAATGTCGTTGGCTTCCACATCAGCAGCTGGGAATAATTCGTCACCTTCGAAAACCGTTTCTGGATCTGGACTACCTGCAGTGTCATCCTCGAGAGATCATCACCCATCCTCGAATAGTATGCACACTGATGGTATGTTGTCAGTGTCAAGCATGCACCAACAGGATCATGGTGTGTCGACTGTGGACACGACGACTACATGTAGTACGGTAGCAAGTTTGGGTGGACTTCTGCCTGTACCGACACACAGCACGTCATCCAACTCCCCATCGCGGAATAGCAGTAAGCGTCGTAACTCTATCGATAGTGTCGTTAAGGGTAGGTTAAGCGTGCTTTTGTTACTGTTTGTTATGGCTCTCCTAAGGGGGACAGCCTGCCATAACAAGCGGGAGAACCCACGAACACCAAAATAGACCTACCTCTAATGTTGCTTCAAGTAACTCTGGCGCGAATGGTAGTGGGGCACCAGCAAACTCGACGTCTGGCATCGGCGGCAGTCATTCCCGCGTCGGTCGTCGTCGTGCTAGCATCGAGCGTGCATTGTCAGCACAAGTATCCCAGTCCTTCGTCGATCGTGGTGTTCGCTTGTTGAAGAATTACGCTGACGTCTGCTTTCAACGCTTTTTGCCTGCCTCGCGCATCCCCTACTTCCAGCAAGACCAGTTAGATTTCCTTGCGGAAAAAGTGAAGAAAATCCAGGACAATTTCAGTGATGTGGAACATCAAAATGGAGCTTCTTCACCAACACGGAGTAGCAAAACTACAACGGCACAAGTACCTCAAGACAACAACAATAATAATAGTACGACCGCATCGGCGACAGCAGCAGCGCTTCCGCAGATACCGAAAAGCTCTTTCCGTGTTGAAGTTCTGCACAGGTTGATTCTAGGTTTTTGTGCGACGAGTGAGGTCTCCTTGCCGCACCTAGTTTTGCTGACACCAAGGGACTTGATAGAGCTTGCGGTCTTTCTGAGTTCGGCGTTGAATCGACGTCACGCAGCGAGTAAAACTAGCGGAGGAGGTGGGGGTCATGTGAGTGATTATGTTGAGTTGACTTTGTTCTCTGGATCGTACTAGCATGTAAACTCCTAGGATGGGTAGAAGTACTCACAAGTAAATATTTATTACTCACCTCCTCCGAAATACTGATCTTAGAAAGTCCTAGGTTCATCTTATTGCTCACCTTTACTCTAACATTCCCACGATGACCCCCTGGCTAATCCGAGTGCAGGTCGTGAGCATCAATCGTCGAACAATGGGACCAAAACAGCAAGGGCCGTGTCTGCATCCAGTAAGCGGAATCCTCAACGGGACTTGCTCTCCCCAGGTAGCAAAGGCGAACCAAAAAGCAGATCTTTACCCAGTTCGCCGACGACGGAAGATTCAACTTTAAGGGCATTTTTATTTGGTCGACGTGTTACTGTTATCAACAAAGAAAAAGAGACTATGTCGCAGTGCTTTTATCTTAAATGGGCATGGGGAGCTAAGTAACCAATTCGTCTGAAAGAGTGCGTCCAGGCTCTATTGAAATCAGAGATAACAGTGAGCACAAGCACTACAATCTCCTCTCCACCCGCGCCCTCCCCCTCTAATCCCAAGAGCTACCTCATCCGTCCTCGTTCCCATCGGCGCTGCATCAAACCAGAAATCCAAAATGTTTCTGCGTGATTTCGAGACGGTTCTCCGAGACCTGCCTATGCGATGGCAGGATCTGACCAGTGGCTTGGAAACCGTGCAAGACGTCTACCATATCTGCCAGCCTCAAGATGGCGTGTTATTGGAAGCGAATTTGTTCGGGGATTGGGCTAACTACTGTGAACAGTTCCGATACCACATTCTGATGGACACGTTGGAGAGGTGGGAGGATTACCAGATCGCGGCAGCTGTGTCACTGGCGAAAAGTTTCAGTTCTGGCCTCCTTTCCCCTGATTCGCCGTCATCGGCAGTCAGTCGACCAGCATGGCAGAAGAAGCAGTATAGAGCAGTCTCGCGGGCACGCGCGATGAAGATCAACGCATTTCAAAAGGCGAAGATAAAGCGACTCGTTTCGTGTGCCAGAGCGCGAAAACAAGGACGGAAACTAGAGGCGTCTAGTGGGAAGAGCGCAGATATTCAGGAACAATTTTATGTTTCCTCGTGTTTATTTACCAAAGGGAATTATACCTAGTTTTCTGAGTTGTTTCCGCCCTGTTGAGATTGACAATAGAATCAAATACGCTCGTCCTGAAGCGATCTTCTTCCTGCTACTAGATTATGAAACTCACCATAGTAGAATAAACCTCTTTCCAAAAGAACCTCATTCATATCTGAGACAAGTATCAGATTAAGGAGCTGACGCGCATGGGCGTGCAAGTCAGGGACCTCAGGGAAGTTGTCAAGTCTCTACGCCAGCACAGATCCGACGTTCAGGAGCTATGTCTACAGATGCTACAGCTACCTTTCTTGGACACAACGGTGGCGGCAGCGGGGAGCAGTACTATTCCCATTGTTGTACTAAAGTACTTAAAACTAGGACGAGGTGCTCACTGTTACAGCAAGGAAGTACAGTGTACTGATGCTTCACTCGAACCACAAGTGACCAAAATGATTCATCTCCACTCCACCTAGCTAAATACAGGTGTAAATGGCCAGTCGGAATCTTCCAGCAAGCCTAACATGACCAAAGCCGAGGCAGCCCTGGATAAGAAAACACAGCGTAAAAAGTATTACACGAACGTTTTCGGACCACAGGAGGGAGGACTCAGCGATAACAGTTCGTCCGAGGATATGGAATTTGTGTCGAATACGACTCACAATATTAAGGCTTCCTCTAGTCCATCTCGTCTATAGAGATGACCCCTCAGGAATCGTATGCCGTAGTTTTAGCAGTTAGCAGGATACTTTAGGATACTTACCCTTTTCTCTTTTATAAATATCTTCCTCTGGTCTGTCTTTTTTCTAGTTAGGTCGGCTCCACCACAAATATAAGGGAAATATTGGCGCATACTCTTGTGAGGGATGTGGATGTTGGGGATGAACTGGGGATGAATTGTCTAACAATATCCGAACGCGCGTACGAAATAGTATTCAGAATGGACGCCTTGCAGAGGAACGGAAAGGAAATTTATGGTATTGGCAGACGACTTTTGCTTCGATAATTTTTTAGGTTAATATCAATCTTCTATGAAATAAAGGGATCCCCAGCACAATATGCTTACCCGTACGTTTACATACGTGACGATACCCTATCAAATACTGAATCATCCTCCTACCTTGTTCCTTCTCTAACCACTGCTCAAAACAACAACCTGCTGCGCGCGGTCCAGAAACTCAAGGCTACGAAAGGGATCGGCCGCGCAACGGCCCTACTGAAGCTGGCACACGAGGAGATAGTCGCAGAGCATAGTGGAAAAGAGTCGCAGTGAAGCAAGTAGTTGGAGCGGCAACCTTAGAAGATTGCGATTTAGTTTTAGAGACAATTGACGATCAAAATGTAGATTTGAAGGTTTTGAATCCAAATCATGCTCCGGTACTGAACGGCCGATCACTGTGAACCGTTTTGAGTTTGATACTTCGATAAGATAATGATAATGATAACATTGAACAAAAAGTCATACTTATATGAATCCGTTGCACCCTCAATATTGCTATATGAATGAATCCAGATGTACATCACGACGACATGATCATAACCATAGCATAATATTCTCATCCAGTACACTAGACTGACTGTAATCATTTTTCGTGCATGATCAAGATCAAACAAGTTATTGTTAGGTTTTAGTAGAGATTAGTAAGTAACAAGTCTTTTTGGTGTTTTGTTGATAAACTAGCATAAAGCTGCGTGCATGGGCAGAATCAATCATGAAGATAGAACAGTATATTATAGTCATTTTTCTGAAAGTATGCGATAGCTATGCTGTACGATAATGAACACGAACTTGTCGTCCACAAAAGCATGTACAAAAAGTATGCACCTCTGTAGTTTCAATGAATTATGGAAATCTAGATGTAGTAGTATACTTCTATACTACCATCAACAAACATGGGAAGTTCTCGCTAGAGTTTTACCAAATCAGCTGATAGGTGTCATTTCTGTACAGTAAGTATGCATAGACCATTCAATTCGGAAACATTGATTTTGATGTATCTACCGCAACAAGTCAGCGGAGTCTTGCGCCTAATCTAATACCACGAGATCTTGAACACCTCGTATCGTTTTCGATTTCTGTACTTGCATGTGTAACAAAATATTATGAGCACCAGGATCCACCGAAGACGAATCTTCGTTGTGGTGACTAGATAGCCTCGGTTACACTCAGGAGGCTGAGCTGCCAGTGAGATACCTCTAACATCGGTCTCAAGAAAGTACAATGGTTCCATGTCGGTCCACCGGGTAGCATCACAAACTGGCAGACTTTGCCGGTGCTAAAAATCGGTGAACTACAGTCAATAATCTGTGGCATGATTTTCTGTTATCGACTTCTATGTTCTAGCACTATGAGCTCCTCACAACGAAGTTGGATGGATCCCCGCCCAAGCACAGCATTGTTGACTTTTTTACATGGACAAGATTAGATTAAGACTGCTTGTGGATCATCTACGTTGCTGGTCTCCCCACTAACAGATTGATAGCTCATGCTTCTACTACCTGTCCACAACATTTATAGGTTTGTCCACAACAGTTCTCAAGCACCACTACACATGCTCACCACCAAAAAGCGTCCATTTTCTTATGGGACGAAGTTCTTAAACTTCAACTTAATATTAGTACTGGTGTAGAGACACATCACCTTCAACCACAAGAGACGAAACTTAATCTTAGTTCTGGTGTGAAGACCTTAGTACTGTTGTGAAGACCTTAGTATTGGTGTAAAGACACATCAACGCACATCAACTTCAACCACAAGAGACGATGAAGGTTTACCTTGCGTGTCCGGAGGCTCGGCCTCTGTGGAGTTACATCGTGCAGGAGTTTGGGTATGAGTTTTCTGACAAGGTTCAGGATTGCGACATTCTAGTCTGTCCCGATCAGGGCCGATCACGAGAGGAAGGCGTTGCTTTGGACCAGTTGTTGCGGTCACTGCATTGGCGAAGTAGTAAGGCTAAACAACTGCTGTGGAAGAAATTTATGACTTCAGATTGATGAAGTGCATCCACATCTATGCATAGCGAAATTTGTCGTGCCACGACATAAAACACAACTTGCACCGCCTCGCGTTAGGCACGTTCATTCATTCACTCATGGACGAGGTTACAGATTTTTTTTTGTTATCTGAGTCTACTACTCTCGCAATTGTCTAGAGATGAAGATTGTCTTCGTTACTCACTGCGAAGCAGCGGTATCAAATAACAGCCACTAACAACTGTCGTGCTAGCTACCTCCCATATTGAATGTAACCGCGTCTTCTAGGCCGACCACAATCACGACCCATGATGATAATATCCCACGACCATCGCGGCCCTCTCTTTCATAACCGCCTCCGGCGCGCCGCCTCCTCCGCAACCGAACACTCCCTTTGTCAAATTGACAAAGCTTCCTGGTATGAGTGACATTTGCGAAAAAGTACGGTTTCACAGACTACTGCAAGTGGTCAAAGTCTTCTTCGATAAGGAGAAGCTCGATTTGTGCGTCCCCGATACCTACATTCTCCCGGAACAAGCGCCCGCTCTGCGCCGCGACTGCAGAAGCGCAGGCTCAAACGGAGGACTTCGACAGACGTTGATTGTACTTTTCTTGGCTTTTGTCTTGTTCCTCTTCAGGTTTATTTTATTTCACCAATTTAGATGTAGACTAGAAGAAGTGGATCATGATGCTGAAGATCCACGATTAATTTCTTTGATTTATAAGATTTTATTTTTTATACAAGTAACTACAGTGATGATCTTCAGTTGAGTAATTCATCTTGTTTTCACGGACAGAACATATTGATCCTGCTACCCTCAACATCCAACTACTCGTCCAGATCAAACCCGAGTATGGTACCCAGGGTGCTGGTATTTTCCTGTGCCGCACAGCGCAAGATTTGAACCAACACCTGGAGAAATTTCGAGTGGGGAGTTCCAACATGCGCAAGAGTGTAGCACAGGTGTATGTGGAGAATCCTCTACTGCTTGACGGCTACAAATTCGATTTTCGCCTCTACGTGGTCATAACCGAAATTGTGCCGCACATGAAGGCGTTGCTGTACAATTATGGGTTGAAGATGATATAATTCATCGGCTTTGGATTGATTTAGTAGCCTAGAGGGGTGGAGGACATGGGGACCACGTAAACGTAAAAATGGAAACACCCTCCGCGGCATCGCTACGTGGTCGTCTTTCAGTATCTAGCGGAAAACTTCTTCTACTTATCAATCTAGAGAAATAAACAAGTTACAAGCTCTTCTCTAATCCAAAGAAGGCCTAGCACGTTTTTGCACTACGCGATACAAAGGTGCTGGGCACATGGACGACCGGACGAAGAGCGAATCCTCGCATCTGACCAACTACTCGATTGCGAGAAAAAGTTCCTTGTTCAAGGAAGGCAGAACCAAGCGTCTCCTGTCTTTGACACTACAGCAGATGGCGAAGAAGTATCCGGAACGATTTTCAGTAGAAAAATTCTGGAAGGACATGGAACTGCTGACCAAGAAGATGATGTTGGCGATGTCGCCAACGCTGTTGGCGGAACTGATCTTATGGAGGACTGGGTGATGGTGTTTACTTGAACTTCTCAGTAAGTACTTGTTGGTTAGAACTAATATCTTAGCACTCGTAGTGGTCGAACTGGTACGATTTAGCCTGCTTGTCGCAGTCGCTGCAGAACCTTCTTCATCATGTCCCCTCTTCTAATTCTCCGTGTTAAGAAGTTATCGAACCCAGATGTGCTGAATTTTTCGCAGGACGTAACTTTTAACCATGTTTTGGGTGTCGACGTGATCTTAGATGACAACATGAAGCCCTGGCTACTAGAAGTGAACGCCACACCGAGTTTGAGCATTGAGAAAGTGGTCGCCTCCGAACTTCGTGACCAGGTGGCGCGTGGAGCTGGGCCCCCGCCTGCAGTTCCTAGACCTTTTTTGTGTGAATCAGTGGAGGCAACTCTGGACAGTAGAGACCCCGAGGAACCTAAAGGACAAGAGGAAGAACAAGAGACCTATGGGGATATGCTGGGACAGCTGGACCAACATGTTCTGGATCAACACAAAAGAAGTAGTGACCGCAAAGACTTTGTGCAGACACCTGCACCTCATTCCCGTACTTCTACTGCAAATCGAACCAGGACAGTAGGCGGACCTAGTCTTGTATCAAGAACGACAAGTAGTAGCACAACTAGTGATACAAGTGCGACCAAAAATAACTCATGTTGTCCCTCAACGACCTGTGCCACATCTTCTGCCTCGAGAAGGCTGTCAGAGTCGCCAACCAAAAACAGGACGAGTCCTAGTCCAGGCAAGGCGATGCGCATAGTGAATATGAAAAATCCTTCGACCCCATTGAGCCGACCAGGTCGCAATTCGTCGCTATCGCTTGCGGCACGTAATTACATCTCATCTGGATCTAGCGGTAGTGGTAGTAGTGCAACATCTAGTACCGCAGCTGCTCCAGAAGATTCAGCGGAGCAAGTCCATAGCCAGCGAAAAAGCACTGTACTAGCCCAACAAGTAGCCGAGCAAAAGCAATCAGCAGAGAAGCAAGTAGCCGAAAAGAAGAATACAATCTTGAGATCTCCGACTAGCCCAACCTCCTTGCCTAGAACAGCTGTTTTTGCTAATCCGAACACACCACCAAGAAGCCCTACAGGAGCCACTCTAGAGCCTCGAAATGATGCTAGCCCTATGCTTTTTTACAATGATGCATCTCCCTCCAGAGTTAGCACACCGTCACCGAACAAGGAGCTTTTGTTTTCGATGGGTGGCGGGGTATCCCCGACGCCAAGTAACAATGCTGAACCCGCGAACAATTATACAGGTGATGCATCTGCTGGTACGACCGCTGCAGCTTCCGGCACAGGCGCCGGCTCGAGCAGTTTCAGCACACCGACTAGCAGTTAAGCCGGGGACCGATAAGGGACTCACACTCCTTTTCCTTTTTTCCTCTCCTCCTTGGTGAAGCTATTAGAATTGTCTCAAACGAATTCGCGAAAGCAACAAAACCAATTATCTCCTTCTAATCTCCAACCACCGCTTCCTCGATGGCACTGACCGACTACGAGAAGTCTCAGTCACGCAGTTACATCTCTGATATCTTCCGCAACAGAACGACCAATCCGAAACGTCGGCGCATTTTTGGGGGTGCTGTGTGTACCTGTGACGATTTCAACTCCAGACCTCACCACCACATCGAATCCGAGGTGGATATTAGAGCCAAATACGGACCGGTACTTCTGATACCTTCTGCAGGAGCAGGACCCGAATTTTTTTCTCCAAATGATTCTAGGACGCACACGCAAGAGACTATAATATAATTTCTACTTCTGTAGTACTAACTCGCACACGCAAAAGACTATAATAATTTCTACTTCATCTCTACTTCTACTAACTCCGATAAATCTTCTACTAACTCCACCGACAAATGACCTTTGCGAAATGAAACCCTCACACGGACAGATCAAAACCCTTTTGACCGATTTTTCGAAGACGATACATGATCCATCGTCGTGCTTTTTCATGCCCAATTCTGCTGTCTTGGCGAACAGTGTGGTGCAGTCTTTGTGTCTTGGTGTGCGGAAGGATGTTATGCCTCCGATGGAGAACAATGTTAAGGTCAACATTTAGTGTCCATCTGTCTCGGCATCTTGGTACCCTTTTCCCTTGTAATTTATTTCTCATGAATATAATTACAAGGTACAACAAGGGACCCCAAGAAAAGGGGGGCTGAGATGCAATCTAGCAGACTCTAACATCAATGGGGGTGGATCGTCGCATCCAAATGCCAGTAATGGTGTTTCGTCACCTTCTTCGTCTCCTCGGACCGCCGGTAAGAACTCTCCTCGACGTTCCTCGCTAGGCCATGGAACGCAACACTCACCGATTATTAGAGTGAATCGAAGAGGCGAAGTAATGCTGGAATCTACGGATGGAGGCACGACTTCGCCGTTAACTGCGAAGAAGAACGGAGACAACGTGCAACAACAACAACAGACTGGAGGAAGTGCCACAGCGAAAGGTAGCACTAGTACTAATTCATCAACAGGAGGAGCAGCAGATCGTAACAAAAAGACCACATCATCACAGAAGGGAAGTGCTACTTCATCTGGTACTTCCTCAGACGCTGGATCCACAGCAATGCCTCACATTAATTTGAAGGGGGTGTGCTTGCGTCTGAACGCTTTCCCGAACTTCAACGAACGACATTTGCAAGAACTACGAAGGATTTTGCAGGACAATGAAGCGTTTCGGTCAAACCAGGTACTGAGTATGTAGATCGATCGAGCCAGGTACTGAGTATGTAGATCCATGTAGATCTTCATCATTTATAGTATCATTCTTTCACCTCTGACGCTAACTAAAAAGGAATGTCCCTATTCCCGTTGTCATCACCTGCACTTCTTGTTTCAGTTCATAATCTCCCACAAAAGAGACTTCCGAGGCTTCTCAGTGTCCGATCCTCCTCAAGAAAATCTCTCACAGACTTCCGAGCCCTGCCAATGTCCGATCATCCTCGATGTCTGCAATCGCAATGCACCCTATGCCGCGAGCTTTCTCAAGCTCTACCGCTTGTTCCGGAAAACTGCAGAGTTGTACGTCGAAATGATGATCAATTGCCGCGCAGACCAGGGTGTTGCTAGCGCACTAAGCAGTCATGCTGCTTTGGTCGGAAGGGATGTTGACACGGCAAATCAAGACTACGAAACTCCTGGTTCTTCCACTGGAACATCTTCTACCTCCACCACAGGAGCTGAGCAGAACAATTTGACTCTGTCTTCAGCACAGAGTCGCATTGCAACGATGGTTCGAAGCGAGCCGAAATTGTTTTTCAAACATCATCAGATGACAGTAGACTCCATGCTCAGAAGTTTGGAGAAATTGCAGAAGCAACTGATCGAATCTACCACATTCTTAGTGCCTTTTCCCAGTTTGGCTACTAGTGGCAGTAGATCTTCAGGGGCTGCGAGTACTAATGGTGGCAAGAACAACTCTTCTTCATCGGCATCCGAACGTGGAGGTACAGCGCCAAATGGATGTGCTACGTCCTCTGGTACCGCTGCCGCTGTCCGTTCTCCGACGATCAAGAAACTATTAGACAGGCTGTCGAATCGCAACACCTCTGCATCAAGTTCATCGGCCTCAACATCTGCTGGGTCATCTTCAGAAACGGGTGGAGGCTCCTCTTCGAACAAGCAGATTCATATGTTCTATGGTGAACCAAACACACCAACTTCAGCAGGAGGTAGTACTTTGAACCTTGTCAACTATGGGTTCAATGGAGGAAATAATGCTTCAGGAGGATCTTCTGGTGCAAGCAATAGTAGAAGTAGTACTAGTAGTAGTGCAGGAGTATCAACTACTAGTGGATCATACCAAAACGCGATTGCGGATATGCCTTCGCATCTACAGTTACCGAAGAAACGCACATCGGAAGACACGCTAGGTGGTGGCATTGTCATGTTGCTGGTGGGCTTGTCCGCTCTGGCTCAAGGCGGTCACTCATACTACGAGGACTACGACCTGGCACTGGGTGTGTTGGGAATCATCTCTAGGATCAAAACTAATGGGAGACCGCCGCAAGGTTGAGCTTCTATTGAGTGGACTTAAATCACAGATGTAGTACACCAGATCTACGATGACTGTAATGTAGATGATTTAGTACAACAAGTGAACAGAATGGAATCAACATACACCGCTGGTGAACAATCATCGTGCAACCTATATAGAATTCACAATCCTTTTTTTGTAAAAAGCACTTGGTACGATATCTCTTACTCTTACTTTTTCAATTTGAAGCCTAGTACGTAGAATTAGAGGCAATATTTTCAACATCCAAATAAATGTATCGATTTGTATAGAAAATGGACACCATGATTGTAACAAAGTCTGAACACTAAGAACATCAAAGATGAAGTCGTCCAAACACGGGAATAGAAAATTGGAGTACCACTTTCTATCTCAGTTTTTGGTTTATCTCTTCTTCAACATGATAGCATATTCTCAATCTATTATTCCAATTCTTATTCTTCCGAGAACGAAGCAACAGGCCATAAAAATGCACACATGAAATCAAAACGAGTAACGATGTTCAGAACGTCTAAAAGTAACTGTTTTACCGGATTTCTGAAAGAGCCTAAGTAGAAACCAAACGTCGAGTTATCATCTTCTGACAGCATATGATGGCGTCTGAGGATGTCTGTCCATATAGTGCATTGCATATCTTGAAGATCGTGAGTTACTGTATCTATCATGCCTTCACAGAGATCTACAACTTGTTACTGTATCTATCATGCCTTCAAAGCGATCTAAGTACAACTACAAGTAAGTACAGCATTAGTACCGAAAAGAACATTGTAGATGAGTCTTCCTACTTTTTCAACATAAAAATCCGTGTGTAAATAGTAACGTTAACAGGATACTGTGAAGAAGAAAGCAAAGAAGTCAGTAATGTATTTTTGCGGACAGACTTCGCAATGAGGATAGGGTCGTGAAATTTCAATTTTTGCATATGGAGGATCAAAACTTTGAAGCATGAAATTTGAAGAGCGAAGTAGTCTTAGTCTTGGTGAAGTAGCCTGTGCCGCCAAGTCTACGTTGGAGAACGGCATTTGATATCATCCAGCGTCAAGAACCGAATGCTGGGGTTCGGCATAGATGCTAGAACTATCGGCTGCTAAGGTAGGTTGACAATGGACGACGTCGAGAGCGCGCACAGACGAAGTTGTCAGAGGTGCGAGCAGTACGTACAGAGAGCGATAGAGAAATGACTGGAAAACCAGAGAAATGAGAATAGCTCTGCCGAGTGGGACAGTTAAATTACTTTATCTCGAATAACAACAAGCTTTTCCTTGAATATCAGTTGGGTTTTGCCGCTGGTTGAAGCAACAATGAATGACCTGCATGCCGCGTGCACTGACTGGGAAGGCAAACTGCCTGAAAGCAGAGACGGAGTCCCTGTGGCCAGTAGTGGCGACCTTCGCAGGCAAATTTTGCAGACCGCTAGAAAGGCGGGCGATGTTGTCGCATGATTTACCGTTCCATTCAAGGTGTCAACCCTTTTTTTTGAATTTTCGAAAAAAGGACTGAGTGGACAGAGAGGACAACATCAAACCGTATATTAATAAGTACACGCTAACTGCATCTGCTCTAGAAGGACGAGAATGCAGATGAACTCGCCTTCGTCCAGTCCACCGGACCTCAACCGGCCTCCCGAATGCGGCGAGTGCAAGCCTTTACACGAAGTTTATCCTACTGGGAGTACCTACCTGTGCAATGGATTCTGCTTCACAGGACATAACATGGGTCCACAAGACTGCACGAATCAGAGGAACCTTAGCTGTGCAAACGTTTTTGCATGGTATTTCTAGAGATTTGGATTTTGAAGGTTGTTGTGAGAGGAGCAGCTTGTTTTCAATAAATATGATCCACCACCTAGTATGTTTTTGGCTTCTTCCCAATTCCAAGAACGAGAATGCATCCAGTATCCAAGCACCCCCAACAAAATTCCAGGCTCGCCATCCTGATTCCATCGACAATTTATGCGTTTTTGTGCGTTCCGTACTTCCTCGAAGATGGGCTTTATGCTTTGCCCATCTGCACCGGCATCATATTTTGGCTTTGTGTAGTCCTCCTCCTTTGGACGGAGATGCAAGACCCGGGAGTCGTTCCCAAAGGCCACGTGGTATTAGCAACTAAAGGATTACGCGAAGCATTGGTGGATCGTCTAGGCTACGATGTCATCTCTGGTCTCAGCAAGGAAGATTTGGGTCAAATTCGGAGTTCGTTGAGTGCAAGAGGACGCGGGTCACGGTTTTTGGATGAAGAGACAGGAAACATAGCAGGGACCACCTCAGGGCGGCAGTACCAAGGAGCAGAGGTAGACCAGTACCAGGTGTATCCGGGTGTAGACAATCTTCAGCTGATACCGCAAGATCGTCTTCAGTTGGGTCAGCAAGGTATGGCAACAGGAAAAGAGCTTGTTAGATGAATGGTCTAGTACGAGCCACTGGTGACTCATTAACAATTATAACTACATATTTAATTACAAGACTTATTTCATTTTCTGTTTGAAGTTTGATGTTCCCCTCAACAAGTTAGTATCCCATCCTCCCTCATAAGCCCGCATTAATACACTGGGAGGTGGTGCGAAGTACTTGCTAGAGGGCAATTCAGCTGCCAGTCCGCCGACCGCTTCTGAAGGCTCGTGGAGTCTATCGTTCTCCTCAGCTTCCAGTTGTACAACTGGTCCTGGTCGAACTACAGTGGCTGGGTACCACAGTGCTGGTGGAGGAACTACGTGGTCTTTTGGTCGTGAGGACGTAGATTTAAGGGTAGGTTAAAGGTGCTTTTCTTACCGCTTTTTATGCTTCTCCGAAGGGAGAAAGGCATAACAAGCGGGGTAAGCGAGCACCAAAAACCTACCTCTAATAGATTTTGACAACGTCGGCGATCTGCCTCCTTGCGTCCACGACGCTGGTGCTCGCGCTTGTGAGGTTGGCGCACAGTGCTGTCCAGCAGCGACGCAACTAGTCTTGCCGTACTGCTCACCACTGGACTACAACCACGAAAAGTGGGGGAATCAGATGAAGAATATCATGGATTAAGGTGACTGTTCTTGTGGATTATGCTGATGTTTCCTCGTGATGTGAGCTTCTACGTTCTTCTGCACTACGTCGATGAAGGCCAAGAGGAAGGATCATCCTTATTCTTTACCGTATTTTTCCTTTGGTTTGAATTTGATCGTAATACATAGGAGATGAAATTCCTCTCTAAGCGAAGGAAGAACCAGCAGCCGACGCGCACCCACAACCACCAGGAGGTGCTTCGCAACTTTACCGCATTGACGCAGCTAGTCGTGTATCTTCATCTGCTGCTGACCCTTGTGCTGGGGGCAGATCGAGCAGCGGATCCTCTTCGAATAGCATCTATGATCCTTACAACAAACCATGGAGTCAAACAAATCCACCAGGTTCGGCACCTGACTTCCGAGAAGACGCTTCGCCGGATGACGAGGGGGATTATTACCAACGAAGTTGTAGAACAAATGTTTGCACCTACGGTCCAACAGACGACTCTTCACCTGAAAAATGTTCACCACAGAAAGCTAGAGCACCGCGACAAGAAGCAGAAAAGCTAGAGGACCCGGATCATCACAGAAAGCTAGAGCAGGACCACGCAGAAACACTCTACCATCCGAATATTAAGGCTAGTTTATCACTATCGCATGTGAACTATGCTGAGCGGATTTTCCCCCCTGGACTTATTTAGGGGAAACTATTAAGGGGGAAAAAGGAAGAGGGGAACCCACTCAGCCACGAATAGTGAAAAAGTACCTTTAAGAGTATGCCGTTGCAGAGGAACAGTCAAGGAGTTTTGCTTCCTCCTGTGCCGAATAGACGATTTTCGGGAGGTAGCGTTGAGGAGTTGATCCTAGTGCATACACCAGTTGAACGCAGAGTGGATCATAGAGCAAGTTCTTCGACGATAGGGAGGAGACGAAGTCAGCATTTGCCTCCACAAGACGACCATGTAATTGAACTTGTTGGAACGTCAGGGACAAATGTGGACAACATCAGCAAGTCAAACAAGCCTGGTCCTGGTGCAGCATTTCTTGGGGAGACCACCGAAGATGATGAACAGGCTATCGATGATCGTAAAGAGCGTGTGCGAGCGATGCTCTTTCCACCACTATCGTCTATGGCAGGTGGCGGCGGTGCTGCTGACACGAGTGGGAGAGCAGCAAGAGAGGAATCGGATGAGCGAGGGGCCACAGTTTCTTAAGGATATACGTACTTATGTACATGAAATTTAGAGTGGTTCAATATGCTGAGAACAGGTGGCACTTTCACTCGAACTTTCCTCAGCCGCGTCGTAAAGACCTAGTACAGTAAGAATAACACCATGATCTTCTGCATTCCGCTAATCTCGTCTCTCCGTCAAAGAAGTCGATCCTCCTTCTGCTCCCACGCACATGTTGCCCTCGTCCTCCAGTAGTTCATCCGCGTCTTCAGCGATTTCTTCCGCATCGAAATTTTCAGCTGCTTCCTCAGCATTCTCAACATTGACCGAAAGGATAAAAAAGAAGTTCCTGGAGGGCTCACACTCAGCAGAGCCTGTGGGTTCAACAAATAGAGTTGTGGTGGAAGAAATACAGGACATCCGCAGTTTCGAGAGGAGAGAAGATCCGCCGAGACCTGTGGCAGCTACTGGAGTTAGCGCGACCAGTAGTAGTGCAGACACTCGAAATGGATCGACTAGTAGCAAACTGGAGTTTGCCCAGTGGCGATTGACACATTTTCAGAAGACAGGGTACTAAATGTCGTTTTGTTCATGCCTTGTTCTTAGAGTTACTACTCATGCTGTTGTAAAAATTGCCTCTACTTATTTACTCCAATCAATACAACGACAACTAGTGACTGACTCGGACTCACCTAAGCGAAGGATCGCAATAACCATGATCAGGTGGGGAGACAACATAACACCGCACCATATGTACAAACTTGGGTATCGGTATTGCAGCACGTGCAAGATCATCCGCCCCCCAAGAGCTAGCCACTGTTCCATTTGTGATAATTGCGTCTTACGCTTCGACCACCATTGCCCCTTTGTCAACAACTGCGTTGGTGAGCGGAATTACCCTTCGTTTTTTGGGTTTGTGACATCTGTCTTCTTCCTGGGGATCTTGGTCCTCCCTTCGATTGCCTACGTCTTCGCGAACCAGGATAGCAAGAAGAAAGGCTCCTCCTCATCCTCATCCTCCGACAACGAGAGCTTCTTTTCGATCACGCTGTGGGTTGGCGTCCTTATTTTATGCCTGGTTCTTGTACATGGGATAACGATTTAGAGCTAGAAGATTTGCATTCCTTCTGCAATGTACTCCTGGAGCCTGCCGAGTGGATCGCATACAAGCCCTAGAAGCAAGATAGAAAAGCACTAGTAACCATGCGTTGTGACCACACGTTGTACTTGTAAGTAGCAGAGAGGAGTTCCCTGCTCTAATCCTTGGTGGTATCTTCGTCATCGCCTTTTTCTTTGGCGCAGCAGTTTGGCTTTACCACGTCTTCCTGTACTTTACAGGACGCACTACAAAAGAACATTGGAAGGAAATGAGGAGTGCAAAAGCACAGAATAGTGGAGCACTGAGTAGTGGAGATGCTGGAAAAGCGGCCAAGAAGGACAATTATGGCAGGTCTGTAAGTCAAAGTCACTTGAGCTCTTCCTGCAGTAAGTTCATAGAGAAACTGGAGTTCTAATTCCTAAGTTATAACAGCCTACAAGAAGTTCTAATTCCACCAACAGCAGCAAGAAAAGAAGAACCCTCCGCCGAGCAAGGATGCGATCGCAGAACACGAAAAGCGATTAAGGGTAGGTTAATAAAGGTGCTTTTGTTCTTACCGTTTGTTGTAATGCCTCTCCTAAAAAGGGAGACAGCCATAACAAGCGGGATAAACGAACACCAAAAACGTACCGCTAAAGCGAAAAGCAGAACAGAGAGCGAAGATGGACGCGCTCGCTGGGCTCACTTCCGCATCCTCCGCACTAAACCAGGACCGGGATGGATTGTTACAAGAGATATTGTCTGCTTCATCTTCTGCACAAGGTGGACCACCAGGAGCAAACACGAGTCCCAAGAAGTTCGTAGGCCGTAGAGCATCAGCACCGCCCATTATCGAGGAAGAAGAGGAGGACATGAGCGCCAGTGGAGTTGCAGCAGGAACAGGAACAGATACGAGGAACAACAAAAACAGTGATACGGATCCTAAGCAACTCCCCTCTGCCAGTGCAACATCTCCACCGAGACGGCGGTCATCTCCAGCCCATAGCAACGCTAGTGGGAATTCCCGAAGAACCTCAAGTCACTTCTCGTCACCAATAAAAAACCCGTTTGGAAACAGCGAGGTTTACAATACGGCTCATAAGTAATAATTCGCATAATTGTTTCTCATATACTTCAATATGTTTACAATATATAACAATCCAACAACAAGCTAGACTAGCGGGTAGACCTCGTCTGGGAAATCTTAGGCAGCCCGCCGAATAGATTCAAATCATCACCAAGGTCTTCTCCTTGATGTTTCCTCTACGTCGGTCATTTGGCAACGAGGACTTTACTCAGGTCACCTGCCTCGTTGCTCGTAGACTTTACACAGGTCACCCATCATCCTCGGAGGCGAGCAGGTGCTGGTGGGGCTCGTTGTGAAGGATCCATATTAACCTAACCAAACCTTTCCGTCTTGGATTCCAAGGATGCGAGTTGAAAAGCTGAAATATTTCGAGCTCTAATCACACGTTTGAAGAAAACTGGGAGATACCAAAGTTTGCACATTGTTTTCCGAGTTGTTTCACCACGAAGCCACCACTGTTGGACCCATGGGTCAAAGTGGATGTCGCCAAGATGGAACACTATGGGCGCTTTACGTCGCTACGGGAAGTATCGTTGAAGTTAAGGCTCATTTTTGGTATACGAACGTCATACATAAGTTTCTTTACAGGTAAGTACTTCTTATTAAGAACTGGTACAGGTACTTTCTCCAACTACTTTTTTTTACTAAGAAGATCTTTGTACAAAAAAGTACTTGCAAGAGCATTTTCCAACTACTTTTTTTTACTAAGAAGATCTTTGTACAAAAAAGTACTTGCAAGAGCATTTTCCAACTACTTTTTTTTACTAAGAAGATCTTAGTACAAAAAAGTACTTGCAAATGCAAGTGCAAGAGCATATCAGAGACGATATAAACACCCGCTGCTCTAATACACGAAGCTTATGAACGTGCGTGAGTGCAGTTGCGGATAGGGACACAAAGCGGGAGAAGAACGTTGGCGTCAATGCCTGAGAATGTTTCGCTGTTCAAGCAGATACTACTGTTTCGGTCAGCTGCTCTTTTCGTTTAAGCTAGAGTTAATCCTGATCTTGATGATTTCTTTGTACTTATATATAATCTATCTATGTGTGTTTAGAGTTCGAGGGGACCTTAGAGAGTTAGAGTTGTAAGTCACTAGAGTAAGTGTGATCGCATTTGAAAATCAAAGTAAGTACTTACCGTTGTTGGCAAATGCGTAGGGCGCTTGAGGCTGGATCTGAGTATTGACAAGCTTCAGCCTTCTTTGTGGAAGAGGACGACGAGTAGTAGAGATTTCTTTGTAAAGATTTTCAGTAGCGAATCTATATATTTTTCAGTAGCTACTAGCGATATATATTTACTAGCGATATATATTTTTTGGATTCTCGAATCTAGATCAACAATCTTCACGACGTAGTACCTCATTTTTTGATTAGAACAACTAAGTTTTCGACAACGTCGCGACGCTTGAGTTTATCTTTGTCTGATTTCTGCTCCTGGCAGAGGATTAGAGTTCCTTAGAAGAATTGTTGAAATTAAAGTCGGACAGGGAATTATTAAAGTCTTTGTCTTATAGGCAAACTGGAAAGTGAATCTCGTGTCTCAGGCAAACTGGAAAGTAAAGAGCAAGCGAAAAAAAGAGCATCAAGAAGGGATCGAGGACGCAGTACAACTTACTAGTATAATCTTCCACTTACTAGTATCTTCTAGTATCCAACACTGTGAAGACGGATGAAGAGCTGTCACTCGTTGACGTCGTATCGCTGTGCAGCTGTATCGATTGTTGGTTTCGCATAGGCCTCGTATGACCAAGAAAAAGAGTCGGTGTTTTTTCCGGATACGCAAGAGAGAGACACGAGCAAAATGTCGAAAATTGTTTTCGAAAATCGGCATTAGACTATATTTTGGAAGCTACATAGGGTAGTGTTTCTATCCACGACATTGTTGCAAATGAAGCCTGGAAAACTGCCCGAAAATAGGCTACATGATCAAAGCTTACTCTAGTTCTATGTGAGGGACACACAATCATCACTCTGGCATTCAGATTAATAGTTGTAGGTGGAAAATCAGAACATGCATAACCTTTATGGCCGTGCGCCTGGCCACGGCAAACGCGAGCCCGGCAAGCTGCCGGAGCACAACTAACGAACGCACAACTATTTCGGCTTCATTCCAGTGCTACTAGAACTTGCTGTTGTAGAAGTTCACGAAGACGCTGCAGGTGGCGTTCGATTCATCGGAGAGGACTGATCGAGAATCGAAGCCCGCGAAGTCTTTCCACAACGAAGCCCACAGTAGAATAATCAAGTCGCAAGGTTGTACGCACATTTTTGTGGAGTGGGAAGAAGAGAAGCCACAACAGGCGACCACTAGTTGTACCAGCAACCCTTCTACTTGTTCTTCGCGCAACAACAAGACCTGACGCAATATGGCATCTTTTCGTCCAGATCGGGTCATCCTGAAAAGGCAGAAGGATGAAAGCCGATATGAGGCGCTGGTGGACTCGAATCTAGACCAAAACAGAGTAGAGGCGAAGGCGCATTGGGAAAATAAAACCACAGCGACAATACGTACTGATATGTTAAGGATGCTAGTTGTAGTACTTGTTGCCTCTATTTCTGCAGTCGTTTTTGTCAAGTAAATAATCAACCATGATGATGATGGTTTATTCCGTGAAGATGGCATCGCGTAATAGAGAGCAGCTAGCTGATGACATGAAATCTAGATCCCAATCACCACAACCACATCCAGGTACCAAGCGTTTCGAGAGTAAGGTAAAGTCATTGCTCGCAGAGCAACGAGACGCAGCCACTCATGAGAGGAGGAAGAAGCTCTCTGCTCTTCTCTACAAAGAGAAAGACATGTATGAGGCAGAACTCGCGGATATGACGAAGCCAGATCCTAAAAAAGGCATGGCAAAGATGGCCGCTCGAGCTGCGGAATTGAAAGCCAGGAGGGAGGCGGAAAGGACGAATTTGGTAGTGTTTTTTTGGCTTGCAGCTATTGTTGATGACTCAGTCTCAGATGTTTCGTCATGTTTCAGTTCTACAAAAATATCAAGACTCAAAGCGGGTAGAACTCGTCAGGGAAATCTTAGGCATCTTGCCGAATTGATTCAAATCATCATCAAGACAGTCAAGGTCACCCACATCCACATCTTCCAACAAACACAGCCACTACATCACTCCAGGTGCAAGAAAAGCTTTATCAGCAATGGCGTGAGGGTATTGACGAGTTGAGGACACAAGATGCTAAGCTGTTCGAACTGCAAGTCACATTCGAACGCGGAATCCAGAAAGAGGAGAAGGCAGATGCAGCAGCAACGGAAAGGAGGGAACAGGCGGTATACCTCCATTTCGAATTCTATGTTAGTGGGTTTGTTACTTGTGATGCCCAAGAACATCATCATCAAGTTGTGTTGACTTGAAGGTGCTATACAAAATTCCATAGCTGAATCCTAAACATGAACAAGGATGAAGGAAGGATTTCCATTTGATTTCTATGTAGTTGGTGGATCTCTTACTTGTCAAGTAGTTTAAATTATTTAGAACTCTGGTTACCGGCGAGCGCGAGTTTCCGTCATTCTTCTACACATCAACGTGCCAGATATACGACGCTCTGTGGCAAGAGGGCTATCACGCCAAAGTCGAACGTGAAATTAGGGAGAAGGAGTTGCGGAAGGGTCTCGAGGCCAAGATGTCAACTACCCTCGCAGAGCAAATCAAGCTGAAACGAGCAGGGGTATGATAACAGTTTTCTTATAGAGTTTTAGAAGATCAAGATAGTACCCTTGTTTCTCACCTGTCTTGCACGAACCTGATTCATCATTTCATTTCCTTGATTGTCTTTCCGAACGAAATTATTCTCAAATTCTGCCTCTCACTCTACTTTTTAAACGCCTCTCTCTCACAGGAAGAAGAGGAAGCAGCTATTTTGGAAATCGAGCGCGCCGAGATGCGTAAGCAGTGGGAAAATGCGGAGCGGGAGGCCACAGAATTGGTCGAGCGAAATGCCGCAGTGGCGAAAGAGGAAAGAAAGAAGGTAGACGAGTTCAAACGCATAGTGGAGGAAGAAAATTCTAAGCAGATAGCAAAGGAGAAGCTGATGGATAAGCAGTTTGTGTTATCGGTCTTGAAGAAGGAGAAAGACATGTTATGGACATCAATGGTGTGGAGGACGATTATTGTCTTAGAGTAAGTACGTTGTAATTTTTGTATTTGTAATGGGTCTGGGGGGTCTGGGAGTAGGAGTACAAGTCTCGCAGTGTTCACAGCTCGTCTAGGCTGGGATAGATGATTCCTCATTTTCTTCAAGTATGAGATAGCCTCTTCCAATACCTGCCGAGAAAGAGGAAGCCGACAAAGCGCACCAGAAGAAAAAGGTGCTCGAGTTCAACGAGAAACTAAAGATGGACATGAACCGTACTACTTTATTCTTGCCTTCTAAATGCCTTTCTCAAGACCGACAGGAGAAGAAGTTGTAACCAAATATGGTAATGCGCAAGCAAGCAAGGTTAGAAAAACATTAGCATTCCTTTATAACATGCTAAAGAACGTAAACGATTGTTCTGATGGAGGATCACTATCTCCACGAAATCACAGGTAAAGCCGAGAGCGATGCGGAGCTTGTCCGTCTTCAGAACGAGGAACAGGAGAAGCAGTGGCAGAAGAAGTTTGAACAGTGGGAGAAAGAGGAGTCTGCGCGACGAGCTCTATTAGAAGACGTCTATGCTGGTAGGATGGAACAGATCAACCTGAAGAACGAGATCAGAGACAAACAGAAGAACGAGATTTTGGAAGAAAGAGCAAGGGTGGAAGCTGAGGTACTAGCTTTTGTTGTATCTTAATCCAGCACTAATCTCTTCTTGTCTTTTGTTCATTTTGTTGTGAGGTTATAACGACAATGAATCATCATCATGCTTTCTCATAAATAGGTACAATCCAACGTATTGGACCTATGTATCTATGTATACATTGTTTTTGTTTCCTGCTCTCTCCCGTCTCCCACCCCTCACTATCCACTCCCGCCACAGATCGCACGCCTCGAGGGCATTGATCAAGAGCGGGCTAGAGCCGAGGCGATATTGAAGAAGCGCCACCAAGAAGAACTCTTCAGACAGATGGATTATCATCAGGTAAAAATAATGGTTGAAGCATCTTGTGAACAAGATTTTTCTTGTTGATTCATAGGAGGTGTACCACGTGATTATATTCTCTGTTGCTGTTCAGGTTCGGCTTATGTCATCCTCATGACTTTCCTGCTGCACAACAAGTTCTCCTAACCCCTTCCATCATGCACCCCTTCCCCCTGCAGGTGACGCGTCACCGTGAGTTGCAACAGCATATGATTGAGCAACGACAAGCCTTGATCGCCGAAGAGCGCTTCCGACAAGCGAAAGAGGCTGAGAGGGAAAATTATGGCTAAAATCGTAATTGTTGCACTAATATATCCACAAATGATTTTTGACTATTACTATTACTAGCTCTCAGTTAGTGGCAACGGCATGCTTTGCGATTTCGCGTATAATTTACTACCGGCTGACCAACTACTACTAGCACCTGCTCAAGTGCTTTTCTTCCTACCCCTACTCTTCTTCTAAGAAAAGCAGGACCTCGTCAAGCGTCAGATCGAGGAGCATCAGCAAGCGGCAATTCGCAAGCGAGAGGCAGAGAAGGAAGCGCGAAAGGCACCATGGGAAAAGTAGGAGATTGTTCTACTATCGATCTCCTTGTTCTCGATGTTTATACCAGTTACTAACGCTTTTCTTATTCGTTCTCTTACAGTGTTCAATTTAACGGTAACGATTTGATATCTAACCACCAAATCCAGTTCCGGACAATATTTGTTTTCTTTCATCTTCTTGAGTTTGCTATTGATTTTCGACAGAGATATTGATTAGTATTAATTACGCCGATGTCGTCAGGTCGCTTAGTTATAGGTGATTACGAAGGTATCATACTTAGTCCAAAATGTAAGACAAGACATCAAAAAGAAAGAGAGAGAAAGGCTACGCCGCGATCGTCACGATTATTGTATAAGTAATCAAGTAAGCATGTATTAAATGATCATATACCAATACCTATAGTACGCGTATCCGTCGATACAACTTTTTTATGAGAAAGAAAGCTTTCTCTATCAATGAGTGGTTGAGTGACCGCACGACTGCCGTCACGCGCACTAGTTTTTGCGACAATTATATCATGTCTTGAAAACGCACGATTGAAAAATGAACAAGATACCTGCCTAGGCGATGAAAGAAAGAGACAGAAAATTTCTAGAGCGTAGTAGATATGCCCCGAGTGATTGCATCTCGCTGGTTTTTTCTCTACGCGAACAACCATCATCTGTTGAGGAGAAACGTTGAATCTGTTTTTCATGAGGTCGAAAGTCAGAACGAATAATTGTGAAGCCGGTGCGATAGCGTCGTGCGAGAGAGTGATTTTTTTCAGGCAAAAGGTTTTTTAACTGTTATTTGGTGGGATCGATGCATCCTGGAGAAAAATGGAGTGGTCTCGTTTTTTCATCTTTTTTCTGTTGAGAGACGTCCCGTCAAGAATCTGTGGTTGGAAGGGGTGGAGCAGGTGATGCCCGTGTGATTTTTCCTATTGCTTGTTAGTTTGAACCAAAGGCCATGAACCAACCACAACAAAAATGTAATTTTCCTAATCCTAATCCTCCCCGCAGTCGCTTATGATTGTTGATTTTCCCCCATCTTGTTTGTCCCCTGCTACCTTTCTTGTTGTTTTTTCGTCTACGCAGTTGAAGGTTTAATCGCACAACCCATTACCATTTTCTGAAGTCAAAAAAGTTAAAGTTTGAAATAAAAGCAGCTGACGCTTCTTTCACATCGAAACTTTACTCATTCAGAAATCCAATCCTCAGTCTACTAGAACTACATAGACAGAAATACTATTGGAACACGAAAGAGCTAGAGGGAAAAGAATAACCCACGTAGCCTTTGAATCCTCCACAAGAACCCAAGATGTTCCAGCAGAAGGCGCCGACACCGGTATTTTCTTATGACGTTTGATGCTCGATGTCATAGATTGATGCTTCCTAACACCGTGATCATCATTTGGAAAACGATTCTCATTCTGCATACTTCTGATGCTGTTTCTAAGTAAGTAGACATACCTAGTATTCTTATGTATCTAGCACAGGAAGCATAATTTTCATATTAATTATTTCCATCATCCAAATCCATCAAACTTCCACAACAGGCATCAAGCACGGCTAGCGCACCAAAGGTGCAGCCGTCGATGGCCGCAGAAGAAGGTGGAAAAGGCATCCAAGAGCATTATGACAAAGCCAGCAGCGTTTGCGGTATGATAGTTTCATCTGAATTTTGTTGCAGTAAGCTAGTAATCTAATTCTAAGTGCATCTGACACGGTGGAGGACCATCATGAGAAAATTTCCTACTACTAAAGATGCTGGCTGATCCATTGTTTTCAGCCAACAAGCATGCGTACTCAAATGTGTCTCACCTTTACCAAGTACTCCACCAAACTAAAGGTCACATCGATGATTTGGTAGCCGCGCTCACAGAATTGTACGAGGACAATGCTAAGTGGAAGGGCAAGTACATTCAAACCAAGAAAGCGCACTTCTCTAAGTTCATTGGCACAAATAGCACCATGCTTCTTGGAAACGCATTCAGGGAATGGAAAGCTTGGGCTTTTGAACAGTATAATACTCCATTGTTCTTCTATTTTTGGTGGTTTTGCTTATCATGATCATACACCTATAGTAGAGGATCTTCAGTATCGTGCTAGTATGAAGGCCATCATCGTTGTTTTCTCTTACGAATTTTTGTCACAACATTCCCATTATCCGATATCGCTAATCTCTCAGAACCGCCGCACGACGATATGACGCCTTGAGAATGGAACAGGAGATCGCAGAAAGAGAATGGAACTTGAAACTCGAGAACCAGGAGAAAGAACATGACAAAAGTACTCCATGATTGGTGATTTTGATTTAGCCAGTGCGATAACGGTCGTACTGCTGTTATACGCACCATATTAAACATTATTTACTCATCGTATCTATCTGACTGTCACCGTGGTTGTACTACTGTTATATATTTGCTGGTACATCATTTACAGAGTGGATGAAGTAGATTTTCTTTTTTAAAAAGTAAAAGGCTCACAACTGGGACAACATCTACATCACGATCACACCTTATGAATATTCTCTTCACATCACTCGACACCTTCACCGCAGGATTGCAAGCTCTCGAAGCGAATCACAAGTTGGCTATCGCAGAACTCTCAGAGCAGATTAGTCAGAGAAATCAGGAACTCGGAAAGCTGGAGAGCGAGAAAACCACCGTCTTCCTCAAGGGAGAGAAGAGCTACAAAGTCCTGCAGAGTCTCAAGGTATTACAAGAACTTATTTACTTAGTTCGCGCTATGCTACATATTTTTGTAGCTGTTGGTCCAGATGATGATCTCAGAAAACTAATTTTGCGGAAAAATCCAAGTGATATTTTCACATCTTCGCAATCTGCACTTGCTTCTTTCTCTACAACTAGGTACAAAGCAAAAATTCCAAACCCTCCCGTCTTCACTCTTTCTATCCACACTTGAAAATAACACCAACAGAACCAACTCGAAGCTCTGGATGACGAAGAAATGGCTATCCACCCGGAGAGACAGCAGGCTCAGGTCACCGGCAACAGCTTCGACTTCCTGAAGAACAGGCTGCACGATTTGCTCAACCAGGTTGATCCTAAGTACGTCCCGCCACTCGGCTCCCTCAGCTTGCTGCCGGCTCCGGGACCACTCCTTCACGGATCGCAACAGTAGACGAGAAGATCTTGATCTCTTGTTAGTGTTCTTGCCTTATGTGAGAACGAAAGGATTTCCTTCTTGGGGTCGCGGGAACGTCGACGTTTCTTGGTTGAAGGGTAATCTTTCTCTTGGGTTTATATTTCTACGTAGGTCTACGTTGTTAACCTTAACGGAAGATTTTTTAGTGAAAAGAGGTCCACCAACTACGACAATGTTAACAAAACTAACCCGGAATTTTTGTGTAGACAGGCAAACATAATAAACTGCGACCGACCGCTCCAATTACGCAGGTACAACACGAGAGGACGCCGCACTGGGTTAAATTTATTTTTTACGCGGCAGGATGGAGGGCATGCAATGGGCCAACAGTTGTCAAGACAGAAATCAACTACGGGATAATAATAACTAAGAGTTGTATCTTCTGTTTCTTCTTTTTACCGGTCCATTCTAATTCGCACATCAGTCAAATGTCATAAAATGTTTTTCATTCAGTCTACATCTCAAGGTATATCTGTCATCTACTTAAACATCTTCATTGACTTAGATACAACTAGCATCAATTGAAAATATCAACCATCAACAACATTTATAGGAGTGAGTTTGAAATTGAAAAGAACAAAGCTAAAAGAACTAACTACAGGGTAAATGCACAAATAGAAGTAGTAAGGAAAATTAGCACTTCACTGGACTAGAGAAAATGAAATGGAATCTTCATCTTCGACTAAAAAAGTCTTTTCACAGTTTAATGCAAAAACTACAAGCTGCGATGTTTGTTGCTCTTTTGTCGTCCTCACATTCACAATGAGGCGTAGTTTTGGTGTGTGTAGGACGACTGTGAGGACTGAGCTTAGACCTCCATAGTTGTGGCACGCGAATCGGCAGGCATTAGCGAGGTTGCGTGTTATCCGTAGTAGGATCATTAGCGCTGCTAATGCAGAACCGTTATTATGGTATGCCAGCTACATGAACATAATAAAAATATTCTTCTGCCACGAGGATGGAAAGGCAGTGATGTTCATATTTTTATCCTTGTTGCAGCTAACTACTAGTCTAGTCTAGGTACTAAATCAAACCGTAACCCTATGACATCACATGCCAATGAGATCAAGCAGTCCAGGAAAAACTGTACATATTGGATTGAAGATTGGGAGGGAAGTGTAAAAACATCATTAGCTTGTACAATACGTTGAATAGAGGATTGTAAAGAAAATCAAGATCTATCATTGAAATGGGAAAAACTACAAAATCGGCGAGGATAAGATATTATAGATAAAAATAGGCTGTCGAAGGTGGAAAAGAATGATTACGAGAAGTCGTGGCTGGACGTGATGAAAAGCATCACAAGCACATGCAGGAGACCACGTGAAACGAAGTCAGTAATTGTTCACAAGAAGGTAAGAGCACGAGAAGATTAGGTTTGGTGTTACAACACAGGGACAGGCAGATAGAGAAAGATATTGTGCGGTTCGTCTGTGTCGTCGAGAGAAAATTCCAAAAAACTTTTTTCAGTTTTTCAAAAGAGGGCTTAAGACTCAAAGAGGGAAGAAGACAGGACCAGATGATATTCAAAAGGAGAAGACATCACCAGATGATATTCAAAAGGACTAGAAAAACGAAAACATTCGTAGAATTAATGTGAACAACGGATAGATACACCGCTGCGTGGACGTGCGCGTAGGTGGTACGGGGTAGACACCGGCAGATTCTTATTATTTCCTTCTCTTTTCATCCCAAATTTTTATTTTTTTATCCTGTCTTGAAACAAACGTCATACCTCCACCTAGTGCACTCCCTGACCAAATGGTGTGAGCTATCACATCAATAAACATGTCGTAGACCACCATGGAGAGACAGCTGTGGTCGCGTACCGAGACGCATCTGAATGATGAGGCAGGCTTAGCCCTGTGAACGCCAACGGACTCGAGTCTCATTGTTGCGCGCCACCACATCTAGTGCAGCAACGACCAAGTGCTAGCAGCAGCTATGATTACAAGCACCAAGGATTGTGAGTATCATGACCAACGTGTTGATGCGAGAAACCATTCCTCAGCGCCTCACCTTGTGAAATATCAGCGGAATATCCTAGTGAATAGCCATCACCGTCATACACCAGCACGACAACACTAGACTTCCACCCACCACGAGAGAAAGGAACAACCGGCTTTCAAACCCTTCTAGTAGAAGAACCTGGTGCGCACTGCGCCGAGCTCGTAGAAATCGAGAGGTCATAAAGCATTAGGGTGGCAAGCCTTGGCGGCACTGCTGACAGTTCGTAGCCGTACCTTAGGAGTGCCGTCGAAGACGAGAATAGGTTTCTTCATCTTCATCAGGACCACAAGCACTGCAGCACTTGTTGGACCTGCGTCGAGCTCGAAACACCAAGAAGAGCAAGTTGAAGTACTAAGTAGTACTACACTTCAACTTCATCATTGATCAGCCATGGCGGACGAAGAGGAGTACGACCTCGAAGAGGAAGAGGAGGAGCTCGAAGAGGAGCTCGAGGAGGAAGATGAGGAAGAAATGGAGTCGAAGATCAAAGAGTTGGAAGCAGAACTGACACATCTGAACAAAGATGGAGGCGAGGGGAAGGAAGCAGGTACTTGTCTAGCGTGCTTTTTGGCTGAGCGGCGATGTGCTTGTGAACTCACTTGAAGCTCGTTGCGGGAAAAAAGAAACCTTGGTTTGTAGCAGCCATGCAAGGCGGCGATGCTGTCATGCTGATGTGGTGTGTTTCCGTGGCAGTACTGCCAAGTGCGTCTTTCGTGGTCGGTGGTGGCAGTACTGTCTCATTTTCCCCTCATTTCTGTGGCAGTACTGCCAAGTGCTTCTGTCGGGCTCGCTGGCAGTGGCAGTACTGCCTCACTTTCCCCTAGTTTCTGTGGCAGTACTGCCAAGTCCTTCTGTCGGGCTCGCTGACTGTGGCAGTACTGCCTCATTTTCTCCTTTTTTCTGTGGCAGTACTGCCAAGTGCTTCTGTCTGGCTCTGGTGGCAGTAGTGCCTCATTTTTCCCTAGTTTCTGTGGCAGTACTGCCAAGTGTTTCTGTCGGGCTCGGTGGCAGTACTACCAATTGGTGGCAGTACTGCCAATTGTCTCTCTCTGGCTCGTTGGCAGTACTGCCACTTCCTCATTTTCCCGTTGTTTCTGTGGCAGTACTGCCAAGTGCTTCTGTCGGGCTCCCTTGGCAGTACTGCCTCATTTTCCCCTTGGTTCTGTGGCAGTACTGCCAAGTGCCTCTTTCGCGGTCGGTGGCAGTACTGCCAATTGGAGGTGGCAGTACTGCCTCACGTTTCTGTGGCAGTACTGCCAATTGTCTCTCTCGGGCTCAGTTGGTGGCAGTACTGCCAAGTGCTTCTGTCTGGCTCGCTGGCAGTACTGCCACGTACTGCCTCACTTTCCCCTAGTTTCTGTGGCAGTACTGCCAAGTGGTTCTGTCGGGCTCACTTGGCAGTACTGCCAATTGTCTCCCTCGGGCTCGGTGCCTCATTTTCCCCTTGTTTCTGTGCCTGTGGCAGTACTGCCAAGTGCTCGCTTGGCAGTACTGCCTCATCTTCCCCTTGTTTTTGTGGCAGTACTGCCAAGTGCTTCTGTCGGGCTCGCTGGCAGTACTGCCAATTGCCTCATTTTCCCCTTGTTTCTGTGGCAGTACTGCCAAGTCCTTCTGTTGGGCTCGCTTGGCAGTACTGCCTCATTTTCCCTTTGTTTCTGTGGCAGTACTGCCAATTGTCTCTCTCGGGCTCGCTTGGCAGTACTGCTTTCTTTTCCCCGTGTTTCTGTGGAAGTACTGCCAATTGTTTCTCTCGGGCTTGGTTGCAGTACTGCCAATTGGTGGCAGTTCTGCCTCACTCTCCCCTTGTTTCTGTGGCAGTACTGCCAATTGTCTCTCTCGGGCTCGCTTGGCAGTACTGCTTTCTTTTCCCCTTGTTTCTGTGGCAGTACTGCCAATTGTGTCTCTCGGGCTCGGTTGCAGTACTGCCAATTGGTGGTAGTTCTGCCTCACTTTCCCCTTGTTTCTGTGGCAGTACTGCCAAGTGCTTCTGTCGGGCTCGCTTGGCAGTACTGCCTCATTTTCCCCTTTTTTCTGTGGCAGTACTGCCAAGTGCTTCTGTCGGGCTCGCCCTCATTTTCCCCTTGTTTCTGTGGCAGTACTGCCAAGTGCTTCTGTCGGGCTCGCTTGGCAGTACTGCCTCATTTTCCCCTTTTTTCTGTGGCAGTACTGCCAAGTGCTTCTGTCGGGCTCGCCCTCATTTTCCCCTTGTTTCTGTGGCAGTACTGCCAAGTGCTTCTGTCGGGCTCGCTTGGCAGTACTGCCTCATTTTCCCCTTTTTTCTGTGGCAGTACTGCCAAGTGCTTCTGTCGGGCTCGCCCTCATTTTCCCCTTGTTTCTGTGGCAGTACTGCCAAGTGCTTCTGTCGGGCTCGCTTGGCAGTACTGCCTCATTTTCCCCTTTTTTCTGTGGCAGTACTGCCAAGTGCTTCTGTCGGGCTCGCCCTCATTTTCCCCTTGTTTCTGTGGCAGTACTGCCAAGTGCTTCTGTCGGGCTCGCTTGGCAGTACTGCCTCATTTTCCCCTTTTTTCTGTGGCAGTACTGCCAAGTGCTTCTGTCGGGCTCGCCCTCATTTTCCCCTTGTTTCTGTGGCAGTACTGCCAAGTGCTTCTGTCGGGCTCGCTTGGCAGTACTGCCTCATTTTCCCCTTTTTTCTGTGGCAGTACTGCCAAGTGCTTCTGTCGGGCTCGCCCTCATTTTCCCCTTGTTTCTGTGGCAGTACTGCCAAGTGCTTCTGTCGGGCTCGCTTGGCAGTACTGCCTCATTTTCCCCTTTTTTCTGTGGCAGTACTGCCAAGTGCTTCTGTCGGGCTCGCCCTCATTTTCCCCTTGTTTCTGTGGCAGTACTGCCAAGTGCTTCTGTCGGGCTCGCTTGGCAGTACTGCCTCATTTTCCCCTTGTTTCCGTGGCAGTACTGCCAAGTGCTTCTGTCGGGCTCGCTGGCAGTACTGCCACTGCCTCATTTTCCCCTTGTGCCTGTGGCAGTACTGCCAAGTACTTCTGTCGGGCTCGCTGGCAGTACTACCAATTGGTGGCAGTACTACTGCCAATTGTCTCTCTCGGGCTCGCTGGCTGGTGGCAATACTGCCTCATTTTCCCCTTGTTTCTGTGGCAGTACTTCTGCCACTTGCCTCTCTCGGGCTCGCCGGTAGTACCGCCAAGAGTGCTTTCCGTGGGCCACTGGCACGACCTTTCCTAGTTCAGATTATAGCCCTGAACAATGTATCATGCATTCACAGGGCTACTCTTCCTTGTTCAGTATCTCGCTTATTTTCAGTAGTTACTCACTTACTCACTTCCTAGCGCATGACTATAGCCCTGAACAATGTATCTTCCACATATTCTATTCGTATCCACATCCACCTCACCTTCCCCAGCTCCAGCAGAGCCAGCACCGAATGTCGGAAAAGAGGATCTCATATCCGACCTCTTGCGGAATCCTCTGCTCGATGGGACAGGGATTGTCACGGGCGAAAGTGTAGATGCATTGAAGCGAACGATCTATAGTCTGCAAAATCAGCTTGATGCGATGACGTACTACTATGATGTATAGTTTTTATTGTACATTCAAAGCAGGTTTTGTACACTTACTTCCTACTAAATAGGTTTCGTACTTTTACTACTATAGTTTTACTACTCTAGTTTTTCAAGCAGGACAAACCAGCCAAGGATGGGAACAAAAAGATTCGTTGTCGTTTGTAGCACTTTACCAAATAGACGCAAGCACGACAACGACTTCTTTTATCATGATGAAATCAACACTATTTTCCGACATAAAAAACAGAAACGCACATCGCAGTGATTTGAGCGCTTTTCGGAGAAGAGAGGAGGAGCTGCAAACGAGAATCCGAGGTTTAGAGGATTTGAATCGGACAAATCGAGATCACATTATCGATCTAGAGGCGAAGGCGGAGGATGGCATGGTAAATATTTGCTCATTTTTGAAAACAAATACGAAGTGAAGATTGATGAGTATTGCTTTACATGAACTAACACCGATTATTTCTCTTTTTAATGAAGCTGAAGAACAAGTTGCTGGACTACATCTAGACTTCATGCACTACAGGGTTAGTAGTCTAATGTGCTTCCTACTCTTTTTAATATTTACCTCCACTACAGCTTTAAAGATATGGCTCTAAAGATATTTTCCTGCACTACAGACCAAGCTCGCAGTAATGGAGAACCAGCGAAATAAGTACGAAAGTGAAGCGCGGGAATTGCATAGACAAGTTAGCGTCAAAGACCAACAACTGCATGGGAACGACGAGGTTAAGAGGCAGTTGGAAGCGAGGATATTTCGTACTTTGTTTTTGTCACCAGTTACTGTTGGAAGGATGAGAAATTAGTGAAATTGGCGGTGGGTGATTCTTCATTAGACTGAATACGCACTGTACACTTTCCCATTCTTTATTAAATTTAGCAGCTGAAACATAATTGCAGGATTTTTCAATTGAGGCTTTGGTATCTCTCATCAATCCATCAGGTCTCGAGCAGGATAATCATGCTCTAGAAGCTGAAATCCAGAATTTGAATTGGCGTATCAAAGCCCTAGACCAAAGACTAGAACAAGAAAGCAAGGATAAAGCGGAACAGGAAAGGGTACTCACTGTTCTTTCCCACATTTTAGTAAAAATTCTTCTCCATAATTCATTGATAGATAGATTTCTCAGCATTTTTTCGCCCATGACCCACCTCCTCACTAGATCCGGATTTACTTACAACCGACCCTATATACATCCATAAACCAGCTCGTCCATAAGTTCCAGACTGAGAATCAAGACCTTGGTCTGAGGATTCTGAGCGCTACTGGCACAAGTCGGGTACAGCAAGCGGAAATCGATACCCTTCATCGCGATATCAAACTTGCAAACGCCGAACGGGAGGAGAGTATTTAAGGCTTTCCCTATACTTCATCGATCTTTACTAGAGAGGCATATTTATCCTGTAGGTGGAGAGAGGCTTCGTCTTCGTAAGAGGAGAAGTAGAGGCCCAGATTGTTCAGGATCCCCCAGATTTGGATTAGTGCGACCTCTAAAGCATCAAGGTAGCAGTGGCGAAGACACAGGTCGAGCAGGAGATGCTGTCACTTCGAGAAGAGTTGCTGGAAGCTAGTAGACAACTGACGTTGATTATGACAGGGACACCGATTTTTTATCTAGATTTTGAAATTACAAGCTGAAATAGAAGAATATATCCCAACATTTGAGAGGTCATCAATACTACACTAGAACCACAACTAGCAGCAGCAGGTACTTGCTACATGGGAACATCTATTGACTACTCAGTAAGCACAGGCCAACTCCCATTAGGGCTCAAAACATTACATTTCCAAGACCTCCCCTAATTAAGACTTGAAATTCGGAATTATTTTTTTAATTGATTTTTTCCTAAAGTGACCTCTTGCCTCAGTCTCCTAGCTGCCTACGCGACAGCGACAGCAGAAAGACTAATGACTTGGCTCTAATGATATATTTTTTTGTTGAAAGAAATAGAAAGATCTTGGTCTTCTTCGGTTCAAAACATAATTTTTTCCTAAGTCCCACCGCATCAAGCCACCAATTTCCTTTCCGCTTCATCCTCGCGTCAAATAGCCTAAACCAGTACAAGGACGAATGCAATAGGCTAAATGAAGAGTTTGCGAAGGCCCAGAGACAAGCGGAGCTGTGGAGAAAGGAGTTGCTGAATCAAGAAGACTTAGCTGGCGGCTTAGGAGAAGAAGTGAAACAACTGAAGGCAGTACCGATTTTGCTGTCAGATTTTTTTTTGCGTCGGGGAAATCTTAGGCAGTAGATCGCCGAGTAGATTATAGCGTGGTCATATTTGTGCCTAAGATCGCCGAGTAGATTATAGCGTGGTCATATTTGTAAGCACGACTTTCTTGTTGAAGATGAACCTCAGGGATCCTCATATTACCTGTACATGTACTCCATAAGCATCAGGTCTTTCTTCTTAAAGATACGTTTTCATCGGATTTCACCCCATCTTACAGCTATCCGAACAGTACGAAGGCGATATCGACAGATTGAACTCGCTATTGATCGAAGAGCGCAAATCAGGCTACTCCAAATTCGTGACTGTGCCTGATGGAAGTGGCACCACTCGGGTGATCGGCGGAGCTATAGGGGCCATGGCAGCTACCGATACAGTGAAAGAAAGGGAGTTGTTTTTGCCAGGGGCAAGGTTATGATGAAATGGAGATAGATCATATGGTTGCAGCAAAGCGGTCATTGTCCACGTCCTTAGATGAAGCTACAAGATACATAGATGTAGTTAATTATGATAGATCATATACATACACTTTCGGTGACTTTGTGGTGAATGAACCGTGAAACTTGCCTTGTGCTGCTGGATCCAAAACGAAGACCAAAATCAAAAACAAAATACTGCGATAGATCTGAACAACAAAATCATGAAATGCCACCCATGTGAAAAATCAATGACTTATCTCGCTGACATAGTTCGTCGATTGCTCTCACCCTAACATCCTGAAGTTTGAACTTTTTCGTTTGGCTTCGATTTTATGAATGTCTTGGTGATCCTCCGTCAACATGGCCCTTTTTAGAGATATTTCATTTCGTTTTATTTTCTTGTTTCTTTCTTTCCTCATTTCCGACCATGCAACTATATTTTTCTTCTCCTTGCCCTACATGTTCCTTTCTACACGTCCATACAATCATAGAGCTTTCTCATTTTATTCCACATGCAACCTTCATCTTACCACTATAACATGCCATATTTACTTCTATCTTGACTAGTAGCACACTGTCATGGCTGTATGTTTGTGTACGAAGTCTTCTTGTGGTTAAAACCCGAAAACTCCTCCATGTTTCTTCCAAATGCAGTGTTAGCAGGGGATTGAAGCTACATTCGTCGACAGACAAGGAGCATTGCCGACCTGTTCTACAAAAACGAGATAAAAAGAGGAGTGAGCATCTGAGTTGTAGAGATTTTTAAACTATTTATGGACCTCAACCACGGGTAGATAAATAGTGAATACTCATATACACATCGGCCAACATATCAGAACGTAAGATATATATATAAAAAACCACAATATACTGTATGTCATAACACAACTAGAACGAAAAACTAAAACTATTGAATGACAAAGAAGGAGGAGCGGAATAAGAACCACTACCACTTGAGACTATCACCTGAACTCAACACGCAACAAGGACCGGCGCACATGAGACGATCATCTGAACTCATCCAGAATCCAAGACCACGAAAAATCTGTGAGACAACTATCTGAACTCACAAGAGCAGCATCGAACATAGGAGCCTGAAGATCGAGGTCTATAAATATTACGACGTTTACACCAAGATGCCACAAGATGCCGCGGACGAGCAAAAATAAGGTGCCCCAGTTCGCCCTCACGCACAAGCAGAAGTGCATGTGGCTCCGAATTGAAGAACTAAGAAAAACTAAGAAAAGCGGACTAGTACTAGGTAAGAAACTATTCGAAGAACTTGTGAAAAAGATCAATAGCTCAGAGAGGCCCTGGCTACTAGACTACGACCTTGGGACATATTGTGCTCCAGAACTCAGATTCTCCACATCTGAACTAGCGATCCCATACTACAACCGTGAAGAAAGATCAGAGAACGTAGCGGACGCACTGACGCACGAAGGAAAAATCGCTAGAGTGGTCCAGTGCATGAACCGAACAGAAGATTTGTTCAGCTCCCTATCTTTACTCGCATTTTCCGGGTCGTGCGATTTCTCCCACATCAACACCTACAAATTAAGAACGGAAAAACCGAGCAACGGTTTCGACGGGTGGGAAAGCATCCGGAATTACCACGACGGCAACGACATCGCTTTTGATATCAAGCCACGCACGGAAGAACATAGAAGAATCATCACGAAGTTTAACCTAAAGCGATCTGGATACAGAAAAACGAAAGCCGCTACACCAGAACAGATATCAAGCAGTAGCAGGAGCACTACGGAATCACCAAAGAAGTAAAAGAACTCGACCACAGCGGAAAAACGCCCCTACTCCCGTGAACTACCAATCAACTACGAGGATGACCAACAACATGAACATCTCACAGCAGTCGGGAGGTGGAGCACAGACCTTCAATCACAACCCCCAGTACGTGAAAGCATGCAGGGTTGCATCAAGTGGAAATCCATGCGCGGCGGGTGACATCTGTCAATTCTCACACCAATATCAGGATTTGTTAGCATACAACAAGTGGATGAAGGATCGAAATATGGTAGCACAGGAGAGCCTACCACAAGAGATATATCGCACAAGTATGCACATTGGGCAATTCAACACTGCGAACGGACACCAACCAAAGCAACCGATCCAAGGTGGGAATGCTCAGTACCAGCAGAACAATCTGCCCAACCAACAACAAGCTCGACAGCAACAAGCATCACCTCCGCCACCTAGCCCGACGCAGATCCAACCACAACAACAGCAGCAGATCTACCAATCACAGCAGCCATATGCTACCAACTCGAACTCCATACAACTAGGGAGCTCACCACAGCAGACGCAAAGCAGCCAGGGATCTAGCTGGACCGCACCACAACAGCAACAACTTGCACAACAGCAACAACAACAACAAAACACCCACATGCACGGTGTTACGCCCCCAGCCGGCACGATCCACATCAAGAAGACCAGAGGATTCGTGCCCACAATCACGATGAAGCCAGCACAAGAGGAAGAAGAAGAAATCTACCCGATGGTGGTATCCAGCATGCAAGTAATGAAGGAAATGAATGAGCACATGGTGTTCAAGTCGACTGAACTTCCAACTAAGGACTTCCTCATCCCGCAGACTATTGCGCGCAGACTGGTAGATGATGAATCGGAGATGAAGGATGGATCGGCCTCACTATCGCTACTGGTGTGTAACAGCCTGGTGGCAAAACAATTGCAAGAAATCTGTTTAAGGATTACCACAACGGAAAAAGCAGATAAGGCGAAGAAAGCACTTGAGAACCTCCCTATCACCCTCAAGTTGGCTAAGGAAGAACCGGAATCAGAGCTCAGCACGACAACAGGCCAGGACGCGAAGGGCATGGATAAGAACGACATCCTCAACGCCATTGGCAACAAATTCCAGGAGTTCGGGGCGAACCTACAAACGCAATTCACGACAATCTCCTCTAGAATCGAGAGCATCGAGAAACGCCATGAAGCCCATCAACAATCATACCAGCATCAGACACCGCCACCAGCCTCAGGATCCACAACAGATAAGAAGTGGTGGGAAAATGATGACTACAATCAACCGTGGTGGAAGAAGGATAAGGACGCAACGCAACAAAAAACAATTTTCAATGATGGCTGGTACGAACGGGAGGAACAGCAGAAGGACAAGTCATACATCCAGAACATGGTCGACCAGCAATATGCAAAGATCCGCGATAGAGCGAAGCATCAAGCCTATCCGCCGATGGATAAGAAATCCAGCACCAAGGGTGAAGGAAAGAAGAACAGTAGAGATCCGAGCACAGCAGCCTTGCTCAGCGACCTCTACTCAGCTGCCCCCGAGGGGGACAAGAATATGCCGAGAGCGGAAGATGAGAACACGAAGAAACGACGCATCACGAAGGCCATACAAGGCATAGAGGAGGCGTGCGGTAAAGCATACAGCGACACTGTCAGACACATGTTGGACAACAACATCAAGAGGAATCCGAAGGACTACAAGGCTGAAGACTTCGAGAAGGCTATGTCACGTCCCATATGCTTCCTCCGATCGACACTGTGCCACAAGAGACCGGCAACACCTGTTACAAGAGTTAAGGAGCAACTTTTTGGAGCTTGCCTGCTATATGAGAAGCACGAAATACCGCTAGCCACCTTGTCCAACAAGATCAAATCAAACGTCATCGACTTAGTCCGGGACTTCACCACAGAGAAGCACATCGCGGCATATCGACCTCTATTCAAACTAAGGACCACGACGGAATTTGCGCTCTTCGTGATGATAGCTGCAGCAGGAGCACAACAAGAAATCCTCACCATCGAACTGGAGAAGGAGAAAGTACAAGAGCGCAAGAAACAACTACAACTGAGCGATGTCATCGAACGTACACCACAAGAGCATGTCCCTCTCGACCCGAAGTTACGTGAACGGCAAATACGAGCACGAGACCGACAGATTCTTAATGACGGAAAGAGCGAGAGCACGTCATTGAAGAACATCGGAAATGAGGACGAAGACGAATTCTCACCACTAGGGGGAAGGCCAGGGGATCCACCACAATGGTCACCACCTGCACCACCGCAAGAAGAAGAGGAACCAGACGCAGAACAGCTCTACGACCTAATACGCGATGAGATCTACGGTTCACCTGACCAGAATCAACAAGCAGATGCGGAGATGGATCTGGGAGAAGAATATGATGACATGGACTACCATAAGAATGACCGATACTACGATCACCAAGGAAGTCAACTGCCGGCGGCAACATATCAGAACGACGACGACAAGAAGGGCCACGGTGACACATGGCAGGATACATCAGAAGCAGACCCTTTTGGGGAACTAGGAAACCTTTAAAACAGCCACCCCATCACCATGACTGACAACATCTACAATTGGTTACAACCCAGGTTCAGCCTGCCGATGTGGGAACTTCGAACGAACTACTACACGAGAATACCAGCCATGCCATCATTCGCTCTCAACATCGCAGATATCTTTGTGAGGGAACTTTTGAGGATAGCGCCGGTAATAGAAGAGAACCGAAGGGTAAGAAAGATGGTTCTAAATAAGATCATGTTTATGAGAAATATTATATCCCAGCTGTCACATGAACACAGCCAGACAAAAACATGTCTAAGATGCACTAGATCACATAGGTATTGCGCATGCACCTATAGCTACAACAAAGTCACTAAGAGACTACATAAGATGTCGCAATGTGCTCAAGGATCTCTACATTTTGACTTCCTACCTTTCGAGATCTTAACTACTACTACAGGCCCTTTCCAAACATCTCTGGTAAAACTCAATCAAGTGATATCCGCCGTTCGTGAATACATGATCACCATAGACGAGATCATTATACGACTTTTCTTACTCGATGGCAACACTTGGAGGAAAAGGGCACTAGAGAAGAAAATAAATAGATATGATAGAACTAATAGTAGATATAGGGGCTCGCCAAATGTAGTATACATGGCACTACAGCCACATTGCAAAAAATCATACGTAGGAGAAACATCGGGTGGAATCGACATTAGAACAGCTGCACATATCCGAAAGGCACAGACAGGCACCCAGTTCTTCTATCGTAACACCTTCGAGTTCTTCAAATACTACTTCATTCCTTTGGTCTATCTACCCCCCACCCTTACTAGCAGACAAATTAGAACAGCAGAGGCTAACTTAATAACGGAGTTTGCTGCTAACCAGAACACACAAATAGCAGCAGACACCCACCAGTCGCCATATCTACACACAGCTTCCTTATATATTTCGAAAAATAGTAGATCTAGACCATACCAGAGAAGGAAGGGACGACAGCCGAGAACTTCAACCACCTCACGTGCTACACCTAACCTGGCACTAACTACTCTACTTGCCTCATCCAAAGCAACAGCAATATGCATAGCACTCTCTCGAAGACTTGTTGATGTCATTCCCCAGATTATTGCCGTATTCTTTGACACACATACACATGCCAGTGCTATCATAACAAAACGCGCAAAATTTGTCTTGGATGAAATTGAGTATGAGATCCTCATCAGGAATCTAGCTAAGCATAGACCTCAACGTCTCATCCGCCATGTAGTAGACATAGGAGACACGAAGAAAACTCCAGCATTCTGGAGATATGTACAAGCATACATAAGGATATATCACCAACACCAGGAGCAAGGCAAGCCTGCGGTCAACCTATGTTTTCGGACGAAAACTGGGCCCACGTTGATAGACATAGCAAATAAAACTAACGTTGTCTACAACTTACCACAGGTATGTAGATGCTGCGAAATTCTCATGGACCATCCCAAACTCAACAAATACTTAGTACAAGGACACATTGTATCATCACTAGAAAGATATAGGACTGAATGCTCGGACTATGACTTCATAGAGACAGACTTACCGGTGGGCAAGTGGAACATGAGGTCGAGATTTCTCAGCCCCAAGTCTACGGCCACCAGCCTCAGACGGGAACTACTCAAATTCACCTCGAGAGTTTTCCCAACCACCCGCCCCACACTAAGACTTCCTAACTCATACAAGGACTTCGCGAAGTCGTATGAGACTAGAGGAATTAGACCCGAACAAACTAAACCTAGGCACCTAGATATTTCCGAGAGATTAAGTACGGATGTAGTAGATAAAGAAGTTGATATGAGTTTGGTATGCCCAGTGGTCCTACACAAGATCGTAACAAAGCACATGTTCACTTCAGGGGCATATATACAACTACCAGGCTGGGAAAGTCTCAAAAATGACAATAATAATGAATTCTTTTGGCTTTTCCCTGATTCGTCCATCAAGCGAAAGAAAAAGCATAGATGGGCGAAGATGAGGATCACCATGAAGAAGAAGACATATAGAATTTTTGAGAAAATAGAGCAGGAGCGCAGAATCGTGGACCTCAAGATGAGACCTTTAACTAGCTACCAGCTCCATTGCTTTAAAGAAATATATACCACTGCCACGAGAATAGTCAACCACCTCCTTGAAAGAGACCCGGCAACCTCCAGACTTTTCTTGACAAACCCGGCCTCTATCATTGAGTACCTTAAAAACGTTTCAGAAAAAGCATCTAGGCTAGACTTACAACTAGCGGCATTCACGGGAGACATTGGGGAATTTTTCACTAACTGCAACCTAAATAGTAGTATGGTCGTGATACAAAAAGTAGTTGATGAATTTATTAGAAGAACGGGACACAATTTTGCTAGAATATTCAAATCTAGCAAAAACTTGATGCCTGTGTTACATAAAATGATAGGAAGAGACAAAACTTACTTTGTACAAAAGGGTAGAAGACTACAAAAGCGTTTGTCTTTGATCTCCTTCACTAGAGGGAGACCGGACCCAAGATTTCATGATTATATAAGAATTACCGACCTAACAAAAATACTACTACATGATGTCAGATTTAGCTATGTTAGAGCACTAGGCACAATTTTCAAACAAACCAAAGGCGCACCTATGGGGAGCCCAACTAGCACTCCACTTTCTAATGCATACGCTATTTATGAGGAGATGGTGAAATCCACTGACCCAGGAACAATGCTAGAGACCTCACGACGCTACGCAGACGACAAAATAGTATTTACTACTGTCCAGAGAGCTATGCAATTACAACAAGTACCTGTTTCATTAAGACCTAACTTCTATACGGGATGTTCTCTAGTCCAAGATGGTGTAGAGGAGCCTACTATTTTCTGTGGTCTTAAGGTAGACATAGCCCATAGAAACAAAATAGTTGTCACAGCAGCCTTAACAGACAAGCCCCTGGCTTCTGCCTTCTCAGCTGGGATGGATCGCAGAGAAAAGGGTGTTATCAGAGGACATTTCGCCAGATTAAGACTACAGTCCAACATCGTACCAAAACAAGAAGCGACAACTCTAGTACAAAAACTTCTCCAACAAGGCTACTCGCATAATATCATTATTCAAGAATTTAAGCAATTTGCAGAAGCACTTATCTATACCTTTGATGGTGACAGGGCATGAGGCATTTTTCGGTGACTTTGTGGTGAATGAACCGTGAAACATGCCTTGTGCTGCTGGATCCAAAACGAAGATCAAAATCAAAAACAAAATACTGCGATAGATCTGAACAACAAAATCATGAAATGCCACCCATGTGAAAAATCAATGACTTATCTCGCTGACATAGTTCGTCGATTGCTCTCACCCTAACATCCTGAAGTTTGAACTTTTTCGTTTGGCTTCGATTTTATGAATGTCTTGGTGATCCTCCGTCAACATGGCCCTTTTTAGAGATATTTCATTTCGTTTTATTTTCTTGTTTCTTTCTTTCCTCATTTCCGACCATGCAACTATATTTTTCTTCTCCTTGCCCTACATGTTCCTTTCTACACGTCCATACAATCATAGAGCTTTCGCATTTTATTCCACATGCAACCTTCATCTTACCACTATAACATGCCATATTTACTTCTATCTTGACTAGTAGCACATTGTCATGGCTGTATGTTTGTGTACGAAGTCTTCTTGTGGTTAAAACCCGAAAACTCCTCCATGTTTCTTCCAAATGCAGTGTTAGCAGGGGATTGAAGCTACATTCGTCGACAGACAAGGAGCATTGCCGACCTGTTCTACAAAAACGAGATAAAAAGAGGAGTGAACATCTGAGTTGTAGAGATATACATAGATGTAGTACTTAGTTAATTATACCCAGGACCATTTTTCTTCAGCATTTTTTTTGTGCTAAATGTAATAAGAGTGACCAGCTCTAAGGAGAGAGGCATCAAAGACGCCACCTGGAGGTCCGAGCGCATCCTCTACAGCACGTGGAGGCGCGACAGACTTCCTTAGTACACGAGGTCGGACTGGTGCTCTAGAGGGCCTCCGACAGAAACCGGAGTACAATTACACGGACGGACAACCTTCATCAGCCGGAGGTTGGCGGACGTTTTACGGCAGTGAGTACTTGCCGAAATCGAAAGAAGTGCGACAAATAGACGAGAAGCGAGCGGCGGGGGGAAGTAGCCCTTTCATCAGTCGGGCTAGGAGTAACTCACCGACAACGCATCCGACAGGGAAAGAGGAACATCTTGGTAAATATTGACGGATTTAGCTCTGGAGTCCGTATCTACTTCTACCTCAATCGTCATCAATATTTGAACTTTTTGGTCCTGGCTGTTCTTGTTTCCCCAGAATTTCTCAATAAAACGGTCAATCAAGAAGATTCCCGCTATCACCCAACCCTACTTGTTCCCAAACCATCTACTTGCTACCAATCCACAAAGGTCCCTACGGTCGCGTGTATGAGATAGCAGATAACTTGATGGACCGCAACCTTAGCAAACACGGCCTAAACCTCGCGAAAGGAGGAGTAAAAATGTCAGCAGCGGACCAGGAGAAAATGGAAGCAAGGATGATGGAGTTGAATATTACGATTTGGATTAGTTTGTGTTTGCTTGTTGGAGTAGTACGCATTGCTCTTTTTTTTGACACTCAATGTTCTTTCTAAGAAGCAGGAGAGAACGCAGATCGAAGCGATTCTGATGAAGTATCCGAGCAACAGCGCAGGCAAAACGCTACACGACAGGAAAAACAAGCAGCAAGCTGAGGTGCGCTTGGTGACGGTCGAGAAGGAACTCTCGGAAATTCGCGGAGTACTCAGAGCACATAGGAATCTAGTCGTTTGAATGGGTCGCAATAGCGCCGCAAATGGTTATATTTATTGTCGTCTATTTCATCGCGCTTTTCCTTTACGACCTAGGATGTTACTATAGTTCTCTTCGTCCTCGTAATAGAAATTTTTGTCTGGGTCACGTCCAGCCCAAAGCTGGCACGGATAATCGATGTATTTCGCATGCACTACCAGAGTATGAAGAACGCAAAAACTACTACTATTTGTTAGGTTACTGGAGACGTCTAAAGCGAGACTTGCAATAGAGAATCATGTAGCATCCAAGAACCGGTGATAAATGATACCTGAAGTACTAGAGACCGCAGATTTTATAGAAAGTACGAAGTACACATTCATAGAAATTCTACGCGCCGAGCTCGTTGAAGTAGTGCATAATAATTGATTGCATGAAGGAGAACGAGAAATAGAACGAAAATTGAAGGACGCATCTTTTGTACCAGCTTTTTTTAGTTTACCACGTACTCGCATCAGAAAAATCTTTCATTTATCAAACAATAGGACGCCTTGCCCTCGCGGAACATCTAGTCTTTTTCTGTATCAAGTCTTCATATGCAGCAGATGATAAGGACATTTGTTTCAGATGTGTCCTGGAAAGGATTTCAAATCAAGCAAAAAAAAGGAGATCGCCTCAGTTGTCCTCTATTATTGCAGTACAATTATTGCAGTGTTCGAACAGGGTAGTACCTTCAACAGGGATCCCTTTGCATGTGGCTTTTCTCGGTGAAGGCAGATATTTATTACATGTACGTAGCTGTGCGAGTGATGAGTGAGGAGACGACGAGCGTCGAGAGAGTTTGACGATTGACTTCTGGCGAGAGGGACATCATGTGGGAGAGAGAATGAGATCCCCCGTGACCTTCTTGTCCCCTAATTCTATCAGTCCCTCCAGATACCCACGTAGATTGATAAGAAAACGTTGCTTCTACAACGAACGAATATTATATTTTCCTTAAACACCAAAGATCCAGATTAGCAACAAAATGCGCGGTGCTGCTCTTGCTAGTAGCGTGTTAGTGGCGTCCGCCCTTGCCAGTGCTCCGGCCGACCTTTCGGCTGGTAATCCGTGGCAATTATTTGAGGAGTTTAAAGAAAAATACTCTCTGCATTTCGGCAGCCAAGAAGAGGACGCGAAGCGCTTTAGAATCTTCGAACAGAACCTGGGCAAAGCGCAAAGCCTGAACAAAAAAAGCAAGGGGAAGGCGCATTTTGGAATTACGGTATTGCCATTGAGTTCGTAGTTCATGCATTAGGTGTCTCTGCGTGTAGGTAGGGCACCGTAGTCCTCAGACTTCATCAAATCCAGCATAAGAAACGAAGAGCCACCTGTGAAATGTCTGCTTTCTCTGCGCCCACCGCTGCTGGTGCGTCGAACTAAATCGAAAGATTTGTAATTGCCATAGAAAATACAACCTCCTCGACACTGACACAGAAATTTTCCCACTTGTCGCCATCGGAATTCCGAACTCGTCATACGGGTTTCAAACCCGCACCTGGTCGCAAGCGTCCCGCAAAGAAGATTTTTAAGAAGAGATCCGGCTCGATCGACTGGCGAGAGATCTCGCTAGTCACACCAGTCAAGGATCAAGGGCAATGCGGCTCATGCTGGGCATTTTCGGCCACGGAGGCGTTGGAGACAGGGTAAGGAATTTTGAGGAAGTAGAAGTAGTGTGTGTGGAAATTCTTTTAACGATATGACGTGGCGGAAGAGCAGATAAGCTCTTGGTAAAAAAATCAGGGAATATAAACATGTCAGGGCTGGATTGCTCTTGAAGATCATCATCAACATTCCCTTGACTTATCGTCCAAGGTACTGGAAAAACTCCGGAAGTATGAAGATTTTGTCCGCTCAGCAGACCGTCAGTTGCGATCGTGAGGACCTTGCTTGCAATGGTGGAGATACCACAACCGCTTACGAGTACATGCAGTCAGCTGGTGGAGTTGAAACGGAATCTGACTACCCCTACGTGTCTGGAACTACTGAGCGTCGTGGAACATGCAAAGCAGACTCAAGCGAATTTGCAGTATTCCATTTTTGCTTGATGCTTATTTGTTGCTAGATGATCTTGGTCCTTGATATCGTCAAGACGGGCGATATCAGGGACACACATGACATGACCTTGGTACTTAGTTAATATCGTAAATGCGAATTAATAGTACTCAATTGTACCGAAAAGGAAAATGGTTGTTGGTATTAAAAAAGGTGTAATATTATCGCTCCTGCAGTACAATTGCAGCAGCAACACTTGTTTATCATACCCAAAAGAAACATCAAAAAGGTCAAGCTCGACTCCGTTCACACCGTTTCCCAAGACGAGTTCGGCGAATCGGATATGTTCAGCGCTATCATGACATCGCCAATGTCTATCTGCGTCGACGCTAGCTCCTGGCAATTGTATTTTATGAAGTCGTCAGGGACATCTTAGGCAGTTTGCCGAATAGATTCACATCGTCAGGAAGTGGGGAAGTGGGGTCGTTGTTGATTGCAAAAGTATTCTCTTCCTTGCCTTAAAGAATAGCTGGTAAAAGTATCCCGCATGCTCCCCTGTCTGGAAGAAATACGACGATATAAGTATATTATCTTTCTCTCTGTCGAACCCTCCCGCTCCCCCCATCCCTCCCGCACTCCTTCATACTCCGGGGTGGCGTGGTTGACAGCTCCACATGCGGAACGGACTTGGATCACTGCGTACAGGTTGTCGGTATCAAATCTGGAGAGTACTGGATTGTAAAGAACCAATGGGCCGAAGACTGGGGAGAATCTGGATACATTCGGTAATATAATTTTTGATAATGTTATTTTGTTAGTTATTCTTTACTGCTAGTAAGTAGGTACAACTTCAAGTGAAAAAGAAAAATCATCAGAAATCCTCCATCTACAAAGTTCTTCCATCTTTCCTCGATGCCCTTCATCCTCAACCTCTCTCTCTTCCCTCTCCGCCACTTTCAACCTCTTCCATCACAGCGTGAAAACTGGTGAGAATGCATGCGGCATTGCAATGGAAGCTACTATGGTCGACGCTGAAGACGAGATGAAACATGTTAGTAAGCGCCCAGTCCGCGACGACCCAACCGAAGAAATTATCGAGATTATAGAAGGTGTCATCTGTTCTTTCGGATGTATTTTTTTTACTAGCTACCTAGCTTCAAGAAATGTTAGTAAAGAAGGATAATTGACCCGTGTCCGTTTCATCTGTTTCCGTGCATGACAACATTGACATTGTCATGCAGAGGCGTAATAATTATTACACCCTTGTATCATGATGAGCATGAGTACAATGACAAACCAACCCCCATTGGCTGTCATTTGGTCTCTACGATAGATTTGTGGCCGATATACGTAGATTTGTGGCCGAATGTACGGTCTTATGCGCCCCCAGTATGTAATTTGTATGACATTAGTTGAACGCGCTAATTGATTGTTTGAAAGGGAGGCGGCTTATAGTCCTAACGCAAAAAAAAAGACTCTACGGTGATCAAGAACGATCATAACAGGGGCACACGCATGACATGACTTGAAAAATAGACCTTCTGCCCACTACCCACAGGTATCTCCGAAGGATTCGGTTTGAAGATGGAACGCGAATGCATTGATTCTAGCTCTAAAGTCGTCGACAAAATCGAAAAAGCTGTGGAATTGATGCAGGAGAGGACAACGGTACTACTTGATTTGTCAAACAAAATAGGTACCTCCTATTGTGAGAAATTGTTCGTTTTAAATATGACTAGGACTGACGATATAATTATATTGGCACAACAACACGCTGATGCTGAGAGAATTGAGAAGAACCCAAAATACCGTTTCCTCACAACATGAACATGATCAATAATCTCATACCATCGTCACTCTTATCTTGAATTTAAGACTCAACAACCCTCCTTTCCACTTACGACACAGGCCTCCATGATGAAAGCCTTTGAGATGTTGGAGCAAGCCTTGAGGGTCGACTGGCCAGCCGCTGCCTCAGCCTGTGCTGCAACAGCTGCCGAGCTGTCCAAGATTCTTGCCTCATTGGAGATCCTGAGGCACCCCAAGCAGTTCGCATATCATGTTTATGACTAAGTACTTTGATGATAATTCATAATTGTTTGAACACCGCATTGCATTTAAGTAAGCTTATCTGATGTACTGACTCTGCATGTCGTCCCTTTTTTCCCCACACTTTCAGTTCATCAGACACGTAAGCTACCAACATATCCCCTGATCTACCTAGTACTTGGTTACTGAGTACTAGCCCCCTGTCTTCATCTACCTACTTACCTACTTCATCTACCTACTTACCTACTTCATCTACCTACTTACCTACTTCATCTACCTACTTACTTACTTACCTACTTACTTACCTACCTACTTACCTACCTTCTTACCCACCGCTACCTACTTACCCACCGCTACCTACTTACCTACCGCTACCTACTTACCCACCGCTACCTACTTACCTACCGCTACCTACTTACCTACCGCTACCTACTTACCTACCTCCTCCTCCTCCTTACTCCTTTCATATCTTCGGCCAAGACCTGATTGTAAACGGTGTGGACATCTACAAGAGCGTCAACGCGGCAGTAGGCTTCTGGAAGGAGGCCAAATATGAGGACTTTGGCTACCAGATCGGCGAGGCCCTTAACTTGCTCATTGTAGGAGCGCAGGGAGGACAGCAGGAGTTGTACGTGTAGATGTAGGAGTTATTGATCCTTTGGGTTTTGGGGACTGAAAATATGTGTAAATACGTATAGAATTAGATTTTTTGCTACATTTGTTTTTTAGGTTGCGTTGTGACTTGTTGACATGGTTCGACTGTACTAGTGGGCACGACATATTTCTTACATAGGGATAATGCTGGGTGACATGCTCTCGCGCAAGGCTGACAAGTTACTATATTTTGATTCTCACGCATGATGTTGTCATGGGCTTTGGACATACGGTAAGAACTGCTTCGGGCATGTTTTGTATGTTGTGTAAGAAACACTACTGGACTGTGTATGTTCCTTCAGAAGTTGCTAACCGGAAATGAGTTATTCTAACCACCACAAGAGCTGTATACATAGCTAGATTTTTTTGATATCCATTCATGCACATCTTGCTAGAAAGTGACTTCTTAATGATTCCTTCATCATTCGACATGAGATTTGCTCCACATACGCGCTGAACCTGTTGTGCATTGCTTGAGAAAATCCGGACTGTCGAAGATACAAGGATTTCTCTGGTGTAAGAATATTTTCCGCACATAATTATGGACATCTCCGACCGTAAACCTACACCACATCGTTGAATACTGCGAGGCATGAAAACAAACGCGATGCGTGACCGCCAAGGCTCATGAGCAGACGCAGTCTCCTTTGGAACATGAAAGGAGGCGTGTTTTCTTCGCGCCGCGTTTTTCTACCCCGACTGACTGTGGTGGACTTGAGATGTCACCAATGGGGATGGACACAGCTAGAATAGACACTGATTGTGACATCGATCTATGCAGTAGATCTAAATCATGACCTTCTTGATCTAAAAGGTACTTAGACAAATCTTTGATTTACGATGGAATAGCTGATCTGCCATCCATCACTGATCCTTGTGATAGGCAAGATAGGCACGTATTGCCAGATATGAAGGCAACACGAAGATCGTTCATGCCTTCGTATTGTGGCCAATGGTGGGTCCGAGAACGCGGAGGCGTGCAAGGTACACTTTGAGAGGTACCGCTGTGGTGTTCATTTTGTATGGCATGCGATGGTTTCTTTATCCCAGAGGTGCTCCTGACCACCATCTCGTGTTTCACTGCTTCGGTCTAACGGGCTTTTGAACAAGCGAAGGTGGGATGTGAAATACTGGGATGGGGAAGCCATCTCCACATTAATGCGGAGCTCTTGAGGGGAGCAACTCGACATGGAGTGAGGGCCTCAACAACTGTGGTCAGATTCGGCAAAGATGGCTCAACGGCCGACTACAGCGCAACAGAAAGACAGGCAACGAGCAGCACGGAGGCAGATACCTCTGCTCTGCCGAAGTTCTACATCTACGATGATCCTAAGATACGGATGCCTTGGTACGACATCGAAAGCCCAGCATGTACCGAATACCAGGAGGCGTATTGGCGATCCGATGAAGGGGAGAATCACACAGCGCGGTGGCTCCTGGGAGGCAAGCAAACAACGGACTCTCGCTATGAGCTGGGAGGTGCGGACCGGTCTTTGCTGAAGTTCCTCGAAGAGCATCCTAATAGAGTGCGAGACTTGGCGGAGAGCAGGCTGTCGAAGGGCACGGACGGACAGACTGCTGAGAAGTTGCTTTACATCATTCTTAAGGCTATCTTCGTATTTGAAACCTGAATTATGCCGCCGAAATTTTATAGCTTGGGGAAAGTGTATGGAAAATGTAAATAGCGGATGTGCGCTGCTAAGCAGTTGCTCATTAAGTGCTCCATCTAAAAACCCCACCCCTCTCGCTGCTGCAGTACTGTGTGGCTGCCACGATGACGATCTTTGCTCCGATGTTGACACTGCCTTTGAAACTCTGATTGCGACAGAATCCTTCAAGCGGAATCATGGCAAGGACCACTTTTTGCCGGCGTTCCATTACATGTATGAGAAGTACAGGACGTGGAACTACAGGATTGTTGAGGACATGTTGACATTCGCTTTAGGCGAACGATGTTGCTGTGCCGATTCGTGGTATCGTGTTTTCACTTGTTGCTTTTCTTCACAGGTAACGTTGAGCCTACGAATCTCTTCTTCTAACACCAGTTATTCCAAGACTTTTCGGGTCGCTATCTTCCTGGTATTTCGAAGTGGTATCCGGTTTTGCGCAATATTACGATTGGCACCTTCGAGTATCATGGGTTCGGTCGCTTTGTGTCCAAGCATGACTCCGCAATAGGCCACAACTTTGGAGCAGTGTTTGACTTGGTAGATGATCCGCCACAACTTGGAGCTAGTATAATTGGGAATGCTGGAGATCATGATGACTTGGTCTCGGAGGTCGAGGAGCCGTTCGCTGCAGGAAAGGATCTTTAAGGCAAGGATCCTTAGTCGTCTCTTCTGTGAATTTGAATCTGAATGAAATTTCATCAAATCATGTGTTGTGGTTAATATACTGCTAGTACCTAAGTATTTCGAGTACAAGACTAGTTATCAACATCGAGTCCACCCCAAGAAGAAAAACCTCTAATACATCGCCAAGGTTCCCTACCTGAACGAGGAAACAGGGAAGATTGAGTCCTATTACGCGCGTTTCGTCGATGGAGCAGCCAAGGTTCGACCAAAAAGCGTCGACGAATATGCAAAAACAATGGGTGTACTTGGGAGTCATATTATGGACCGAAGAGAATATGAAAATGTAGATGATATACTTACTGTTGTGTAACACGGGAGACAACTACGGGAAGTAGGTTGGTAGATCAGAAAATTTAAGATTACGGATACTAGCAAGACTACTCACTTTCATCACGGGGATACTAGCATCAGCATGAGGAATATGAACTCAGTAGCGAATTATCGTCAAGGTCTTCTAATCATCAATGGCCCTCGACGAGCCGACTATTGGCAGGAGCACGCGAGCCTCCACACGTCTTGAAGGGCATGAGCGTGCTCGTATCGACAGCGTTGCTACCGCCTCGACTTTTCTTCTCTGCGAATCCTTACATTCAACGGACTTTAAGTTAGGCCAAATATCAATCTCGAAAACCTAGTTGTAAACTTTGACTTTCTTCATCTGTTTTTGACGGCTTCTCTAATCAACCCCCGCCCCCAACAGTGGCCTGCTCCTAGCGACGAAGGACGATCAAGCTGACGGTACTCATATCGCAGTAAGAACTCGGTTTCGAGGGCGGGCTACTAGAGATTGGCGAGCCTTCTGGGCTAGGGATGAATACAATGATGAAAACCGTCTTCGCTTTTGGTGGGAAGTTACAAAGCGTGCCTTGGTTTTACCCAGACCAGGTCGTAAAATCGTTCGACCTGTTGTGCTAGTAGGAAGCAAGAGCAGTGGCCGCGGAACATCTTCAATTATGGGCACCAGCGGAACAATCAGTACAAAATTTTTAATTAGTGATTTTTACCACACCAACTGGCGAAGACGGAAAACCTTCTTTTTTTATCGCATACGAGAACGCACAATAGCCGGACGGGGAACGCAGTGGTTCCGACATGTGCTGATCGTAGCAAAAAGGCGGATTCTGGATGCTTTCATCAAAGATATGGGGATCGGACCGAGGGTTACGATACAACACGTTCAAGGTGTTGCAGATCCACGACCTTCGTTTGGAACAACGGAAACTCCTCCAATATCTTCTGCACCTTCGTCCTCTGCAAGTAGAGGCAGTTCTTCTGCTTCCGGTTCTGCTTTCGGTGGTTCAGCTGTCCGCAGTGCTAGGGCCGCTTCCTGGGACAAGTCTCCACCGATCCCACCATGGTGGCGTTCACACTTCTTCAATGCAGGCTACTCGCTGTCGAACGATCGGAAGTGGGCACGAACTTGGTCGGATAGCAAATTTTGCCTCATGATGCGGGGAGACACGTTCTCATTATGACTCAATGTTGATGTCTTAGAAGAGTTTCAGTCCTAGGAGAATGAAGTCTCAGTACATACTTCTGACAGTAGAAGTTGCTGTACTCATCTCGTTTGTATTCTACGTTCAACTTTTTTTCATTCTACCTACGTTCAACTTCAATGGCGCACCTTGCAGCTTCAGAGTGACCTACATTAGAGGTAGGTTTTTGGTGTTCGTTTACCCCGTTCGTTATGCCTTTCCCCCTTCAGAAAGGCAACACGAACGGTAACAACAACACCTCTAACCTACCCTTAACTACACTTCAACAGAACACCTTGTAGTTTGATGAGATTGACACCATCAACTACCTCAAGCACAATGAACGTTCATTTTGTATGAAGACTTTCGTCTACGCGATCCGGACATTCTGCATACCAGTGATCGTTAGCGATCTGTTCGGGGCTACATCACTGCCGTTTCCTAGTACTCTACGGACTCGAGCTTTCGCGGCACCTACTTTCGACGAAGGGAAAAATAGGACGAAAATAGAACAACGAGGAGTGCCGTCGTCGTCAGGCATCTTCTTGAGTAGGGATCATGATGACCAGAGAAAAGACTACGTTCAAATGAAGCTTGTTGTAAGGAAGCAACGTGGAGATAGAAAACAAGGGAAGCGAATTAGCAGGGCGAAAAGAAGAAGCTTCCGTCCACGCCTTGGCATCGATGTGAAGCACGTTTTAGGGACTAGTGGAGGGGTCCAAGCGCAGGAGACGGAGTCATCGAATACTAGACATGAAGATACAAGATTACAAGAACGACAAAGAGAGGGCTTTGAGTTATGGTCAACTTTTCGCTATTGTTGTTCATTTTTTTGCCCAAAAGACCTTGTAGATGTGTCTTGATGTTCTTGTCCACAAACATATATCGCTCTAAAACTTAGCAAAGGGGACAGCTTGGATGCAACCTCCCAAGTGCCGCATCCTCGTCAAGGTCTGCGGCTTTCCGATTTCGCCATTCAGATTGCAGAGGCAGACTTCCGACATCACTACTATTTCCTTCTGCATTATCTCTACAGCCTACGAGACACTGAAATTATGCGTCTTTTGAAGGGTATTCATCGTGTGCAGCCCTTGCTGGATTACGAGCATCCAGATGCGTCTCGCACAATAACAGACGCGCTACTTGTGGAGTTGAGGCATCTGTTGAAGCTGTGAAGGCATCTGCAGGGGTTCCTCAAATTATGTTATTCGACGATTATTTAAAGATTTTGAATTCGGCAGGAGTGTCTTTGCTTCTCTGGGAGAACAAGTAGGATAAGCATAGAGTATCAAAATCAGAACGGGATACCAGATTCGAGTGTATATGACTTGCACCATTGGAAACAAGAGAAATGATTAATGCAAAGTGTTACTTATTCTTATCTTATCGCCTCGAGCTCGATGCCGATCGCTTTCGCTATTGCCAATAACTTGAGAATATAGAATGAAGCTGTAGTTGTAGTTTTTGAGCAGGTACGCGCCGATGTTTTTTTCTTTTCCCGTATCAGAACAGAACTCTTCGGGATAGTTGAAGCGACATGTCCCTGTCCGCCATGCCCATGTCCGCTATGTCCGCTTTCGTGTCACCTGTTCTTGTTGAGTTGTTCCTATGCACTGTTGCTTTTCCTCTGGTGAGGCTAGCTGTTGCAAGAGGACTGGTAGGAAGAGCAATCCTGATTCTGTTTTGAAAGCAACTTATGACTGAGAAAAAAGGCATGAGAAGCAAGTAGCGGAGAATAAAAGAGAGAAAGCAGACCAGGGATACATCAAGGTGGAGAATAGAGGTGGACGCGATAAAGCTGCGAAAAATCATGCATCTAATTTGTTCAAAGGATGTGCCACTAGTTGCTCTTCCTACTTTCAGGAAATTTGTATTATAGAGAAAAGAACATCATCATGGTTGACTTTCTGAGAAGTCTCGAAAGCGAGCAGAATCGCTTCACGGAGGCGCCCGCCTTTGGTAACGCACTTCCCGGAAGCATTACCACAATTCGAGGTAACAACAAGAGCAGTAGGGCTGAGCATAACTTCTACCCGAATTCGACGGTCGCTGGTCAGCATGGTGCCCTTTCTGCCTCGGTTGTAAATCTTGTTGGGGAACAGACAGGATCGCACGTAGTACAACAACAAGAGAATGGGAAAGCTCACTCAACAACGTCCCATAATGCAACAACATCATCAAGACTAAGAGCAGATGATGGAGATCATGTAGGAGTAGATTCGACTCCCGACTGCGTCGGAGATCCTGTGACAGAAGTGAAGGCCGTTTTTGATGCTGTAGAGTCCAGAATAGCAGCTTTACACTTGCTAACGACAAGCGACTGTTCTTGTAATGTTGGAGGCGGTTCTAGGAGTTCATTAGTCACAACATCAACAACAACATCAACATCGTCGTCCTCGTCTGTTGAGCAGGCCACTTCATCTGTGTCCAACGCAGCCACTTCTTCATCAATATTATCCTCAACGAAAGAAGATCAAGATCATGCTGTTCCAAGAGGAGCTGGCGCAGCACCTGGCAGCTTTTATTTCCTGTCAGATCAAGAAATTTTGGATCGTCTCATGGTCGACGAAGATGCACACCCTTCAGACGGCGCAACGCCTGGGCAACAACAGCAGCAAGAAGAAGCTGTAGACGAGAACAGCAACAGATACGACACGTCAACAAGAGGAGAAGGTGGAACTCAAGACGAGCTGTCTTTCATTCTGGAGAAGCTGTGTTTTTTTCCGTATCTGCCGGCTAAAATTCAGACGGCACTGAGGGAGAAGAACGTGCAAGCGCTGCCTCTAGGGAGAAGATTCACTCTGCATCAGGAGGAAGTATTTCTAGGAATGTGGATGAGGATGACTGTGAACGTAACGTACTAATGGATATAGCGAGTTGCTGGAGTCACCTGTGTATTCATCTGTGGAAAAAATACGTAAGTAAGTAAGTAAGACACTCGGACAACAGCTGTAACTACACTGCACGCGGACAAATACCATAAACAGGTTGTAGCGAATCATGTCTACCAGTTTCTTCTGTGGCGAGAAAGCGAGAATCGCGTTGTCATGGGTTGGGCGTGGCTGTATCGGAATTACGACAAATTATGATATAAGGACAAATAACTCAAGCTGATAACGAAGCCCATAAGTCATCTTCCACGCTTGTTTTTGTTGTCTTGTGTTTCTATTTCTCTTGTTTGTCTAGTCTTGTGATTTCTCTTATGACTACTTTTTACCAGAGACTTAGGCAATACCACTCCCACTGCGTAGGTCGAAAGACCATCGTCGTGAAGATCTTCCTTCTAATTAAAATATGCAAATCTTCAAAGACGAAATCGCAAAAAACGACAGACAACAGCGTGGTCCAATTACCTGGCTGGATTCGACAATATCTCAAGGGTGCGGGTGGAAAGACGAGTTGTAAGACCCTGTCGAAAAAGGAAGCTGCTGCGAACGAAAACCCTCAGAAAAAATTGAATAAAATGCTGAAGGAACTTATGAAGAGGATGAAATTTGTCGAACTCCTGGTGGTGAAATGCTTCTCGCAGTCACAGTGATGCAACACTACGCATAAGGATAAGTGTGTCGTGAAATATCTCAGGTATAATATTTTTCTGATTCATCTAGCTACACCGAAGAGGGTCCTATCCTCTTTCATATACCTAGAAGGCTGGATGGACGATCGAGCGGAAGAAGTTGAAGAAATGCTGGCAGATTTGCGGTCTGATGTACTGGACACTGTTTCGAGTCACCAGCTGATGATGGGCTCACCAAAGAAGTCGGGTGGTGCTAGTGGAAGTCACGTGAATGGACATTTATGGCCAGGGAAGGATATCTACTCGTACTCAATATGCTCATCCCAGTACCAGGCATTATAGTTTTTTTTTCCTACCAAGTCATGATCATCATGGATGGTGCATGAGAAGACCTCCGTTGTTGTGCTACTTCATGATCTGTTACTTAGGTTCTAGGTACTTAGTTGTTTTGTAGCAACAAGATCATCAACGTCCACCCCCATCTCCTTTTCATACACGGCAGCAGCCCACTATTACTACAATGACGAGGACTTGTCGGAAGAACACGGTATACGTTCCGATCAAGAAGACGAGCGATCTTCGTCATTCCCAGAGATGTCAACGGGAGCAGAAGGGCCTTCGTCTTCGTCAGCCTCGTTTTCTTATGGCCATGTTCCATGGTCGCATATAATTTCCTGGACAATATCCTCGGAGGACTGGCATTCCTCTGAAAGCCGACAGTGACATCAGACACCCTCAAGATATTGAGCTACATATAATTCTGAAAACTTACTTAGTTCCGATCTAGATCTACTTTGACCTTATTCTTCTTCCCCCTAATCTTCGATTCTTCTCTAAGATTCTGCGAATCCAAATCCGCCTCCAGTTCCCGCTCGGCCACTGTCACCCGCATCAATCCAGCGCAAGGCAGAAGAACAGGAGGTGCTGGAAAAAATAATACATCGCCAACGCGAATCATGGATCTCAAGGCTACCGGACGTGCGATTACTAAGACAGCAGCGAGCTGAGGAAGAGGCAGAACAACAAGTTAGAAGGCAGCAACAAGAACTGGATGATAGAAGAGGTGAGCAAGGGGAAAGTTCTTTGGATGCTGGCACGGACGGGAACGGAGTAGAAGGAGGATCTTCTTATGGAAGGAAGAGCACTTAGCGTTAGCACGTGGGTGGAGTGAAGATACTAGTACTAGTACTTGATAGATTTATTTAATACTACAGACAATACCAAAAGATCACTTACAACCACCTGGGTTTACAACTTTCAATATATATTACAGACAATACGTATAGATACGAATGGATTTAGATGCTACAAGATCCAAGGAAGGAGTCCAAATGCTAAATACGTAGACGACGTAGAAGATGATAGAGGACGTAGAAGATGACTCTAAATTCCAGCGAGTTCATCGTCCCATGCCCATGAGGGTAAACGGGTGACTATAGCCGACCACGAGAAAGAAGTGAGGCATTTTCCACAGCTTAGTGGTTCGGGAGTAGGAAATGCACCGCCTTTACCAGCCTACAAGGAGCGGCGCATGCAGCATGCAGCGACTAGAAAAGGAGCAGGCACAGGGTTACATCGGCAACTTCCTTTACGGCTTGCATCACTTGATGCCTACTTGACCTGCATAGGAGTCGTGACCTTTGGTTGTTGGTCTTTGTATCGCTGCTAGAGCTAGTGGTGAATATTTATAAGTAATTATGACAGACGTTCCTCACGCGTTTACGTACCATGATTTTTGTAGCTGATAGTAGAATAGCGACGCAAAATTGTGAGTGTGAAATTGCAAAGAACCTCATCGTTCCAGTTCTAATCTACGGAGCTACATCTTCTATGCTGCCAGCAGGCAGCACGCAGGGAAATTCTTCACCAGGAGGAGGCATGCCAGGAGCGTCACCTACACCAGGCAATAACAGGCACAATCGCCACTCTTGTTCTACTTCTTCCGCATTAGCAGCAAAATTGAGTCGTAATCCAGCGATCGCGGCACTCTCAGCTGATATAGAGGCTAAATACAGGGAGTTAGACGCTGTAAGAAGTGGAGCAAGTAGACGACTTGGGTTGGGTGTGGGAGGTGCCGACTCCAGTAGAACTTCCTCATCATCACCCGCTAGAAAGCGCACCTATTCCAACGGAACAAGCTCCGGAGCTGCAGGTAGAACGCAAAGCAGTGTGTCTTCTAGAAACCAAACGAGCACAATGGAAGACAGCGTGGCGAATATGAAGATGAACCTCCTTCAGCAGATGAACTACAATAATTAAGGCTCAACTTTCAATGGTCACCATTTAGATTGGAGTCACTGAGATTGAAGAGGCGACCCCTTCCTGAGAGAAGCAACAGGGGAAATAAACGAAGGGACGAGAGCTTTGAAGGGCGTCTCTTCCGTTCAGAGTCATGATGACCAAGATATGCTGAGCTTTAAAATAACAACCATGATTATAATGCTGATACGTCAGCAGCAAGTGGTCAACATTCTCATTCTGCAACGACCACGACTACTTCCAAAAGCAAGAAGATGAGACAACCGCATCACCAACAAGGGTGCTCTTCCTCAGGCGTCTTTCCTCCAGAAGGAGAGCGACATGGACAAGGACCACATGGACTTCAGGCTCATCCAAGTCCTCCTATGACGCAGGAACTCATAGAGGGAGTTATCGCTAAGAAGTTTTCGGCTCCTGTACAGCGAGACCTATTCGGCGAAGGCTGGACCGCAGAGCTTGTGTTCCGACCACGCATCAAAAATCACACGTTGGAACTGAATGCGGAGTGGGCGTGGAAAAGGAAATGCTGACTCTATAGGGGGAGCGGCTTGTTTTAGCTAGGGGAAAGTAAATACCACGATTACTAGTGCGGATTTCTATTCAACATTTTCATGTTCATCTACCACGGGAGAGGTGCAGCACATTACGTTGATCATAAAAATGAACGTGGTCTTTTACTCTGAGACCTCGCAGTATTTTTGGGTCGGATCATAACCTGCAATACAAGTACAGCGAAGAGTGAAGAAAGAAAGACTATTACAAAACGTCTTACATGATTTTTGACACTTAAGGATAAGGAATACAACTGCACAGAAGTCTACTCCGTTTTACTAGGTAAAAGCTGTAACAGGATAAGAATATAGCAATACAAATATATTTCCACGTTAAATCGAGACATCACTATTTTATGAAACAAATTCACCCGTTTTCCAGACGAGCCAAGAAATAGAATTCCTTTATCCGTAACAAGCAAGAGCCATTTTTGAGTGGTTACCGTGCGCAGCTAAGAACGTAGAATGTCAATGTGATAATTTGTTCTGTGGATGAACCGGGAAAATGAGCAAAACTGTATCTTCTGTGCTGGATAAGTACAAAAAATCTGCCTCTGTAGGAGTAAGAAAGCGGCAAAGTAGAAGGCACGTAAGGAAGGCGCGCTAGTCCCAAAAAAACGGCGGATTCTGAGAAACATTTACAAAAAGTTCTTCTTCTTTTTTCTGAACAAGATTGATTGTTCTTTTTTCTGAAAATGCTGTCTTCCACTTGTCTGATGCTTGCGAATCGTATCGTGCCCCATGTTTTTTCTGAAATCTTCAAATCCAAATCCAAACAAGATTGTTGAATAAGAAGAAAATCATGCCAGCGTCGACAGGAGGCAGTACGAGGACCACCTCCTCTGGGGGAAGAGCTCCGCCAGCTGGCTCCGGGGTCCCGGGAGGCACTGCTTCTGTGAATCCCACGACTTCTACCATTATGAAAGACTATAGCTTCAACCATTACGAAGAACTGTAGCACCATGATGATAATGAGCTTGTTCTATTGATATTGTTCTCATGATAGATACATAGATGACCTGTTGTTCTATCTAGGAGGTTGAGTGTTTAGTATGAGAACCTGAGCAGGTCTTCCTGCAAAGAACGTGTTGCGCTGTCTAGTGACTGGTCTAATGATGCTACAACTACCTTCGTTTCCGATTCGTCAGGCATTGATTGGGCTGGAGTCTTTCTGGACTTAGCAAGCGGAATTGTGCCGCCACCAGCAAGACTCTTCGATCTGGCGATCATTTTGTTATGGGAATATGTTGTGATGGAAAAAGATATTGGGTGATAAAGATAAATAATTGAGAATGTCCCGCCCCCAAGTCAGGAGCACCAAAAAGATAACGATGAACTGAGTCACGACGTGCTGCGCACGGTAAACAGACTGTGCATGTGCCTTCGAATCCAAATTCAAAATATGGATTCGCAGTATATAACTTCTCCATCACGTCGTTGTGCTTCCTATTCCTTGTTTATCTTCATGAGAGAGGTGTATTACAATCACTTCCTTGTCTGTTCTTCGGTTCTTTGCAGGCAGAAACCACTCAAGAGTAAATCTAAAGGAATATGATCAAGAACTTTTTTGCAGTGAGCTTCTGTTTAGTTCCGCCAGGTCTCTCAGAAGTGCCACTTTTATGACTCTTCTATGAAGGCTCTAATCCCAATGCTGCTTGTGGCGGGATTTCATTGCTTCATGCATTTCTTCTTCTTGTACTACTTCGACTCAGAAACGGCGAAGCGACGGAAAGCCAAAAAAGAACAAGAGGAAAGCAAGGAGAAAAAATTTCCGTACTAAGACGACTAGTAACAATGCAACAACAAGCTAGCTCAGCGGGTAGAGGTCGTCAGTGCGTTTTTCTATTCTCTTCAGCAGCATCCAGAGGACACAAAATTAATTATTTTCCTCTCATCTGTGAAGTATTTTTTTCGACTAAGTATCTAAGATCACAACAAGGGTATTTTCCACTCAGGTTTGCAGTCGTTGTGGGCGCGTTTACTCTCGGAGTTATCGGATACGAGTATGGCGGATGTTACGCCTGTGCTTTCAAGAAATATCTTGGTATAAAATCAGTTTTCTTATTTTGGATTTTGATGTCAGTGTCAGTCGTGACTAGTACAGCAATTAGTGTCGTTCTTATTGCACTAGAGCTTCTTCTTCTAGTGCTTCATGGAAGAATTTTCCAATGCCAGGCGTGACCACCAGTTTGATCCAAGGAGTACCGGAATCAGGGTTACCGCTTGGGGGCGAGTTATGATATTGCTGGAAACAACTCGCAGTGTGGCAGAAGCAAAATTGGCCACGGAATACAAATGAAGTCACACGAAGATACAGCAGTCAGGCCGCAACCGTCCCCAATTACAAATTATGATTATCTCTTCAAGATTTTTGCTTTTCTTGGTGTCCGTCTCACAGTTCTGCAGGTTTTTGAAAAAAGCTGCCCTGAGGCAGTCTAAGACAAAAATACAAATACTTACTAGACGTGTAGCATTTTGATATCCTTTCCACAGCAGACATCAAGCTTTCGGTCATCGAAGTCGCTGTCTATCCAGGTGGCTCGCCGATAGTCCAGTCCATTCTCACTATTGCTACAAACAGAAAACCCTCTGAATTAGGCTTGACAATCCGGTCTTCACACGAGGACTGTTCGGTCCATTCTCACTATGGCTTGACAAATCGATCCAAAGAAGGGATTCCCGTTTAATTCCAATTTACTTAGAGAGTATATCATCCCAAGAAGGGTCTCCAATGAATCTTATGAACAAGTAGCGCGCAAGGAGATGGCGCACATTGATCACGGGTACGCTGGTAGTTATATGGGCAGCCGCAGCCTTCTGGTGGTGTTTCACTAAGGACGACCCTGGTGTTGGGAGAGACAACCAAAAAGGCAGTTCGTTGTTGTATTCTTTTTGGCAACACACGAGTGAGAATACAACACCTGTTGCATATATGAGAGAGTGAGAGAAGGCATAAGCATGACTTTCGATCGCAAAGTTTGAAAAAGGGCAACAATTATAGAAATCTAGTTTACTATTCCAGAATATTTTCACCAAGACCTCCTTCGAGAAAGTGAAATAGTCCGATGTACTACGGTAGAGGCAGAAAACAAAAAAAGTAATAGTCCCCTCATTTTTGCAAAAGGTGTGAGTATACGTGGTTTCTCGAAGTCACGCAGATGGAGCACTTCCGTGGCGTAAGTTGTATTTACCACAAGGAAGAATCATGTTTTTGTTTGTTACTAAGTAATAAGTACATTACTACCACATGATTTAGAACGTGGTGGAGTAGTTCTACTTCAGCACTAATAGATATAGATCCATCGAGGACTCAAAATGCCTTCTTTGCGTTCCGGCGCGTGGGCGCAGCAGCCTAATGGCAGTCGCGCCGTTGTGTCCGGAAGGATTGGTGGAAGGCCTGTGGATGCCTCTTCGACGATAAATTCTGGCGCCTCTAGTACCACTTCAAGCGGTTATTCAAGTGGGATCATGGGTGGCAAAATAGCCTCTGGAGGTAGTTACGCACAACAGGCCTCTGGAAGCCATGCTCAACAGTCTGGCAGCTACGCCCAGCAGTACAGCAATACTGCGGCAAGATTGGCAGTACCCAGCGATCGTCGGCCGAGAAGTCGAGGTATATTCGATGTTAAGCAGGTTTTTCTGTCATTTTTTGAAAGAAGAGAGAAAGAGATACTGTTGACTGATAAAAGAGAAGAGATTCATTAAGAGATTCTGTTAAATTTTTTGATGACACTGTTGACAACTGATGAAAGAGGTGACACTTCGTTTCCGAAAATCAAACTACAGGCGCGTCCCCTGTCGAAATTTTGCCGTCACCGGCAGCTTCCGGGACACCAACTTACTTTTCGCCTCCTGCAGGCACGCGCTCTAGAGAGGAACCGGCGCCAGCAAATGAATTCCGCTCACAATTGCACCAACAAATTATGAAGAAAAGTTTAGTAAGTAGTTCTAACTTTGAAGATGTTCATTCTTCAAGAGAGAGATAAGTAAAGTAAAGATTGAGTTATCTCGTCAAGTACAACAAGGACTTACACTTTCTTAGAAGGAGTAGGTACTCCTACCCACAGCCAGCACATTTCATCGAAGAACTACTCAACTTTCATAACTACGTAATTGTAAAAATTCCTCCCTTTCTTCATAACTAGTACTCATACATTTAGATAACCCTAAACCATTCCTCCCTTTGTTCATCTACTAAGGAAAGCGAGTTGCTACACGATGTCGAAGAGGACATGAAATTGGCGTTCAACAGTCTGGTCGATCGCATAGCAGACGAGTTTGACGATGTGCATAAGATGATCGAGTTTCGTTTGCAGTTGAGTGATCGACGTGCGAGAGACGTGGAGCAACGTATGCGCACAGACTTGCTTAATGTCACGAGCGATCACGATATGGGCTCGGCGAAAACAGCTTTGTTTGCAGACACGGCCAAGTCGGCGGACACGGCCAAGTCGGCGGACACTGCGAAGGTAGCTGACACTGCGAAGGTAGCTGACACTGCGAAGGTAGCTGACACCGCGAAACTAGCCGACACTGCGAAACTAGCCGACACAGCCAAGCTAGCCGATACAGCGAAACTAGCCGACACCGCTACCTTTGCCGAGAAAGCAGACCAGGCGGAAAGTGCGAAGGTTGCTGAAGTGGCTGCGCGACTGGAGGAGGATGAGGAGATCCGACTACTGGATCAGCAAGGGAGGAATTTGGAGAAGCGAATCAAAGAACTTTTCGCCATGGAGGCGACAAAATTACAAAGCGGCGCGGAAGATATGAACCGATTTGTACGGGAGGAACTCGGAGATAGCATGGTACCTTCCTATGTATAGATGTAGATAGATCACTCACGCAGCAGTCCTTAGTACTACGGCAGAGGAGCTCCTGTTTTTGGTTCAGCTACAGTTGCAGTCTATTTAGCCGTAGTCGTACAACGATATACGTACTTTCTTCCACCAGATATCTCTCCAGCGGAAGCTCGTGGATCAGCAAACCGGCTTCGCCGCAACAACAGAGCATATGCAACAAAACCTCGCAGACTTGAGCAAAGAATTGGAGAATCAGCGAGATGAAATTCTTGCGTCAGATGCGGCTTTGCGAGCGGACTTGAGTGCTAGGGTAGAAAATATGCGACAAGATTGCCTCTCCTTTTTAGACGTGCGAGGACAGGAGCAGAAGACTGGAAGCGCTACCTCTGAGGTGGATTCGGCGTTGTCAAAGAAAGCTTATGAGAGCGTGGGGGCTTTGGAGGTAAGTACTGGAGAAAGAGAAATAGTTTTGCAAATGTTAATGCCAGCGACGATGTTCATCTTCATCTTGGATGAACGGCTTCCGAAGATACTTCAGTTGTAGACTGAGTTTAACAAAGAACTGTCTGATGAAGAACGAGGTACGATTGTCCCATTCCCATAGTCTCTCCACCACCTACGTCAAACTACAGCGCCTAGTCCATTCGCTTGGCAGCGAGTTTCGAGAGCTCGAGAAAAGGCTGCTGATACGTGCAGAGGATGATTGCGAAAGGATGAAAGTTGTGGCGAGTAGTCTTGCTTCGTCGTCAGTTGTCAGTGTATTCACGGCCTTTCCTTAGAAGAACGCCTGTATCAGATACCAAATGCAGAACTTCATCTTGAACTTCTCTCATCAAGAGTGAGATCTAGTTCCAGATCTACAAACGTATACGTATTTACTTCTATTTCAACATCTTTCATCTAACACAAAGCTAGTCGAATCAGCGATCGCTGACACAGTGTCGCGAGCGGACGAAGCCTTATCGAAGGCTGAGGTGGCACAGAGGAGCGTAGATGAGAGTATGGAGCGATTGGATGCAACTCTCGTGGAGCATGCAGAGGCACTGCAAGACGCCAGAAAATCTGCATCGGAAAGTGCGGATTCGAAGGTAGCAGATGAGGTAGCAAAAGACGTGGCGGGAGTGAGATTATGGCTTCTATTACTTAGGGTCTAATCAGATTCAGACCGGGACTTGAGGAACGAATTTTTAAGTATAAGCACTGTACTTATAGATTGAAAGTCTAGATCATGATCATGATGAACGAAGTAGGACGAGAAGATTCATGTGCACGACTAAGAAGACAGTTTTCATCCTCCGCGACCCCGCCACAACTTTCCACACCTACTTACGTAGGACTACGATCGTTCTCTAATCGAAGAGAACATGAGAGAGTTCGCAGAGAATGTCGATGGGCGTTTCGAGGCGACTGCGAGCCAAGTGGACGATGTAGCCGCACGGGTAGACCGGGCATTAGAGGAGGTGGCGCTCGTCGCTCTGCGTCTACAGGAGGATGAAAAAAAGTTGACCAGTTTAGGCCTTGCACAGGAAACGCGAGAAGTGGAAGGAGGAGTGCGAGACACGGTTTCCGTTATGGCAAGATCTGAGAAGGTGGTCAGTTACCGAGTCTAGGGACATGGCTTTTACTTGTTTTAGCCTGAGAGCTCAGATCATTCACTAGAACTTCAATTTCTATGACCGAATATTGTTCTTTTTCTAATCATACTAGAGATCATGAGGAAATTTTCGCGCAGGCCACGCAAGCCAGTGAGCGCGCAACACTAGCCGCTACAGAAGCAACCAAAGCGAGTCGGGTAGCTGAGAATGCGTGTGTAAGAATGGAGGAAGTGTCTGGGAAAGCAGATACCGCTTTGGACAAGGCAGACACCGCTTTGGACAAGGCAGACACCGCTTTGGACAAGGCAGATACCGCTTTGGACAAGGCAGACACCGCTTTGGAAAAGGCAGACACCGCTTTGGAAACGGCAGACACCGCTTTGGAAAAGGCAGAAGACGCGTTTAAGAAGGCAGACGCGGTCTCGGAAAAGACAGACGCGGTCTCGCAAAAGGCAGATACTGCAGTGCAGGGTGTTATTGCGGCCAGAGACAAGGCAGAGGAGGCCTTGGAGACTGGAGCTATGGCCTCGCAGATGGCAGAAACGGCAACACAGAAAGCAGATGTGGCAGCAGAACAGGCAGCAGAGGCGTCGCAGAAGTCAGCAGAGGCGGCGCAAAAGGCAGGAGAGGCGGCGAACAAGGCAGACCAGGCGGCGAGCAAGGCAGACACTGCCGCTGAAGATGCTGCAATTGCATTAGCCAAAGCCAACGATGCACTAGTTGCAGTCGCGGAGTCACAGTCATCACAAAGAGCTACTACTGCCGAAGCGACAACGACTACGACTACGGCTTCAAACGTGAATAGTGATGTAGAAAAATCCGTAGTAGAAGCATTGCGAAAAGCCGACTCTGCAGTTATAGGAATGGAGAAGGTTTCAACGAATGCAGAAGCTGCCTCTTTGCTTGCGAAGGAAGCAACGGCTCACGCAAGCGAGGCAATTGCGAGGATTGAGGACATTTCCGAGCAAGCTAATACAGCCTTTAGTATTACGGGACAGCATCATAAGTAATTTATTAATTTAGTATATTTCCATTCGCTTTCTTACGAGACTGTTATATATAGTTCTTGAACTTGAACGGAGACGACTTTGTTTCCCAAAAGTCGAAGTAATGCGGTGATCTCTAACACTAGAATCGACGATGTCTCTGAACAAGCAGCTGAGGCTCTTGCAAGGGCAAGCGCAGCCGCTGAAGAAGCGAGGGAGGCAGCAGCGAAAGTTGATATGCTCGCTGCGCAATCATTGGAGCCATCCTCTGCCAGTGTTATGAAGGGCAACTGATGTGTCAGCACAAAAGATAAAGTTGTTCCTGACATCGCGAACTGAAAAGATGCTACACAAGTGGTCTACAGAAGCGGATGTTCTTTTGGGCACTCAGAATCCGAAGTAGATTTTTAGCCGTTTGTTGCCTACTCTAAAAACTCGAGCAGCGTCGCTCATCTTGCCAAAATCGAGAGCCAGACAGGTGACGCATTAGCGCAAGTCGATGTGCTATCAACGCAAACGGCTGAGGTTGGAGCGAGACTAGATGCTGTGTCTGAGCAAACAGCAGAGGCTTTGACCCAATGCGACTCGGTTGCTGCTCAAGCTAACTCTGCTTCGCGAGCTGCCGCTGATGCCGCAGAGGACGCTGCAAAAGCGTCCTCTCAAGCCTCAAACGCATTGACCCAAGCCCAGACAGTTGCAGCCGAGATCTCGGATGTCTCAGCGAAAGCCGATAGCGCACTGACGAAAGCGGAGAGTAGTCTAGCGCAAGCAGAAAGTGCGAGTATCCAAGCAGAAAGTGCAGGCGCACAAGCGGAAGAGGCGATAGCAAGAGCAGACGCAGCATTCGCACAAGCGGATGAAGCAAGTGAGAGGATAGAAGGCCTGGCGTCGGAGGTTGGTGCGAAAACACAGCAACTTGAGGCACGGCAGAGTGCGCTGGAGACAGAGATGGCGGGAATTTATGAGTGAAACTGTAAAAATAGTTGTAATTGAACAGATTCAGATTGATTTGTCCTCCTGCTCCTACGTGATTCTTGACGTCAATAGAGAGTTACCTCCTTCAACTGCATACCCAGCTAGTTTACAACTTACTACAATGAATCTCACTTCTCCCTCTTTCATACTTGGATACAAAACTACGCACAAGTCATGGATAGACACAAGCAAGGCGGCCACGAGGAGCTTGAGGCTTTGCTAAATGCTCGTGTAGACGCTGAAGTGGCAGCACGTGTAGACTTCGCGGTCGAGCAGAGATTACACAGTCTCCTCTCAAGTTTCATCATGAACACAGGATCATCAGGACAAGGAGGGAGGGGAGGTAATATGTCCACTAGCACTATGGCTATGGCCGCTGCATCTTCTTCTTCTAGTACGTCTTCAAATGGTAATGGAGAAGGTGAAGACCCTATGAAATGCTGTGGAGGTGGGGCAGCGGATGAGGTCATGGCAGAGACAGCAGACGAAGGGCCACAAGTTGCGGCGCGCACGTTTTCATCTCAGATTGTGGAACAGGAAGTCAGAGGTCGGAGTCGAAGTCGCAGTGGTAGCAATTTCATGCATCTGGAGCTGGAGCTTGGGTCTTTGGAAAATAACGGAAGTTCTAGTACACGACCAGGAAGTAAGGCGACACAGTACGACTACCATCAAATGAAGAACCAGAGCAGTCTTGAATTGTCGAAACGAGTAGCGGAGAGTCTACGAGACTCCGCAGCCCGTGTAGAGGCGCAGCTGGCAGCGTTGCAGCGCTGCGTCGCAGATCTACAGGATAACCCTCCAGGACTGACGACAGGAGACGTCGCGACTATAGTGAGCGATCAAATGCGGGGTGCAGAGGGACAGGGTCTGCAGCTAGAGCTGATGAAGATCCGGAAGGACCAAGCTTTGTTGCTCAAGGGGTTGCGATGGACAGAGAACGAGCTGGTAGAACTACGACAACGCGCGAATCTTGCTCCTTCATCCCAAGGACCGACGCCGACGAATGCGGGAGCAACTTCTAGGGCGGGACCGCCGGTTCTTTGATTTGAAGGAGGTGTGAATATATGAATAATAATATAAATATTGTCGATGTTCAGATCTAGAGCTTTGGTACTAACGATTGATTTGTATTCGTTTTGATTTGCATTTGTAGTCGATAAAAGACTTTCTCAAAGCAGAAATGTAGTGGAAAAAGAAAAAGATATGAAGATCGTTATTCGATGCTGTAGGTGATTTTCAAACTCGATTTGTTCAAAAACTGAATTCGTCACTCTCTCAATTGATCGGCTTCGGGGTATGCAAATTTTCAATTTAAGTAGATTTACTCTCAACAAGAACAAATTCAAACCTTAATATCCTCGGTAATTTCTCTCAAGATAATTCCTTTCCATTTCATCCATATCCATTCTAGTTCTTAATGTTCAAAGAAACAAACCATGCTTAACACGCAGAAAGTTTTTCAGGATATTCTTGTTGTCTTTGTATCTGACCGATTATTTCGTCTCGCGGTTCACAAAGTGTATCTATGGTGACCAAGAGGCGCTTCACTGTTGTATATACTACTGACCCTAAAAATACATCAAGAACAGATGAGTCGTTTCTCAGCAGAACTTCTTTTTTCGTGTACGTTTTCGTTTCGTGATTCTCCTTTAGCGGCCGACAATTGTTGGAAACTACAAGCGTTTGATGTGGTCGTATGCACAGCAATGACGAAGGCACCAGTCAGAACGGCAATATTGCCTCAATGGATAGCACAACCAAAAGAACAGGTAAGAAATCAGATTTCCTTTGGTACGCCGACACGTGCGCTCAGCGTCAAAGTCATGATCTGTTGTTGGTCTATGGCTAAGGGGGCGTGGAGATACTACTGCGGCGCGCCGCCATTTCCTTCCAAATCCAACGTCTGTCCTACTTCAACATCACCAGCTTTCACATCGTCTGCCTCTGCTCCGACTATGTTAACACTTCCTCCACCAGCAACTCCTAGTTCTACCGCGGACGTTGCCGCGAGACCCCACGTGCTTCCACCTTTTCTGCTTCATCTTCATGCGCTGCGTTTCCAGCCACGACTTCCACCTCCATACTCTCGCTTTCTACCTCAACATTGGCCACCTTTGTTCCTACCTCCACTACTTCCACCCCGTTTGCTGCTGCCTCAAGACCGGAAGAAAACGAACCACTAGATTTTCGACGTTGTGGCCGTAAGGAAGTTGTAACTGCGTTCTCCGGATTCAATTTCGCTGAATTTTCAATAGATGGCCTTACTCCAGGTCGTGCTGATAATCGGGGTGCAGACGGACGAGAACCACCTCCTGCAACATCAGAATTTTTACTCACATGTTGTGAAGATGATAGCTTTGGCGAGTTATTCATCCTAGCTTTTCCTGCTGGTGTAGTTGTACTTGACGTTTTTGAAGAAGCCTTGCTTGTCGCTGGAGTTTGCTGATTGTTAGAGCCTCTGCCCTTAATATCTTTCTCAGCAACGCTTGAGCCTGTTGCTGATGTTCTTGTAATGCCTGCGCTACTAGTACTTGCTCTTGGCGTGTCTTGTACGACAAGTGCTTCCTTAGGAGGGTTCTTGGTTCTCCTAGAGCTGACTCGCACGGCAACGCCACTTAATGGTAGAGCTTTTACCGGACCTCTGGCAGAAGGTGGTCGTGCTTGTCTTGTTCCGTCATGTGTCGCGGGAGTGGCGGCAGTCTCCGATCCCCGTGCTGTAGAAGAAGACGAGGCTGCAGTACATGATGTGGCAGCCGCATGGGCTTCGGTATCACTAGCGGCTGGTGGGGCGGACGAGCCGGTGTTCTTCATCATACTTCTACTTACAGCAGAAGTTCCCGTAGCAGTTCGCTTTGTATCATTACTTTCTCCTCCCTGTTGCCTTACTATTCCTCCGACTCGGCCCGTTGCTCCTGTTGTGCCTTCTTGTTTCTGCAGCAGGTTGCTGGCTTATCCTCTAGCACTAGCGCCCCTCTCATGATCAGTTCTAGTAGTTGACTCTGGCTCGACTGTGCCTCTATTTGATGTGGTCCTCGGAGTCCTCCTGATCGTACTGGTAGGAGTTCGGCTTGAGGCAGAGGAGGAGGACACTGCAAGAACTGATGGAGTTGCTCTCCTCGATAGAGGTTGTCGAGGTGTATTCGATGAGGCAGATAGACCACGGCTCTTGTTGTTGTTGTTCTTTTCAGAAATTCTCCTTGTTGTCGCACCTTCACTTTTAGCAACAGATATTTCTTCGCCGCGGTCTCCGGGTGCGAGTCCTGTCCCGCCGGTACCCTCTGGTGCACGGCCTCCTTCTTCTGTCCTGCCTCTCTTACTTGCAGTCGTAGCGGAGTGCCCGCCTCCACCTCTGCCCACTCTCGAGGTAGCTGCAGTATCCGTCTTGTTGATTGAGCTCAAAATTGCTTCGCCTTTGTTTCCAACAGCGCCGCCGCCTCTCGAAGTTGCAGTAGTTGTAGCACTCATCGAGTTTGCTGCACCAGGAAGTTTCCTGCTTTGCTCTACTGCTGGACCTGTGCCAGTCCTAAGCGGTGCGCCAGAAGGCGCCCTTGGTGGCGGGACGAAGGGAGGCCATTTCTTCGGTTCTGCCATGTCATTGAGCAATACTAGAGGACTGTGCATATGCCAAATGTCGGAGACTGCGCGCACCCATCCAGCGACCGCATCCAAAAGGCGAATTTCCATACTGCTCAACAGCTGTTTGCTGTGTTTTTTGTAAGCGAAAAGTCCTGGCTGGAGGAAGTCTCTAAATTCCTCCATGGCCATGCGTGGAATTGCTTTGATGCGCGAGAAAGAAGCGTCAAGCTGTCTTGGGGGCTCGGCTGCTTCTGTTGTACTAGTGCCTTTGACTCCTACGGCGTTTACCTTGTCAAACGAGGTCTTTGATGGGTCTGCCGTTGTACTGCTTGATGGTTCACCTTGATGCTGTTCTTCCCCGTTTGCATCCGACCGAGGTTGTGGCATACTAGAAGCCATTCTTCTACCCACGACTGAAGACTTCGGTGTAAATTGCAACAGCTCTGCAAAAGTCAACCCTCCCCCAAGCAATTCCTTCTGTATAAGTTTCCAGTCTGCTAGTATGACGTTCTTCGTGTCTTTGGTCATTTTGAAGCAACTCGAAGGAGGCTGCCTTCGTTCATCTGCCATTCGCGGTAAGAATGTTCTTGTAGACCGTACCAAAAGGCCCAAGGCCAACAAGGGGATGATGAAGCAATACTGTGGATCATCCCCCCACGTCGCACCCCCAGAAGTGCTCGAATTTTGCTGCGGAAGTTTCAGACCTTGAACAGAAACCCTCGCACTTTGGCTTCCTAGTAGCTTCGTAGCACACGCCATGGCGTCCTGACGACGTTGAGAAAGCTGCGCAGGCAAGTCTTCACGTACGAACAATAAGCATTGACCTCCCAGGTCCCCGAAAAGCGATGCGGAGTTGTTGTCGTCGCCGTACCCATGGTGGTGCCGGTCAGAGGAAATTAGAGAGTGATGCAGAACGGGTCTTACTTCATATAATAATTGCATACTCATCTGTAACTGTATCTGCTCTATCACGTTGAGTATTAGAAAAACTTCACACTGTTGTTGTTCAATATCAATTCATAACGAATTTGAGTGTTGAACTGGGATAGGGTCGCCTCGACGCAGACCCTTTTGGACCGCATATTCAAAGCTCGCATCTGCTACACAAAGTTCGAAGCTTTTCCAAGGCAAAGTCTTCCAAAATGCTAGACGTGTTTCTCCTACAATTAAAGGTCGACACTCAGTGGCCACTTCTGATGCTGAACGGAAGAGGCAACCTACAAAGCTCTCACCTTTTCCCTTCATTTTCCCCCGTTCTCTCAAGGGGCCTCCTCTTCGATCTGAGTGACCAACTTCAGCGACTACTGAAAGTTGAGCCTTAATACAATGTCTAGAAGTTCTTGCTTTTGACGGTCTAAGATTGATGCTTGCACATCCTTGAAATACCGTGCAATTATGGTTTGCGCTTCGCTAGAGGTTATATCGTTTGGGTTACGCCTAAGGAACCGCTCTGCTTCGCCTCGTCGTCGTCGCGGCAGCCGAGGCAGAGCATCATGATCAAAAGGCACCTTTAAGGTAATCATTTGATGTTCAACATTCGGATCAACATCAGAATTTGCCTGTAGTCGTGCGAGTGCATCCTCTACGACCTCAGCTTCCTTCACTGCTTTCTTTTTTCTGCGTTTTTTTCTTCTGCGTGCTTCATCCTGTTTTTCCCCTGGTACTTGATGTTCAGTAGTTTCATCCTTTGCCTCATCATCTTCGCCTTTCGACACAGAGGGCTCTCCACCCACTCCTTCTAGACTTGTTGTTCTTGCAGTTGCTCCTGGATTACTCGATAAATAAGTTGCTACTTGGCCACCTCGTTGTACACTACGACGCGGTGGTGGAGGTGGCACTATCAAGCTAACCCTCAAAAAGTCTTTGATGACGCGTTTTCTGTCCCTCTCAGCCGCTTGACGATCCTGCTCTAGATCGGCAAATACCCGAATAACCAGTTCCTTCTCTTCCTTCTTTCATTAGATCTGCAAGAAGATGTCAGGGAACTACAACTAGTAAATTTGAACCCTTATGATCCTTAATCATGTGAGTCTGAGTAATGTAACGATGCTCTATGTCATAGTAGATCGATTCCATCTTCCATACTCAAATGCTTCCAAGTCTTGCCGACTGCGGATGCCGAGAACTCGCACGACCTTGCCCCACGCTGCATCTTTCTTTACTAAGTCTTGAAAAAGCGAGGTCTCCGCAACAACTGCTGCATCTCCAGTCCGCGACTCTTCCTCTTGTTCTACATCCTGTTTTTGTCCTCCTTGTCCGCCTCTTGCTTCCTCAATGGACTTTTCTAATGCTCCTCGTAGAATTGCAGAGGCCGATAAAGGCAAGAGCGGTTCTTCTTGAAGATGTGCTGACTCTGAGGAAAATTTGATGTTTGCGCAGTTGTTCATCTTCTTGTCTTGCTCTTCCTTGTGCGTCTGCCTCTGCTCCAGCCCTTCAAGAAGATGAAGACCTTGGTCTTGCTCGTCTGCCACTAAAATACTCGACTCCTCTGCCGTTTCCATCTGCAACGCGTCTATTGCGATCTTACGAGGTACCACTTCCCGTACAGCATCATGGTATTGGATGAAGGTCTGACACCAGTTTAGAGCTCGAGCGAATCCATCTCAAGATCCATCCGAGAGCCCCGTTTCCCTTGAGAAGAGCTTCGAGGATGCTTCTGAAGATGGATTAGGCGAAGCCGCAACCATTGGTAGAAAATATCGCCTGAAAGACTGATCCTTCTCATGCGGTCTGGGCCTATGGCATCAAGCGCTCGCTTCATTTTGTACAGCTCGACCAAATTCAACCGAGGAAACGGAAGTCGATCTCGAGAGGTCATATTCTTGAGGGGCCGCTTGTGATTGTCTTCATTGTCTTTGCCTTTGGTGTCCTTCTTGTCCTTCGAAGAACCTCCTGCTGTGTCCTCCTCTGTCTTCCCTACCTCGTCTGATGGGCGCGTGAGCTCCTCAAGCGCCTTGCCTGCCCTCTCAATGAATTCTCGTGGATTCCCCAGACCAACCTTTTTCCACACGTTTTTCCACGATAGTTCCTTCATATTGCCAATCTCTTTCCCAAGCAAGATAAATATGACAGCCTGGAAAACCTGTGAAGGTTGAAGCCGACGAGAAGGATTCTCGTAAATCAACTTGAATAATGCAAGATATTTACTTATTAAATCCACTAAGTACAAAACAAGGATCAAAAAGAAATCACGTCACAACATAGATATTTCAGATAAGTCAGACTGTGAATACGGTAACAACTTGTTCCGGTGGCCTGCACAGGCCCTGAACCTCACACAGGTCTCGATGGGGATTTTGTTGTCTGCGCCACACGTTCTCCATGAATTCGCGTACGGCAGTTTCAGCGTTTTCTACTTGATCATTTTTAGAGGAGCTTGGGGTCGTACTTATGGAGGAGAGGGGAAGCTTCTTCTTCCTACCGTCAGCGTCGGCTGCCGAGTCCACTTAGTGGTCTTGATACACTTTCGCTGTGCCGCACGACACGCAGTCGATTCTGATTACTAAAAATATTCTGATAGATAGAGAATTGCCAGAAAAAAAATATTTTGAAAATCCAGACGATCATCTACTTCATACATTCAATCCATAAGATCCAATGTCTTGACCACGCCATTTACATTCACTACGAGCAAAAACTCCCAGTTGAAATCCTCAACGCAGAGGAGGTTCTTCTTCTTCTTACAGTTGAATTTGAAATCCCCAACAGGTTGCTCATTATTTGTTGTATCCCTCAAATCTTGCGCTTCTGTTAAATGTTGCTCTTCTGTTTGAAATTCATGTCCTTGTGTTCCCTGTTCTTTCCCTGCCACGACGTTTTCAACAGCTCCATCCGCCTCTTCAACATCCCCATCCTCCTCCTCTCGTCCTGCCCCACCGGGGTAAAGGACCTCTCCAAAAAGCCGACTTTCTGCATCGTCACAACAGAAGTGAAAGGCGTCACTAGGTAGTAAGCAGAACCGCCGTCGTGCAGAGGAACGAATCCTTAGCGATGTCTTCAGATAGTGGACAGCTTGTTGGTGGACGGTTTCGAGAGGAGTTCTCTTGTTGGACTTCGCATCTGCAGCCACCACAACTGCGTCTGCATTCGAAATGGAGATAGGAATCTGAACCAACTCGCCTGAGCCGAAGCGGAGATTGAGCGTGTTCTTTGTCGTCGACAACCCTCCATTTGGGTCGTTTGCTGCAGACGGGGAAGTCATCTTTTTATGTGAAGGCGCTCCGCGGTGCCATTTATTTTGTTTCTGAGATGAGTGTCAACTTCCTGTTTTCGCTTTGCTGATTTTTCGAGTTCTTGGTTTGCGATTCCGCCTATTTGCGGCTGTATCATGTCCATCACATTTAATACCCCAAGAAAGAATGTGCCGTTTCTAGGACGAGAGAGCATGCACTTATACTTCTACCTGGCTTGTTATATTTAGTTTTGGAAGCTACAAATTCTCCACAAAGAAGGGCACAGATGACCGACGGTATTAAGCTGTACTCTCTTTGTTCACTCTCCATCTCCCTCTCTGTGACCACGCTCAAAAGATGGCTTGTCTCAACGACAACCGGTCACCGAAAAATGCACCGGTCACCGAAAAATGCTTAGTGGAGTGATGGAATGATAGTTCCCATCTGGTCCTAGCCCGCTTCATCGGTAGTACTTTCTTCTGAGTATGCTCAACCAGAATTCCTATTGCTGTGCACCGCTTGCTGTAATCGGGTTGCTGTGCAGCTTGTTGCCAGGTCATTCATTCATTCACTCATTTACCTGTTCTGGAGGTATCTTTTGACGCGTGCGCGACATATAACTGGAAAATGAGATCGTCCAGGATAAATATACAAGATGAAATCCAGCTACTGCTAGAAGACCCCAAACGACGTATTCAAGTATGCCCTATCCGACAGTCGAGGACATCCCAGTATGTCAGCGAAAAACATCTCTGTTCTCACTAGTTGCTTCTTCCGCTGTGCAGAGTCGCCGGCAAGACTTGACTTGGTCGTATTCCCAAAATTACTTAGATGTCGCACTCTGAAAATGTCGAAGATACCTATTCGCAGCTCTTGATGATCTTGTGTGTCTGCCTCTACTGCCAGCGAAGACGAGATTCCGCAAAGTTCGTCCCGACGATTTTGCAAAGCCTGTAACCCATGCGACTCCGATATAATCTTGTCATCAACCTCCGCGGCACCTGTAGCTATGTCAATGTCTGTCCCTGCAGCGAAGTTAACTCCATTATAGAGTGCTTCGCGTATGAAGTCTTCGTACTCTTTTTGCGAAACAGCGGGAACTTTGAATAATTCGTCGGACTTCGCTTGAGCTTCTCCTATCAAGGTGTCTTGAAAGTGTTTCTTTCGCGGATTACAGAAGTCATAGAAATACCGATCATGTCCCCAGCCGGACGGATTCAACCACGGCTCTAACAATCGCCACTGGCAAGCCCAGGCCCATGGTCTGTATGCGATTGCCTGTATCTCCGCGAATTTTGTTAGTCGCCCCTTGTGTTTTGATGAATCGCCAAGCTTCAACGGTGCAACTGCAAGCGTTTTTCCTGCATCTCCTCGCTCAGCAGGAGCATCATTTCGCTCATTAGCTACAGCATCACTGTCAGCAGCACTGCTGCTTAAAGCTAAAGGACCACGGTGCACAGGATGCCAATTCCCGGTTTCGATTACCGTGGAAAACACGTCTAAATCCGCTTCCTTCGCATGTCTAAACATTTGGCGCACATGATTTTTGCCTTGTGCTAATTCGACGTCGTCCAACACCAAAAAGAGATAATCGTAGTGGTGCATTGGAAAGAGACCAGTCGTAGTCGTTGTTGTAGGCTTGATTTCCTTCAAGAGACTGACATAGTCCAGGTTCTCAAAAATGTGGACAGCACAATCGCGACCCACCTGATGTCGAAAAGAAACTGGTAGATCGGATGTGTAGGCTAATACGACGCAATCTAATTCCACGTTAGGTCCTAAGAACGTGGATGTTTCGTCCCTTTCTGCTGTCGTATGCTTCCCGGACGTTCTTTCAGCTTCATCCTGTAGAACTGGCTTAGCAGAACGAGGTCCTGGTCCTGCCGCGGCTTTCAACAATCGCCAGTTTCGTACGACGATGCGCGATCGGTCTGCCTGGGACCCAACACCCACGAATATGACCAAGCTTTTCCCGGTAGCCCACGTCCTGTAAGCGCTTATTTGTTCTTGTTCGGCACTTTGTTCCGTGGTCGCTGGTAGACAGTAGACGGCTTTTAAGTCAAGGAAAGAGCAAATAAACAGGTACAACCTCCAAACACAAAATATTTGAAGACCGCATCTTCTGTGAAGACGTTGTCGTTGCTGACGGGAAGATAGCAGAGACATATTTTTCATTTTCTTGTTGATGAGCAGCTGAGCTTGAAAGAAGAGTTTGATCGACTACAGAAATGACATGTCTTTTCATCAGACGAACAAGAAGATTGATTTAGGTAACGCTTTGAGTCGCTCAGTCGGCACCCTTCAGCTTGTGCTTGGCGCGCGGACTTTGCCCCTCTGCCAGATCTGACCTGTCGCTGGCAACAGGATGAACATGAGAATCTATACATAGATGGACAGAAACATCCGATTGCAGCCAGGAGCTGCTCGAGTCCTTCCGACTGTATCGACACTGCGTGCTGTTTCTTGAAATAACTTCAAGTTTCCCTTTACAGGGGTAAAGTAGCCTCTGTTACTAGAAGAATCTCTGTTTCTGTTATTTCTAGAATGCATGGGAAGTAACGCATTTTTGGGGTTCTCGGACTTGTGAGGATGCGAGTCCCGTTGCAGAGTGGGGTGTGAGCATCTTGGATTTATACATTGGCTTAAGCTCCTTACAGACTCGTTGAGAGGAGTTGCCGATGCTCCGACTCGGAATATTCGAGCAATAATACGACGAGTTCAAGTTCAAGGGTCTCGATCACGTCACTAGGACCTTTCTACTTGGGATTACATGCAACAGTATCGGTTTACTTACCTATACAAATGAATGACCATCACTGTATGTCATGTCATGATACCTCGTATTACGTCTTGACCAACGTTAATGAGGCCGTCTTATTTATGCAATCTCGACAACATACTCGGTAATACTTTCTACAAGTGTACTAATATTTCCTCACTGACGAATCGTGATCGATGATTATCGTGGAAGATCAAGAATGAATCTCTAGACACTTTGAAGGCCTATACTTTATATAAAAATTTCTCCTGCACCAGCTACTGCTTCTTGGAACGAATGACTAAGGTGTTTCGCATGCTCACCCTTGCAATTGTGAGACTATACCTACAACGAAACAACAACTGACTAATACTTTCTCACAGTTCAATAGAAATAGGATTCTCTTTCATCGATCGTTTAGATGGTAATAGACTTCGGACTAATTTCAGGCAATGAATCGGCATAGTTCATCTTCTTTTATTTTCTATAAGAAAGCTCGTGGTAGTTCTCTCTTTAGGCAACCTGGCAACATAGAATATGATCATGAATAAGGACGTTTTGCTTTTGTCTCATTTTCGTTTTCATTTTGATGAATCGTGTGATCATTGTGTACGCCTCTAAGACTGACTATTCGAGTTGCTACTTTGTATTCAGAATAATGGAGATAGCGATAAGATGTATTCAGAATAATGGAGAGAGATCATATTAAGGTGTATTCAGAGTAATGGAAACATCAGGTGCTCCGCAAAGATCGATAGGGAAATATTTTTGTAAGTATGTTGAATATGAAAACTAGTGTTGAATGAGTGCAATTATAACTAGTTTGAAGATCATCGTGTTGATCATGATACTAATAATTTCTAAGTGTTATATTTTTCATCACTGAAGCTCAGACGAGTTCTTACAAATAGGTTGTACTTCTTGTTATATCATTCATATTCTTATGCTTCATGCTGTCCGCACACATCCGCGAAGAACTGCACGACGTCTACGTGCCCTTTCTTTGCTGCGTGATCCTTAGGCAATAGTCCTCGTTCGTCTCGCATGTTCACATCCGCGTTGAAAGCTGCGATTAGAAACTTGACTAGTTCAAGCTCGCCGCACCTCGCTGCCCAATGAAGTAACGTGTATCCTCGATCCCACTTGGTCTCAGCCCAACCGCGGCGCTCGACCTCAAGAGTAGAGGGATGTTGGATTGACCGACATTCGGACTGACTAGATGTGGATGAAAGACCGGAATAAGTAGCAGTAATATTAGAATTAGCCGAGTCCGAGTACTGAAATCTAAAACCCTGAGGTCTGGTACCTTCTCCAGCGCTTTTCGGTACTCTTCTGGTATGGTGCTTTTCACCAAGTCTACGGTGTAAACCGTCTGGACACCAAAGGGGTTCTCCATGTCATAATGGACATATTCAGCTTTCGGCTGAAAATCTAGTTCCGGTTGTTCGTTGCCGACCTGATTGGATAGAGGCAGATGAAGTGGTTGAAGATGACCAGGTGCTAGCACTGCTTCATTGCCTAGTAGTTTGACTTGTCTGATCGTTGCATCTTAATCTTCGGCTTCTTTTCCTCTACACCGGAAAAAGTTTATGGAATAGCGGAACGAAGTGTGCTACGTGGTACGAAAAAGAATACCTCTCTCTTCACTATGAACGCGATCGTGTCGTGGAAATCTCGACTTTGGGCATAGGCCTCTTTCAGCTCGTGCTCCGTCGCAACCTTGATTCCGCCAACGCTGGGATATGAAAGGAGATGGACGCCATGTATAACTTATTTATGTATAACTTACACTTATTCATCTTCTTCAAAACATCTTTCCTGCGACAACTTTCAACACAGATAAGCACCATGAACGCTTGATGCTCCCTATAATACAAGAAGAAACTACTGTGCCATCATGATTTTCAACAAGAACTCCTATTCATTTTCAACAAGAGAACTCCTATCAAAAGCAACGATTCAACAAGAACCCAACGGGCGTTGGTCGCGAATAACAAATTGTCCATCTCTTCTTTGTCATGATGATGATGTTAGTCGGTTCGGAATTGTCCTACGACTTCCCTGAATCTCTTCTGAGTTTTACGGATTTCGCTGACGTTGAAACTGTTGTGTTGAAAAAGTTGACTATGTGGATGCGGCGCTTCTACTTGCTCTTCTTTGTCATAAAATGATCACGTCGTCTGCAACGAAGTAGTGCTTGCCAACGTACTTGCAGTTTGCGGCATTCAGCGCAAATCGCCGGATTCTTGTACTGCCAATGGCGAGCTCCAAACCTAGGCTCTTTGGTCGACCAGGAAGAAATTCTAATTCGATTTTCACTTCGCGGACGTTTCCTGAGTGGTGATTTGTGGGTAGAAATACAAATAGAATCTTTCAAAGATAACTCATATACATAGTACACATATAGGGGCACTACTACCCTTTTATTCATGAAGTCGTGGCGTACTTCAACAGGAAGATCAAAGATGACTCATATTTGTAAGGTGGAAAAACAAGTCAGTGTGATGTCTTGCTAGCTTTTCTATGGTCTATGGAGCTAGAACAATGAGCAGCCTGAGATTCTGAAAGTGAGAGGGTAACAGCAATAAGAAACATGGATTTATACCCAGAACTCCGTTGAGGAGGTATTTTGCTTCTTCGGTATCTTGACAGCAATGCCCAAGGACAAAGCTGGCATCTTCTCCGCCTGGCAAACATGCTAACGCGGATTTCAATGCTGCTCCCGCCAGAATCATCATGTCTCGTCGATTCGCGAAAAATGCTTGGGGTCTTAGAGGTGGGGAGGCTAATGGTCACTTCTGCTATGAATATAATTCCTATTTTCAAACTACTGATCGAGACCGAAGCACCTTCCATAAAACTTCTGGGCACAAGTAGCCCTCGTCGTTCAGCTTTCGCATCATTTCGTCCGCGCCTCGTTTGACTGCCAGCCTCAGTGTTATTCCTGACGAGTTTCCTTCCGTATAGGCATCGCCCACATTGCCACGCGAACGTTAGAGGAGAAAACTTTATTTTGCTTTTATCTACTTATATGTATAAGTATCTGCGACGTTTTGCTTTTGCTCTACTTACAAACTGAATGGATGATCAAGTCCCATTGAAAGTAGAGCAAGCTAGAGCAAGCGGGAATCTTCTGTTTGTTCACCACATCAAACTTCCTTCTAGGCGAAAACATCAGTGAGCCATAATGTATAACCTCTTGATAGATTGCCTGACAGAGTTCCATCGAGCAGCCTACTGGTATGCCGTCCACAGCCGCGATCTGATCCCCCAGCTCAAAGTCATGAACTAGCCTCTCATTCGCGAATCCTATAATGTGACATCCAGAGAGACCTGGAGAGGGATTGATATTGAAGAGTCGTGAATTCGAATGGATATTGTTATTGATATTGGTCTACTTCTTGATATGAAATTATATATATGTTGTATACACATCAACATGGTTGAAATGGTAATGGTCAAACATTTCAGCATTTAGCAAGCAAAGAGGGTCTTCAAGAAGAAGCTCAAGCCACCTCCTAGAGGTGGGAGTAACAAGTAACATTCAATTTCTATTAATAAGCGTACAGGTCAACGCCTAAACCACTAAGCCGACTGCGCAATCGGCTTAGTGGTTTAGGCGTTGACCTAGACCTGTGCACTTTCTTAGCACGTATTTGTGGTAGAGCCGACCTAAGTAGAAAAAAGAACAAAGACCAGAGGAAGATAGAAAAGAGAAATGGGTAACTATCATCAAATATCCTCCTATCTGCTAAAACTAATTAAGCTTTCTTATCACATATTGACTCAATATGTGATAAGAATTCTGCTTATCACATATTGACTCAATTTGAGATTCTGCAAAAAAATGAATAGTAATACCCATGATCAGTCCGAGATCCCTGTCGTGACGGTTGACTTGGAATAGTCGCTCGATCACGCTACTCCGGTTCTTCCACAAATCTGTAGATACACTCACTTTCTTGTGTGTGTAATCGCTAATTTGGAAGTTTTCGTCTCCTCGTTCGGAGTCGTGTACTCCCTCTACATGTGCGCCGTGATCCGGAACTACCACGTTGTGCAGGTCACCGCCTTGGACTGTTGGTGTTGTGTGCGTCCGAAAGTTAATATTTTTGTATGAAGAGAGGTTTTTTGTGGGTTGGTGTTGTGATCATGTGCGTCCGAAACAAGTTAATCTTTTTATAAATATGACGGGAGGTTTTTTGTGAGTGAGTGTGCGTCCGAAAGTTACTATGAAGGGAGGTTTTTTCAGTGGTAATCTTTTTGCATGAAGAGAGGTTTTTTTGGGAGTGTGCGTCCGAAAGTTAATATGAAGGGAGGTTTTTTCAGTGGACTAAAGGTTAAGAAAGCTCGTAGCCAGAAGTGGATATTACAGAGGTGGGGTGAGAAGGAGCTAAATTCAAAAGCAAACATCAGGTGGAACGCTCTTTTGTAAAACAACAACAAGGACATCAACGTGATTTAAACAAATCACAAACCTGACGATCCAAATCATTATAATAAGTGTGGTGGAGCCGACCTAACTAGAAAAAAGACAGACCAGAGGAAGATAGAAAAGAGAAAAGGGTAACTATCAACAAGTATCCTAAAGTATCCTGCTAACTGCTAAAACTAATCAGTACAAAGAAGTGAGTAGTACACTGCACACTATTCTTCACCACGTTCGGCTCTGCTTTTGCTGCTTCCCTGATCAAGGCCGTTACTTTGTCGTACTGCTTGTCCCATACTTGGTTGGCAAAGTTGTCCATCAATTCTTCTGCGGCATGAGGCACGCTTTCGTCATTCTTGACCATGTGGTCCACGAATTGCAGAAGGAGGCGATTCAGATCTGGAAGATGAAGCAGTTCTTTCTTGATATCTGAAGATGGAAAATAACGTATATAGAGGAGAGATGTTGTCCGTCGTTGTCCCTGATTTTTGAGCAAGTACAGCATCAAGAGGTCGTGGGCTACAGCTGTATTGTGCTCTCTCACGCTCATCTCTCGTTCATCGAAGCAGAAGAGGCGAGGTTAAAAGAAGAGAAAGTGAACCAGTTATTAATTTAGCTAAACACTGGATGCTTCAGCCCCTGGCGTCCCACCTTCCAGCTCCGATTGGCGAAAGGAGACAAGGGGAGGTAGGTGCTCGCACCAGCTCTAGTTCGCCTGTTCTAACAAGTCCAAGGGTACCGGTTCACCATGCTAGAGCCTAGAGCTGGCCGCATCAACTAAAGTTAAAGGCATTGATGGCCCAACGCGAGCCAGGCCATGACTAGCCAATAGTTAATTAAAGAGCAGGAGGAAAGAGCGAAAGTATCGAGCACACTCCGTCCTCACTCTCGTGCCATTCATAGATCTCGCGCGATGGGAGGGCCTCGAGACAGAATCAACACAATACCGACTAAGGGTGCCTAGAAGGCAAGTAAAAGACCGATCACGAAGGAGGAGTACTGCGAAAAGCCACAATTTTTCTCCACGATAGATACAACCGAGCCTGTACAGTTAGCTATGCGAGCGTGACGTCGAATATATCATCAAGCTTATAAAAAACCGAATCGCCTCGAGTGACCTGTAATTACATTGAATTCCATCTGACTAAAAAGAAATGATAACGATGCAAGTTACTCTCTTGCACCGTGTAGAACGAGGACGCTTAGTTTAGTTAAATTAGCTAATAAAAAATCTTCTGCTAGAAGTTGCTTTGGTAGGGAGGCAAATATCTAGAATCTGCTCCTCGCCTGGAGTATGCAAGATTCGTTAGTACATGCAGCGCATGCCCAACAGTGAAGGGTTCGTAATGACATTTTATAACGAACAAAACCATTGCTATGGACATTGATGAGATGAAATTAGGAGGAAGAAGAAGAACAAAACCATCACCATGGACACTGATCTTCGACACTGATCTTCATCACTTCTAAATGAGTAGAGACGTGTGGTCCTTTCTGCTCGTTGAGATCATGCCATCACCCTTCTCAACAATCACCAACAAGGAACATCAAGACTGCAAAAGCAAACTCCAGCAGGTTGTACTTACCTATAATATAAGCATCCTGATCTACTCCGAATACAAACTACTACAGTGGGTACCTTTATAGGCATCCTGATCCACTCCGGCAGGGGCTTGAAGTCTATTGATTGCATCCAGAACTGAGCCGCCATTGGCAAGTACCAACGCCAAACTTCCCCCAGCTACTGGCGTCACATCTCCCGCTTGTAGACTTTTCCTCCAAACTAAATACTCTTCGTCTTAGAGGTTGCGCATGTTGTAGGGGGGAAGGGGATTGGTAGGAGGGGAGAGGTAGGCGGGGGTTGGTACGATGGGGAGGGCTAGGAAGGGAGAGTGAGGAAGAGGCTCTTAGACCTAATACTGTTCCTCGATTCATCTGATTCTCTTTCATAATTTATTGCATCACTTTTCGTGTATTCAATTGGCGTTTTTCCCTTCTCATCCTGCATATCGACATCCACCTCGTTTCTGAACTCCGCTATTGTTAGAAGAAATCATATGTAAGAAATCGCATCTAATACTCGATGTACTTATGGTAGAACGACAGTTCTCCTGCTCCTGGTCTATGCACAACAGGTAGTTCCACGATTCCGTAATCGTGCTACACCTGCATTGTTAGTACGGTCTTTCTAATTCTACATGGTTCTTAGTACGAACATCGTATAATCTTTGCAACCTTAGATAATCAAAGAGCCATGAGGTAAGGGCGATGGGGAGCAGTAACATCATACTAATAGCATGATACCATAGTGGCTATATTAGATATAGTAAATGATGACGTTAGTCGATTCGGACTGGGCCGACGACTTCCCTGAATCTCTTCGGCGTTCTTCGAATTTCTCTGATGTTGAAGCTGAAGCTGTTAAGGTGTTGATCTTGATCCATTGCCATATATTTTAGTTAACTTATAAATGTCAAGCTACATTATAGTAGTAACAATATTTTTATAGCATAAGAACTAACTTATAAATGTCAAATTTAACATGTGTCTGTGTGCGTTCATCATAACTTTTCCAACAGATGTCTGACAAGGTCGAATCGATTTTTTTTGCATGCCCAATGCAGTAGCGAAAAGCCATCTGCCCATCGCATTCGCTGCCATCCTGGGTTAGCGGGTCCTAGCGTGCATCTCGGTCCCCTCATCTTGGCACCTTGTTTTCCTTATAAGTACCCTGTATTTCACGAGAATACAGGGCAAAAGGGTACCAAGAAGCCGAGGAAGATGGATGACAAACGCTGACCATAACTAGGGATGTGATTTTCTCCAGTTTTTTCTGCATATCTGGCTCAAAGTAGAGCGCCTCTGGCGCTGGGCCCAAGTTCTTCGTTGGGTCCGCCATGGTGTTCTTCTTGTCTTGTCTTGTAGTTACGTTCTTGTAAGCGTGAAGTTGGATTTTTTCACTACTAGTACTTCTATCCCCACTGGTAACGTGCAACCAACAAAGTTCAACAAGATGCTTTTCTTGATTCGTGGTTCAGGTAGAAGTAGAAGATGATTGTTGTATTGCTACTTCGACTTCTCAGAGGTCCGTTGAAATCCTCGTTTATAGGCTTGTTTGGACACGCTGAGGCTCCTTACTGTGACTACGACTAGTTGTTGGACGCGCTGAGTAGTTGTTGGACGCGCTTTTTAGGCTCCGTCCTGTAGTTCCAGATAATCTTGGACTAGGAACGCGTACCAGCGTCTAAGTCACGGGAAAACAATGTAGTACCATGAAACTAGTAGTACGCTAGGAGTAGTAGTAGTGTACCCAATCTTGGGGTATGGAAGACTCTTTAATTAGTTAGAACTAGTACGATCCATGTGTTAGATTAGATCGGAGTACTTCTATCCACCTCTTCAATAGTCGGTGTGTCATGAATCGGCGGACTTACACCTACATCAACTGCATTAGTGTGATTCAGAAGTCGGCTCGAGGACTGCTCAAGGTCAAGAATATTACGTCAGTCAGTGCTGACCTTGAAGATCAGAAAAACTTCTGTTCCTCTTGGACAAGAGAATATTATTATGATGATTGGAAGAGTTCGGAGGACTATTCACAAGGACAGTTGTCGGTTTTTTACTCTACAACTAAGCGAGTGAGTGAATGAATGTGCCTAGGCCTAGCAAGAGGTGTTTACAATGTTTTGTCATCTACTTTGGAACGTATCTAGCTCCTCAGTAGACGTTAGGACTCTAATATCTACTTTGCAGCGATTATACTCCACAACTGAGACGACGTTGGTACTCTATTTATCTCTACAAGGGTGAGCGATACGACTCGTTTCAACCAAGAGGACGTAGTCGTCTCGGAAATGTGGCATAGAATTGGGATATGGAGGAAGGATGGAAGGATCTTCAATGAAGGGTCATCCATCAAGTAATGGATCCATCAGATATCATATGGTGGATTCCTCCACCATCTTGTAGGAATCAAATCATGAGTTCCCTTCCTCGTATAGAAGAAAGGACGAACCGATGAGGCATTGCTCGGTGAGTCGCGTTCAATCTTGTTGGTGTGTCGCGTTCTTACAGCTTTCGTGACGCAAGACCGACAAACACGAGATCATGAAGTAAGATGATGAAGGGCCGATATATATTAGTTTGAAGCAGGGACCGATATCAGTTCGCGTTCTCCTCTTAGATTGAATTTCTTTTTCACAATAGGTAATGTTGTACGAGACAGAGAGTATGACCGATTTTTTTGGATAGAAGACTGGAGAAGAACTGAGGGCCGAGGACTGGAGAAGAAGTTCATCATCATGGACTGGAGAAAAATATTTTTGGGGGATCATCGTCTTTCAACATAATGATCAATGATTATCAAGGACATTCAAAAACAATAAATAGATAGATAGATGGACCCACTCACGGGGTATAAGATCTTTTAATTAGAAGTTGCATCTTCACCACTTTTTACTTCCTCGCCTTCTTGCACCTTTTTTCATGGTTCCTCATCATATCCACGGTGGTCTGAACTAGACGGCTACTGCATTTATGCTAAGTATATACAGGACCTGATCTTCATATGATGGTCTCAACAGCAATCATGTGGAACCTTCTCATTCTCGAGGTCCTCGGTGGAGGTGGTCTGTCAACACTCCACCTAACTATGGAAATTGAGATCATCAATACAAGAATATCTTCAGGGGACAATACAATACTCCTATAGTATACAATGAACTTGGCACAAAGATCTACTGCGCCGACAACTGCCATAAGGGCTTAAATACAGAAAGAAGTAGATCCAAACGAGGTCAAAGAGCGATGTGGTGGAGCTTCAGAGTATATGTGAGGTTATGGATTGCGGCATGTGGTCGTGGTTGAACAATAACAAACTAGGCAAATGTATGGTACAATATAACGTGACTTCTTCTGACTCTTGTTCCTACCAGACGTCTTCTTACGTTGATGTGTTTCTTTATTCGCTTTCGCGTGCTATGATGTATTAATGTTGTGATGCGTTGTTTCTTGCAAAGAATAATCGTTGATAAGAAAAGCCTACCCCTTAGTGACGGTGTCCGATACTAGTTCCTTAATTATGGTGTCCTCTACTAAGTAGTCCCTTAGTGACGGTATCCCATACTAATCCCTTGACGAAGACAGTGTCCTCTACGCTTTCAGTTTCTCAAGTTAGAGCTCTCGCTAATTCATCCCTGTGGCAATCCCTCAACAATATGCCACAGTATTCCCCTTGTATGGGGGTGCATATTGTTGAGGGATTCCTATAGAGATGGATTAGGGGTAGCCTTAATCAAGAGGTTCAAGCTTCTCCAACGTCTTCGCCTTCCGGTGTGTGTTCTGATTCATCTATGCAGTTGGGACAGCATCCGTCGTGCTCGAAACGTTTCTTTTTAGAGGCGGACCACTACGTTTACGTACTACCTCTCGAGCTTCTTTCATACGTTTATTAATCTAGCCATTTGATCGTTCACGACTTCGCAAGCATTTGATAGAAGTACTTTTGATTCTTCACGACTTTCATCTTAATGTATGAATGTACTTTCTTACACGACTTTCACTAAATCTTAATATCTTTGGAGCCCTGATTGTAGAAAAAGGAGAAAATGAAAATTATCTTCAATCACAAGTACAAGAACTGTTATGATCTTCGTTCTTGTCCTTTTCGTCTATGATCTTCCTCCTCTCTCTTTCTCTCGCTCTCCCTAATGTGAATGAGTGAGTGAGTGAATGAGTGAGTGAATGAGTGAATGAGTGAGTGAATGAATGAATGAGTGAGTGAATGAATGAATGTTGCGCACTTCGCATGTGAATTGACGGCATACAATCGATTTATGGATCTCGATCCTTCGTTCGTGATTTCATTCGTTCGTGAATGAATAAGATTACGATCACATCACTCTAAGCCTTAACGTGCGCAGCATCGCTTTCTGATTTTCCGCTGCCTCGAAGATTTTTCGACTTCGCCCGCTGAGACTCTTTGCCCCCTCTACAATTTAGCAGCTTCAATAATTCAAGAACAGGTACAGGAGGTGGCTTGGCAACATTCAGTAGGAAGATCGTGAATAAGGTATCATGTTTATAGTATTTGTTTTCCAATAAGTAGAATTTCTTACCAAGAAGCTGGATAGTACAAAGTAGGATAGTACAAAGTACTGGTTGGGGGTTGTGCTTATATATTGTAGGCAGCAGCGAGCTACTTCAAGTTCAAGAACAGGGTTAGAGTTAGTACTGTTGTGCATCAGGTCATTCAAATACAAATTCGCCGTTTTTTACTTGTAGGAGAGTAGAAATACAACAACAACAACACCAGCCTCAAAGTAGTCCGACGTCTACATAGATCCAAGTAGTCCAATTTCAATACAGATATACATTCATATATCTCTCTTGTAATTAGCCTTAATTTGGTAGCTGCGCTGTTCTTGCTTCGCCTTCGCGGACTCCGATTAGCGTTCCTATTACTTCGCGGATTCTTATTAGCGTTCACGTATGATATCAATCTTATGAGAGTCTGATTACGAGAGCCGGAACAACATCAATATGCTTCTCCTTCTCTCTGGAGATGAGTCGACTACTTAATCAATATCACAGTAGGAAGCAGCCTTAATTGTTCTCGTTAGCAAATTTTGAGCGCGTGGGCTAGGTCCTGCTGCTGTCCTGGGATCCGCAAGGAATTGAGAACCTCCTGCTCCACCTCCAGGCGCACTTCCAGGCGTGGTAGGAGTTTCTGGGTGAGGCCCATTTTGGCCAGCACTTGCATAAGCCGGCGCTACTGTAGTTAGGGGTCGAAAGTTGACCCCCATCTAGTGGTTCGCCTCCGCATATCTATGGCTTTCCTACTACTTGAAGCAGCCATAGAGATGCCCATAGAGAGGTCAACTTCCAACCCTGCTTAATACTGCTCCAGGTGCTCCACCATGACCAGGCCCTCCTGATCCAGGTGGTCCAGCATAAGCAGACGTGCTTCCTGGTCCAGGCGCTCCTGGTCCAGGTGCTACTGGTACTGCTCCACCTGGTGCAGCTACTGCTCCACCTGGTGCAGCTACTGCTCCACCTGGAGGTGTATTCATCTGGGCAGTCGAGGTCGTCCCACTTTCAGGGAGGCAGCATTGTGCAGCTGCTTTCGGAACAGCAGCGTCGGTACCCATGGAAAGATCGACCGTTAGACCTTGAGTAAATCCATCGCGGTCAGCGCCTTCGTCTCAGCATCTTGATCTCTTTGATAAAGATGCTGGGACCAACAACATGCTGGGGAGGATGGATTTTTTCAAGTCATAAGACCATCTTTGGCGTCCCGAGCAAATACACCTGTTGCTCGTACAATGAACGAGGTCGATTCATCAATAGAATCATATATTTAGGTTCTTGTATCTGTATGTGTCATCGCAACCTGCATAGTGGGAGTAGTGGTAGGAGTAGGAGAGCATTAGTAGGACGAGTAGTAGTAGGAGGAGTGCGAGGAGTAGGGCTAGGACTCGAAGGAGGAGCAGCAGCAGCAGCAGTAGCCCGTAGGCGTAGTAGTAGCAGCACAAGTAGGAGTAGTAGTAGAAGTAGGAGGACGAGGAGGAGTACCCAATCAGTAGTAGGTAGTAGTAGTAGTAGTAGTAGTAGGAGGACGAGGAGGAGTACCCAATCAGGGGTCTTGCTCTTCTTACAGCTTGAGACGAACAACCAAGACCCAGCAGCAAGAATAGACCCACGACCTTTAAGAATTAGTCCCGCGACCTTTAAGAAGTAGACCCACTTTTATGATAAGCACTAGACCCACTTCATTCAAGTAGAAGTAGGACCCATTTTCAAGAATAAAAAGACCCCTCGTCCATTAAGAAAGAGTAGGCCGCGCTCCATTCAGAATAAATTCAAATATGAAGACTTTAATGCTCAGATACTAGAGCTCCTTAGATTTAGATTTACCATAAATGCGGACTTTTCTGGTTAAATGCTTCGATGTATGCACGTGTGCGCGCGTCCAGCTCTTGGCTTTCCCCCGCGTATCGAGGGTCAACATGAAGAAGGGTCGTGGGCAGGTCGTCGACGATCAATTCACAAATACAACAAGAACAATTTCTGTTGGCACAAAAAGTCCAATTGATACATGCAATATATAAATTTCAGTTAGTTCTTCATCTTGGTTCGCACAAAAATATCTTTGTGCACAAAAATACCTCGACTGCCGGAAAGGACTCTCCTTCAATTGTGATACGTGAACACGCCAACGCCTAAGCCACAGAACTGGGAAATTATATATTTAATCTCTGAGACTGAGCAGACCTCGTCTTCAAAGGGTATAACATTACTCAGGGTCGTGGTGGCTCAGTGGCTTAGGCCTAGGCGCTTGGCTGTTAGCTTCTCAAAGTGTAAGTTCTTAGTACTGTTTTAGTTTTGTGCAAATTTTTTTTGGCATAAATATGATGACCACAGTATGGCGGGATCTTTAGAGCTGCCGCAGCCGTCGGAAACATCTAACGAGCCGCCTCCAACCTGGTCTGACCAACAAGTTTCTTCAGATAAGCATCAGAATCTAGACTTAAGATTATGTATGCGAAAAACTGCCATAGGCAGGTACAGTACAGTCATACATGTATAATATGAAGATATGCTACAACTACAACACTACAACTACAACAAGAGGTTCTTGTCTCATAATATGAAGATATACTACAACTAAAGCTACACTCACGACCCCATGGCTACTTTTCACTTCTGCAACAAGGGATGAATCTACACACTACGAGAAGCCTCGTAATATGTTGCGCTTATGAACAAGATGTGATATTATGAGTAGTTGTAGTCCACCTCCACCCTGTATTCTTGTGCTTGTCTTCAATATTATGAAGTCGCATTACTGCTTGATATCACAATGAGGACAAAATCTAGCATGTCCCTGGGTGGAAAATAGTCAAGCCCATGGAGTAGAACTTTAGAACTACACTCGTCACTGCATGGCGCTCTAGTTTTCTACAGTGCTGGAAGCCTTAATATGACCACGGAGAGAAAGTCTAGGAAGCCTGCGGGTGTGCCCTTAGAGCTATGGCGTTCGCATCCTCCTCCTTGAGAGTAGTAGTATCCTTGGGGGCTTCTTTTTCAAGGAGAAAAAGAAGAACCAAAGATCATAGTGGTGAGGATGCTTCAGCGGTAGCCTTAATGGTCGCACTTGCAGCCTTTTGCTTGGCGGCCCAGTATGTATTTCCGAGTCCGATTAATGTCTGAGTCTCTGCTGCACCTGGATTTTGTGCTTGCGCTGCTTGATATCGTGGCATAAGAATATTAGATTTTTTTTTGTTGTTAGGATAGGATAGATATTGACAAGTGAACAAGCCAGCGCCCAGAGCTAGACATCAACTGAACCAAACTAATAAGGGGCCATCTAAGTCTAAGTATGATAGATTATGACCAGGCAATAAAGTTTAGGCTTTAGAATACAAATCACGCTGCTAATGATTATGTAGCTAGTTTTTGACGTCGAAAGTGAGACTGGCTAAAACATACTCACTAACACGCACAGCTTCTGCTATAGTTCTGAAGTGCCAACTGGGTGCGGCCGTCGAACGGGCGGGGGCGGGGCTGGATAGAGGAGGAACTAAACAGACTCAAAGCTAACGCTGGACTGTGCAAGAACGCCTGTGAGTGCTTCCGCTGGCCTAGCCCACTAAATGCCATCCAACGTAATAAAATAAATCCTAGCCGCCTGTCACGTAGTCAATTACAAAGAACCAGAGGCGCAAACTAGCCGCAGCTGTTTATGGGTTCGGCCCGCTTCCTTTGCTTACGCTGTGCCGGGCCGATGAAGGGCGGGCCCTCGCAACTCAGCTGAGGAAGAGGCCCGCACCTCGGGCCGATCACTGGACAAGGCCACGCGGGCCGGGCAAATGCCCAAGCCATCCATCCTCAGCAGCCAGTCAATCAATCAGCGCTCGTGCGCTATCTGCGTTGGCTTTATATTTTCCGGTAAGACTAGACGCGGCGCCCTCCCTACGTACTGAACAATTATACAGCGAAGCACTTCCATACGGGGGGAGCATAAGACCGCGCGCCAACGGAAACAAGCCTACAACTATCAGTGAGAACTGTAAGCCCATAGCCTCTGTTGAACGCCTAAGGCACAACCCGACACAGGCGGGCCCCGATAGCAAGTTTCGGGGCTGACTGTTGAAGAGAACGAGAAGTTTTTACGACAAGGAAGAGCGGCCTTAACTATAAGAAGAGAATGGCGTAAAAATAACGATGCTGGCGATAACGAGGGCGATAGCAGTAGTTTTGGTGTAGTGCAGTTATATTTCTAGCAGTAGCAACAATAGCAACGACGCCAGGCCTGAGACAAGTCATCTTACCTTAATTGTAGTCCGAAGCAGTAAGCCCTGACAATAAAAGTAGCTGCGTCAGCAGTCGCTCTATAATTTTGGTGGAGCAGACCTGAGTAGAAAAACCAAAAAACGAAAAAAGAAAAGCCAGTGCCAGGCAAATACTTATCTACTACTAACTAAGCGCCGGCGCCGTCGTGGTCCTGTCAGCCCCAGAGGTCTCACCTTCGAATGCAGGTCGGAGCCCTGCGCAACGCCCCCGGTGGGTGCTCAGCTCTATGGCTGTGCGCACTGGTTTACTCGCAATGGGGTACCGGCTCACCAAATAGACCCACAGCCTCAGAGAAGGGCGCTATCTACTTTGTGCTACTGTTACCGTTAACACCCGCCCACGGAATCTGCGGCAGGGTGCTGCTCTATAATGATACTCTTCATAAAATTAAGAAGACCCCATGAGCGCGTATAGCTTATTGTGTTCGGCTTCTCCTCAGCTTAAAATATATCTCAACAGCTGCGTAGTTGACGTAAAAAATGTAGTAGTCATTGGTTTTGGTGTAGTACTTCGCTTAGTGGTTAGGTTAGGACCCTTCATCTAGTGGATAGTACTTCGCTTCGGTTCTGGATCCTTCTGATGAGTAGTACTTCGCTTAGAGTGGGTCCTTCTAGTGAGCGGAGGCTTAAGATAGACATACCAGTGCCGCGAACGCGATGGACAGGATTCCTATACTAAAATGTGTCGTCACGAACCACGTTCATAATTTCTCTTAGGAATAGGTCTCCGGCCGAGGTGGAGATATCCTTACAACTGACTTGTTGCAGACTGGCATTCGTAGCTGCAACGAAGAAACCCCGCGACCCTCCAGTTCTTTTGGTAGGATTCTTATAGAGCAGGACGAATCTCAATTATTTTGGGAATTCTCTTAATCTGGAAAAAAGATACTCAATCTGGCTGTAACTCAATGATCTAGCAGAAAGATACAACTTTGGGTACTAGTCAATCTGGTAAGGATATATAAAGATCAGATAACCCATTTTCCCTTGCGCTTTTTCATCTACGTACTTGAAGAAACGGCCTCCTACTTCGTCTACTTCTCTACGGATGAGAAAATAACTCCTACTAAATCCAACATGACGAATCAGCCCTACATGGATTTAGCGACATTCTTTTGTGCCTATAAACGTGCCATCAGTCAGTGTGATCATGTTGAGGATCTGCCTTAAGGAGGGTCATTCATGTCGATGCCCCACACTAGCATTATGACCAGGACCACGGCAGCACCTGCCGCCAACACGAAGTCTACTCGGACTCGAAGTACATTAGAGGACCTCACTTGAACTCGAAGCTCATCTTAGTAAAGGAGTCAAAGTCAAAGATGTTTCTATCAGTCTTGGGATGAACTACATTACGGCAAGGACAACAATATGCCATAAGTGCACCAGCATCAGCAAGAACAGCACAGCAACTGGAACTGCCGCCTACTCTGCCTTGTCCTCTTCTATTCATCTTCTTCTTAGGGGAGCAAGCTCACGACCCGCATCCATCTTCAGTATTTTAGTTCACGACTTTGGATCATGGTCTCAAGACTCAGTACATCCTTGAAGAAAGGCCTCGCTCTTACAGTGTTGATAGCAAGGCCTAGACAGAGTGAGACCTTCCTAGAGTGCGGACTTTTTTGTTTTTGATGAAAGATGAGTGTCGACTACTTGGCGGTTTACTGAACATTCTGGGGCCGCTGAGTCCAATAAAAGGAAGTGGGCGGATTCTTGTTAAATAGTTGGAGGTGAAGGCCTCTCTCCGAGGATGACTTCTCTGAAGATGACTACATTGGGCTTAGAATTAGGGGAGGCCTTAATATTGCATGTATATCTGCTGCGGAACTTCACCTTTCTTTTGCACAGCGTCCGTGACCTTGTTGAGGACGGGCAGCGTGATGACGTTGAAGTCCTTGTCATGTCATGCTCATGATGCCTCAGGCATGTCCGCTCCCGCTGTCGCTGTTTGTTAGAGTTATATCAGAACAGTTTCTGAGGTTTCTTCAGGCCCGCTCCTCCATCAGAGTTTACACGCGTTCAGCCCGGCAGCCCAGGGCCTACCCTAGGCATCCAACCCGCCAGCCCCAACCCCCAGGCCGACGAGCCGCTCACTCGCGGACCGGACCCAGCACCCTCAGGGCGCCAAGCGAGAAGTCTATCAGCTGCAGCGCCGCCAGCGACGTCACCCGCGACCCCTGGGCGCATTACGTCCAAGGCAGTCCCCTTCGGGGGTCTAGGCAATCAACCAAACTCGACAGCTGAGGCCCCAGGCCCACTCACTCGCGGGCCGGCGCCCTTACAGCGGCCAAAGCATCAGCCCCAGCACCGCCGGCTACAGCCTTGCCCCTCGACGCATTGACTACGAGGCGGGGCTGGCTCCTGAAGCGTCTAGCACACCAGCCAGCCCCCAGCAACGCACCCGCTCGCAAGCTGGATGGTGCCCTTCACTTAGGGCGCCCCGCCGGTCAGCTTCAGCGGCGCCGGCTACGTCACCTCCCGACACATTACCAGGGGCCCAACTTCGGCGGGGCATGGTGCTCCACGCGGGGCCGCGCGTGGCACGCTTGTAATGAGCTCCATGCACTCCATGGGCGGGCAGGTTGCACGAGCTTCGTGCGCTCCATGCTACTCCATCCGCGATACGTGCTATAAGCTGCGCTGTGTTATATAGTACTCCTACAGGAGTACTAAAAAATTATAAGCAATAAAGGCGCGATCCATCACAGCATGTGCATGGCCCTTCGTGTCTGATGGTCAACAAGGTCTGAAACAGCTTTGACTTTGCTTCAGACCCTGCCCACTCCTCGGCCTGGACTTGTTTAATTTTCTGCATGTGGTATGTAATGAATGCGCAAAAAGTAGAACAAGACCACAGGAGTGCAACTGCCCTTGTTCAAAAGGTAAACACAGACAAGACCACACCAGTGCAACTAGCGCTAGCCCTGTTCAAAAGATTAAGATAAAGTTAAAGACTTCAGCTTGATGACTAAAAATTGATTACTTGAAATTAAAGAGCTAGATAAAAAATCTACAACGACCCCCCCAGACCCTCACTCTCTCACGTCCCCGCCCCAGGCTCTGACTCTGCCACTTCCAAACGCCAAGCTTTTACGCTTCCACTTCCGAACCCCCAAGACCCAAACTGACAAACGCACAAACATACAAACTCAAAAACCCCCGAACCCCCAATGCCCTAAAGTCGCGAAGCTTTTGACTTTATCGAAGGGAGGTGAATTTTGCTAAAAAAATTGGATTAGTCTTTCACTTCCTTGAGGCTTCAAGCCTTCAGCCCGAAGCCTACAATGCTACAGCGCGCACTACAGCGCGCGATAAAATCAAAAACCGAGAGCCCAAACTTGAAAGCGCGAAAATGGCCAAGTTTTTGACTTGATCGAAGAAAGGTGAACCAAAAAAAAGAAACTGGGCGCAAAAAGATCGAAGAAAGGTGAATCAAAAAAAAAGAAACTGGGCGCAAAGTTTTTAAGCTTCCTCGAAGTAGGCGAGACTTAAGAAGCCGAAGGCGAAACGCTTCAGCCTTCCGCAAAGATGCCAAACCTGACAGAAACAAAGCCAGCAGTCTCCCAAGCCTGTCACTTCCAGGCGTGCCGCTTCAATAGCCTCCGGCCGCCAGGAGCCCGGCTCTTGTGCTGTTCCGCCGATCAGCTCTTTGCTGTGGCCTTCAGGCCGGTCGCCGCCCCACACCCAGGGGAGAAAAACACGGGGACCGCGCTGCGCCAGACAGTGCGGGGAGATGAGACCCCGGGGAGCCCTCCGAGCAGCTGACGGCACCGCGCCCACGCGGTCCATCGTGTGGCCCAAAGCTCTAACAATATTCGGACGGCACTCGCCTGCCGAGTAGCCGGGTCGGGTGATGCATAAACACAAGGGGCGCCACCTGGGCAAACTCGCAAAGCCTCAGGGCCAGGGGCTGGCTGCGTGGTGCTCGGAGGAGAGCCCTCCGCATCCGAAGCGCCAGCAGGTCGAGGCCAGGCGACCGCCCTCCCCAGATCGGCGGGGCTCCCTCTCTTTCTCCACCGATCCACCCCGCCAGACAGCTGCCGCGTAGGGAAGGGGCTGGGCAAGCGGGGCCACGGAATGGCGGGGGAAGTGCGTGCAGGGGGTGGGGGATTCTAGTGGGATGAGTGCTGCCGGGCGCTTCAGTCTAGTATACTGCACCCCTTCACTTTTTGCACTTCATAATGTTGATGTTGGTGTTCTTGCTGTTGTCGTGGGCCTTCTGGATACTGTTGATTCTCATGTCCTGTCCTCCATTTTCTTTAAGAGACAACTTGTCATGTACAACTGAGCACCTTCTGTTCTTACAGCAAAAAATGTCCTTCCAAAATGCACATGCAGAAGTTGAAGATGCAGTAGAACACGCAGAACTTGGCGCAGGAGAACCACAGGCAGAAGCTGACGATGCAGAAGATGCAGGAGTTGATGATGTTGCAGGACGAGAACTACACGCAGCTGATATGTTGTTGCCGTCGTTCTTCAATTTCTGGTCACTGCTACTCCTTCTCCTTCTAAGAGAAGTAGAAAAAGTAGAGCAGCAGCTGGCGCTGGAACTAGTACTAGGAAAGAGAGCAGCGTCCTGCTCAGTAGCTACTCCTGGTTGAAAGGCAGGAGGGTCTAGAGTCTGTGGCCCCATCATTATGCTGATCTGCGTAAGTAGATAGGAACTGCTAGCAGAGTTTTAAAACCAGTAGTTGATGAGGACACAAAAGGGAAAAAAGGGGATTGGGTCTTTTTTGCTTAAGATACACATCAACATAAGACACAAGCACAACTTCAACTCAAATATAAGAACGCAGTCGATCGTAGAAGGAAAGGCGCTACGCAGTATGTACTATAAGTAGACGGTGATCCATAGGCAATTCTGGCTGCTTCTAGAACAAGCGACCTTGTTCTGAGGCACTTCTGATGTACATCTCCAAGGATTTCTTTTTGATAGACGAGGGAGTAGAGTGCGCATGTTCGTTTCATCTTGCAAGAAACGAGGACCATTTCAAGAAAGTGTACTACTTCAACATATGTCCAACTATGGATAGAATTCTGCAAGGGAGGCGTCTTGAGGTTGAGTGAATGTAAATTACGAGGAAGTTAAGAGGTTAGAAATTCAAATTCTTAGATTCTAATAGAAGTGGTATTCAGCTCTGAGCTTGAAGACCACGAAAACTTTTCCTGGGCATCAACATGACTGGACTTACTCGAAGTACTCACTTAGGCAAACGAATCGGGAGTACCTACTCAGCCTGTGTTTTCTTCGAAGTCTTAGAATAGGAGGACTTCCTCGAAGTACTTACTTATGCGTGCTGGATAGAGTCTGTGTCTGAGGCATACGGCAAAAGACTAGGGTCGATGGGAAAGCAGTCTTGCGTGCTATTTCTGAGGCTTCTTTTTTGTCGTCGGGATCTTGATCGCCACCGCGTCTGCCTTGTTATATTCACGACCGATAGCGATAGTAGCATGGACGAACCGATGAAGTGTCATTCGAATACGACCGAGATAGTTGACATGGAAGCACCGATGAAGGAGCACGATTACGTGGAGCTCTTGTTGTTCGATGAGACAACAGCGACAGCCGATGAATTCAATTCCATGAATACATAAATTTATACCATAGAGTGGATAATAACAAGAACCGAGGAAACTTGATCACTGAGACAAGGCCTCACTTTTCCCTTGATTCCCGTAAACAGCTGCTCCGCAAGGACACGCAAGAAGTGGCGCGACGAACCCTACTAGGGGGCCCTGCTTTGCTCTTGTCTATTATGAGTTTTTTTTGTCCTTTTATGATTTTTTGTTTTTTTTGTCTTTTTATATTTTTTTTGTTTTTTTTGTCTTTTTATAATTTTTTGTTTTTTAGGTTTTTTCGTACCAGACTAGGAATTTACTTAAGCCGGATACCCATTTTTTTATATAGCTAACTACCCCTTTTCAAGTCCTAATAAATATGGATGTTTCGTCTTATGTACAAAGAGCGACGAATGTAAATGTTTACGGTCAAGCACATAGAAAAACAAATTACGACGGATATCAGAACCACGGACAAGGATCGAACAGGCGGCGAGCTGGATCCTTGGGGTGATTCGTCACTAATCAGATGATCTTGCGCCTACAAACATAGAAGAAGGTCCGATCTGGTGTTCCTTAGCGCCCAGGCCATCTATTTGGTGTTCACAAACATTTCTTTTGTGCCGTTCTTTATCTTTATATATTTCAGAATCAATTTATACATCCATGGCGCATCTTCTCGTTCTCTGCGTGTGATAGATAATGCAATACAATAAATCTCGCACAAGGTTCGGCGCAGACTGCCTTTTTGATAACAGTGCATACATTTACATACTTACTTACACTTTTTACCAAACAACTCGGCACAAGCTGCCGCGATCCCATGACTCATGTCTTGGCACGGATACTGCTACCTCCGCTCCTACTAGTTGCGCAGTACGTCATACATAAGATGGGGTAGCTTTTCCGTAGGTGTGAATATTTCGATGAAGATCTACTTCACTTGAAGATGTAGTCGTAGTCGAGTGGAATGATCCTTTTCGATTTCATTCATGGATGTGCTACCTGTTCTAGTTGGTTGTCATAAATGTAAGATAGATCAACAACTAAGTAAACCCTTATATTTGAAGTCGATGTAAGCCGGCTAGTTGATCACAATATTTTCTGATGGTGCCGCGGTGTGCTGTAGTGATAGACAACGCGCTGTAGGTTCATGTTGCGACGCAATAGTAGTGATCATATGGCAATAATGGATCACGTAGTGGTGATGAAGTCATACATCCCGTAACGCTATAGTTTTATCCTTTTATGCTGCGACGCAAAAGAAAATTAATGTAAATGACAAATAAGAAATGGTTCATGCACATTACGTTGCGAAGTAAATAATTCATTTCCTCTCCTGACTTTCGCAAAATAATTCATTTCCTCTCCTGACTCTTAATAACAAAAGTCTTATCCTTATGTTTTTGCTTGGTTCGCGTGTAACTAATACTTAGGTTTGCTGATGCGATTCTTTATTCGCGTGCTATTTTTAATTATTCATAGATACTTATTTCATATGATGCGTCTATATTTTTTGTTGCAAAGAATAATTGTTGAAAGAAAACAAAGTGGTGCTGAGCTTTAATTCATCCTGTGTGTTGAGATTTGTTTTCTTGAAAATAAATGCAAATTCGGTGTCCTCTACTAATCCCTGAAGCAGGACATCCCATCTCTTCTCCGAAGCTGCTCCTACTTCTACTTCTCCGAAGGCTGCTCCTACTTCTACTTCTCCGAAGGCTGCTCCTACTTCTACTTCTCCGAAGGCAGCTCCTACTTCTACTTCTCCGAAGGCTGCTCCTGCTAACAGCATGAGCCGTCGTCGTCCTTTTTAGACGATTATCAAGAGGAACAAGAACGACCTAGTTTAGGTCTGATGTTAACTAAGGACAAAGAGCTGAGACCTATCTCAAGAACAAGTCAACTGAGGTACGTTACCAGGTTCATCTTTTTGCTACTTATGCAGGAAGTGACTGCGTCATACATAAGATTAAGGCTAGGTTAGGTTCGGGATCCTTCACATTGAGCCCCTCAGACTCCTGGTCCTGGCCCATTAAACAGTACCTTACTAAGTGGTAACTAAAGTGATGACTAAAAGTCAAAATATCCTTCTGGTCCGCCTCGTTCTAATACGAGTATCTATTCATAAGACTAGAAGATGACGACCACTAATTCTTGACTAGCAGATGGCCCTAAAGCTATCTTCTAACTTTTGACTAGGAGATGAGTGGAAAGGATTCACCCCCCGAGGTAATATAGTGTAATAATATAGTGTAAAGAGTAGAAGCCCAAGCCCGGGGGGGCTTATTCCTCACGAAAAGTAGGTCCTTTCCTTTGCTGTTTCCTCCAAACACGAAGACCAGAATAACCATATTAACCTTTTGCTTAGATTGTCACTGCCTAACAAAAGATAAAAGCCCTCAGGCTCGTTTAGGATGGTTCGGCTCGTTTAGAGTTGAGCCTCTAGGTTCGTTAAGCTTACTCGTCTTGCGTAGCGCGTAATACATACTTTGGCTTAGTCTTACTCTTACTAGGTTCCTTACGCTTACTCTTGGGGCCTAATACCTAGTGAGTGTAAAAGATCCCATGAGCAGGCTTCCACTGAGTCCTATGACCGTGAATGATTGCGCACTTCGCTCAGGGTGGGCGGGAATAATAGACCCAGGAACAACAACAAAAAAGTAAGGCCGGCAGAGGAAAAAGGAAAGAGCAGCAAGGCTATCTAAAAAGTGAACGAGTTAAAGGCCTCGTCTCGGTTCCAACATAGGTGAAGGGGGAGTGAATGAGGATGAGACTACATACTTACTAGCCTTAACATCTGCCTTTGCCGCTGCCTTGCTGGTGCCACGCAAGTGGTGCAGCATGTTCGGCGCTTTGATATTTAGAGGGACGAAAGTAAGTACGACACTATCAGAAGGGAAGACAGTAAGGCCGAAAATGAGTACTACTGACTTAAGAAGCTGCAGACTACGATATTAACATTACACATAGATTGCAGACAACTACTAAGGGACAACTAATAAACTTTCAACAATATTACTTAAGAAGTAGCAGGACAGCTTGTCAGGAGATACTCATTGATCATGTTATTTTACTTATGACGAGCAGTGGGACAGCTTGTTATTTGAAGATATGATTTTCAAAGCGTTCCCGTATTAAAACGCGATGGTCGTGAGCAATCTTCTGTATTTGAAGATACGTATATTAATTGTTCTAGTAGTACTGTACTCAACAAAAGTACAGGTGGATAGCTTTAGCTGTACAAAAGGTACAAGGATAGTACAAATGCAACAGCCTCCAACTTTTTAGATCTATTAGCCTTAAGTCCTTTGCTAGAAAGTTGGTATCATGTGTTCCAGGTAGGCAGCACTGCTCGGCAAACTTCGCGGGGTCAGCCGCGATGCTGGCCTGACTGTCGGCCTGCATTTTTGGCGTGATCATATATTGAATTTTTTCGCACAATGAACGGGGTCGGAGGTAGTAGTAGTAGTAGCAGGAGCGTGCCCAGTCTAGAGGTATAAAAGAAAACGATCTAATTTATTATGCATCGTTTAGTATGCCTATGCATATGCTCATATAGGTGTCTTCTAATAACAAAATGTACTTGAGATTCAGCAACCAATGTATGGAAGTACTCTCGAATCAACAAGGTTAAAAATTTCAACTCATGTAGAAAGAGCTAGGCAAACGCAAACCCAATGCCAAGAGTATCAATTTACTATGTATATAATGCACCAGGGAGGGAGGCCTTCCTCCCTGTGGTATGGTCTGTGGTGCAGCACAGTGTTGGAAGAGCGACGAGAGCAGAACGAGCGAGGAGAGAAGAACGAGGGACGAGAGCAGAACGAGCGAGGAGAGAAGAACGAGGGACGAGAGCAGAACGAGGAACGAGAGAAGAACGAGGAACGAGAGCAGAACGAGGAGACGAGAGCAGAACGAGCGACGAGAAGCGCCCACGCGTGGCGTGGGTGGTGGCTCCTGGCGTCTCACAGTGGAGGAAGAGAGCGGCAAAAAGAGCCGAAAGAAGGGAGGCACCCCAAGCAAAGTCTGGCGGGTGCATGCACCACGCCAAGGGGGTGGGGTCCAGCCTTGCCACCTTTGTCAGGTCTGTAGGGTACACGCAGCACGCCAAGGGGGTCCAATCTTGCCGCCTTCGACAGGTCTGTAGGGTACACGCAACACGCCAAGGGGGTCCACCCTTGCGACCTTCGGCAGGTCTGCAGGGCACACGCAACACGCCAAAGGGGTCCAGCCTTGCCGCCTTCGCCAGGTCTGTAGGGTACACGCAACACGCCAAAGGGGGCCCAGCCTTGAGGGTACAGGCAACACGCCAAGGGGGTCCAGCCTTGCCACCTTTGCCACATTTTGAAGCCTTCCAAGTCCGTCCCTCAGTGCTTCAACGGCCTTCGGCATGGTGGCGCTGGAGGGTCCAGGCAAGAAGCGGGGACGGGTCAGGGGTGGGCGCTTCGAGGCCTCGCTTCCCACCCGGCAGCCCCTCGAAAAAGGGGCCGGGGGCTGGAGGCCCCCCCCTCAAAGAGTTAGATTCGGGGGGGGCCTTCAGCCCTGATCCCTGGAACATATATCAAGGAAGTTTACTCCCTCTCCAGGATTGGATCGGTGGGCACGCTTGGCACGCTGGGCCGCTGGGCGGCCCAAAGGTGGGTCTTCTGCGAAAGATGTCACCCACCGTGCGCCCACCGTGACACTTGGGGCCAAAAATCGGGGCGCCTTTCAGGCGCCCATTTTTGAAGCCACCCGGCAGAGTAAGCGCATGCGCCCTGGATCCGCAGCAAGCTGCATACGAATCGGGGCGCCCACCTACTGGCCCGCCTGGGGATATCCCTCAGCAGCACTGGCCGCACATTGCAGCAGAGCACTGCGGCACACTGCAGCGCTGCGCCGCACTCTACACACCCAGGCGGCACTGCATACAGCAGCGAAGCACCGCAAGCAGCGAGAACGTGGCCACCCCGGAAAGGAGCACAGCGCCGCGCCGCCCTCGACTGCGGCCTTGCACATTGGCGACGCAGCGGGGCAACGCTATACGCGCCCAGCGTGCCCCCCATGTGTGCCAAGGGTCCGCCCACCGTGCCAAGCGTGGCCGCCCAGCGGCCCAGCGTCGCCCACCTTCCCACCGTCTATAAACTACTCTAATATATTATAATCGTTAGGCTTGGTTAGGGTTAGTCTCAGTTTATGGGTTACATCATTATACACGACATAGAACGGACCCCTGCCTGAGTCAAACGTCAGTGAGTATTGAGTTAAGCTACCAGATCGAGATAGGGTAGGACAGAAATTGATCCACCTCCTTCGACATTTTGAATCTATTGCGTTCTCCTCCGTCCGATAAAGGCATAGTACACGCAAATCAGACCACCTATTTCACGCTAAGAATGCGACCATTTCACAACAAGACCATCTCAAAGAACTTCTCGCCCATAAGTCCACAGTTTTCTGTTCAAATGCTTGGATGTATGCGTCTTTGCGCTTCTCCAACTCTGGGCTTTCCGGGTATCCAGGGTTAACATGAAGAAGAGTCGCGACCGGTTGACAAACACAATTTTAGGCACAGGTGTAATAGATGCAATACGTTTCATTGTAATGTTCGCGCAAAAGTATCTTCATGCCCAAAAATTGACTGCCTGAAAGGACTATCATTCACGCCGGGCCCCTACTTCCAGACACGCACACCTGGAGGCTGCTCACTTCTTTTCTATTTCTCAGATTTCAATACAACGCAACAAGGCGTGAGAAGTTAGTGCGACTGTTGTAGTTTTGTGCAGACTGTTTGTGGCATAAATATAATTTCCACAGTACGGCGGGATCATTAGAGCTACCGCTACCGAGCATTCCTTTCTCGTCGAGTTTCGTAGTTGCGAGGCCACATCTTCAGAGGGATACCCATTCAGCTCAGGGATGCTGCTCAAGTAGCATTTTTCATTCTAGTTGTAACCCGCTGCTTCTACTTCTGGCCATAGAAAGTACAAAAGAAGGAAGTCTGGAACCAGATGTACAGAAAGTAGTTTAGTAAGCTCTTGTCGATAGTAGATCACGAGTAGATGATACGGAGGAAAAAAGTGTACTCATCCTCAAGAAATTACCTACGTTTTACATCGGAAAGTGCCTCTTTTCTTGAGTATGCGTACGCTTTTTCCTGTCATAGATGAAGTTGTCACGCTCATGTGAAGTAAGCTCATGTGAAACAGCCTTTTCAGATACTCCCCGCTTATTTCTGTGTTGGTAGCTATGGCACTCGCTTATTTTACTAGCTGGGCATAAAGAGTCTTGGTATTCGATTAAGTAGGTTGTTGACTGCTATGAGCCTTACTATGACAAGCGAGAAAATTTCTAGCTTGGGGTCTGGGCTCGGACCCTGATCACCGCCCTTTTTGTAGGCGGCTTGCAGTCTCTGTACAACTACCATTATTTTCGCTGCTTCATCAGTCATCGAATTTTTCTGGGCTTCCTCAAGTTGTCGCGCCAGAATATTAGATCATTAGTTGAAGCTCCCTAGTAAAAGTAAAAGTAAAAGCCCCCACCCCACATATTGTTACTCTTGTTCTTGAATAGTTTAAAACTAAAGGCCCCATAGTAGCAGCGAAAGGTAGAGCACTCACTCCTCCATGATGTTGGGTTTGCTTCCCCCTTAGCAAAGCTCTTTCACATCATCCTTGGCTCCCTTTCCACTTGAAAGAGGCGCCAAGGATGCTCTAGGGGATGCTAATGCTTGCGGTACCTCTAAAAATGTTGATGAGTGAACAGGCCAACGCCTAAGCAACTGGACAAACCTGATATATAAGGGGACGTATGAATATAATTAAGCAAAAATTTAAGTCTTAGGGCGGAAATGCTAGGTACTAATGTAACTAGTTCTTCATGTGGAAAGTGAAACCGGCTGGGGCGTACTCTTTCAGCATGGCCTTTAGTACATTTCTAACGCACTACCACTACGACGCGGCGCCTGAAACTAGTCGCCTTGCCTTAACTGTAGTCCTAAGCAGTTGCTCTATGATAATAAGTCACTACGCCGGACAAACCCGAACACGCCACGCCAGAAATGGACTGCCTGAAAACAATAGCACACCGCACGCACTTGAAACGCGTCGCGAGATCTCTGGCTGTTTCTGGCCCTGATATTTGGCCTGAGGACACGACGCAAACCAGAGGGGAAACCGTGTCGCAGTCACTCCAGTCGTGAACTGAAGGAGAGACCACCGCGGCCCCTTCGCATTTTGTCGTCATTCGTTCCCTAGGAAATAGAAGGGCCGCGACAAACCGGCTCCCAAATTTCTAACGCGATTTCTTATGATATGAACACAAGAGCGCCACAGCTAAATCACGCCGAACGTAAGAGAACACGCAGGGCAGGCTCCTTAATTTCCGGAGCGCTATGACCTATCTAGAACCAGACATCTTCACCTGCAGCCTCGCCTGACGCATGAGAGGGCCAGATACTTCCAAGACCAGGATTAACAGATTGAGAGATCATTGACGGGCCAGGCATCTCTTTTTAGGCGGCGGGATAGGTCAGACTAGCGACCATTGGCCAACAAACTAAAAAGTCACGCATAACAAAGGCTATGGGCTTTTGTGGAGTCAATAGGCCACTGCGACTAGGAGTCTGCGCTACCGCGCTTGCAATATTTGAATAACTTTAATTTTTTTCAGAACAAGTAGAAGTACCTATTTTCGTATAAGTTCTATTTTTCGTATAATTTTTCTTCCCAGGATTAAATCACAGCTCACCGTCTAAATGTAGTCACTGATGCACTTCGGTTACTAGGCTAGGTTATGGGCCCTGCGCAGTGAGTCCTTTCGGGTCCTTCTAGTTAGTAAAGAAACAAATCAAAGCAGGGAAATGCACGTTTCGCGCCGCGCATTAATTTAGATAGACACACCAAAGTGACGAAATAACCGCTGAAACGTCGAGACACAACATCTTCATAAGCTCAGCGACCATCATATTTGAGCCCGCGGCGACGACGTCCATACAGCGCACTGGAATCGTAGCTGCAACGAAGAAACCCCCTCCACCTGTGCTACGATTCTTTTAGAGCAGGAGTATCCAGGGCAAGCCTTGAGTATGTATTTGGGTACCATTGGAAACATTTTTGGGCACTCTTGGAAATGTTGTCAGGATGAAGATCATAAGTAAAGCAGATACAGAATTACGTTAAATAAATTAAACTACTTAATACTCCAGATAATTGAAGTGAAAGCTTATTTTTTCCGTTTATCGAATAGATCTGGCGTAAGCTCAAGATCCAGCATAGAGATGGCATGATCTTCGCCCTCAGATAAACTGATGAGCCTTTTTCGCTTATCTTCGCCTTCAGATGAAGTGACGATATTTCTCGAACTCGATTATATAAAAGAGAGACAGTCTTGAGGCGGTTAGGTAGAACAAAGATAAGAATACAACGAAGAGGACGAGCCCATCATCTACTGGAATATTAGTTGAATTGCCGACGTCATCTACTTGAAGACAAAGGTTCCATGATCTACTTGAAGGCTACATTTTGGGCCTAGTATGGACTCGTTTGTTTCCGAAAGGACGAAGACAATTTTGAGGATATGCCTTAACGAGGAAGATCCATGTCCCACACTAGCATTGTGACCAGGACAACTGCAGCATCTGCAGCCAACAGGTAATAGACTAGAAGTACATTAGACCTTATACAATAGACGCAATGCAATAAATCTCGCACAAGGTTCAGTGCAGGCTTACCTGCAGAAGTTGACGCAGCATTTGAATAAAAGCATCTTTGATGCAGCGTTTGAATTTTTTTTGCCCTGCTTGAGTCGTTAAGGAGTCAAAGTCAAAGCTGCTTCTATCAATCTTAGGATGAATTACACGGAGGTAACAAAAAGCTGCCATAAGTGCAGCAACATCAAGAACAGCACAGCAACTGCCGTCTGCTCTGCCTTGTCCTCGTATATTCCTCATCCTAGTCTTAGAGGAAGAGGAGCTCGCGACCTCGCGATTCGTATATATGTTAAGGGGTTAAGAAAGTCGTAGGAGGGTTGAGTATCTATAAGAATGTGCAGAAGGACCCTTGAAAGGGCCTCCCTCGAGGAATAGTTAGTGGTGCAATATCCTGATGGACGAACTTCAACCCCCTTCGCGTTATCCCTACTTGAAAGCTACTGCTTTCCTTCTATTTCCCTACTTAGGACGCGACTCGTGAAAACAACTACTTTATTCCTAGTTTCCCGCTTAAGATGCGAGTGCGACTCGTGAAAACTCCACTTAGGATGCTCCTTTGTACATGACTGAGCTTTGAAACCTACCCAGTCAGCATTTATTTTTGAGACTATCTGAAGATGGATCATTACAATGTAAGACATTAATAGGGGAAGGAGCAGTAGCAGTAGCAGGGTGCCCAATCGTGGGGTATAAGTGCTTTACTGGTTTTTATTTAGTCGGAAGTTAGCCTTAATATTGCTTGCGAAATTACTGAGCTTCTTTCGTTTGCACATCATTTTTGTTGAGGAGCAGGATGTTGAAGTCCGCGGCCGCTGGCTGTTAGAGTTATACAATACAATGGTTATACAGTACAACCGTAGACGAGAAGTTATTTACAGTGCTGCCATTGTCATAGACTACAACCGACGCGGTAGTACAGACATAGGAGTTGCTTAGAATAGTACGAAAATAGGCAATACCTATACAGTCCAACCATCATGATCACCACCGTGACACGATCACCATCATTGTTCGTCTCTCATGGACCATGTTCGTGAACATTCTCTAATACCACGTCGGACATTACAACTTTGACTTCATTAAATAAGTTGTAGCTTCGTCTTGTCCTGCATAATTACCAAAATCAAAAAACTGGAACCAGTATTATCAATATGTATGCGTTTGATATCATACTCCTGTGAAAATGAATCACTTCCACTTCATAATGCTGATGTCGACCTTGTTGATTCCGGTCTGGATCTTCTGGATTAGCTCGCGCCTTTATTAGAACTAGCTACTGCAACCCGCAAGAACCTAACTACGCGTGAGTGAATCCCAGCTAGATATATAAGTTGCTTGTGTGTAAATAGAAAGTTGTTCCAGAAGCCCCATGATCCTGATCTTGATGAGCACGTTGCAAAGTGATTAACTTTGAAGTGATTGACTGAGTCAGGCAGGAGTACGGGACTTTCCTACGAAATCACTACGACCAGTCCAGCGCGGCAGTACTTTAACGGAATTCTCACCTAACTATTAGGTTCTTTTGAGCCTTAATTCATGGTCTTGTCCCCTTGTACTAAAAGTGGGTGTTTGCGCATCCTCTTACAGCAAAACCAGTTGTATGAGGACGATGCACATGCAGAAGAAGAGGCATCATCAGGCGGCATCATGTTGAAGATGTCGTCGTTCTTTAACTCCTGACTACCACTACTGCTACTCGGAATAGCAGCTGTAAAAGAACAGATGGAGGCTCCAGGACCAGGTAAAAGAACAACGTCAGCAGCTACTCCGACTCGCAAAACAGGAGGTTCTTCACCTTGACAAGTCAACGACGTGGTCATCTAATTTTTCGTCCCTAGATGCTGCTAGCACTCAGCTGAGAAGATACTGTAAGCTTTAGGAACTGCTAGAAGGGTAGTAAATGTTGTGCAAGAGAATCGTAGGAAAGGTACACCTACAAGAGATTATTGATAGAGGGAAAATGTGAGAACAATAAATTGATTTGCAAGAAACTAAGAACAAGAAGAGGTACTGCTAGTATACGTAAGTATATTATAGATAGAGGGACAATTTTGATTTCGTGCAAGAGAGGTACTTTGAATGTAGGTTAAAGCAGTGCTCCAAGGTGGTCCCTGATAACATTGATATTCGAGCATGAAGGGAAAGTTGGTATCGAGGACTAGAACTAGCGACGCTGCTCTCCGCTCATCTCTCGTGAGGAACAGTCATGACACAAGGAAAAAGCCGAGCGCGAACAACTATGATAAGCTAAATATTTATATAAATATCTACAAGAAGCGTCGACGGGATGCTTCCGCCCTTGGCGTCCCACTCCCCAGGCTCCAGAGGTGGAAGAGCACTGGGGGGTGCTCGCATCATCAGTAGGCCACTGCGTTAGGGAAGACCAAGAGCGCCGGTTCACCATACCTAACCCTACTGGCGATCGCATCCAAACCCCTAACCACCAGGCCATGGATCATGGCCGGGTGACCCTGAACCCTGCGCGCGAAGAGGGCATAGCGGAAAGACGAGTAACATGTTCCTTCCCTTAACCCACCAGCTCGTGCACTCATCCCTCAGATCAGACGCCACGACAACTAACAGAAGAAGGAGCGACAGATTAATCATCAAGACATGGACTGAGTCCAACGAACGATCACGATCACGAACGACACGATGACTTTTGTTATTCGGCATTCTCTCGTACAACTAAACCGACCAGAGGACAGATACGACTCAACAGAACCAGCTTCAATAAGGCAGATAGATGAGAACAGCGAAAGGCGGTACCTGTGCTCGATTTTTGTCATGCTTCAAAAAAAGGACTATATCAGCATAGGTTACTCTCCTATGCTGTTGAAAGCGAGGACGATTAGCTAGCATGTAGCGACTTAAAATGGAAATTTAGTCGCACAAGACTACAAGAGTTGAAATGGAATCAGAGTGAGTTCTTAAACTGGGACGCTTCGGACACTATGATCCATGTCGGTAAGTATGTATGTGCCTCGCTAGAGGTATTGCAGTTGGTATCGTTATCCGATAAATTATGATTTTTGATGTTATAAGTTTCTATATTTTCGATGTCGTGTGGGTGTCATCTACTTGGAAGGACAGTTGCTCCTCTCTTAATTCTCGGTGTAGCACGACGACCGATTCAAGTAACGCCGGTTGTTCTGGAGGACGAGGATTGATGCTCACCCTCAACATAATGTAGCCGAGTAGCCCCTTTACCTCAAGAGTAGGCACATCAATCAATCAACTATATGCGGCCGTCTAACGAGCGGCGGTGCTGGACCACGGAGGAACAAACAGACAATCAAGCTCCTCTCGTTTCAAAATTCTCGGTGTAGCACGACGACCGATGAATAAGCGGTTGCGAAGACCGATGATGTGGCACGACCGATGATGGTGAGGACTGCACGACAGATGACATTTTTGATCATGTACGTAACACCGATGAGATTCATTCATTTTAAACGAATTATCCACTGATTTGGATTTGGATGAGATCTCAGAAAAGTTTCGGAGGAGCACCAGATAATATCAAAAGTTTCTCAGGAGCAGCGGCGTGCTGAATTTACATGACTTAATTCAACTCAAGGACGACGTCTTTTTTTTTGTATCGTGAGCGAGTTCCGTGAAGCACCTGCCTACATATTTTCAGCGTAAGTAGTTACTGGCGTAGGGGTGAATTCTTAATCTCCTTCGGTGGAGCTTTTCTGGCCGTGCAGCAGGAATAAAGTAAACTGATGCGAGGCCACCACGAGGGCGATGATATACATGAGGTGCGCCTCTTCGTATTATACATTTTCCACACCGCAATTTTCTCTGTTTCATGAAGATCTATTTTCCTATGCTGCACCGAGTGCTCGAACGCGAGTAACTTTTAGTTACATCGAAAGGTGGTTGCATCTTAATGGGCGAACATACATCTTAAGGACATACACTTGTTCACGCCTCCATGCTTAGGAGATGTTGAAGAAGTAACGCGAAGTTCTTCACTGAAGTTTTCATTCAACACTGATGGGGTAAGTATAACTCGCACGACATTGATGATGATATACCAAGCACGGGGTGTTTTCGTTCACACGACCTACTTGATGATATAACCCACGCTTCGACATTGAGACGTTATAAAAATTGAAGCGTTTTAAACTTGATGCATTGATTATCTTGATCTCAACCAAGGGATATTCTACAAGCGAACAAAGTCTGCCCATTCATTCATTCATTTACCTATCACTCCATTGGGCGAATGCTAACAACTTCTACAGTACTAAGCGTAGTATTTCGAAAAACTGAAGTAAGCAAGTAACTGCGCAGAATAACCGAGATACTGATGAGAAGGAAGATGAATAGCCTTGATGTTAAGCTACCTCCCGTATTTCAATCAGTAACTACTCGGTTATTTGGAGTCTTCGAATACTTTTCCGAAGACTCCCTGAACATCAAGGCTAGCTCCCTTAGGAGGGTCTCGCTCTGACCCCCTTCGACTGATGCAATGCATGCCATGCATTGCCATCCATGCAATCAAACATCCATCTTAACAAATGCTCTAATTATGAGCTATCGTAGTAAGTATACTACGATCTCCCTGAACATCAAGTCTACTTAAAGATTCGATTTCGATCGTAGGTCTATCTTAGTCCGACCCTCCGCGAACTAGGTAGATATTCTTGCGTCCCACACTCTTGCGGCGCCTTCCCTCGATCTGCTTCGGTGCGGCGATTAGCGGTTCTTTCTTCGCACATAAATATTAAGATTAACACCACATGAAGATGGATCTTCTCATAACAAAAGGAGCAGTATAACAAAAGATCATGATCTAGGAGACCTCATAACAAAAGGTGCAGTATAATAGGTTCCCGAGCTTCCCGGTGCTTGTAGAGCGCGCTTCGACGGTCGTATTTCCTGAGGACCGCCACTATGCTGCCAGGATATTACATCTGTGCAGTTGTGGTGTAGTTGGCAGAAAAAGGATCATATGATTGATTGATTGATTGATTGATTGATATGCCTGACAAGAGGTTTGTTTGGGAGAACCAACTTCTTCTAAGTTGTAAAGATTAGGAATGGGCTAGGGGAGGAATCAGCGTCGGAAGGAGTAATTAGAAGGATTAATTGGAAGGAGTAATTGGAAGGAGTAATTAGGAGGAGTCATTGGAAGGAGTACTTGGAAGGAGTACTTAGAAGGAGTAATTAGAAGGAGTACTTGGAAGGAGGAATTAGAAGGAGTACTTGGAAGGAGGAATTAGAAGGAGTACTTGGAAGGAGGAATTAGAAGGAGTATTTTGAAGGAGTATTTTGAAGGAGTAATTAGAAGGAGTACTTGGAAGGAGGAATTAGAAGGAGTACTTGGAAGGAGGAATTAGAAGGAGTAATTAGAAGGAGTACTTGGAAGGAGGAATTAGAAGGAGTACTTGGAAAGAGTATCAAGCGACGTAGGAGGCGTTGTGATTGTTAGGCGTTGGGTCAATTGTGTCCATACTTTCTTTTGAAGAGTGTAGTAGAACCTCTAATTTTTCAGTGAACAGTTCCCATAGTTTGTAACACAATAAGAAACTTTTAAGTTAACAGTACCCATAGTTCTTTGTAACACAAAGAAACTTTTAAAAGTCAATTGTACCCATAGTTTCCGCTTGATGTGTGACCGGTTGTGTCTTCGTCTCAGCAGGTGGAAGGTCGTTTCTCCATGCTATAATGTCCCCAGCCGTTCGTGTTGCTTTTGCGTTCGGGTTCGCGTGCTTGGCAACTGTGAAAAAGGAAGAACAACAAGAAATAAGGGACGGAGACAAATTTATTAAGAGAGTCTGTCAATAGTGGAAAGAATTTACTTATGTTTGGACAATTTTTACTTCTTGTTTGGACAGTGTAGTGTGAACCCACGAATTCTTGCAGGTGGTGGGTGATGCAACAGGAAAATGAAAATGATGGATTTTGATAGCGTGACTTAGGGGGAACGAAGAAGAAGAAATAAGGGAGACTGGAAAATCAACATAAGGGAGACTGGAAAAAGAAGAAATAAGGGAGACTGGATTGCATTTCTAACAAGTCACTCGCGTACGCTTCGCCGCATTAGCCGTACTCCCTCTTGAGGGACTAGTCCAGGCTACAATGTCATTCTTTGCTACTTTTGGCGAGTCGACACCACGTCGCGCGCCTCCTGCATATTCCGTATTAGACATTGCGTACATCCATTTTGAAAAGCATCTTTGGCGCACTCTTCCCTTAGCAAAGGGGTAGGGGTCAAAGATGCTTCGTAGAGTGAATCACTGTAAGCCTTAACCGTAGCAAATGGGGCTAGTAATGCTGGTCCTTGATGTCCTCTGGCGGAGTATGATGCCTGAAAAATAGTCGAGAGGGGTGGAACAAGATGTGCAAGTAGTAGGAGTAGTAGGAGAGTGAATTGTTATCAGGTACTACACTGTAGTGGTCGTTGTAATGCTCTAGAAGGACATTTTTTTTAGACGATTTTCTAATACTAGAGAACGTATCAGATTATAGCTACACAATCATCTTCATCGGCATCCTCGCATACGTAAATGGCACATTGTACAAACTCTTCTTTCGCATACGTAAATGGCACAAACTCTTCTACTTGTATCTTCTACTAGTAATTATGGTACAACAAGAAACTACTCTTCTTCTACTAGTAGCTTAACTACTTTCATTCATTCATTCATCTACTAGTAGCTTAACTACTAGTAAACTCTTCTACTCGTAATACCTGCGCACCCGATCCGACTGCTGGCGTTGCTGCTGGTGAATGCCGATCGTCACCTCCTATCTGTCTCTGCACCACTGCCAAGAACTCGGCAACACGGACATGACGTTAGAAGACAATTTTACCAAGTTAGGTTAGGTTGGGGATCCTTCACATGGTTAGGTTAGGTTAGGCTTAGGTTAGGAGAAATCAATTAGCAGTCGTCTATTCGGCTCAGGTTAGGAGAAGTCGCCTAAGCAGACTACCCCATTGATGTAGGAGATGACGCAGTTTGCTTAGTGGTTTAGGCGTTGGCCTGTTCACTTATCAATGACTACTCTACTAAGCGGATCCGCATGTAGTTCGCCAGATGAGTCAAGATCAGCTTACTACATCGAGCCAAGCGAGGAAGTGAGGGATCATTTCTGTTCAGTAGTTATACTCCTGCTAGAGTGCTGAGGAGAAGGAGACTCACCAGTTACTAGAAGTTGGTCGATGGTCATGCCATGCCATGGCGCCTCTTATGTAGCTATTAGTGTCTACTCGTGAGGCCAACCAGTTGGAAAGTACAACCTCCGATGGAGAGCCAATCCACCGGTATAATCAAGACAACAAGAAGCTTAACTGTTATCTGCTTCGTGCAGTCGGATTAGTCGGTCAATCTCCATCGTGACGAGGATACCGTTTTCCTTTAGCTTTTGCCTAAATACCCAACTTCCTACTTTTCCGTCACAATACAGACATATTGCTCGCCTCAATCCGATGGGCGCGCTACTCTCCGAAGGCGACGCTGGGGAAGTGCCGCTTGCTGTAGTAGGATTGGCGATCATTCAAGAGAACATGAAGAGAATACGTAGATATTAACAACCGATGAAGATGATCCTGTCAGTCAATTCTCTGAGGTTTAAACAACTAACGGAGCTCAAGGTTAGCCATGTTCTTGAGTTCAGTTGAGTAGAACAAGAGACACAGCGTAGCTTTTAGACACAACGTAGCTTTTAGACACGGCGTAGCTTTTCTACAACCGACATGATTCTTTATCTTTATCTTTTCTACAGGGATACAACGGGAGAAAAGAGGATAGGGTACTACAATCTTTGATGAACGCTGCAACATCGTATTCGATAGTAGTTACGCAACATCGTTATCGTTTTCAATAGTACTTAGTTATAGGGGAAAGTACGATGATATGCTCCTTGCCTTGAAATTGGATCCCAGGTAACCGGATTCCTTCTAATTTCACCTAGCGGTGCCTGTCTTCCGGTTTGTCCACTTCGCTCTAGCGACTCTCGATAATCTACCTGCACTAATCAATACCACTAAAAATATTATTTGTGGGGGAGCCGACCTAACCTTTAACTAGAAGAAAAAACAAAGACCGGAGGGGAAGATAGAAAAGAGATGAAAAGGGCAATTATAAAAATCAAGTATCCTCCTATCTGTATCTGCTAATATTGTTCACAATTCTAAGAGAAACTCCAACAGCAATACTTGAGGCCCTCCTGAAGACCTAGGTCTCATATCGATTCCTTTCGAGGCTAGCACGTCTCCAGTCGTGAAAAGCGCATGTGGATGCTGGTGAATTTAGAGCTATGTATGGACTCAAATACTTATTAGCCTGACTCGTTACTCTTACTTGTGACTGATGGAAAAAATAAATCCCACTGCAAGTACAACAACTTTCGAGCTGACGTACTCATGGTTTCTTGGTAGTTCTGCACGATATCATAAAGATCGATGCCCTGAGTCTGACTTAACATGCTGCCTCCGCGGTACTGATACTGTGTAGTATTTATTGTGAGGTTAAAGCGAAGTACTGTGTAGTATTGTGAGGTTAAAGCGAAACTCGTCAGGTACTATAATGGAGTCAGGTTGAATTTTTTACCTCCAGCCTTAATGACTTTGACTATGATGGTGCTTTCGCGGCTCTCCACCCTTGTGCAAAAAATTGTCGATCCGCAAAGCCTTTATTAGCTTCGCGAAACTCAGATACTTGTTAGAGGAAGAGAGTTTTCCAACGGTCAGGACCACATGCGTCATCTTCATAGAAGTCAATTCAAAATGATGACCATATCAAGCAGAAGGAGGGAAATTTATATACAGAGCAACTTATAAGGTTTCACAGCTCGCATGGCATGGAGTGCATGGATCACATGGAGTAGCATGGAGCTAAGGGGGGAGCTTCTTGCGCCCCTTAAAGCTCTGCGCTCCATACGCTCCATGCACCATGCGTGCTATAAACTACTCTGTATATAATAACTCTTATCCTATGAATCTTTAACTTGTGAAGCTTCCTCATGCTCATCCATATTTTCCTGTTATCTCGACGGCGAGATACACTTCTAACATTCACCATAACTCTAGCTGGTCCGTGTACCGCCAAAGCGTGTCTAAACTCTTCAGTCAATGGGATTTTTAGGTCGTCTGATAGTGCATGCACGAAAGCATGGTCGGTGAGCATGCCTCGGTCCCACCTGGAATACAAGCGGCGGATCTCCTCAGTCTGGGCGGCGAGGAACCTGGTAAAAGAAGTGTGTGATGTTGTGCTCTTATTCTTGCCCTAGTTGTCGAATTAGAAGCTCAAGTTCTTGTATCTCCACATGTTGTACGATCCGACGACCCGCTTGTAGGAAAAATGAGGCTTGTACCTCTATCCTCTTCTCAAAGGTGAAGTTTTGTGTGACCTGAATTTACTCTAGTAAGACCATTATTTTTATCTTTAGACACGATGAATCGCATACTCCAAAAATTAGCGGAAGTACTCCTGCATCGCTTCCTCATTATGCAGGTCTGGCATTGGTGGCGCTGGTGGCTTCCCCATATCTGCCTTCAAAGCTAAGTTTAGACTCGGCCTCGATCCATCTTGGTGTTGGTCCCCTCATCTCGACCCCTTTCTTACCCCTTGTATCATTCAACAGAAGAATACACGGGAACAAAAGGGGACCAAGTAGATGCCGAGAAAGATGGAAAAAAAAGCTGACCATAATAAGTCGTTCGCTTTCAATAGAAATTTTTCCGTTTCTGACTGCTTCGCACGAGGCGTTGATGGTGAAAATTTTCTCACCAAGTCCTTGTATATAACGAAGCCATCGCCTTTGATGATGCAATACCTTGTTTGGAATCGAGGTTAATGTTGATGTTTTTTTTTGTGTACTAGAATCAACATTTTTATGAATTTGATGTGCTTGTCATTGGAAGCGTCTCAGACTGCATGTCTGATGTGTGTAACTTATAGATTGGTAATGTTCCACAAATCACGAGTCACTGTAGTACTCCAACAACTTTGCAACTTCTGGTTGGCCGTATTGCAGTCCGAAATCCTCAAGAACATTTGAGAAGCTGGCTGCCGTGATAAGCCCACGCTGATATTTCTTCTTAGAAGAACATGGCATGTGTGTACGTGTATTCGTGATAGTATTGTTCGTAGTGCCCGTAGATCTCATATCGTGCTACCTCGTGCTACGTCTTGACTAACGTTATTGAGGCCGTTCAGCCACCCTGTACCTTCTTCTAAATAGAAGAGCAAGATGTCCCGTAGAGATACAACTAAGCTACTTTTGTGACATTGAGTGGTGATATAAAAATGACATATCAAGTATTTGGTTTACTTTTAATGCGATATGAATGTGCTTAATAGCACATTAGATTTAGAAGTCCACAGGAGCCTTAATATCTCTGGCCTTGAACTCCTGTAATACCCTTAGGAGCAGGTACTCGGTGTCCGTCTTTAACCGAGACCGCTCATCCCCGTCCGGTGCCGGCATGGTGCAGCTCCGAGGAGATGAAGGTGTTTCGCCGGATCTTGGGTTCGGATCTTGGGTTCTATTCTTGTTGTAGTGTCTGTACTATTCAGTATGATGACTTCAATTTTCTCAATCGATGTTGAAGATACGGTTTAATTTCACTGTAAGCCGTTGTAGCGGTCTTGGCGAACGGTGAGTGGCCATGCGTTCTATATCGCAGGCAAAAATTTTGGGATGAAATAAATCTAAAGTATTCATCGGTTGTGTAGAGACGGACCAGTTTTGCGGTTTTTGGAAGCCTTCATCCGCCTTAGGCTCAAGTCAGTTCTGCTTTCAAAACAAATAGTAGAATAGGGTTGTAGTTCATGCTCATGATAGATCTCTCGCTTCCAGTTAATATCACGTACAAAAGAGGCCCACTTTGAGACCGACTGTCCTCTTGCATAGACTTTCTTCCGTGAGTCGCTCTTTCAACAATAACACGTGCTCGCGCTCGCCGTCCAAAATTCTACACATGTAGGCTCTTCTTCTACGCCTTCCTGGTCGACGTAAATTGATCCTTCGTATCTTGGCTAGTGTTTGTTCGACTTTGATATTTATTTCAGTTTCGTTGCTAGCGTGCTGTTGAATTTGCTATTGATTTCAATCCGAATATTAAGTAGGCTCATAAAGATGTAATTGTAGAACAAGACGAATATTTAAATGATTGAATGTTGTCAGTAGTTCCAATCAATATAAATGGATCATGAATGTTGTCAGTAGTTCCAAGTGAAATCCCTATACTCCGGAAGTAAATCAAACGCTGGACCACGTGGATCAGTGTAGTGTTGACGACTATCAAAAAATGGTGATGTTGTCTTGTCCTCAGCTTTCCCTTCTTGTTCTTCGACTGGGCCTCGTGTCTGGTCCTTTGCGTTCCCTGCTTGTTCTTCGAGTAGACCTTCTGCATGACCTTGCAGTGAAGATTCGTTTTCTTCAAGATTATCTCCAAAATCGAAGATATCACCGTAGATTTTGCTGGTATGATCGGACCAGGAGACGCCAGGTTTTGCGTTCGGAACGAAAAGGTCGATGCCGTATTCGAGGCTCCACCTGCTAACCAACTGTCGCGCAAGGTTGTTGTCGCCTTGTTGTTAGATAGAAGTAATTGAAATTCGATAGATATGGGAGACAAGATGTTGAAAGTACAACACAATCTTTGGATTCTAGTACTTGGTTCTTTTGGTATTTCTTGTTCTCATGAATTCGAAAAATTTGATGGATATGGATTACATACATTCACAAAATAAATCATTCAACTACTGCTTTTTATTCTTATATCATCAAACACGTACACGAACACGACAGCGCGAGCGCCACGACAAAGCCATAGTTATGATGGGCGCACTCCTTGCTCTCCTTGCACAGGATCTTCTCCTCGTGACCCCCATGATGCACCGCAGGCCAGACATCCACAATCCCCAGCTTAAACGGCGGCCAAGGAATTAGACATCTTTATGTAGTAGACAGAGATGACTGATGTATTCGAATGCGTGTGAGTACGTAGTGTTATAGTTGGTGGGTTTCTTTTCAATTCCATCTACCTTGAACATTCTTCTGAGTCGATGCAATCAAAGTTGATGAAATCGAAGTGGATGAAATCAAAGTGGATTGTACGCTTTCCCCTTAAGAAAAGCAACCCATCAGGCGCCCGCTCTTGCTCATCGAATCTGAGTGGTCCGATCGCTCTATCCAAGTCCGGAAACCATTTACGGACAAGGGATTCGGACAAGTCCTGTTCACGTCGAACTTCTTCAAGACTCCTACTTGTACTTGTTTCACTTTCTTGCTCCCCTTGCAAACTACTCGCTGCTGTTCTTCTCGTTCCCTCCCCACTTCCATCAGATCCAGGAGCCCTAGCCCTATCTCTATTTTCTTCTTGTTTTAGAGCCGTCTGCTAGCTGGCATCTCGGCCCCCTCATCTTCACGACCCCTTGGACCTTGTATTTCACGAGATGAATCCAAGGGAAAAGCAGGGTACCAAGATGCCGAGAAGGATGGACACTAAATGTTGACCTTAATTGTTGACCGCCCCCAACAACATGCTGGCCAGAACTTCTTCTTCTTCTAGCTTCTAACCTGGTCATCTTCCACCGAACAGCTTCTAAAATCTTTCGATACCTCCACAATCGTTTTGCATTACAGTAAACTTGGGCATAGCGTGAGCCAACGTACGTTCCCTGCACCGGATCCATCGCAACAGATTCTTGCTGTACTTCCCAATAACACAGCCATGCCTCTGGTCTGAATAACAACGTTTGTGAGGTCATGAATCGGATTAGGCGACCGGCTACTTTTCCTTTATTTGCTATCTCCTGGGAGTTGTGTCTCTTCTGCTTTATTACTCTCCTTATCGTCTGCTGGCTGGTTGCGAGTCGGCCTACTTCAGACTGTGATATTGTTGACATCGTGCTGTCTGTCAGTGCAACATTGCTACCACGATCCCCCTTTCCTCCAGTCGTCGAGCTAGCATGTCTTAAAGCGTTATCTTCTTCCTCTTCCGTATAAGCTAGACGTTGGGCTGCAGCAACACCAAGAACGGTTGATCCTGAATATCCTTCGGCATCTACTACTGTCGATGGAAGAGGCTGCGACAGATGGTCGTGAAGTGCATTCAACGTGTCAGAGTCTTGCAGCCACGTGGTTAGCGATGCTTTTGCTTTTTCCAAGTCATCTGGTTTCAAAGCTTCTCCAGCGAGCCTAGGTGGTTTTCTAGACAACATGTCCGACAAGATCTCCCGCAATCTACTAGCCAACAGTTTTGCAAGACGCGTCTTTTTCCACAGCTGCTCCTCCTCCATTTCACCCATTGCCAATGCTGAAACCTTACGTCTGTCGAAGTCTTGCTTGGCTATTAGAGAAAGCCACCAGGTGGCTGCCCGATTGATTGTTTGCATTTTTTAGTTGATTGATCATCTCGCTCGCTGTTTTCGACGACGCCTGAAGAACATGGAACACGACGATATGTTATTTGGTGGAGCAGACCAGGTCTGACCTAACGAGAAAAAAAAACAAACGATATGTTGAATACCAGGCACTTTATCTTCTACAATTAGAAGTCGTCTGCACGAGGATGGAAATCCATAATGTCTTCTGCATGTCCCTTTGTGCCTCACTCCATGGTATGCAAAACGCGTGATAGCAGTCGTACATCGCCGGCTGGGACATGGATAATTCGTTTTGTCGCGCAAACCTCAACAGGGTATGCACATTCGTGTCCAGCTGGACGTCCTCTTGTACAGACCAAACGAAATCGAAGTCCTTCACCAGTTCGGGTCCTATGAACTGCAAAAAGTGCGTGAACATTTTCCGACCTGGACTCCAGAGTAATGTGACATGCTTCCTGAGAAATGCGGAAATTTCGCTTGTTGTGACATTGCCAAAGTGATTCTGTAGAGGGTCGTTGTAGTATCTTCGCGGTCTGGCAGCTTTTATTTTTACTCCAGTACTATACGATTTGTTCGAAGATGTTGTCTCGTTTGTGTTAAAAACTTGTGCTGCATGGTTCATCTTCATGCGAGCTTGATGCCTGGCACCGTAATCGGAAAGGTCGAGGATGTTGTCTTTTGATAGATGCAGTTCTGCCCATCTCGGCAACACCTCTCGATACGAATACGTAACGAAATGCCAATATGGCAAGCATGGCTCCCGCATCCACTTTATGAAGTTCTTTGCTACTGCAAACTCGCGTTCGAAACTAACTGGTGCACGATCACCAGCCAGCGGCCCAACAATCCAAAGGACTCGGTGTTTTTCGGAACATGAAGATTGATGTTTTTTATCCTCTTCTTGCAATTGCTGTTGCCGTTGACTGGTTCCAGGTTCTACAGCACCTTCTCCATTTGTTGCACCTTGATCTTGTTGCTGCAGTTGAGTGGTAGTTTCATGATCAGGTGGTTCCTTTCCTCGATGTTCCACAATGTTATGATGTTTTTGAGCAACAGCAAGGCGGTTCTTCTGCCAGTTGCGGTGCAAGAAATGGTAGACGCGACACCGAAACGCTTTCAAGTGACCCCATACGACCTTGCGTCGATCCTTCCGCTGCGGTATTCTTTCAGGTGAATCTGAAGCATCTCCTCCAAGCAACTTTGATGCCAGTTGGTCTGCATGTTCCTGCTCACCTTCGCCTGAAGCGCCGCCAACACCTTCATCGCCAACACCTTCATCTGCTTCGTCTTTTGCGTGTCCCTCTACCTCGCTCTCACGCTGTTCTCGATCATAATCTTCACAATGGTCATCTCCTCTTGAGCCAACGGAATCTGCAACTACACCTGTTCTTGTCGCAACATGTTCCGAGGACACTCCTACTCCATCTCGGAACCCTAGACCCACAGGCCTCGGCGGAAAGCGAATATCTGGACTATACTGCAGCTCCTCGTCCTCGGATGTCGACGCAAGCAGCCTCTCATAGTACAACTCCGTATGGTATGAAGACAAGAAGAACAAGGAGCGAATGATTTGGGACTGAGTACTTACCGAGTATAAATATGCCTAAAAAAAAGAATCTCAACAAAGCAGACGTATAGAGGCTGATGCGTAGAGGTCGACTAGATTAAGGCGGTTACTAGTCTACTCTGAGCCACATCAGCATTGACTAAGTACAAGGTAACTACATACTTCGACATTATTCAGCCACATGATCATAAGCTGTGGTCGGGTCGTTCTGCGAGGCCCCGTGCAACTGGCGAAGACGGGTCGGCCCAGGCTGGTGCTGCAAGATGGACTACGGCTACGCATATTCTTATGCCGTAAGAAAGGATACGCGTGAAAGACATATCATTGGCGTTAAGTTACCGTATGTCAAAAAAATTAGAAAAACTGACTAATCTCGGTTTCCAAGAACTAGAACTCTATTCTACACTGTCACCTTCCAACAATTTTATCGCACTGATTCTTTGGTTCTGGTTTATTCATAATTCATTGATTCATTCATCAACCTGTTCGGGACTCAGACTCAATATCGCTCCGTGCGTTCCTCACTCGAAACAACTATCGCAGCGTACTAAATTAGAGATAAGTTCTGCCTTAAACTTAATCATCCACTTACTTCTATAGATTTGAAGTCGAAGTGAGGAGCCCACTAAGACCACTACTGTCAAGTCGTTTCCTTACGCTGGGTAACTTCATCATGCGACACTGACTTCGCATTCTCAACTGTTCTCTCTTCCCTTCCTAACGGGCTTGTTTTGGAAAAGGAAAGGTCGTTTCAGATTGGTTAGGTTTTTGGAGATGAAAATTTACTTTCCAACCAAATAATATTTTTATCCAAAGAGTGTATTAAGTCACTGATTTCCGTCTTCGTGTGTGTCCTTATTCATCAATCTTCTATGAGGAGCATTCAGCTAACACTCTGGATTGGCGATTTGCATTTGGAGCTCGGAAGAAAGCAGACAAGCAGCATTTTGTCACAGTGTTGTAGTCCTCGGGCTGAGGCGTCGATATCATCAGCACCATATTCATACTAGATTATTACGAGTTAGTACAACACTGCACCCGAGAGAGTCGTGAGACCACGTCGGGATCGCTATCCACTTTACAAGTACACCAACATCACGCAAGACATCGCGAACACGATACGATACCTACAAACTCCACTGGCAAAAAGCACCAAACGCCTGCCGTTTCATCATTTGAGTGCCTGCTGTAGCGTGGTTTTCCTCATGTCATGTCATGTGTCTCCAATCTGGTTTTCCAAACCAGCGTTGAGACCAGGCCCCGAGGAATTTCTTCCAAGAAGCGTACAGTAACGTACTAAGCCGTGAAGAGCAAGAACCAACGCTACAGACCTAGCATGGTAATCACTATCCTGAATTCATCTCCTTCATTCAAGAAATCAAAACAGCAGGAGCTACAAAAATGTAGCAGCATCATTCAAGAGCATTCCAGGTTTTATCGGTTGTGCTTTACTATGCACCTTCAGACCCGTTCGATCATAGGGAATCACTACTCGGATCCCGGTCTTATCCACACAGAGCGGCTGGTCGTTACTGCCATTACTGTTGCCATTAGAGGAGGTTGTGGGGGTATCGACCATAGGAGCAGGTCTGGGTACTTAATTCCATTATTCCTATAGATGGTGGCCGTTACTCTTAATCTATCTCTGAGAGAAAGCAATGCAAGTGGACGTCATGGTCAATTGATCCCAAAATTTACAGGATCGATAAGGTCTTATGAAGTCTAACAACCACAACATACCTTACTAGCACTATCATTTGCTCATAATAGATGGCACAAAGCATTGCATGTCCTTCCCAGTGCACTTCGGTCCGCATATTTTTTCCGTCTCATCATCCTTCCCAGCTTGGAGGATATTGCTAACCGGAAATTTTCGGCACCGCATTTTGTCGATGCATTGCCAATATTCGGTGTCTTAGAGCTTTGTTGGGCTGTAGTTACTCTACTTTGATTATTTCATCCTAGAAATTGGAACTGTAGACGAGTAGGATCATCTTCATCATGTCATGTCATGTCATGGTACCTCTTATGTAGCTATTAGTGTCTACTTGTCAAATTGCCTTACTTACTCGCTACATCGAAGACAAGCGCTTTTGGTGCGTGCCGCATCGTTGACGTCGATCGTGGTGAGGAGCCTTTTGAAGCGCTTTCACCATCTTCCTGGTCGTTATCTCCGTCGTCGCCCTCTCCTGCTTCATCGTCATGATCTCTATCTCCATCTTCATGATTCTCATCCTCCATTGGTGCTTCTTTACCTGCTGTGAGCACGCTATCTTTCGGAAACTCACTCTCAATCGTCAATCGATCGTCCCTTTTCGGTGGCGGAGCACCTAATTTCGCTTCTTCCTTCTCCTTCTGCGTCACTGGGTCTTCGGGGTTCTCTTTGCGGACAGGTAATGAACGAAAAACCTTAACACTCACATGCAAACATCAACATCAAGATGGGGGTGGTTCTCAATTTACTCCAGCTCTTGCATGCATGCTACAGCTCAGGAAGAAAATTTTCTACTACAACATCGACTACTGTTCTAGCTTGTGAAATCATAACTTTTCCAAGGCTTTGTCTGCTTCATCATCAGGGTTACGCAATTTCCTGCCAGGTACCCAAACGCAGTGCGTATCCTCTAGGAACTTACAGGTTTTTCCTGTCTTTTCTTAGACGAGATCATTCCAATACATACTGACCCTGTGATAAATACATCCTCCGGATGAAGGACCTGTAGTTTCCCTCTACTTGGAGGACGCTCGGACGTCCACATCTTCCTTGGAGGACATCTTCCTTGAAGCTGGAGGAGACAAAGCCTTAATTCTCTGCAGCTTTCAGTCTCGCAAGATCCACCTCTCCCCCAGGGTCACCAGACTCGACTAGACTGAACTTCGCTGGACACGGTTGCCAACTGGGACCGAAGGACTTGCAAGGAACCCAGCTAAAAGGGTGGCGGATCGGAGGTTAGAAAGATCCTCCAACACTGTTACAGCTACTACTAATTAGTGCTGTTCGAAGAACAAGCAGGAGGAGAAGCACAAAAGATGAAACTCGTCAAGCGGCGATTATATATAGATCTTTTCTTTTACCAACTCACTTATCATCTCGTGTACACGACACCTCCATAACAGCTAGGACATGTGTAGGGAAACTGGTCTCCGCCGTCACGCCAAAGAACGTGAAGGCAATGCCCATCCCTCATGTTGCACGCGATCGATTTGTCACGGCCGGAGCTCGTTTTTAGATCCTCATTCAGTATCCTGGTGGGTGTTTTGGGAGTGAAAAAGTCCTCAGGACTCCCACAACTACTAACTTAGCGCATTAGTTAGATCATCAGCATCATGGGTTAGGTTAGGTTAATCATAATATGATTAATAATATGCTCAACATACAGTAAACTTTAATATATCTTCAATATCGGATGATGCATCATTTGACAAGAACTATCTGGCTTAGCAACGCCGAAGTACCTCGCCTTCTGCCAACAAAATTCTTTCGACGTATCGTCGCATTGCGTCTCATACAGCTTTCCCCCTTTTTTCCCGGGATAGAAGACCCATGCCTCTGTCCCGTACATTGCTCTGTAGACCTTGTCATTTTGCCTTGGCGCGTGCCCAACTGTCATGGTATTGGTGTCGAAGCGATTCTTCCTTGTCAAAGAATCAATATCTCGCGAACCAGTGTGCACATTACACTCAGTTTCCTCCACTGCACTATGGTTTTTGGAGGCAGTTGGATTAGAGGTGAAAGAGGTTCGTTTTTGTTTTGGTGGTTGTATTAAATAAGTAGGTTTAAGGTCTCCTGTGAGATACAGCCAGGTGACGAAAAACAAAAACTTCTGAAAGCCTGTCCTTAATAGAATCATCGTCGTCTTCGAGTGGCGGTCGCGGGATAAGGCTGCGGTTCTTTTCGACGATCAGAAAGGACGTTCTCGGACCTTGCTTCCGTGACGATGACGACGATCCTGAAGATGTGCCCAGGAACCAGCTTTGTTCTTGGTGCAAAAAAGGATTCATTTGATAGATCCAGCCCATCTTCTTCTTAGTATGCGGTTGCGCTGGTTGATGATCTTCTAGTGATACTAGTGCCTCCTCTTTGTCGTAGGCATTTCAAGTAAGTAAGTCCTCGAAGCTTCTATGCTTTGCGAAATGAAGTTTCTTTGTCCTTGAAAATCTCAAGTCAACCTTAATACAACTAGAGGTGAATCATTTATTACATTTACACAAGTAAAATCATCGGGGGAATAAGTCGCGGCCGCGGGATTGGTTCCTGTGCTAGGCAGTCAGCCTTGTGCAACTACCGATTGACGGGAACCGACACAATTATCAACAGACTTGCATCCCTGTCCTCGGCTCATACGACCACATTGAAGTCGTAGACTCACGCTCTCTAGGACCGCAAGCGTCGATATCATCTTCGAGGACCGACAGCGACACTGTGAATGATATATGATCAACAACATGAAGATGTTGTGTTCTTCGTATGATCCGATGATAGTTCACCTTCACATTTATATATAAGTACCGATAGATACCAATCGTGTCCTTTCGTGCCCATAGTTTCTTGTGCTTCTCCTCGTGCAGATCCCGCTGCATACTAGGGTGGACATTCCGAATCTTTATCTTGAAGGTTTCGCTCCAAGTCTTCTATGTTTTGTCGCGTTGATGCATGATTCGGGTTTTCGCATTCGCTGTCGTAGACCAATTTGGGTACTAGAACCTCTTTTTGTCGCAAAGGTACGAAGATAGACCATCTTCATCTAAATGTAGAACATCAAGATCAACATCATCTACTTAAAACTTCATCGACATTCCCCCACCATCCATTCCCAATCCACTGCCCCTTTTTTCGGCGTAAATCCCTTTTCATCCAGACAATAGAAGACCAACGAGTACCGATCAAAATTTTTTTGATCGTATCCGCGGACAAAATGCACGTACCGACCGTCCACTTTCACTAGCCGGTTTTTCGTCGTGCACACGTAGAGAGTAGACGAAAAGGGTACTAAACGCGGGTCTTCAGGTTCACCTGCCACTGCTGGGTCCACATCAGGATGTAGTGCTCCTTGGTCTCTTGCTGGCGAGGAACCCGTACTGGTGCTGGTGGTAGCGGTTGTACTGGTTCTGGCCAGGGAATCCAAGGACTCTTCTTCTCCTGAAGTGATATGTTTCATTTCCCTCCTCTTATGAATATGACCCAGATCGCAGTCCTCAACGCAAAGCTCCCCACCGGTTTGAAATTCCCCAAAACTAGCACAGAACTGGAAAGTTTGGTCGAACTCGTCAATGTGTGGACTGCCGACAAAATTCTTCGTCACCGCAATGTGGGTCCAGGGGATGCCAGTATTAGAGGTCGTGGCCTAATCCAGCATCTCTGTTGAAGGGATCCCTCGGCAATATGTAAGTACTTCCTTGATATCATGATATGGAAGTAAGAGGGATCTGCACTGCAGTCAGAGGTGGATTAGAGGTAGAAGCCTTAACAGTACTGTTTTTCCCAGCTCCGTTTTTCCCAGCCCACTCCATCAACTCTTCAAACAACGGATAAATGCTTTCAAATTCCTGTCTTGGCCGGTTTCTCCATACAACCGCGTAATGGTCAGACTTTAGTCTCTGCCTATGCTTTTGGATCGGCCATTGAAGAGCTTTCAATTCCTCGTGTAGTTTCGCGCAAAGGGGCTCGGGGATTGAGCGGCCGGTGAGGGAGGCTTGGTTGAAAAGATTAGGAATGGGTTTGGTGCCAAATGAAGGAGATGGAGCAGTAGTCGTAGCATTGGGTGGTACAACTTCTATCGCTTTCGCGGCTTCGCAAAATTCTTGTACTTTCGCAAGCGCCCTCGCTATAGGTCCTTTACTATTGCTTTTCGAGATGTTGACGTTGTCACCACGCCTCGTCGACTCAAGGGACGACCTCAACTCAGATTTCAAGGATGAAATCAAAGCTGCAAAGGAACTGTTAGTTGTACTAGTGCTATCTTTCTCGTCTTCGCCAATCTCCGAAAGCACTTGCCATCGTTCTACAAGTTGTTCTAATGGCAGGGCCATCAACCGGTTGAAAAGCGGAGGCATTTCGCATACACCCAAAGATGGAAGTCTGGGACTGGTGCTGCTGCTGTTATCCTGGTCTTGGTCGTCCTCCTGTTGCACTTGGTCGCCAGGAGACGAAGTTGCTGCCGAAGCAGGACCACCAGCACCACGACTACCTCGTCCACCGTCGCCGTTTATTCCAGTGCAGCTGATAGTTTTTTGAGTCGATGCGTCGTCCTGATCTACCACTGCTTGTTTCCGAGCAGGATTCGACGTCTTCGTTTCCCTTTTTCTCAAGAAAAAGAGAAAATCCTCTCTATCATGTTCCCGGCTCACATGATCCAAATCCCCAACATCCGCCTCTTCAGCTCTCCTATCTTCCTTCCTCACCAATACTCTTCCATTGAGCACCTCCAAGACCCGCTCTGCTTCTATTCTTGTCTTGAATGCCAATATCGCAAACGCCATCCAAGGCTCTTTCGCAGACTTTCTGTAGCCCTTTTTCACTAACTTCTTTACGTGAATCGTCCATGCTTTCTCCTCTGGCGTCTTAAGATTTTCCCAAATCAATTGTCTAATCGCACGGATACTGGCGTATTGCTGAGGAATAGCCCCCATCCATAGCTCCTGCTCGGGCTTTGTCGAAAACCCAGCGGACCGATGTAGCTCGGCTTTGTTTTGAGCAGTTTTACTAGGCTTATTTTTGCTGCCAGTTCTTCTGTTTCTAAAAATAATGCCTTGGTCCTTTTCAGCTAGTTCCTGTGGAGGTTGTTCTGCTTGATGCGATCTCACTGCGTCAAGAACATCTGGCACATCACTAGTACAACAAGTAGAACTCAAGAATGATGAGCTACTAGAAGAACCACCGATCTCTTCGGAGCCACCTCCCAGTGCAGCTGCAACTCCTGTACCTTCTGTACTACTTGCCGTTCCCGCATCACGATCTCCACAGTCCGTAACAACCACCACGTCACTCACCAACGCTTTAATAGCGTCCCCTCTACTTGGTGCATGCCTTCCGCCAAATTGAATGCCACCTTGAGCTGCTACTTTCCTCGCGCAATCACTGTCGTCGTCTTTCGGACCAAATCTTAGATGCCGGAAGAGGACATTCTTGGAAGCGAAAGTCTGGTGGCAGTAACTGCAGATTTGCGGGATCCCAAGCGGTTTGGCAGGGCCTTTGAGATGCTCCGGCTTGACCTTTTTAGTTGCAGGCGCTGTGTTCCAGGTCATTTTGTATTCGTGTTCGACTTCGAGCTACAAGTAGAAGATGACTATCTACACACGAAACTGGTGACAAGAACGTCGCTTACTCCTGGTAGAAAAGGTAGGAGAAGTGATCGAAACAGTCTAAGTCGTTGTCTAGGGAGATCACATTGTTCAGGATCTTGTTGACCAAGGATCTCAAACGGAGGTTCTATTGTATTTGTTATTTTTTGTACGGCGCTTTCCTAATCGTAGTAATCGCTTTTTCCAGGAATCCCTACTAGCAATTAGGACCGGGAGGCTGTTGTAGAGAAACGTTTTCTTCAAGGAGCGAATAGAAAACATGAACTTCTTGAACACATCGCCTATATATAAGCAGACTCAGATCATTTCTCAATCTCAAAGAACAAGAACACTTTGAATAAAATCTTATTGCTGCAGCACCGCAGTCGGGGGACTTGTTCCAGCGAGTCGACGGCCAGAGTTACCTGCGTCAATGAAGGAGCTTTATACATCACATACAATCAGCACAAGATTATCGATGCAAACCCAAGTACGTGGTGAGCGCTTCAAGGGAACGCCTTTCCTTTGATTACACACTCCTGTTTTCATCGTGGAGGTCTTCTGTGTGGAGGATACACGAGGAAGATCAAGTTGCAAAAATCTCGAAATAGAAGGGAGGGTACTACAAGTCGAAGGAGTAATATTCATTGGCGTTCAAATGACTCACAAGGAGGACAGAGGTTGTTGACGTACCAGGAGGACAGGAGCCTTGCGCTGTTTCACGATTGTTCCAGTACTATCTATGGTTCTTAAAAAGTGTCGTGATTCAGGATGGAAGGCGCAGCCTTTGGTGAAGATAAGTTTCTTGAAATAGAAATTCTGATATGTTGCGCGCACGAACAAAGGTGCTTGAGCGCAACATCAGAAGACTATTGGAAAATTTCAGCACAGGATCCTCTACTTCATCGTTCTTGTAAGTGCTTCTTGCATTTTAGAAGTAACACCGGTTGAAGCTGCGATGCCGATGCGTCCTTACGCGATGTTTTCTCCCGCTTCGCTCCACGCTGCGTCTTTTCTGCCTCCCAGAATCCATTTTGAGTATCGTTCCATCGTGTCAGCTTCTGTACTCATTTGCTGCGCCCCTTTCCTCAAGATTCGGTTCAAACTTTCGTCATCCTCGAACAGGGCCTGACCATGCGTAGTAAGACCACGACGGGCCGCACGACCCACGTACTGCAACATACCACTAACACTTGTGCTATCGGCAAACCGCTTCGTGACAACCACCGTCGATGCTGGCAAGTTCGCACCCCATGTAAACTCCTTACCAGCAGTGACACAGGAAAGCTTATTAGCCAACATGCGGTCGTGGACGTACTGCGAATAGACCGGTTGACCAGGTTCTGGATCCAAGGTCAGGTCGAAGGCACCTGGTAGGTTGACGTTGAGCAATCGTTGATGTGGTTTTTTCAATTCATAGGAAGCTAATCATGAGATTGAGAATCAATAACATGTATGGATTGATGGGAAAGAACTATTCTATTAGTCAATAAATTTTAAATATGATGAAGTTGACCTCTATTACTATAATAGAAGCAGAGTATTTTGAACACTCACTCCATTAGAAAAAGGACAGCGAAGACAGCAAAAGGGATGTCTTCTACCAGCTCCACTTAACGCCAACATCTTCCACTTGTCTGCTACTGGCAAGGTCTGGATTGACTTGTATTCTGCCACAGTCGGTGGCAATCTGGGGTACATCAAGGTTTCCTTCTTCGCTTTCGGGCACCACCTCTTCAAGAATGCCTCTGTGTGCAACACTAGAGAGGAGTCGAACTTGATTTGTTGGGAATCGGAAGAGAAGAACTCCACATCGTCGCTCTGCTCCGCTAGCTTGTTCTGCTTCTTCGCTTCAGCATCTAAGGCATCAACTGAGGCTTCGAGTTCCTTGACCTTGGGCATTTGTTCGATCAATTTCTCAGCCATGGTCTCGAGAATGTCAGCTGGCTTGTCGTCTGCAACTAGAGTTACGCCAGGGAAGGCGTGTGCGTTGGAGAAGAGCAGCTCCTTAACGTCATACTCAGGGAATGCTGCGACTTCGGCATCGCTGCCGTCGTCGTGAGAGCAGGTAATAGCACAGAATTCCTTGGCGAAGTTGTCATCCCCAGTATCCGCAACGGCAGTGAGGAGCTCGATCTGCAAGGTTCATTTGAGAGAGGGGGAGATATGCGAGGGAAGGTAAAACTAAAAGAGTGAGATGAGGATGACAGACTTTCATAACAAAAGAATTTTCCAGATCGACTGAGTCTAAAACTTAAACTATGTATCTATAAGGTGAAATTGTTAATGTTATCTATCAAATGCTTACTTATGTTGTAGTAGGTACCGCATATTCTCGAATCGTCTCTGGCTTCAAGTGTGAAAGATCTTGGAATCTCTCTGCCGGCTTTTTCGGTGCTTTCCAATCTTTTGGCGCGATCTTTTCCAACAGTCGCCACCTCACGAGCAATTGCGAAAGTGCTCGCTCTGTGTATGCTTTCAGTGTAAGAGGATCGCCGGGTAGTCGGTCCGCCAGTTGTTTCAGTGAAGCAGCGGTCTCGCACAATTCGTGGGGAAAGGCAATTCGGCCACTGGGTCGGACCAAGATAACACCCCTGTCGAGCTGAGTGGAGAAGCATTCGCGGACGGCCTTGGAAATTAGATGAGGTGGCAGAAAAAGGTCCTGTGGAAAGAGGTCGTTATCCAACTACACCTGACATCATGAAGCCAGCTACTTTATCGCGCATTTTACTCAAAACTACGGAACAATCTGAAATATGAAAACGTGTTTTTGTGGCAGAAAAAGGTCCTGTTATCCAACTACAACACCTGACATCATGAAAAAGTGTTTTTGTGGCCTTAACTTTGAGTCCACCTTGAATTTCTTGCAAAAGTTGTCCACAATACTTGGCAATTGCGAGCTTCGTGGCATTGTTGCCGACATCAAGATCGTCTTGTACATAGGTTGGAGCATCGCTTCGACCATGTGCTGGGCTGTTGGGTTGTCCGTTGGCAAATGCGGCACTTTGTCACTGCCCATCGGCGGTTCATCGATTACCATGATGGACTTCAAAGGGTCTAATTGTTCAATGATCCAGCTGGAAGACAGAATATCGCAGACCAGCCAGATACGAGGCATGCGTTTGAAGTCCAGAGCTCGACGATTTCGCTTGACCATCTTGAGCCGGTTGGCCTTACGCTCCAGGTTCATCTGGATCACAGTCTCTTTGTTAGAGGTTGCGACATTGCATTCTTCAGACCATTCTTCAGACCCTTTATATATTTCCTACTGGAAAAGAAGTCAAGGACGGTTGTAGAAAAGAATGCAATGTGCTGGTAACCCTTAACCTTGAGGGACTGGACAGCGCGCTTATCCTCGACATCGACGTGATGCCCGAGTTTGCGGCCGCAACTAAAACCTGGAGTAATGCGCTTGTTCTTCACGAGGGCGTAGGGAAGACCAAGAGAACAGGCAACCTGGGATTTTGATATCGCAGTTTTGGAAACTGGATTCTTGGGAAGATCTTTAACTAGAGTCAGTAAGTAAGAGCTGTAGGTCGTTTTTGTCCTGAACTATAATACCTGTCCAACGCCCAGCACGACTGGCAACGCCGCACAGACGAAGACCAATGTGTGATCTGGAAACAAGTTCAGCAAGTGAGGAACAACCGCCGTCTTACCCGTACCGGGAGGCGCGATACCCCAGACCAGTTGTGGACCCTCACTCAAAACAGCGTCAGCCATCTGTTCCTGGATCTTAAACGGCTGAAAGCTGGTGCGTCCAACGTGCTTCTTCGCAAAAGAAGAGCCAGCCAACAAGTGCGCGCCATTGCGCATGTACCATTCGAGGTCGAAGGAAATGCCACAGGAGCCGCCTTGCATCCTAAGAGGAGTGGGAAAAAAAATTGCTTTTGCAAACACATTTTCGGTTTCAGTGCAAAGTTATTTTAGTCTGGAGTTGTAGTCAACATCATCATGATCATTTCAATTATTCGACCAAGTATCATCAACATCATCAAGTAGAAGCTGTACCTCTGCTGCAAGCATAACGCATCCTTGATCATCATGCTCTTCTCGATTTCTTCGTGCGAAAAAAAGAAGCTCAATTGTTTTCGCACCATGTTAATGGAGTCCGCTAAGGACTGCATTGCATCGTAGAACTGGATTTTGTCAACTACTTCCTTCTTCTTGCGGAATCTGTACTCGAGTTGGAGGCCCTGTGAGTAGTCAGAGGTAAGAGATGAAGTACATCCGATGAAGTAATAGTAAATACATGTTTTAACTTTAAGTTGTTGGGAAATGAGACGAACAGAAATTTTTGTCATAACCACCTTATAATTTTTGTACTACAACTTACAAGTCGGAGTCGCCAATAGGTAGTAGCGGGCAGCACATCCGATGTCCAGTCTTTCTTGACGAGGAGAGATGAGTCCACCTTCATACGAAAATTATGCAGCATTACCTTAAACAGCACTTGCGCCAGCTGAAAGTCCCAGGGGCTGTTTGATGGGATGTCTTTCTCTTGGATCAGATTTGCCCATCCTGCCATGTTCTTAGCTTTTCCTTCGCCAAAGATCATTCCCTTAACGAGATTTGCAGCCTGAAGCTTTTCCTTGGCGTTGAGCGTGATTGCCGGTTTCTTTTTCTTACCTCCTTTCGCGGCCTTTGGATCTTCTTTGACCTCTGACTTCTTCTTGCTGTCTTTCTTGTCGTCTTTCTTTTCTTTCTTGTCCTTCTTCTTGTCCTTGCTATCCTGTAGTAAGGGTGAGGAAGCGAGACAATCCACTTCTAGGGAAGGTCAAGTAGAATGAAGATAATGTAAATCAAAAATAGAATGAGAATCTGTTGCTGCTCCTCTTGCTTCCTGAATAATTAAAGCAATAGAATAATTAGAAACCTTCTTATTGATTATATAAGTAAATGATTCTACTACTTCTAGACTGCAGCTGCACTTTATGAATCAATATTTAAGTACCTTGTCTTTCTTAACTTGGTCGGCTGGTATGAATTCTGCTAGGACGTCATGGATATCCTCCACACCTTGTACGACTTCCTCTGTATCTCGTTCAGCAAATTCCTCTACGTTTCCCTTGCTTTCATCCAGCCTAACACGTACTACGTAATTCCATATCCAGTTACTGAAGTTGTATCTGTGTCGTGGTTGTTTGTTTTATTGAGGGTTGTTTAAGTTCGTAGTTGATGTTGACTTGAGTAGCTCAGTTCTTTGAGCTGTTGTACCAGAGGAGGACATTTGGCTGATCATCTCATGTAAATTTTTATCTTTATGGAGAATACGTGCTAAAGTTTCCTTTCCAGCTGAGTTTGCTCTCTTGGAATGCGAGGTTGACTTGAGACCAATTTTTTTCCTCGACTTCGTGTTCTCTAGCTCCGCCAGGGCTCCCGGTTGATTTTGGTGTTTGGTCCTCGTCATCGTCGTCATCTTCCTCATCTTCTTCCTGCTTTGATTTTATGCCAAGCGATCTCGCTCGATCTGCAAGCCACTTCTGCAGGTTCAAATGTGTGTTTTTGGTCTGATTTTCCAGTGGGACTTCCATACTTTTCCACTCCATCTCACTGAGGGAACTGACGTTGCCTTGCGGCCCATCCGCACCAGGCACGGCGGCGGCGGCTGGAGCAGGTGCAGCTGCATGGTTGCCGTTTGCTCCTCCTGGGGCACCTCCATTTGCTGAAGCTGGTGCTGTTGCAGTGCCATTCCCCGTGGAACCACGACTGCCGCCAGCGGCGGCACTTTTAGGACTGGCCATTACTTTTGATTTTCAACAAGAATTATCTTCGTAATCTTTTTAGTACAAGAACTACTTCTTAGATAGTAGAATCAGAAATCTTATCAGTCATTCAACCTACAATGACGTAAGTTGATCTTCTTTGCTCAAGTTGATCGCTGAAAATGTTCATAAACAAACAACGGATCATGCACGATTTTCAATGTGACTGAGGTGCTCTCGCCCAGGAAAGCATTCGTGATCCCCTTCACTTCTAGAGTTAGAGCATTCTTAGAGTCGTCTGTTCGAACGCGAGCGTGGAAGGAACTCTAGGATCATTACCCGAATTCTTTTTCACTTGAAGTTCGGATGGATTCTTATGAACAGGAAATGGTCGTCGTCGTCGTCATCGTAGGTGGAATATGTGTTTTCAGTGTGCTGATCAAGGAAACGTAATCATGGTGGAGCAGGAAGAACACGGAATTTGGCTTGCAATTTTGACCAATAGAAAGATTTTATTTAGGTCACGACCGGGGGAGGTCTTGAACAATGTTGATAATGATTTTTTTTCGTAGTACTGCAAACTAATATACAAAGACACTGCCAGGCCCAGGCAAAAATACAACAACCAAGCCCAAGGATGAGCAGTGGATGGTGTATTTTCATAAGCGTTGTCTTGATCATCTCACTTAAATTCCATTTGATCTGTTGCTAGCGCTGCAACATATAGGGGACTGTTGAGGATGCCTGTGTCCAAATGAAACCTAGTGCACAATTCTTTCCGTTTCGTTATCACAGAGGGAGGCTTTTCATCGATGTTCTCGAAATGTGCAAGAATATTACTACTTTCAGACCCTGCCAACTTGGCATCTCCTTGTGCTCCCTGAGCTTCCCGCAGAAAGTGTTCCTTCCCAGGGAAGAACATAGGTCCTGTGCTCTTCCGAGTTGCGTAGTAGTTATGGAGGTTAGTATTTTGGATATTTCTCATCAGATTTATTTCACTCTGTTGATGTGTATCATGCATACTTGATGATGATGCACTAGTCGTCCCATCAGCATCAGTCGTATAATCATCCTTTTCCCCGTGTTCTTTTTGGATGGTAGTAGTTTGCTCCGAATAGCAGTCCAGCCCGTATTGTCTCGGATTTTTTTGAAACAATTGAATCGCAGCAAACGTGGGATTAGTTGGATAATTCAACGCTGGAATCTTCTCGTCGTCATGGAAGAAAGCGGGGCAATGAAATTTGTGGTGATGAGATGCGACAACGCGATCAAATTTTAGTGTTGTGGTGGTGGGTCTTCTTCTTGGAATGCTGCTGGTCGTGATATCAGTGGTTAGTTCGTTCTCGTTGTTATGAGTCCTACTCATATTTTTAGGTCCTCCAAAACTACGAGTCGTGTGTTGCAAAGCATCTTCAATTACCCTTCGAAGTTGTGTTTTTGCCGGTTCTCTATCGAGGAGAAACTCACGTAGAGTTACTGCTTTTTGCCAATCTTGACTTTGGATAAGCTTGGGTGGTGGTAAGGAAAGTGGCGTGACAGATGGGTCTTTTTCAGCAACATCCTCTTCAGCAACTGGCTCATCTGGTATGGAAAACGTTACGTTTTCGAAGAGAATCACAGCAGTAGATGATGCGTTTGCATTTGAGTTAATCGAATTATCCGCTGTCTGGTTAAAGACGAAACGGACCTCGAGATCGCTTCTTGACTCATCTATATCTGCACGTCCTCTTCCTCCTTCTACATCCACATCATGCCCCTCCTCTTCCTCAATCCCATCCAATTCGAAGACAAACGGCCTCGCGGGAGCCGTCAACAGCGTTGCTTTGTCGACCGCATCTTGGACGTATTCGTGGAGGTAAGAAATCGGTTGCGAGGTATTTTGTTGATGAATTAGTTGCCAAAGTTTGGCATTAAAATTTTGGTAGTGCTGTGGCATCAACCAGCGGCCACGCCGTGGATAACGTTTGCTTCCGCTGGTCCTCCTCTTTCCCCTCTTATCCGCGACATCTACGTCAACAGCAACCGTTGCCTGATGAGGTAATTCTTCCTGCTTGTGCTCGACTTGCGTAGGCGATTCTGTAGTTGCGTCGTCAGGAGGGACAGAAATTAGATGTGTGCCGTCAGGTTAAGGTTAACATCATTGTTCAGAGCCTCTAATCACTTGTACTCCATATCCACTTAAAACAGCCATAGCAGAAAATGAAGAACTTCTATTATGATCCACCGACCATAACTGTAACTTCGCCAACGCGTCAAACAGGATAAGTTGGGCAACCACAAATACTGGCGAATCCATGGTCTGCTTTTCAAAAACTTCATCTACAAATGCGGCGGTCCAACCACGATACTTTTTGCCCTCGATCATAGCAGGAGTTTTACTAGTTGTAGAGGCTTCATCTGTACTGGTAACGCCATTTGTAGTCGCGGAATCCTCGCTCTCACTGTAGAGTATCAAATCTGCGATGTCGTCTCTTCTCGCGTCAACGCAATCCCTTATCGTGTGAAGGGCATGCTCGTAGGAAAGTGTGGTAGGAGGCAAGAAACCGTTGGCTAGTCGGTCTTGTTCACGTTGCACTTCAGAAGGAGTGTAAGTTGCAGTCATATAGAACGAATTGCTCCGAGGACTGCATTCGTACCAAAGATACTCAGCCAGCCTCAAAAGTAGCCTAGTTTGCTGCATCAAGTGCTCCAATCCGCAGAAGTTTTCTTTCATCTTCCCTTTTTCAGCATCCCAAACTTTGAGTGCTAGGGATTTGCGATAGCGGTCCAGAACTGTGGGTTGCTGTTCGAAGCGATATTTCAGACGGTCGTGGGGTCGGTAATTGTCCGGTTGGAAAGAGAGGGTGAAACCGCTTTGGGTGTCTTTTGCTGGAGCAGATGCAAGGTCAAAATGTCGTTCCGAGCCACCGTCAGCGACCCCACCTAACGACATCGCATCTTTTCGCAAACGAACGGTGTGCGCTCCAAACTGTGTTAGCAAGTATCGCAGATGAAATTGTTCATGAGGATCATGATGGATAAAAGGCCCCCAGATCCACTCGGATCTAAAACTTAAAGCGAGGCAATCACTATCCGTGGCTAAGTGGTTCCTTGAGTTTCTGTTTCCCCCTTAGTTTCCTCTTGAAATCAAGGGGATCGTCCCACTCAAGATACCTCGCACCAGATACTGGTCGTGACTGACTAGCCTTAGAAAACGCATGATATCCAGCAAGGCCTCGTGCATGATCGGATTTCGCGGGGTGACGCCCAATATCATGTGCGAAGAATGTTTAGTAGCATCATCGTGTGCAACATGTAGAGTGCGGACGGCGACGTAGGTCGGTGGAGAGGTGGAAACGTGTGATGCTGGAGAACTATTTCCACCAAATGGCACAGCAGCATCCACAATGTCGTCGAGAGGTTCTGCGAGAAGTAAGTCGGAGTCAAGCAGGAAGTTAGAACGTGTTGTAGATACCTTGAATATCGTGTGAGGATGAGTAGATGTTCGGTTCAAGTAAATACGTGTGAGGATGAGTAGATCATTCGTGTGAGGAAAAGTAGTTGCATCCTCGCTTCAAGCCATTACTGTTTCTGAAGATATCTTCAGAGGAAGGAGGTGTAGATACTTTTATTAATATCGTGAGGATGAGTAGATTTTCGGCTTTTACCCATAATCACTCCACCATTTAGGTACGCGTAATGGTAACGACACAGGTCTGCTCGGTGCGCGCCGAAGTCGAAGGAGCGGAATATTTTCTCGAAGTCAGCCCCTCGAAAGGGGATGTCTCGTGCATTGAAGTCGCCTCGGGAGAAGGAGGCGAAGAGGGGAGAAATGTAAATACCTCTAGCTCTTTCTAGTCGGTTCTAGTAGGTGTTATGATTGACGAGAGGAGAGCAAAAGTGACAGCAAGAACGTGAGTACTTGAGAAGCATTTAATCAGTAGTCTTCAACCCTTGTCCATATCCATGATCTCGATCCCTGAGTCGAATTTCACCAGCTTCATGGAAATTTTTCAGGCATGCTTCGTCATGTAGAAAAACTGGTTTCCAATGTTCGGAGATAAAGCGAGCGTTCTCAGCGCGGAACATCGTTCCTTCCTTGCTGTCTTTCCCAGAGGTGTAAAGGAGTAGGCGTGGAATCGGCGATGGTCGAGATATTCGCTTGCTTAGACCCTTCGATTTCTCATCCGGTGCAGCAACTTCTTTCAGATTGATTCGCAGACGTCGCTTGCTTTTTCTAGTGTCACGAGAAGCAAGTGCAACGACACCATTGAAGCCACGCAAGAGTAGCACGCAGCAGAGCAGTCGTACGCGGCAGAAGAGCCGACGTGACAAGAACTGGGGACGGCGATGGACCAAGAATTCAACCATCCTGGTGTTCATTGTTGTTTGTTCCCGAATTAAGTAAGTGGTTGTAGATCGACTGCTTAATTACAACGCGCATTCACTCGCTCTCGCAAGTGGAGTCTTGTGAATTACTTGGATGTAGCACATTGTGGCAATGCAGTGGCACACAGAGTTCACAGTGCTGACGGAGAGACATCAGAAACACATTGACACTATCTATGTCTATCATCGTTTTCTGTTCAGGAGGCGGCCGGTTGTTCTAGCTCCATGAATAGATTGTTCTGATTTTCTTCCTTAGTCTGAAAAGAGGGTATGCTTTCGCGTGCAGAAATCTCAACAGGGGACGAAGAAGGGCATTTCTCTAGAATTCTCTCACAGAAGTCTGTGAATCTTCGACCGAACCTTGATGTTGGGTCGACTGGCTGCAGATCTTTTCTGTTGATTTCAAAAAAGTAAGAACTAAGACCTTCAAAAGACGAACCAGTGGAGAAGGTCAAAGCAGCACTACCGCCGACCGTAGAATCTTCATTCTTGTCCATCCGCGTTCGATCGGTGGTGACGAATTTTTGACGTTGAAATCTGTTGGAGGTGAGGTAGGGTTGCTTCTTGCCGATCTGCCCATGCCCAGACAGAAAACCATGCTCAAAAAGCACGTGCTTCGGCAAGACTGCGATATACGAAAGTCTTTCGTGATCGTCGGGGTCGCCACCAAAAAACAAGAACAGATCAATCGAATCGGTATCGGCATGATAGGCAACTTTATCGCAGTGGTCGTATTTGTACAATGACAGGTGCACTCCACGCCCATGCCGTGCGAAGCCATTGAACGAGCGAAAAAGAACTCGCCTACCGCGAAGTTTGGCATTGAAGGGCAAACCAACGAGCGCCTCCGTGGGGAACGTGAGCTCATTGAGCACGGGCAGGCACATCGCGCGGACTAGAAGCTCTCTGCTGCGCAGTAGCGAAACGCTTGTATGTGACGCAGTCAATATTTGCGGAAGAAGCGGCGCGGCCAAGCGCAAAGCTTGCTCTGATGCGATCAGCTGTGCAAAGCGTGACGGCAGGTCCTCTGTAGCGGATGTATCATCGTGCAAATCTAATCGATGTTCCGAAAACTTTTTCACGGCAAATCGGGGTCGATGCTCCATGCCAAGCATGTACAACGAATTGGTGGCTTGCGATGCGAGAATGACTGGCATTTCTGGGCACCGACGTGCCCCCGGGTTCTTTACATCGCAGAGTCGTCCCGGCTTCCCTCTGATATTGCACTTCGTTCGAACTGTGGTTCGCACCTGAAGTGGTACCCAATCTCCAAGCAAGGCATGACCGGATCGGAGGCCCGCTTGAGATGCTCTATCGTCCGCGTCAGCGGCACTCCCACAGCGTCGGCGCATAACGACAGGAAATTGAGAGTTCCTCGGGAGACAGAAAAACTCAATATCCGGAACACGTTCCTGCACGACATCCAGAAACCATCTCAAGCCTATGCCCTGCTGAGCTCTGCGGCTGTATCCAGCATTGCTCCGAGGTACGGATAGAGCGGCGGCTGACATGATTCTTATTGCACAAAGCAGAAGTGTACTATCTAACCTTTTTTCATCAGTACCTCTCTTTTTTGCCTTGTTTTTTCCGATGGTTCACCCTAGTGGAAGCATTGGATTATAAACTGACCCAAGTAGGGCCACTTCTTTTAAGTCTATGTGTGGACACCTGCTCCAATATCGCACTGCGGCATTCCATCCAGCGATCATATCTGTCTGAGTATGAAAGTTAACGACTAGGTGCGCAGAAGTCTCTGCAAGAGAATAAAACGAAATGTCTCCGGACAGGTCATCAAAATTGCGTTTCTGGTATGCAGAAGATATGGTGTTCTCTATCTTTTGTTGTGCAAAACCAAAAGCGTTTAGTAAGTATGTATCTTCATCTATGCCCACGAAGATGATGTCGATATCAAATCTAATTGTAAAATGCTTCACGCGCGTCTATCTCGGATGCATAGGTGAAGGCTGTAAATTCGTCAGACGGAAATTTGTTCCAAATTTCGTCGTCAAGGGCTGTGGTAGACCCAAGCCGGTCGTCCCGATCTGGATTTTCGTTCGATCTCCAGGATTAAACGTGCTAGCACTACGCTGGTTCGCCGTCTTACTGTTGAGAATATTGCTTCCAGCATGTTGACCGTTCTGGTGTTGTTGAAGCAAATAGGAAGATGACGAGGTAGCTGATGTTGCGCTGTTGTTACCAGTGTTATAAAGTGGGTTCTGACCGAAGAAGTCAGGTGAACGAGCCCGACTATGCATCCGATTGCCAACACCTGTCGCGACGCCAGTGGGGCCTCTAGAACCTCCGATGACCGGGGGGTTTACAGTGGTGGTGGTCGGTGTAGTATTCTCCTCCACACTACTCGTTGCAGTCTCTACTTGAATCTCCATTGCATGTTGCTCTTGCGGCGTCGATGCGGCACTGTTCGAAGAGCTTTTGATCCCGAAATTGGTTCCCAAAGGTGCAAGGACCTTCTTACTCGTAGACCGAGAACTCGCAGATGAAGCAGATCTGGTAACCACAGCACTCGGTACCACAAAACTAGCACTCACTTGTCGTGTTGCTCCTGAAGAAAACTGCCTAGTGGGGCGTAGAGCAGCTGGAGCAGCTCCAGTGATAGTAGTAGGGCTAGGAGCAGTCGATGTGGATGTGCCAGAAGCAGTCTGTTGCTGTTGGTGTTGTCCAACAGCTGCTGGTGCACCCAACATCGTCGTTGTGCCACTAGCACGACCGATTCGAAGTGCACTGGGGTTATTTCGCAAGATATTCACGCTAGCTGTGCCAGACAGCGTCGCCGGTGAAGTCGCTGAACTTCTTTCTTGATGGTTTCCCGGTGGATGGACGATTGTGTTACCTTATAGGGTTGTTTACTTAGTGTCACGGTCGATCCAAATTTGTAGTCCAAGCCGATAATGATCCGAACCATTGACTTTTGTTCTTTTTCAATATTTGTTACTACAACTCCCTGTGCCTGTGGATGTACCGAGTACCTCCTCCGCCTCCAGCAAGATCTGCAGGAATTACATGAGCCGGATCGAGTTTTTGGAGTATGTGATGCAACTCCTTTTTCAACATCGCGCCTTCCTTAGCTAATGACGGTCCCTCAGAGGAGGCGTCTTCTGGCTGTTCACTTGCTCCGGACATGGAAATGCCGAGTGAGGACGATGATTCTTCATACCTGGTGGGAGGGGGGGAAAGGTCGCAGTACTGGAAGTTGTAAAAGAAGATACAACTTATCTCCCTTGTTACTAAACACTTAAGAATTTTTGATTTTGAATAATGAGGCGCAAAGGAAGCAGTATCAATGTACTTACTAGGTACCCTTCAAGTTTCTGTTTCAGATCATCGACAAAGCTGCTGCTTTTCACCAATGCCCCTCGCAGAGCCTCCACACGGGTACGTTTCGCAGCTATCTTTTCCTCTAACTCTGCGCGTTCGGCTCGCAAAACTGTAGTGGTTGATATTACTCAAATACTTTATATTATAGATTACATTTACATTCGACCAGAAGATATTATGTTTGAGAGGAAGATTACTCTATATTGTGCCGTATCGCATCCGATGAAAATTGTAAACAACATTTTTTAGCGGGGGTATTACCGTTAACCCCCTGTTCGATCTTGTCGCAGTTCTGTTTCGCAACACTCGTGCTCTCCTCCAGTTCGGCTAAATGGCCAGCAAACCCACGTCTCTCCTCTTGACTTCGTGCCTCTGACTCTGCTACCTCTTTCTTGAAAGAGCAGTTAGATGCGATGATCTTCCATTGGGCAAAAATCGCCATAACGGCGACAGAATTCGTGGTTCGGAGGATGCGGGTGTACCTTGAGATGATGTGGTTTAGTAGATATGATAGTAGAGCAGTTTATAAGGGTTCCAGGTCTGGAATGGCATGGATCGAATGGCACGAATGGCACGGATGGCGGGGGCGCAATCCGTGACCGCGATCGACAACGCCACTCGTCCCATTCGTGGACCAAATAGACCTTCGAGAGCGGGGCGCCCTTCGGGCGCCCTGCGTTCCGACGCGTTGCTCTCCCCACTGGTTTGCCACTTCCTGCTCGATGCTCTACGCCGACCGCCAAGAACCGCGCGGGCGCGGGGCGCCCTTCGGGCGCCAAGCCCTGCACTCAGCCAAACGCACATCCCTCACACAGTGCCAAGGCTGCCCCCCCGCTACGGGCGGGGCGCCATGCTTCGGCGCCACCTCTTCCCTTCTTCGTCGTCACGACGTGGCTTCTCTCATGGGCGGAATCACGTGCATGCGACCGATATACTCGGTAAGCGAATGAGACCAGGGGCGCCAGCTGGCGGAACCCTGTCAACCTGTGCCATTCGTGCCATTCGTGACACATTTGGGGTCTGTTGGGGTGTGCCATTCATGCCATTCGTGCCATTCGTCCCATGCACCATTCGTGCTATAAACTGCCCTATGATAGATAAGATTGAGAGAACAACTTCATGAAGAAATTATCAAGTCAATGGGGGATTATCGAAAATAAGTCGTCCCTCAATCATGATGTTCATGTTCTTGTAAAATAAATCGCTAAGAAGCTTTCCTTACCTGTTCTCCAGATTGTCAAGCAGCGCAGAACGGAGGAGTGAATTCTGCTGCGTTAGAGTTTCCACTTCATTCTGGACATCCGCAACGTACTGCGCTAGCTCTAGCGCGCGGCTTTTCGCGGCACTCATCTTGATGTGAGAGACCGATTGGAATTTTTATCGTGCGAAGAAAGGTCTTTAGCCAATTACAGTCACTGTCTCTCTGTTTAGCGACAGAAAGTCTATTACGCACTGCGTGTCAGCAGTACTTTCTTTTCAGTCAAATTTTGTAGTCTGATTCTGCTGAGGCAAGTAGGCATTGTTCTCAGCGATAGGGAAATCATCACGTGTGATTCTAAGCACTCAAATCGCCAGTTTGCCCCACAGTTTCGCTCTCTACTTTTCTTCCGGACCACAAGCTTTTATCTAGTTGCAAGTACGTGGCTTCTTGCATGATGAAGATGAGAGAGGGATGAAAGCCATCTTTATTAATATGTTCATGTTATTGCTTGTACAACATACGGACTCCACGCATGCAAGCATTCTGTAGAGAGGAACCTGCGTAAGGTCTCAAGAAATTCACCTCGCATCATCGGGAACATCCACCACAGTGAGTTGCACGAGCGACGAAGTCCATGTGTGGTAGTCTTCACTGAGAAACATGCCAACACAAAGCTCAAGCGTATCGAACTTTGCCCACTCCCGATCTTCTCTTCTCTGATGCTCCCATTCCAAGCGCATATGCTCTTCATCGTGTTCTTTTTCCTCTTCAGTCTTCGTAGATGCTTTCGGTGGCGAGACGATCCTCAGAACTTGTTCCTGCGCTGCCGTGCTACGTGTTCTACTCAAAAAGGACGCTCTTGCTGCGCTTTCTCTATCAGCTAATCTCACTTCATCCTCTACAAAGAGTGATCTTGCAGCTGCTGCTGCGGCCGCGGCCGCGGCCGCGGCCGCTGTGTCTGGTGACTTCGACTCTTGACCATGACCATAGCCAACCGGCGTACTTGCTGCATTGTCTTTGTGTTTATGATCCTTGTTCTCTTGAAGAAGATGTTGCACTTCGTCTTTCGAAGGCTGCGCTTCTGCTTCCGGTCGCCAATGAAACCTGAAGGGATCTGGAATCACACCGATGCATGTACTATGAATAGTACTTTCATCATCTTCTTGGTTATCGCCAGTGACATCACCAAAACGGACTCCTGTCTTCGACTTTGTCGATTTCGTTGAACTTGTGTCATCATCGTCTGTAGCATCCACAGCAGCTGTCCCATCCGCACTATGAAGGTCTTCCTTGGAAATCGGGTCGTGATGTTCTGTCAAGACCCAACTACCACCAAGCGTTCCGGGATCATAATGGATAGAGATTAGCTGCTCATGATGGTCGAGACTTTGGGCTGCTCCATGTTGTGGAGATACTGGAGATTGACCTGTGCGGTTAGTCGGAGTCCTGGATTTGGGACCACTAGGACTTCTACCGAGGCTCCACGCCTGCTGGTTGCTTGTCCCTGTGCGTTTTCTTCCCCTCACAAACAGATTCTTCATGAACATTAGTTGTTCTCTCGTGTGTTCGGATGTCTTATCCTCGAGAAAAACCTTCTTGGCACTAGTGAGTAGGTTACTTTTCCTTGTAGAAGACGGAGACAACGGAGACGGAGATGTTGTTGAAGAGGTTTTGTTCTTTTTACCCTTCGAAGCCCAGAAGCTCGAACTCGGTGCCGACAAACTGGCAAATTTCTCCAGACGTTCCACATCAGCAGGCGAAAAACGAACTCTTAGGTCTTCCAAAGAATCGCCAACACCAGCACTGCATGGCTGAAACTCACCATCGCACCAGCCGGCACCCGATAAACGCATCATGTGCTGATACTCTGGAGCTGCGATGCGTGCGAAAACTCGTCTTTGCCTAGTCTGGTGTCGATGCGAAGTTTCCTGCAAATCCTGCAGTCCATGTTGCTTTAAAACCGAGCTACGCCGTGAAATCTGCTCAACGGAAAAGCTGCTACGTGACAAAAAGGAACTGCGGCGAGAAGAGAGAACAGAACTGCGGCGGGACATTGACTGTGGGGATTAGACGAGGGCTATGCTTCTGCTTGGATGAGTGATACAAAAGAACAGCAGATGCTACAAAAGAACAACAAAGGGCTATGCTTCTGCTGGTGGGAGAATGAATGATACAAAAGAACACCAGATTTAGATTATCATTATGATTTTCAACGCTGCTCATAACTCATATCATCATTTTTCGATATTCTAGCAGAAGATCGTCGAGACGCTCTCGCGGTGCCATCAGCAGCATCTTCGCGTTCTGCTCCTTCGTCTTCTTCTTCCTCGAATACCTCCAAGTCAGCCTGTTGGTCATCATCGAAGTCGTCACCAGCATCAAGCAGTGAATCCAGGTATTCTTCGTGCAGCTCGTCTCCAAAATGTAGTGTTGTTAAGGATTGTGCGACGTCCATAGTACTGCTACTGCCGCCAGTACCAGTAGGATGAAGAATACTTCTAATACTGGCCTCGCCTGGAGGTAGTTGATCAGCACTGGTTTGAGTGGAGCCTTGTGTCCACGAACCAGCTAGTTGCAGCAAACCTAGTCGCCCATGAAGTTCCACTTCTTGTGGTGTAGTTGCGTGGAAAACGACTTTGCCTGACTCAGAAAACGAGGATAGAGAGACTGAAGAATTAGGGGTTGAAAGTTGGCATCTCTAGCTCGCATATCTGTGGCTTTCCTACTTGAAGAAGACATAGAGACGCGCATAGAGATGTCAACTCCCAAGCCTTAAAAGAAGTACGGATTCTTGATCCAGCTCGTCTGTTTTCTCCTGTCTGCTGCATAGGAGTTGTACTTCGCTGTTCGTGTTCTTGAATGCACCACTGCAGAGCACTCCTCACTGGGTCCATACGGACGAGCAAGAAACGGGTTGGTTGTGGTTCTGGCAAATTGCCAACTGCGCTTGAGGATAAGGACGTAGACGTTCTTCTTGTTGAGTCGTCCTGGTTTCCATCATATGACAGAAAAAAATGTACTCATACTCAAGAAAAGAGGTTCTTTCCTACTTAGAAAGTGCCTACTTTCTTGAGGATGAGTACACTTTTTCGTTTCATACATCATGCTGCTTTATTGGATCATCCAACATGGTGGAACCTCCTGTCACCGGATCTAGATCATTGCGCCTCCTATAGGCATGAACGATGTTTTGCTCTTGCTCTTCTTCTGTCAGCGTGATCTTCTCCCAAACTCCGTTGCAGGACTCAAGTCGCCCTCGCGGCGCTCCTACTAGAGACAGCCATCGGAACTTCCACAACGTTGGACCGATGTTCACTCCTCGGACTAAATCGTGCCTAAAAAGCTCTGTCAGAAGGGAAAACGATGACGAATCGGTGTAGTAGTTGATGTGGTGGCGGAATTTCTTTAGAGGTTCGGCATACCCAGCCGCAAGGGCATCTTTTGCGTCAGCCTCGGCTTCGTCCTTGATAGCGCAATCAACCATCTGCTGAAGTGTGCGCCGTTGCTTGATGTTGAGACACACCACTGCCGCGAGAGTGCGAAAGACGTCCATCCCGCGGCCCATCACAAACTCGTGATTCTCTTCGATCAGTTGACGCATTGTGAAGGGCAAACCACTAGGAAGATGATCGAGGAAATCGACTGGAATTTCAGGATGTGGAGCGGTAGTCTTGCTCTTCCTAGCCTTGGATGAAGCCTTGATGGCTGTTTGTACGGGTGCTGTACTAGCTGAAGCGGCTGCATGTGGCATTGGCATTTCACACAGCACAAGGCGAAGCATGTCTTCTCCGGTTACTTCGTGCTTTTTTTTCGATTTGGTTTTAGAGGTTCATAAAAACAAACATCTTTAACCTCCTAATCCTGATGCCAAATTCTACAGAAGTACTAATTGAAATTGCCTTTTCAGAATGACATCCACAGCCGAACGAACCCGAAGTCAATTTATCACGATTTATACTATGTATAGCCTTAATTTCATGCTCGTCCAGTAGCTTTTTTAGCTTCTTGCTTTTCCCTTCGGTCTGTTTCACTTGGGCTCGAAACTTATCCTCGTAATCGGCACGTAAATAAGCAAATATTCGTTCAGCAATCGTGCTCGTACAGGACGATGGGCCTCCAGCACCATCTTCGGCCTCGACGTCCCTTCCAACCGTCGAAAGCACCTTCTTACTTCCTTCGATGTGATGAGAGAATAGTCTGTGCTGCTGTGCTGTCTGCCACGAAACTATTTCGACGTGCTCACGCAGATGGTGTGCTCCACTCAGGTGTTGGCCTGCGTCGTGGCCGCGACACAATGAGTTCCACCCACACTGCTCAATCGGTATCGTCACACGTGCCGTCTGCTTTCGCTTCCTAGGGGCACTCTCGTCTCTGCGGGGCACGCGGGCTAGGAGGGGTCCTTGGACTTCCATGCTGTCACAAGCCGTGCAGAAGCGGACATGGACGAGGCCGGCTGAAGTGGATGGAGAAGGTTATCGTCAAAACCTAAGTCACGTCTTCAATAGCAAGTTCTCAAAACAACAAGCTTCAAACGAGTAGAAGAAAACAGCTCCAAAGTAAAAGAAGTACACGTGAACGCCCCCTCTCCGCCAGCATGTAGTCCTGAAATCCGACTTTTCTTAGCAGGACTCGTGCCGTGTGCTAACACCTTCTCTTCCTCATACCAGTAGCCTCTCTGCACTAGTTGTCGAGGAATCGCATGAAAACAGATAAAGTGCGGATCCGGTATAATCGCCAAAATGCGATCATCGTTCTCATCGCGGAGATCCCAGTGGGAGTTAGAAGTGGAATCTTCATAAGCAGTCTTTGTCTTGTTCTTGTGCTCCCATGTCTGCGTAATACATCAAACAATGGGCGAAATAATGATGGAGTATGATAGATAGATTCATTGTAGGTTATTTAACTTCACTAACCTCGCAGTTAGAAGAACTAATCTTAAACGCACACACTGAAGTAGGGAGGGGTCGGAATAAATACTCATATTATAATATAGGAGTGTAGAAGTGTTCACTCACAGCATAATGTTGCAGAAGAAGTAGCCTTAACGTAGTGCCCATTGTCTTTGTCGAAGACTTCGTCAAGCAACTCATGCACTATCCACCTACCCAGATTATCGGTGACCCACTGTAAATAGAGCGAGGAGGGTGGCTGCTTCGGTTTCTTATCCACCGACGGGTCAAACGATGACGAAGATAAGATCTGATGATCTCTTTCTTTCTTTCTGCTCGTTGGAGAGAAAGAGGATTTGTTCATTTTTGATGGAGAAGATGCAGTTTTTGCATGATAATCACTATAATCATCTGTACGTCGAGTAGTTCGGAGGCCACCACCTCCAGCATCCAATGCCAATGCTTCTGTGGTCGCATCGCCATGCAGAGAGTATTGTTCCTGCTCGACTGTGCCTATCGCCTTTTTGAAAAGCATCAACTTCGGGTCAAAGATGTAGTGACCGTTGATATCGTGGAACCCGTCTGAAGGGAAGTAGTAGCCACCAGCACCGCGATAGTGTCGCAGCTTTCTTGGAAAACCGGAGAGGACGATGCGTTCACAGATCAGGTTCCTATAGCGAGCACCAGAAGAGGACGATCCGTCTTGCATGGTACCGGACGAAGAAGATGAAGAGGCGGAATGTGTCGGACCTAGATGAAGTTGCTCTCCTGTTCCTCCTGGCAGTTGTCCTGGTGCTGTCCCACGACCATTTACAGAAGTCCCACTATTTGCAAAAGCCGCCATTGACGAAGATGAATGTTGCTCCGCGGAGTCGTGGTCACCAGGATCCGCGGTACTGCTACCCCAACCTAGTCTGGCGAAAACAGAGTCGTGCACGACATGCCAGTTGTCGCTCATCAACTCGTGTGGGAAGATCGTATCCTCGAAAGTCTCTTTTCTTCTATTAGAACCACTTTATTACTTAATCTATTATGTTTGTGAGTATAAAATACAAAAACAAAATGACAATCCATCTAATGATAAAGATAATCACGACCCTCATCGAAAAATATAACAGCACGAGCCTTAATCTTAGCCGCCGCCTCGAATAATGGAGCATGTACTTCCTCATGGAGAGAGCACACGACGCTAGTGCGCGGCCCATCTTGATCGAGTGACAGGGATTGCCGCAACTGCTCGACCGAAGAGCGCCGACGCGGTGCAGTTCCAGTTTCATCGTCGAGTATGACTGACATTTTATGATCTCAGCAATTATGAGGAAAAGGAAAGCATGCTCATAGAAATGGATGAAGTGGCAATGATGCTGCACAGCGTAGTCATCGATGTATAATTTCTCGGTGCGATATTCGGGTTGTATGTTGAGAGGACATGCTATTTCCTATCTATTTACCGTCAGTCATCGCACTGGAGGGGATCGCTCGTTTTTCCGTTTTCTCTCGCTGGGGGTGCAATTTTCAAATTTTCTTCATTATCAAATCGACCGATTGATGGTACAAGAACTAGCCTAAGCATGTGTGCATAGACAGGGCGCCGAGTGGAGGAACAAAATCCTCGCAAGTTAGGCCCCATTTGAAGCAGCACAGGAGTCGGGCCCTCTTTCTTGGCAAAACCTCAAGGGCCCCTTCTTGATAGAAGTACTATCGTAGTTGAACGACCATAATCAGGACGTTGTCTTTGGTGACAAGAAAGTAGAGGAGGATGGTCGTTTCATCTATGTTTGTTTCAAGAATCACATCCACATCCATGTGAGTCTATGAAGCATGATGCTCAGCTCGAGGGCGCGAGGTAGAAAGATGATAGGTCATCGAGTTGAACAAGAAGACAATAAAGAATAGCATCTACGTAGGTTCTTGGAGCGATCTAGTACTAGTACGTGTTCCTTGGAGCTCTGGGAGGGACTGTGGAAGTCTCTGTCATGTATAAAAACACACGTAGATCATGATAAAAACAAGTACGTGTTGAAGGTGAGCATTTATTTCTTCACATTTTACGTCTAAATACGCATTTATTGAAAAATACTGCAGGTGCATCTCTGCATAGAGGTCATACTTGAATATATGACAGACTAGTACAAGATGGACGCTGCATTTCGTTGCTATTAATCCCATTTCCCGTAAAACTTTTTATCAACTCTTGTACTCCCACTACAAATACGACCTACTCACGTTTTACCTACTCATTTAACACAAAACAGTACAACACTTGCGCAAAAAAAGAATGAAGACACCAGAACAGTTCAACATCTACGGACTTTTTCTGTCATTACAGTTCTAGTAGGCCATGGCATCAGCATGCAGGAGCTCACCCAGCTCCAAAAGCGGTGCCATGGCTGCTTTGGACAGGCGCCAAGAATTCTTGGTGTCTCCCAACTGGCGCGCCAGGGGCGCCTGCTATGCCACTTGGGGCCACGGTTTTGTGCGAACGCGGGACTTGGGAAGGATTAGAGAGAGGGAAGCGGGGATTTCGTTTGTGATGTTGCCAGATTGATTGTGATCTCTGTCGTAGGTACTTCTACGTCTACAACTTCATTTGCAGAAAACTACTTCCTCAAAGAAATGACTCTATCTACTCTTCGATAGAGTTTTCAGTTATAGATTGAAAACTCCCGGATTCGGAATTTCAACCATCATAACTCCAGAATCGCTACTGCTAGATCGACCCCATGGTATGAACCATGATAGAAAGCTCACATATGGCGCCAAACAGAAGAGGATGATCAACGTCACCACAATACATCCACCCCATGAGAATGCCATCAACCACCACCTCTTCTGGTCTAGGGCTTCTTTGTGCCTGAGTGTGATTTGTGAAGGGGTTTTTGGTAGTTTGTAAGAGATGAAAATTGAAAAAAATCTTCCGATTCAAATGCAGAAGTTCGAATTTGCAGCAATTTCTACATTGAAGAACATCTTGTAGCTACGTCGTCTTTGTTGATCTGTTGAATCATCATCATCAATCTTCAAATCTTCAGAGTTAGTACCTCTTCGCCTGCACTATATGTTCCACAGCGACTCCAGTGTATTCTTTGGTGTTTTCCACATTAGCCTCTATGGAATCTAGCATTTGTGCTTGCTCGTCCACCAATGCGGACAGAAAAAGAAAGAGGTCGTGCAATTCCATCACGCTCTCCTCTAATTTCTTCATATCCGAATATTTTTCGTGGAGGTCGCGGAGAGTTACCTGCGGGGTTGATGTGGAGGATTCGTGTTGATAAGTTCTGATGCAAGTGTATCGAACATGTATGACACATGAAATCCGGTATTTTTTGATCATCAGTGGTTTCTTCTAGTAAAAACTTCTTGTTTTTTTTAGAATATTACAAAGAATTGTCCATGTCCATGTCCATCAAGAAGTACATGCAAAGTATTCTGGCCTCCGCTTTTGAGTTGCTGCATGATGGCCTCTCGAACTGACATTGGGTCTTCATCCGCTAGCTCTCGAATTTCAGTCTCCTTCGCGTCGGGATAAGCTATTCGCAACTGCCTCTCAACTTTCTGCTTCACTGCGAGTTTGTAATCTTCTTGCGCCTGGTCTTGGGAGGTAGATTCAGATTCAAGCGACGGATATCAAATGAGATTCTCTACTTAGCTAGAAACTCATCGTCCATCTGTTCAATTATAAGAATAACAGAACAAGAACGAGAACGAAGAAAACCAAGAAAAGTTGAAGTACCTTCATATAATCCGTCAGATTATTTTTGAAGGTCAGACTCGTTGATCGTATCATGGATGTCACCATTTGGGACTCAGCTGGCGTCATCTCGTCTCGCTCCTCGTTTTCAAGTCTCTTCAATTCGGTTATAACTGGAGAAGATTTTGTTTTTGGACGAGGAATAGGTATAGGAATATTCTAGAGTCAGTGGAGCGGACGAAGGAGCAAAGACTGGGACTCGGGTGCAAGGCAAAGAAAGCACGCCGTATTTAGTACATGATGTTGGTGGAGCAGACCGAACTAGAAAAAACAAAAACCGAAAGAAGAAAAGTCAATGTCAAGCAAATACTTATCTATCAATCTAGTAATAACTAAGCGCCTATTTTCAGTGATGAAATATTCATCAACAGTATCATACGAAGGAAAGAATTAAATGTACTATCTTTGATGCGCATTGTATTTCGCTTTCCAATGTCCACCTGTCGACTAACAGCATTTGCTATTTTCCTTTCTTTGTCTGCGCTTGTTGCTGTTATGCCTTGCCGCGTCAAATCTCGTATCCGGTCTGAGACATCGCGAATGCCATTTACCATTGGGAGGAGCTCCTGTTGTAGTTTGGGTTTTGGATTTACAACCACGGGGTCAAGTGGAGGTTCAGATGAGATTGTAGAAGAGCATGTTGACCAGGGGGAGAAAAGAAGATCATAATCTTGAAGATAGAAGACCACGCGTTTACTCATTCGAAAAACTGAAATAAGCGAGTAACTACTGAAAATAAGCAAGTATTAATTACTGAAAACATCAAGGAAGAGTTGTAGTAGCCCTGTCAAAGCTATCTCCCTTATTTCAGTCAGTAACTCGGTTATTTTCAGTTTTCGACTTGAAGATAGAAGGTTAGGTTAGGTTGTGAAACACGCACTTACTTAAGTAAACACATCAAGATTTAGTTCAGTCAAAGCTACCCCCCTTATTTCAGTCAAAGCTACCTCCCTTATTTCAGTCAGTAACTCGGTTATTTTCAGTTTTCGACTTGAAGATAGAAGGTTAGGTTAGGTTGTGAAGCACGCACTTACTTAAGTAAACACATCAAGACCACGCACTTACTTAAACTCCCTTATTACTCCTTTTTCGAGTAAACATAAAAGTACGTTGTAAGTCGCGACGAGTGCAGGCATCATACCATGCTGGGCAGTCATCCCCACAGACGAATTGGAGCTCCTTCTCCCGACACTGTCAGTGCTGCCATACCTTCGCGGCGTCACGCCACATTTTGCCCGCAATTCACTTAGTTTGTCCACCATGATGATCTAAAGTCTTTATCTTGTGAAGTAGAAGATGTTTCTACTTGTACTTACTTCTGTTGTGATCTTGATTCTTCCACGGTGTTTCTACTTCTGTTGATCTTGATTTTTCCACGGTGAAGGTAAAAACGAAACGATAAAATCGGACGGCGGTGGTGTTATTATTCGTCGTTGACGTCATCGACTTTCCGCAAAACCTACTCGTCGATGAGATGGAGCGCCCACCAGTTGTAGTGGACAGGAGTTCGCCAACACCGCAAAATGGTACCTCAGCTTCAGAAACTCCTGCTACAGCTCTTGCAGCGAGGATTGTTTGGTGACAACTGGCGCTCGAGTTCGACTTATCCTACTTGCTAGCTTTGTTTAGCTACGAGGACCTGATAGAGGATGTGAGCCTGCAGCTTCGGTGGCACTTTACGCACTCAGCACCCAACGAGAGACACAGAGCATGACGGTTGCAGACAATGACAAGCAAGAAGCGAGAGAAGCAGAATACGCGCTGTGGCTTGTAGTCACAATAATGACGGTGAATATTCTTGATCGGTGAAATTTGCGTCGGATGAAGTCCGTCGACGTAGTTATTAGTTTATAGGTATAATCTTCGAAATATGCTCCATTAAGAAAAAGACACAGGTATTAAGCGTTGAAGTTGCGCTTTCGCTTTCTTACAGAAGAAGTCAAAAAAATACAACCCCGGGTATCCAGCTTAATAATGTGCGTCGAGTAACCTTCTTGTTAGTGAGTGAATTCTTAAAGAAAAACTTGAGTTAGACAATTAGACACAACATACACCACCTCTCACAACATACACCACCTCTACTGAACTGTATTACACAAGAACCAGAAACGTTCACAAAACTAACGCGAAGTTGCGCAAAACCGACCTGACTATGAATTCTTGATTACCTTCTTCACTATCTCCCCGCAGCTCCCCTTCCTAAATTTGTTTGTCAGTGTCAGTGAGCATTGATTAGAGATATTGATCGTTTACAACTTGGTCTCTAGCCAGTGATTAGCCTTTCTCTCGAGCTCGAGTGTTCTCTTGTTGCATTGAGGGCTATCTGTCCGAACAGTTCGGTAGTATGGTGGAGCAGGCACTCATCATGGTTCGAAAATCGAGTTTCAATACTACTATACCGATGCAAATCATGCATGATCTTGACTATTAGGTGGAGCAAATAATAGTCTTATTAATCCACGACTACACCCGATGTTGAGGTACCGATTAGTTTTGTTCCGCTACGTCAAATACCGAAATCGCCATGGCGAAGATGAACATCATTTTTCCTTTACAATGGTGGCTGGGTGCTCTGATGAAAGCTGTCGTCATTTAAAATTGGTTTAAAGGGACAGTGAGTGAGTTTTAAATGCAAAATTTATCTTCCCAACATAGTGATCGACGACATCGATTCTATGTATAGATTTCCATGTCATCTTTGTCCCCACTTTGACTTTCTGCTGATAGAGACATTTTCACATCCCCATCTTCACCATACTTCCAGGTATATCGTGCACCTGGTACCTTCGTTACCAACGATTCTCGTGTAGGGTAGAGTTCGATGACGCTGTTGTTGACGTCTATGAGACCTGACATTTCGGTCCATACTGGGTCTTTTTTGTAGCCATTTCGGTAAACAGGGAAGTCTGGATCAGCTTGGTCTGATAGGAAAGAGAGAGCGAGGTCGCGGGAGGTGATGTTACTCGGAGGGACTGATATTGCTGTACCTTGAGATTGAGTATTGGATGCAGCATTTTCGCTAGATGATAGGACAAGTGCTGGTGGAGTTGGTTCTGGACTAGACGTTGACACGTCGACGATGGATGTACTTGTGCTAGGAAACTCCTCGAACCGCTGTAACCTATGCTCAGACGACGGGTCGGCAAAAAACGGGACACCTTCGAGATGACGATATTCGTTGCCGTGGAAAAAATTGGTTGTTGTTTTCGCAAATTGAAAATTTCTATCGACGGAAGAAGATGCAGTGCTAGTACTAGTAGTGGTAATATCTTGTGAAGATGGTAGTTTCGAAGGGGAAGCGACGACTTCCATTACGGAAAATCTCCATTGATGTTGAGCAGGCTTTGTATCTTCCACAATACTGCCACAGCGTAGCTGCTGCCCACTAGTCTCCACATTCAGCACCCGTCTGCTCTTCATGCAGCCTAGATTCCAACTTCCGCCTGTACTGGCACGCGCGTCAGCGACAATCTCCACAGCTTCTTCTAACGAATGTGCATCTACGACTGCCCTACTCATATGAGCCAAGGTGACACCACTAGTCCCGTAGTGCTTCGGAAACGCACTGTTCACTGTCATTGTTACACCATGTCGATTTACTAAGAAATCCATACCCGGAAGGAAACCAGGGTAAAGGAAAGTGAAGAAGAGAAACTTGTTGTTGTCGGGGGCTCTTGAAGAGTAGACTTCTAGAAAGTAGGACAAATGTTGCCAGTCGGAGTCCCAGTCGTCGTTGTGGGCGTAGCCAACAAAACCTGGCGTATTGACGAAAACGTCACTGCAACTTCGCTTGTGATGTTTTGATGGGGAAACAGAAGCATCTGAAGTAGATGAGCTAGGGTTTTTATCAATAAAATGAGTTCTTGGAGCTGCAGCATCAACACTTTCAACTACAACATCATCAGCCTCAGCACTTTCCTTCACCACTTCCGCAGCAGTCGCTTTTTCAACAACTTCTAGTTTTCCTCCATCTCTTCTTCGAAGTTTTACGCTTTCCTCATTAGGGTCGGCCCACTGCAACAGCTCACCACGTAAATTACTAAGAAGAACTTTTTCTACGTCGATGCCTGCTGCCAGAGCCATGGACTCCATCTCCGCATAGAAACCGGGATAAGCAAGCTCTGAATCGCTCAAAAGGTTGTGGAGGATGTCAACGGGCTTGGGGGTGCCAGGGGGAGAGCTCGATATTGAAGCTTCCCCGTGAAGCCATTTCTCCATCAAGATTATCTGTTCATCATGCTTCGGAATCTCCGCAACCCACTGCCGCAACTGTGCTCCAGCTGCCTCACCAATTTTGCGACCCAACTCCCGGTGCTTCTGGTCGGTCGTGGCATTTGGATCATCGTAGTGGTCTAAGGTAATGCGATAGACGGGTGCGCGACCGATGGTGCTGCGGAAGTAGGGGTTGTCACCATTCGTACTGACGTCCGCAATCTTTGGAGAAGTACTAGTCATTTTTTCTCGCCTCATGTACGGACTTGTCCGACTAACTGGTCTTGGTCTACTAGTAGTTGAAAGAAGTTCTAGTTGTCCCCACCCGGCCGTCCTGTTCTGTCTTTCGGTTGCTGAAGAGAGACTAGTTCGGATGATGTGTCGTAGTGCGGACGTTGTAGTCGGAGTTGTTTCGGTTAGATCTACTCTATCTTTTCCCGTTGTTGCTGTTCGTAGATCTACTCTATCTTTTCCCGTTGTTGCTGTCGTTGCTCGAAGATCTTGTGCTAGTACGAACTGTGAGACAGCGTTAAGGTGCAAGAGCCAAGAGCGAGCATGTCTGACCCGGAGCAGCTTTTTGATTCGCATTTCTTGTGACTTTGTTGTAAAATTTCTCCTGTTCTTCTTGATGTAAGGATCGATGTTTGGATCTTTGTTACCAGCTGAAACTTCTCATGAATGACATAGGAACAAGTTTTAGTGGGAGCAGTGGGAGGAGTAAGCAAGAAAGTCGGTAGAATAAGTAGTGAAGGATCTTCGCAGGACAAATTCGACGTGACAAGTTTTGAGTGTGGGAACACAAGAGGCAGCTAGGGCCGGGGCAACAGAGTTGTACACCCACACAGCATCTGTTGTAACAGCCACAGACAGGTGCTATGAAGACGAAGCTGTGCTAGTAGTGTTGGAAGACTTTGTTCTTGTAGCTTGCGAAGTGGATGATTCGTGAGGTCGCGGACTTTGCGGTGTGCGGTCATTAACTTCTCACCTGAAAATCAGTTCCAGTCTTCAACATATCATCAGGCGGCCTCTCTTTGGAGGAGGACGCTGACACGACACCACCTGAGGCTGAAAAGGCGTCTTCTGATATCGTAAAATCAGAATCTTCGATGTCTAGGTGTATGCCACTATGCTCACGCGAAGGCGGGCCTCCAGGTGACCCTCTTGAAGAAGAGGATGGAGGTGGATATTGGTGACTTGAAGATAAAGAGCTTGTCGTATGTTTTTGTTGCATGTCGTCTAAACCGCCAAGCGGTCCTCCTTCTCTTTCCCCTCTAGTACTAGAAGTTGTGCCCCTTGTTCCACCAAGTCGTGGAGAAGTTCCACCTCGTCCAGCAGCATCTATTATTTTAGAAATACTAGATGAGGAATGACCTCCACGTCCTCCAATATCATCGCGGCCTACAATAGTACGCGTACTTCTCGTTCCTGGCGACAATGGTACGAAGTCTTCCTCTAAACTGGGCAACGCGAATCGCTTTTCCAGGTTCTCCTGCAACAGCAAATCCCGTGACGACTGACAACAAAATCGTTTGCTTGCTACGTGTAGATTGCAGACCAGAAGAATGATAGCGATCAGACATAGAAGAAACACGGTCTGCTCAGCGGCTTTTTGGCTTCGTCGCTTCTGCTTCTTGGCTAATTTGGATTCAGTTTTGGATGGGTTTTTGATGAGTTTAGAAATGATGGCGGGTAGTAGTTTTTCATTCGTTGCATGCTGACATGACGCTGCCGCGTGAGGTTGGTCCTGTGTTTGATGAGACGGTAGCGATATCACTGCTCACGACACGGCACACTTGTTGGTAGACAGTATGTTCATGATGAAAAACTACCTCAATATTCCTTAATAGATGGAGAGGGTGCGGATTTTGTCTTTGAAAAAAAGCCTCTGTCTATTTCGCTTCTATTCGCCAAAGCAGTTGCTGTTATAGGCTTCACGGGCAACCCGAGCTTTCCCCTATGAGTGATCTCTTCTGGTGAATTACTTTTACCTGCTACTGCTGCCGCGGACGATCCAGCAGGAACGACTGGTATCGTGCTAGCTGTATTCGGTGGTGTCGTTGGTGCAGTTGTAGCCTGAGTCGATGCAGAAGAGGGGGATCCCTGCTTATCACCCTGTCCTTCAGTCGCTGTTGCTGCTGTCCCTGTCGAAGGAGCATTCCCGCCCATCTTGCTAACCCGGAATGCCTTTATCTTCGTTGTATCTATGACACTCTTGCTCCCTCTTTCGCCATCGACATGGGTTTTATAGCTTTCCTCAACACGTGATCGAACCATGTGCGTCTGCGGTGGCACCGCAGGATCAGGCCTACTCTGTTTCGCCCAGGCTGAATCGAAGGAGGCCAGAACGGCCAAACACGATGCTTCTTCTTGGATTCTGTTGATTAGAAGAACAGCCACGGCTTCAAGTAGCTTTTCCGACGCTGACACGATCACGACTTAAACAAAGCACTAGAAAATTCAGAATGGTCTATTCCAAGTTAAGAGTCGCACTCGGAATAGCAATCAACAACATGTTGTGCTATAATCACTTCTAGTAGTTGTAAACCTAAACCACTGAGGATAATATTAATAAACCAGACCACTTGATGTATTCCCATAACTTCTGCACCTTCTCGGGTACGTCCAGCTTCGCCTTATCAAACGCCGTTTGCTCCCCTGAAGACCGCGCCCACAAGTCCAGACCGCGACACGGGACTCCAGCTTCCCACGTGTAAATTTCTTCCTGAATCAGATCGCCAGCTGGCTGTTTGTTCTTGTAGTCAGCGAGTAGTTCGCGATTCTTCCACATCTTGGAGAGACTCATCGTTGAGCCTCCTGTCGATTTTGATGATGAGCTTCTTGTCACTTCCGCTTCCTCACTCCTTCTAGCCGTTCTCGACAGCACGCCAACACTTTTGCAAACCTCTGCTTTTGCATCGAGTTTAACAAGTCTTGCACCTGCTTCAATCTGCAAACAGCCGACGCCATGCAATGACTTCCCATCTGCAGACAGGCGAATGGCAGGCTCGATCAGCTCCAGCAGTTTCAGACTCATTCTCAAATTTCGTGGGACATGAGAATCGCTATTCACATCGGGACTCTGCCAGAGCTGACTGGTAGAGCCTAGGCGATCCTGTGGCGGTGTCTTCAGATCGTCAGTCTCGACCAGGTAAACGACCGTACGCACGTCGGGTCCGTTGTTGTATTTCGTGCGGGACTCGGGATAGCTCGATGCTTAGACAGCCAGAGGTGAACTTTCTGGAGAAACTTTCTCGACCGTAGTAAGTAGTCCACTACTACATTAAAAGAGAAAGACTACTTACTACGGTCGCTGTTGCATCCATCAAAATGTATCAATTGTTAGAAATTATAGTAGTTGCCAATGCCATCAAAAGACTAGTACTACATCAAAAGACTAGTACTACATCAAAAGACTACTACAAGCAACTATGTACGGTTCTGGTATTTGGTAATCTGAATTTGATCACAAGGATTCTCTTCTTGTTTTCCTTATGATCGAAATCAGGTTAACAAATACCAGAACCATTCAAACTATCCTTCAACATTATGCTGGCCATACTTATACGTGTGCGTTCTACACGTATTTATCGGGTTAGGACTTCCCTCCCAGCTCGCCGCGTAGGACCAATCTTCGAGACCGCCATCAACCCAATAAATCGTGTCCGTCATGGTGCCAGTGATTAGAGAGGACGAGGAGACTACTAGGTCAACGTTCTTGAGCAGGTTGTATCATTCAGGAGCAGTCATTGTAGTATTGTAGTTGATGTTCCTCTTGAGTTTGAGAGAAACAACAGGGAGAAGAAACATAATTGAAATTGTACTTTGAGGATGAAAGACTTCCAATCGAGGTGGAACCTTAACTTCGGATAAAAGAACTTTCCATTCTGCTTTCCTGCAGCTAGCTGCATCGCTGATGCCACGGCCACTTGGGCATTGTTGTCCGGGGCCTCAGTCGAGTGTTCGTTCTGTCCCCAAAGGTTCGATCCTCCTCCACCTCGTTTTGCATGGTTTCGGCTGCCCCATTCGTAACTAAGGATTCTTGTACCGCCATGAAACGTAATCATCGCACGAAACAGATGCTGGAATATGAAGAGGACCAGGGAAGATGAGAACAGCTAATATAGTTGTACTAATTTAATATTATGGGAAGTAGATGACTTGTATTTTTTCATTTTCAACTACGTAGGTGTGAGGAAGATGATGCAGATGGAGTGGGTGAGTGAATGAATGAATGTGCCTAACGCGAGGTGGTGCAAGTTGTGTTTTATGTCCCCAGATGCATACATAACATTTAATCCATAACATACATACACACACACATACATACTTACATACATAAATAAGTTTTTTTCAACACTTACAGAATCCATAACTCGAAAAAGTTCGTTGATGACTCGTGCCGTCACCGTTTTCATGCAGCTTTTCTGCAGGTAGGGGAAATCCCTGTTAGGATCCATCCCACGTTCCTCTCTCCGGTTGTAAAAGTATCCGTGTGGGTTCGACATCGCGATCAAGTAGATGGCACGGTTTTGTGGCCTTAGAAGAAGATCTTAGGGGGATGAAGAAAGTAACTGCAACAAGTACTTCTTTATTCGATACTCGATAGTGGATAGTAAAATCTAACACGAAAAAATCGAAAAAGACCACATCTTCAAAATGAGGATTTACATTTTTTAGTACAACATGCCACTGATCATGGTCCTCACGAGTTTCCACCTGTTTCTCACAACAACAAGTACAGTGATCATGGTAACGAGTTTCCACCTGTTTCTCATAACAACAAGTACAGCAATTCCTGGTCTCGAACTTGACTCCCACCTGTTGCGTTGTTCTTTGCCCTAGCTGCCGCCTCTGTTAGTTCATGTGCCATCTCGACCAAGACTTGAGGTCCAATTCGTTCATTGCCATGTAATTCGCCAGAGTAAAAGAGCTCAGGCGTCTCGCTAGTCAGGGTGCCTTCGTCAGCAAGTCGGACGACGAGGAAGCCGTTAGGTGGAAAAAGAAGAAATTTGTATTTTTTGACCCAACTACGTGAAGATTTTCGTCTGGTGCGTGAGCACAGATCATGTAGTGCTAGTGAGAGTGAGTCCAAAAGTAGAGTATCTTCTTGAGTTACTTTTTAATTTTATGAACAACAAGAACAGTCAAAATATGTTCCCTTTCAACATATCTTTACACACACTAGTTCCGCACTTAGCCCACGAGGCACGATCAGCGACGTGCGGGTATCGCTCTAGTGCGTCGAAGGTTTCCACAAAGGTCGGGTGCTTCTTCTCCAATGCTCCGAAAAAATCCAAGATCTGTTGGTATGTTCTATAGGTGTAAGCACGATTGGAGGAGTCCAGGTTCCTGATAGATGAGGTTGTACTACTAGGGAGATCAGAGGATGATGTGCGCAAGATTTGGTCTTCTTGAGGAGCTGCAGTTGGTGGGACAGCTACGAGGGTTCTGCTGCTGGCGCTTCGGCTATTGGTAGATGACTTGTCGAGGAGCTCCATGTCAGCCTCTGGAAAAACGACCACAGGCTTCGCCTTCGTTATCTCATCTTCATTCGGCCGGATCAAGGAGAATAATGTCTCTTCTGCGGCACTACCGGTGTCGTGTCTCGGATGAACGGAGAATAAGTTCGAGAAGAAATTTGCGCTGCTTCCAACGGCCGAAAGGGCCACTAAAAGCAAGATACGCCGCATCTTTTCTTTTTAACTGAGCAAAGAAATTCAATACAACCAAGAAGGTCATACAAGGAAATTTTTCATACAAGGAACGAAAAGGCTACGCTGAATAGGATAAGGATTAGAAATCCCACTTCCACAATTTGTCGCTCTTTCGACTCTCTCCGAAAAGGAGTGGAGATGGAGAAGTGGAGTACCGATTTTAGACGATCTGCATGAGCAGGTTCCTACCGATTGGCATGCAGGACATACAAGAAGAACTCCACCGCAGTAGTGAGATGAACACCCGCCTACATGCACTAGTTACACTTACACATGACTTGTCCTGCCTACAATGACAGTCTCCTGTCAGGGTGGACGATTTTCTGTTATTCCATATTTTCTATTCCATATTCATCATTCCCTTTCAAACAACCCTCAAATTCAAATGACGCTCAATCCTTTTCATCTTCACAACATCTCAAGGCTAAGATACTGTTGTACCTTAACAGCAATGTCGAGCACGTGTTTCTTTCTCATCCTTCCAGTTCAAGCGCGGGTGCCTTTATTATGGAGGACAAAGCTTAGATGATAAATAGAACAGGAAACAAGGACTCAATCTCATCCCCAAATCCTTGGACGATCAAGAAGAACTGAGTACTAGCTCTAGCTTCATCATGGAAATCCAGCTTCAGCAGGAACTACTATATACTAGAAATAGAGGACACGAAGCAAACTACAGAACAAGTCTTGTGGTAGAAGTGCCCTTATACCTGTCAAGAAAAAATAGTTTGTTCACAGTGGAAAATAGCTCTACAATTTAAAAACTCTGGATCTTTTTTGG